GGCTGAAGCGGGAAATGCATTGTTATTAGGGTCGGAAGCTAGACTAAACTAGGGTACTTGCCTGAAGTGGGAAATGAGAAGAAGGTTACTTCTTCGGTCCTGCTTCGGCTTAGTTTATATACATGTGTGAACGGGTCACGTGGAGGTGCCACGTCACCCTCGGACAAAGCCGGGTTACTGCGGGTGGCTCCATGGTCGATCCCGAGTGTTGGAGGGGAGATACAAGTAGGAGTGTGCGGTGTGTCCGGTGTTGCGGTGCCCCTATGGGGTGCTCAGCGTCGGACGCGTCCGTGCTACAAGTGTAGGAAAGAAAGAGAGGTCGTCCGTATAAAGATAGAAAAGGAAAAAGAGAAGAAGGAAAGAAGAGAGAATGAGAGGATGAGGGAAAAGGAAAGGAGGTGGTGGTGGTGGTGTGCCCTGACAGTATGTTACTTTATTGTACCTTAGCTCTAATATCGATTTGACCATGACCTCTAAGTCCTGACCCCAACAAGGCAACCCCAGTAAGTCTGAAATGAGGGCCAAGAGACAGCTAGGGGGCACAGCGCTCCTTTAGAGTCGCTGAGGCCAAATGCCCTACCCTCAGGCCTTGTGTGTGGCACCACAGCCATCGTGGCCTATAGCGGCCCGCAACGGTGACCCTCGGTGCCGACCCCAGACCAGTGTCTAACACTCAACACTCAAAACTAAACGACAGACCGACCAACCAAGAAGCTTGACCACAGATGAATTGGCCCCTTCCAGATTGTCAAGGTGGTATCCCCAGCAGCAGTAAAGCTACAGCTTACGGCCCATCAAAGAGGAATTCACCTGGTAGTCTCGGTCTCAAACACCCGCCCCTATGCCCCAGACAGAATCTCCGAACGCCATGCAGACCTGCTCCCTGGCCCGGACATCGTGAATGGAGAAGAGGAGTATGAAGTGGAGAAAATCCTGGATTCCAGGTACCGGTATGGACGGCTCTGGTACTTCGTCAAATTCTCTGGCTGGCCAAACTCAGAAAATGAATGGCTCCCCAGAGAGAACCTGGAGAACTCCCCAGACCCCCTGAAAGAATTCCACCAGGCCCACCCAGAAGCCCCCAGACCAAGGAGGATAAAGGAAACCCCCCAACCACGGACCACAGCCACTTCAAGGTGAAGTGGCATAGAGGGGGGGTGATGTCAGGGCACCCAACCACACCCCAGAACCACCCTCCCAGACTTCCCCCACTTCCCTGACCTCCCCATCCCTACATATCTCTCACAACTTCAGCCCGCATGTGAGCCCGCAGGAAAAATCACGTGGGTCAACGCGAGCAACTCGCCTTAACCCATGTGACACCTTTTCCGAGTCGTGGGAACATGCTCGGCTTCTACCCAGAGTCACATTACGAACTGTACAGTACACTTCCCTTTTATAGTAGCCAAGCGGGGAATAGGGAGACTTACCCTTCTTCTCAATTCAATCCCCGCTTAGGCAAGTTGTAGTTACCCTCTGTAATACATGACAACTCAATCCCCACTTAGTCCCTTCAGTGAGTTTGAGGAGCTGAGGACAGGGTCTAGCACCCAGCCACCCGGAACACTGCACACACCTAGGCCTGAGGTCGGGCTGTCCCCGATTGAGGACTGAGCCCTGACACTACCCGCACATCCTATATACATGTATCTACATGATGTAATGCGGCTTTATATTATACAGGTTATCTATGGTACTGAAGTGCGACTGCAGTCGCACTTGATGCAAAGTATGCAAAGGACAGACAATGTGTGGGTACACATTGTAAGTCCTTACACTTGGTGTACACTATGACCAACTCACATTTGGTGATGTTGAGTCATTGTCAGGGCCCGGCCTCGGACTCGGAGGCTCCCTGACCTCAACCCCCATCTGGCCTGTCCTCACACTATGCGGGGCATGAGATGTATAGTAAAAGGAAAGATAATATACACTTGCCTATGCGGGGCATGAGATGAGAAGAAGGGTAAAGGTCTCATCTCCCCGCATGGTTGCTATATAAAGGAATGGGTCACATGCCCACAACTATACAGCTCCTAGAGTTGTGTAGTGTGACCCGGAGGGAACATCCAGGTGGCAGTGCCCAGTAAGCGTGGGAACGTTCTGGGCGAGCTGCTCGCTCAGAAAGTTCCCACGCTATCCCGTGCGCACATGTACACAACACACAAAGGCAACAACAAGGCAACAGTCAAAGAATAAAAGGGGGTAAAGTAGGTGGGGAGTCCGGGGCACCCTAAGGCAGGGTGCTGAACCCTGACAGTCATGTGGCATCTTAGATTTTTGCCAATTACCTTTCTTGGTGACACCCATGCCAAAGTCAGTGCGCATTCATAGCACCTGACTATAACTGACGAGCGCCACCTGAAGGGGCAAAACCCACCACTCAACCCACTGAGAAGCAAACAAGCACCAGTGGACACACATCTCTTGCACGCAGTAAACCTCATTACAAGCAATCTTAGAAATCACTGTCAGTGGTGTTTGCACGGCAGGACGAAGGTCCCAACAACAGACTGCCCAACAACTATCTCTATTATGTATTTGGCTCAGTTGCGGGAGCGATTCAGACACCACCAATGTCAGAACCAGCTACATACAGACCAATCACCGAATCACAAATCCTTGACTCCTTCGACAGCAGTTGTTACACCAATGGCTGGTATTGCTCGGCAGTATCTTGATCACTGAGAGTTCCAAAGCACAGTTAGAATATAGAAAAAAGATGGAAACCACCCCTTGCCTGGGAGGGAGAGCAAACACGTGGTAATGAGATCACCTGCGTCCTTGGCACTCTTCGAACATCATACTGCCCACATCGACTGAAAGGTGCTCACTGTGAATCATTAGGTCCAGCAGAGTATCGGAACGTACTGTTCCACTCACCTGAGTGCAGCCAACTCAATGGGCAACCAGATACATAGGTAATGACCAATATGGAACCAGCATGTGGTGCGCCAGATAATCGGAGTTGTGCTAATGAGCCCGTGGTGGTGCAAGCACCCGCGGCCTTGAGGTTCTTCAAAGATGCGCATCATTTTTGGCTGGGGGGGAACATGAGTTCACCTTGAATGCTGCCTTTAGTAAGAATACCAGAACGCTTTGTGGCCGTTCAGGGGTAACGCAAGGTTGTCTGCCAGGAACATGGTACCAATGACCGACCCTATAACCTGGATGTCAGATGACACCCATTTGCAAAGGCTCCGAGGTTATAGAACTGCAGAAACGTAGCTGTGCCAGCTTTCTTTTGCAATGAAGCCCTCTATAATGAGTTCGCATATTGGTATGAGAAGGGGATGCGAGCGCATGCGCTAAGTTTTCGATCCAAACCTTTTGTCATGAAGGGGTGAACCAGTAGAATGATAGTACACTGGCTGAACTGAACAGTGATGCACACCGCAAAGGGGGGTCAAGAGTTGCAATGATGTCAATGTTATTGAATTCCGGGATACAAAGTTATATATGTCAACACAATCAGAATCTCCCGAAACGATACACAAGGCGGGGCGAACATCATTGTGTACAGAACCAGTTCGAAAACTATTAATCATCCAAAGCACTCTCTTTTACTCCTTCATCATTCAAAGTTGCGTCAGGAAAGACGCCAATAGATCTCCTGCAGTTAATCAGAAACCAATCATAAATGCAATGGAAAGCACTGACATGAAGATGTCCTCCTCTTTTCCTTTACCCTTTTCAACCTGAACCACCACCTCCTTCTCTGATGCCATCTTTTCCTCCACCACCAAGTTCTCCGCAATCCCGGAGGAAGCGTATGCATCATCATTACTTTTTTCTGAGATCGTGTGAGATGAACATTCACTGGGCGCAGAGCCACACATGAAAAATGGACCACGCTTCTTGACAGGTCCAGGTTGATCACCGTCTGCCGACCTTTTTTTGCTGGAGGAAGTGACAGTCAAAGGCTCGATGGATAGCGCCTTGATCTGACCAACAACTTGAACAGCTGTCCAATGAATTTGGAAGGAGCGTATTTCCCCTTTGGTGGTATTGCGTGCACGCGTGCTGCATCAAACGACTCCAGTCTTTACTCAGCACAGCAATGCATCACACTTACAAATGCAGAGACACCGTCCCGATGACCACCATACCCTCAGTGAACAGCATATCCAAACCATCACGCGGAATGTCCAGTCCATTGTCATCGAAGGCGTGAAGGTCCACCTGGTACTTGAACTCCCTCTGTGTCGCCAGAGACGGCAAAGCTCGGCGAAAATTCCCTTCGGGGTCCCATTGCAGCTCAGAAGGCACGGAGGGGAGAACCGGTTCCTTAACTGGCACACAGCTCTCAAAGCCCTCATCTAAAGCAAAACATGCCAACCTCAGAATAACCCCCGCATCAACGGCAAAGCTTGTATCACAGTACGCACCTTTTTCCAACGCCACAGACACACTTACTTTCTTGGACTCTGTCATATCCATCCCCGGCCATCGACTTCCAGTCCCTCCGATCCCTCCGTTCCAACTCCGCTCCTCCCTCACTAACCTCGGAGCCCCCGTATTCCGCAATCCTCTCGGCGCCCCTCGATGGTCACCACCCCCTCATTTCAATTTATTACCTACGCCTCCCTAAGTACGGAGCCCCGAAGACTTCCGGACAGCTCCGACGTCCGCTAGCGCACCCCCGCCTCCGCTGGGCAATACACTTGCCTGCCCTGCAGAGTCCACCTTCGGGCTTATCCCTCCTTTCCGTTTCTGGGTTATCGCCTGCCTTTCCGCTAACCCCGTGAACCGACTCATCGGTAATATTCAGTCGGCTAATGGTTAAACCCCGTTAGCTCCGCTCCGTTCGGTTCCGCCAATTGCGGACCCGTCCCCGCTGTAACCATATATATATCCCACTTGTACATAGGTTACGCCCCAGTAGAAAAATCAACTAGAGTTACCCCCCTAGGTTCTAATTGCCAGTCAGTAAGTTAGGGCACGGACGTGTCACTAGGCACAGCGCTCTTGGCAGAAGTCGCTGAGGCCGAAGCCCTCCGTTACGGAGACACTCCTTCGTCTCGACCCTGGTCTCTGACAGACTCTTTCGTTGGACCATTGCGACTCTCCAAAAACATGGGGTGCACAATGCGAAAGTAGGGTCCATTTTCGTCATCCAAGTAAACCCACCCAAACTCATTCTCTCTGATTTCAACGGTGTCTTCTATTAGGCAGTCAGCAGTGCTGTGAAAAATGACGAAATGAAACCCGATACCGTCACAATGCAGTCCTAACCCGGATGCATTCTTAATTTTATTTAATCCTCGAATTTGATTCGTGAACAATGTTTTGATAGAACGTGGTGCCAAAGGAGGGATACTTAAATGAATCTGGTACTTCGTCACATTGACTTTTGCATGCTGGAAAAGAATTCAAAACAAACAGTCCAAATCCATGAGAACAAACGAACCCCTTGTTCATGCCAAGCGGTAAAAGGAGCAGCATGTTGATTACCATAAGGTCCCACTTCGGCATTGGAGATCACCCCGAAGAAGCTGAATTCTGCCAGCACATTGCAGTCGGACAGAGATACCCAGGACCCACGAAGGGATTGACCATTTGCAGAGGCAGCGCTCTTATAAGTCACAGTTTCTGCGTTAATTGAACCCAAAAAGTTCTCAGATTGGGCATGAGTAAGGAGGCGCGAGATGATTCCGGAATCCATAGAGCAAATAGTAACACGCTTTTGTTAGACATTGAGGGGAGAGTTGAAGCTGATGACGATGGAGATGAGCGACCAGAATCACAATGTGTCAGGGACTTGTCCGGGGTTGAGGGGGTCCGGGTGTAGCGTCCGGGACCGAGAGCCTGGCGGGGGGCGGATCGGGTGTGCGTACTGACAGGCCCGATGCGGGACAGTGGTCCCTGGCCACTTAGACTGAAGTGGAAAGTTGTTATTATCATTATATACATGCGGCTTAGATCACATGACGGGTGCCACGTCACCCTCGCACACAGCCGTAACCACCCGGGTGTCTCCATGGGAGATCCCGAGGGCATCCAGTGCAGGCGCGCATGCTGGGCACAGCGGGAAGTCGCCCGAGGTGCCCAGGCCGGGTACATGGTGGGCGCGCTGCAGATGGGTCAATTGTACATTGATACAGAGAAAGTCGTCCATGTAGAATAAAGGGAGAATAAAGAAGAAGTAAGATAAGGAGAAACTGAGGAGGGGAGGATGAGGGGGGAAGAAGGGAAAGGGGGAGGAGGTAAGGAAGGGTGGACCGGCAGGGTACTGGGTCAGGTTGGGCCGGGTGGGGCCGGGTCAGGCGGGTGTGCCCTGACACAATGCCACGATCTTAAGTAGAAGTGGATTAGCAGGTTTCATGTTTGAAAGCACATGCAAAGAGGTGGCATTGCATTTGATTTCGAACTCAGGGTAGATTCACCCACAGTCAAACACACCTGGATCAGGAGGAAATCAGCAGGTCCTGCTGAGTTTCAGGAACAAAGTAGAGAACTAACCTAGGCTTCACAAAGGAACCGTGAGGATCATTTCTACCCACTCTCAATCAAATTCTCCGACGTTTTTTCATATTCCCTCTTGCAGGAGAGTCCGGCGGCCTGAAAACTTTCCCTAGATTGCACAGAAAGGTAAGTTTGAGAGGAACGAGGAGATGAGGCTGCTCACCTGTTGAAGCTGGGCCGCTGTCCCCCATCAACTCTGATTTCCAATTCGCAGCTTCTGCATGTCGAAATGCTTGTGAAGAAGTGCGCAAGATCGTATCACACTCTAACATTTGTAAACGGCTCAATTCTTTGTGCAAGTCTCCATTCATGTGAGAAATGATCCATCCAGAGTTGAAAGGCCGCAAGATTAGCAAATTTCCGAGACCCATAGCTCATGAAAGCATCACATAAGCTGATTGGATGGAGTGTGCGCTCTCCAAGTCAAGGATAACTTTGGGTAGAGTCTTCCCTTGAGATTTGTAGTCTGTAATGCAAAAAGCGGGGAGCAACGGCAGCTGGGATCTGTCATATCCCGGAATCCCGACCCCACGCACTCCCACCACATCACACCTTCCTAACAACTTCACCATCCCCTACACCTTGCCTCCCCACTCTCCAAGTCACCTTCCCTCCTGACTGTCTCAGCTCCGGTCTGGTTGCGGCACACCGAACCTTGGCCACTCCCATCCCGGAACCTCGGTCCCGAGTCGGAACATTCGGAGATCCCGGATTTGCTCCGATATCCTGACGGACCTCCGACATCCCGTGACATGCCCTTAAACCCTTCCTCCACCCATTTCATTTATTTGAGTCACCCAACATCCTTCGGATACGCAACTCCGCTTTCGGAGCTACCCGCATCCTTCGGTGATCTCCCTCACGTTATCACTTATTAGTCCTCTCCCATTCTTAGCACGACTACCTTCTTACTACCATTCAGTCGGCTAACCCCCTTTATCCATTTGTCTTCCCCATTCATTTTCCGGCCTCCAACTCCGCCCTCCTTGGCCCGACACCTCGGTTCCCCGTTTTAGATATCGTTCGGAACCTTTCGGTACCTCTCGGTATCATTTGGTACCTTTCGGTGTTTTCCCCATTTTGTCATTTCGGGCTTTGACTAAAGTCCTCCCCATCCTCCTTTAATAAATACACGTAGATTAGAACCTGTAGTTCCTCAGTTCTAATCTCGACTAAAATGCCACCCAAAGTCCCTCTGAGTGAATCCTGTCCCTGTTCTACAAGACACCTCAGACATAAGAAATACAAGGACTAACTGAGACGTAACGGAGGCACAGCGCTCCCTCCGAGTCGCTGAGGCCGCGTCCTTCTTAGAGCCTCTTGTACCATCCAGCAGAACCGGGCTCCCTGAGAAGCTTCGGTTCACTACCGGAGCCCTCGGACCCCCCTCTAGTTGAGCCCCGCCTGCATTCGGACTCACGCATTTACCCCCCTCTTCCATAACCGACGGGTTTTTGACAGGATCGTTTGACTCTAACAGTTTCGCCTGAAAAAGGGTGGGTAACTTTGATGTTGATTGATTTCGGTAGTATCACACACTGGTGTGGGGTGAGATCAGTGAAAGGCTCCGGACAAGAGTTTTCGATGTTCACTATACAACTTGTAGCGGTTCGCACGCCGTCTTCATCCACAGTATAACGGACACTTTGCACAATGCCCTCACTACCGTTCACAATACCACCACTGACATCGAAATTTTCGCAGACCAATACCGGCATCTGTGGAAGTAAGGGTAAACAACCACTGGTGTATGCAGTCTGAGAATCCGAAGTTAAGTTCAACAGGCGATCGTTAAGGGCAGTGTGATCAATACGCTGATTCTTGATTTCGTGGGTAGCATGGTATGTTGTGAGTGGAATTTGTCTGTGGGCTGCGAAAGTTCTGACTGCATACCAATTTAACGCGTCTTTGACTGCATTTGAAGCCGTGACGATTGGAGCTGACTGTCACCCATTGGATTGTAGCTCCTGAATGCGGAAGTTGTGAATTAGTCGTGTATCTAAAAGGGCTTTGTCTGCAGTTGAGCAGTTGCCAAATCGCAGTCGGCTCAAAAGATCACGGAATGCGCTGTTATGTTCACCATCTTGGCACATGGATTGTTTTAAAAATACGACTGTATCTACCAGCGACCATAAAAGGCATCCCTTCAGTTTCTTTTGACCTCGTTCTGTTGCTGAGTCCGCTGTCTTACTCACCAACAACTTCGAAGCAGTGTACAACCTAGTGTAACCGACTGGTGGTAGCTGACAAAAGTCCCCTGCAAAAATTACACTCATACCCCCGAAAGCATCAGGATTTTCTTTGGCAAGTGAGAGAGCAGCACTTATCTCAGTCAACAGCTCGCAACCGATCATGGACACCTCGTCGATGAATAGGTAGTCCACTCCACACCAAAATTGCACCAATTCCGATCGACTTTGAGATCCATTCGACTTCGACATCCTTGACAATTGGTTCAAATTGAGTGCAGAGTGCAAAGTGTTCCCATTGATGTTTTGAGCTGCTGCACCTGTGAAAGCACACAAACGGAGTCAACGTGATTGGTCAATTGCGGTAAAGAAGGTTGTCAATGCTTTAATCACTTGAGTTTTACCCGTTCCCCCAGCACCACCCATGTACATGTAGAGGGGCTTAGGAACCACAATATGATGTACAGCATGATTAGCCACCAGCAGGAATGCGTGCCATTGTTCTAAGTTGAGAGAAAATTCAGAAGATACTGATTCTATAATCTCAGCAACAGCGATGGGAAGGATTTCGGGGGAATGAGCAGTGATGTCGGCATGGAAATCCCCATTAGCGTTGTTCAAGTAAGAATCATTGTTCATCAAGGCAGCATGAGACATGGCATCCATCGCAACTGGAGACAGCATAGTGCTAGCATGCAGAGACAATTTCAATGCCTCTTTTGCCGCATGCTTACGAGATTTGTAGTCATTTGCCCAAACTGACTCTAAGGTGCCATGATCCGTTATGCACTCTGCAAAGGCATCAGTACTGGAGGAGGCAGAGCTGAGTGTTTCTAAAGAGGCAGAGTTTAAAAGGAACTCTTCGGATGTGTCATCCAAAAAAAGCCCAGTGTTCAGTGCATGATGTACCGCATTATTGACATCCACTTCATCTCCATTCCGCTGGCTATTGCTTTGATCATCTATATCAAGTAAACGGTGTAGAATGGATTGCTCTTCGTCGGCATCTATAAGTTCGTTGTTGTCAGCCACACAAAGTCCCGGGTTTGATGCAATCACAGTAGAACGCAATTTGGAAGAACGTTTGGCATAGTCTAAATCCCGACTGTCTTTGCACTCGTGCAGAACCTGAATGTTCTTCATTAATTCCAGAACTCAGTCTGAAGCGCATTGTACAAACTCTTCAAATGCTGCAGACCAAGAAGCTGAATGACCCAAGAGATCGAATGGTGAATGCCAAGGTTTGAATAATGTGAGCATAACAGTTGAATAATACTCAACATTTGCATCATTGTCCCGCTGCGGTAGGCTAGGTCCAATTGGAACTGGAATGAGTTGCCGTCGACGCCTGCGGAGAAAGTGGGTGGTATGTTGTGGATGAGTTTCATTAAGGGATGAGTACGGTGAGCGATGGGGCCGATCCTGAGTACCTTGATCTTCACCAGGATCCATTTCGTCTGTCCCTGAAGAACCTGAAATGCGCACTTTGTCAACCCAAGACACGAAGTCCCAAACATTCATTTGGGCGAAACAAACGGAGTGGTCTCGGGCAAGGTAGTCCATTAGCAGAGAAGGAAGGTGATGGATGTGCCCAGATGAACGGTTGGATGTTAAAATGCAGCCATGATCAGCAGTAGAGGAACTCTCACCAATAGACGAGGTATCAGACTGTGGAATAACCTCTGCCACGTAAGTTACAAAAGGAGTCCAAAATAAAGATCAAAACTTGTGGCTGGAAAAATAATCATCATAGCCAAGTAGATAGGATGCAACTTGGGGAGCGGATAACTCTTGCTTTGCAATCAGGGCATTAGCACATTTGATTAACGTGCTTTTAGCATGCTCTGGGCTCGAAGATGTGGGTGTTGGAGTGGCGCTCTGCAACTTGGAAACTGCTGCTTGCAGTGCCACATATGCAATGTGAGTCTTGAGAGGTGACTTGGTGATGTAATCCGTGATGTAGTACAAAATCGCTTTGGCAGATGCGCCAGACCCAATGAATTTGATATCCATGTTGCATCGGACTGCTTTAATCATTGTCTCACAGTAGTTGTTAATCATTCTGTCAGAAATCCTTAAATGGAGCTCACCACTGTCCGCGTCCATGTGGCTTGAGGTGCATGTGTTATCTGGAGCGAGGTTGAAGCGGCAATCAGTGTCTCCATATTTGTAGCATGTCCCAGTATGTTTATGCATCTGGCACGCTTTAACCAAATTGAACAAATCTTGTTCACATTCCAATGGAGTGTAAGTATCCGGATGGCATCGAACACTGCACAGATGAAATTGATCAGATACGCAACTCACATCAGTATGATCTTGAGGGAGCCCATTGGAAATTGTATCATCAAGGAAATCCAGTAGTTTATCACGCCAAGTGTAATCATGGCTCTTGAGCACCCGGTCTTTTATCTCCTGAGGATTGAGAGCACCTTCAATCCATATGAGCATGTGGCAGTGTAACGTACCTCTCCCTTGAGCTTCTACTGTTCCGTAATATGCACTGCAAGGCCCGAGTATGCCATCAGCGTTAATCTCATCCACTCTGGTGTGACCCAAAATTGCGGAAACAAAAGCGTCAATCACCAGTTTGAAGAACCGGGCTGCCAAGAAGGGATTGCATGCCACAGCACTTCCTTGTTGCCAGTAAGATGGCACTTGATCCGGCAACAATGCATCCAGATTGATCTCTGCTCCGGACAAAAATTTGACTAAAGGATTGTAGACATCAGCTGGGTTAATTGTCACAAAAAAACTCGGAGGCCCACGATGAAAAATTAGAGCACGAATTTCTTTCCGCATCTGTGAGCGAGCGCTTTGGGAGCCGGGGACTTTGGACGTAATTAGTGACACATCTTTCATCAAACGAAAAATTGCTTTCTCATCTTCATTCTGCAGGGTGAAAAGCCCGCCATTCGCTAATCGAGCCAGTGTTGCTTCAAAGCTCTGGGTAGAAATCTGAGAGATGCTGTGTGCCACGTGATCAAAATTTTGGTGTGTTGTTTTGAGTTTGCTGTGAAGTGATGTTTTTTGGCATTGAATGATGTTGAAAACCAAGAAGAGAAAGGAGTAGTGTTCTTGAAATCTGCGATCTGATAACGAAAAGAGGTGTTTAACCATTTTCTCTAAACTTAACGGTGTGGTTCGAGACAAATGAAAACCCCCAATTCCATAAGGAAATAATGTAGGGTATAAAAGCGGTAACAAGTGAGGGTCAGAGTAATGATTGACAGGGTCAGCAGAATGACCGACCTGAATGTGTGCTCCGATTTCACCATTGGGTCGTTTGAGATGCCGAATTGCAGCGGCTGCCATTTCTGCTGAGTTTGAACCACGCAGATCAATATCTGTGACCAGTACACCTTGTAGAAGACTCTCACTGTGAAGCGCGAAACCATTCAGTGTGGAATCTGTTGGCATTAAGTCATCATACCATGCACCTTGGGCATCACCAGCAACAGAGCTCTCATGCTGCTCAATGGGGACTGAAGCTATATCGTGAAGAGGGATTTCAATCAAGGACTCATTGTGCAGGATCACACCTTCATACAACAGATTGTTGGCAATTAGCCACTCTAGAGCCAGGCACACTTTCTCATGCTGAACTAATAAAGGACGTGCATTGTTCAGCAGCCATTCCTTTGAGGGTTTGCTAGAACCAACAAATACAACACACATTGCTGTTAACACTTCTCCCAAGGGTGGCAGCAAAAAAGGAGCAAGAGCCTCGGGTTTAGCCGGAAAAACGATTATGTGACCTTTCAGCGCTCTTTGAGAGGTGGGATTAGCTGAAGAGAAAGCGGCACCTGTAGCATGAGAGTTACCAGAAGAATCATCACGCAGATGAATAATCCAACTTTTTGCATGTCGTCTGGCAATTAATGCTTCCTCAATTAAAGTAAGATCGCTAAGACATGAAGGGACAGGCCCAAAGTATAAATCATTCGCAATTGCCGTTGACGGTATACACTGTCACCTCAAACCCAAATGACAAACCTGGCAGATGAGAAATTGAGAGTCAGAGTGAATGCCTTCTGGACAAAGGGCCAAATTCTGAAGCAAGGGCATCTGTGCCATAGGCTGAGGAACACTTGCGGGGAGGTTCAGTTCAAGAATAGAGAGGTTGTACGTCGTCATGTTTGCAGGGTTGGGGAGCATTTCATCTGAATTTTTGGCTTCACCACATACTGCACAAACAGAAATCGACAGGTGGGGGACTCCCAGTAAGGTATAGTACTTAGCCAGCAGAGCTTTTTTCGTTGCAGGCGAAAGCTTCTCAGGCCAACATCGGGCACATTGTTGTTTCCATTCATTGTATTGAATTTCCGAAAGTTGAACGCAAGGTAGAGTGGAGAGATCTGCGTGCTCCCGCAACAACTGACGCATATCAGCCAGAGAAGCTGTTGAATCGCAGTTGAGGTGTAAATGGTTGATCAAACGTCTCAAAACTCGGTCACGAATCTCCACGGAAACAATCCAGCGAATAAATTGAGCCCGATAATTCTGTCTTTGATGGTCAGAGGTAGGAAGTGTGGAACAGTGGGTGCAAAAGTCCGGAACGGATGATTCCAGAATGCCAAAATCGCATGGGCTGTCGCTTACAATATGTTCGAACACAATCGTACGCAAATGTTCATGTGGAGCATATCCACAAGTCACACTGTTAAGTAAACCATGAAACCAACAAAGCACTAGCAGTTGAAGTTGAGAAAGACATTCAAGTGATCACAAAATTGTGAATGCAGTGGGGAATTCATGCTGGATGTTATTGAAAGTGAGCAACATCTCACGGCAGGTATTGAAAGAGGGGAGAGGATGATTAGGGTCGATAGCGTAAACAGCCAAGCACACAGAGTACAAAAGGGCATGCGAGGCATGAGAAGACAGGAAGTACTGAAAAAGAGCGTGCCGAAAGAGATCATGCAAGGGATATCGAGAGCGGTGAGCAACTGTCACGGCCGTGCATTCCGGCCCGTTAGCCGCCCGTCCCGATGCCGCCCGAGCCCGTTACCGCTATGCGAGCGTGAGCGCGAGCCCCGACCTCAGCCCTATCCTCCCTGAGGACCCCCTGCTCACTTCCCCGCTTGCCCCTAGGCTCCCCTGCACCTGGCCGACTCCCCCACAGCCACACCGACCTCCCTGCCCCGAGTCCGCCTCTGGTACCGACCTAGCGTGACTCCGCGACATCGCCTACTCCGCTATGATACCATCGCCGCTATCGCGGCCCTACACCCCTTCGTTTATTTATCTGTTATTGTTTGTTTTGACCCTCGGTCATTGCCGGCCGCGGTGCGGCCAACCCCGCTCTTTGTTCCTATTTGCTTCCGGACCCTTCGGCCTTCGGCCCGGGTCTGCTTCTATTCATTTCACCTTCATATATATATCCTGTATACTACATTATAGTACCTTAGCTCTAATATCGACTTGACCACGACCCCAAGCCCTGACCCCAACAAGGCAGCCCCAGTAAGTTCGAAATGAGGGCCAAGAGACAACTAGGGGGCACAGCACTCCCTTTAGAGTTGCTGAGGCCAAATGCCCTACCCTCGGGCCTTGTCTGAGGCATCGCGGCCCTTAGCGGTCCGCATCGGCGACCTTTGGTGCCCGACCCCGGATCAGTATCTAACAGCAACACACGCTTGGAAATCACTGGAATGACAACGAGCACACATAACGTGGCGTAAGAATAAAGTCCGTTGTTCGTTGATCGTTAATGAGAAGTCATACAGGCCGTGAGCTATCGTTTCTTTGGTGAGATGGTAATTGGAAAACTCGTCAGTGGATAGGAGAATGTACGGCCACGAACCATGAAAAAAGGCTAAGTTTTGAAAAGACGACATGGTGTAGTGGACATGTACGCTTGATGTCGTGCTGGTAGGAGTCGGGAAGATCAAAAGTGAGGGGCCAGGTGGTAGACCACGTGGACATTGGAAAGGAGGTTTAGCAGACCGTAAGCGAGATGAGATAATGTAATGTGTCAGAAAGCTGAGGTAAAAAGGGGTATAACAAATAATCGTGCATGGCCATTCAGTCTACGCTTCCATGACCCGCTACAGAGTAGCAGGAATAAAATCTTAATTTTTGGACAACCCAACCTTTCCTCAGTTCACATACAACGGGACTGAGCAACAACATCGCTAGTCCATCATTTCGTCTTATACCTTCAGCAGGTGGGGAAGGACCGAGGGATTTGGATGCGAGGAATGACCCATCATGACCTGACAATGAAAGCAATGCCCATTGTCGAAGGATTTTTACGAGTTATCCATAGGGATGAACACAGCGGGGTTGGTCATACTTGGCTCAAGGGTAGGACACGTTGTGCACGCCAAGCCAATCTCGTGACAATGGGTTCACACCATTCAAGTGATTGGGACTGTTCCTTAAATGCCGCAGATTCGTCGTACTACGATTCTGAGGGAGCCTGACTTTTAAGTATATAACTTAAGCGCTTGTTCACCGCGTCAATCAAAATGCTAATTGAAAAAATTGTCGAATTGATTTTTAATGATAACAATAAAATCGGTGGGGGTCCTGTAACCTCGCATTGCCTCGGAGTCATTTTTGGGTGCCCCACTAGTCTCTAGTCCTTGGTTGCCGACCCTCAATGATTGCGAATGGAATGAGGCTTCATTCCCTTTTCCAGTTGGTTGTAATTTCATATAATGGACTTTCCAGAAATTGGAGAGTAGTGATTGTCCCCACAAGCTTCGGTCCAGAGGCCGTGAGTACAGTGGCGACGGGAATATCGATAAAGTGACTTGTCAATGGAGTATCTGGGACGAAGGAGGACGGTTATTTCTTTATTTTCGTGTATCTATTTCGCAGAACACGCACTTATCAGAAAACAAACATTAATTTCAAATTTGTGTCAGGACACCATTGTTAGACGTACCATTACCTGCTTCGCCCTCACAGTGACACGGCAAGATCCTTAGCTGTGGTGGTAATGCTAAATCCTCCCATTCCGCTATCCCCTTGTTACTTGCGGAGCGCATTTTGCGAATATGCAACAGCCCGCGCCTTCCTGGAATGTTCGTTCCTGTTGCCGAACTTTGCATCAAACCTCCCGTAGCGAACCTAGAACAGGACCAAATAGATGGGTGTAAGCAGCTAGGATCGATTTCTCAGTTGGTTCTGCATTAGAGAATGGAATCCGCCGCAAGACTTTCCATCAGTGCGCCAATGGGATGAATTACGCCTTGCAGCGATCTCATGGCTGTGAACTGCGCAGCCTCTACTTGACTGTCACCACCCGCTGCGCGTCCGACCTTTCCTCCCCACCCTTCCATCCACCCATTGTTGACCATGTCGCTGAAGCAGAGGGTCAATCATCTCCTCGCCGTTGGAGGCGATGTTGCAATTCCGATTCTCACCGCCGTCGATTCTGCCTCGGGCGTGTTCCCTCCTCTACAGGCCGCCACCGGTGCCACACTCTTCATCCTCACTGAAATCAAAGTTAGTAACAATTTATACCGATCCTGGAAAGGAAGTTGACAATCCGCATTGTGCAGAAGTTCAGGGGAAATAAGGAAGAATGGGAGCGTTTTGGAAAATATATCGGGGATGCCATGGTCGATGTGGTTACAGCCGTCGATTCGTATGATGGATCTAACGGAGAGCCTAAGCCATGGATGGAAAGCATCAAGAAGCTGAGCGAGTAAGTAGTATCTGCTATGCAGGCCAAACCGTTCTATAACGTAGGTACTTTGTAGGGCGCTGGAGCGCATTCGAATCGAAATCGGTCGATTGCGTGGAAAGATGAAGGGGCAGTCTGGTATCCGCAACTTGTTCTCTCATATGAAAAACCCCAGTAGGATCGATGATTTAAAGAAAGATTTTAGCGAAGCTTTGGCAATGTTCCAGGTAATTCCGTTTGACCGATAATGTTTCTGTTCTGATCTCATCGAAACCACATAGCTGCAGACAAACTTAACGGTTGGTGCAATGGCAAACAATCAGGATCGGTTGACTCGTGGAGTAGAAGATTTCTCAGTTCTGAATGAACTCAAATATCCCATTGTCCCCCATCACGATTCAACTCACCCGTGCCTGCCAGACACCAGGATTGATCTAATCGAGCGTATTATGTCGTGGTGTCGTGCCACGGAGGATAACAAGAATCGTGTATTACTGCTGACGGCCGTGGCCGGTGCCGGCAAGACGTCTGTTGCGCTCTCGATCGCAGAGGAGTGTAAAAGAGAAAAAATGTCATCAGCAAGCTTCTTTTTCAAAGCAGGCGAGCAGTCGCGGCCGGACCATCTCTTCAGCGGCATGGCTCGATCTCTGGCAACCCACGACCCTGCATACCGTGCCTCCTCATATCCGCTCTTCAGGAGGATCCAGCCCTCTCAACTGCCTCATTCCCGACCCAATTCGAAAAACTAGTGGCTGAACCTCTCCGTCTCAGGACATCCTCGTCTGACCGTCCCATTGTGATTATCATTGATGCGTTAGATGAGTGCGACACAAAGTCATTCCCACGTCTTGCCGATATCCTTCGGAAAGCAGTCCCAAAACTACCACCTAACATCAAATTCTTTCTCACTTCGAGACAATTTGACCTCGTTGATCGTTTCCTATCACCTAATTACCCTATCGATCGCCTCACCATCGATCTTTCGGACGATGCTAACCTGCATGACTGTTCTATCTACATCCAATCACAACTACACGAACTGAAGGACGTGCATCCTGGTTTGGAAGATGGGATCGGGGAAGAAGATACATTAGTCCAAAGCATACGGGAGCGGGCGGGCGGCCTGTTCATTTGGATCAGTACTGTCTTTGATTACATGAAGGTCAGCAGTAGTGATGCTGTGAAGATGCTGAAGAACCTGCTGGATGAAGATCTCAACCGATCAAAGGCATCCGCTGAGGAAATGATGGATAGGCTGTATGCGAGTATTTTGGAGAAGTGTAACTGGAACGATGATGATTTCGTGCATGACTACTCGATCGTGATGGGAGCAATTTTAATTGCACAGAAGCCACTGTCTGTTGCGGCCTGGGATGCTATCCTCTCACCACTGCTGGAGTCGGATGTCCGATATACATTAGCTCAACTTTCACCTCTCGTCTCAGGAATAAGGGATCCTGGCAAGCCAATTCGTATTCTGCACCAATCCTTTCGTGACTTTCTCATGGACCGTGTTGATCCACAATCACCCATACTTGGTCGATTTGGAGTGGATGCGAGGAGGGAGAACAATAGAGTGGCCCTGCGCTGCATCGAAATCTTGAATAAAGATCTTCCCACTATGAAGGATTTGGGGCTGATTGAGGACTTACCCCAAAAAGCTAAGCTGCCCCCCATTCCTCAAGAAGCGCTGTCTGAACATGTCCATTACGCATGTCGGCATTTCATGCATCATCTCAACCAAACTCAGGAGCCACTGGAGGTGCCCAATGGGCCTATTCACGCATTTCTCAACAAGCAAATATCGCGCTGGGTGGAAGTCTGTGTGAGGACAGAAGGGTATATCAGTATATCATTGTTCCCTGAATGGGCCAAGGTACGAATCATCAGAAGCGATCATTTGGGGCACTTGTTCAGTCTCATGTTCCATTCAGTTGAACGTTGATCGGGCCTCCAAAGAAGTCATTCACATGTTGGTCAAAGTGTTTGGCAATGTGAATGGGAATCTTGCATTCTTTTTAAGATTGCAGGAGGCATATGAGTTGGCAAGTGATTCGGTTGCACTGTGCCATTCCCTTGTGTCTGTGGACTCAGAGTCCTACACCCCGGAGCTGGCTCAAGCACTCTGGAATCTTTTTGTATCACTCACCAACCTTGGACAACATTCTGAGGCACTCACGGTGATTGAAGAAAGTGTGCAACTCTGGCGTGAGCTAGTTGCCATCCATCCAACATCATACACCCCAGATTTGGCTGGAGCGCTCCGGAATCTTGGAGTATCACTCGACAAAGTTGGACGCCATTCCAAGGCACTCACAGCGATCGAAGAAAGTGTGCAACTCTGGCGTGAGCTAGTTGCCACCCATCCAACATCATACACCCCAGATTTGGCTGGAGCGCTCCAGAATCTTAAAGTATCACTCGACAATGTTGGACGCCATTCCGAGGCACTCATGGTGATTGAAGAAAGTGTGAAACTCTGCCGCGAGCTGGTTGCCACCCATCCAACATCATACACCCCAGATTTGGCTCAAGCGCTCCGGAATCTTAAAGTATCACTCGACAAAGTTGGACACCATTCCGAGGCACTCATGGTGATCGAAGAAAGCGTGCAACTCTGGCGCGAGCTGGATGCCACCCATCCAACATCGTACACCCCAGATTTGGCTCAAGCACTCCGGAATCTTCAAGTATCACTCAACAAAGTTGGCCGCCATTCCGAGGCACTTACAGTGATTGAAGAAAGTGTGCAACTCTGGCGCGAGCTAGTTGCCACTCATCCAACATCATACACCCCGGATTTGGCTGGAGCGCTTGGGAATCTAGATGCATCCCTCACCAACCTTGGAAGACATTCTGAGGCACTCCTTGTGAATGAAGAGAGTGTGAAGCTCTGGCGCAAGTTGGTTGCCACCCATCCAGCATCATACACCCCAGATTTGGCTCGATCTCTCCGGAATCTTAAAGTATCACTAGACAAAGTTGGACGCCATTCCGAGGCGCTCACGGTGATCAAAGAAAGTGTGCAACTCTCACGCGAGCTAGTTGCTGCCCATCCAACCCCATACATCCCAGATTTGGCTCGAGCGCTTGGGAGTCTAGATGCATCACTTACCAACCTTGGACAACATTCTGAGGCACTCCTTGCAAATGAAGAAAGCGTGAAGCTCTGGCGCGAGCTAGTTGCCACCCATCCGGCGTCATACACCCCAGATTTGGCTCGAGCGCTCGGGAATCTTGTAATATCTCTTGACAATCTTGGACGCCGTTCTGAGGCGCTCCTCGTAAGTGAAGAAAGGCTCAGACTCCTGCACCAGTAGTTATCATTTATCTGATATCATCCACTCCGGGTTCGACATGATCAGTCTGCAGTCTCGCTACCGTGTGTTTTTGGCGTAGCCTTGGTAATGTAGACTCCACCTGTTTTCATGCCTAGGGCCGCGGGTCAGGAGCCAATATTATACTATCACTGACTTCATTCCCAATCCTCTGATGCTTGTACATGTCTTGGAAGATGCAAGAAGCGAGCATGTCGTCAACCCCATGTAAGCGTCCGGAGTTATATGTATATCACGCGGCGTGTCCGGGACAATCACCCAGTTTGAATACCGGTCCACAAGGCTGAACTCTGCTTCACCATCGTTATATCCCCATCATCCCTCCCCGAGACATACGGAAACATACTTGATCGGCCAGAAAGCCGACAATCATTCACTGCGTTGAGTGGAATTGGAAAAGCCAAGTTGGCAAGCACTTGTCCTGCCGCGAAAGAGAATATTGTCAAGGCCAACAAGTATGTACAGACAGCTGCATTGCCTAGTCGTGACGTGAGGCGTTATGACAGTAGTCCATATTGCTATCATTCTTGTCCACTTCATACTCCATATCTGTATCAATTATGTAGGACTTCGGTCTCGACTCCTTGCACATCTTATGCCGCATCTATTCTCGTAACTACCTTCCGCTGCGAGAACAGGGGACTCTAGCCTTACTCAACCGATAGCGTTTTCGCGATGACGGTATAACCCTGAGAGGGCTGTGCATGTCTGCGTGTGTCTGCGCGGCGTCTCCACGGTTGACACAAGCATCGGTCCAGAGGCCATGTGAAATTTGTGGGGCAAGGCTCATCTTGTGTGACCTCAATGTGATGTCATTGCTGGCCATTCAAAGTCGGACTAAGCGAACATCAGTTCAGCAAAACCACGAGATTACGCTTTCGCTCTCTATCATTACATTTCCCGGGACTACTTCATCCAAGAATGGCCATCCAGGATTTCATCGGAGTCACAAACGCATGTTTAGGAAGGAAAGGGAATGTCTCAGCACGGAGGAAGGGCATAAGATTGGCGGAGCTGCCCAGAGGGAGGCCGTTGGTTTTTGCGATCCTAAAGGTAAATATAAATCATTGGAGGAAACGAGAACCGCCTGTTCATGTACGCTACTCGTTCCAGCCATGAAGCATGGGGTTTCGCCAAGATTCCTTGCGGCTGGAATTCAAAGCAGTGTCGACGTGCACTCAACTTTGTGCACAAACACGCCGGCTCGGCCAGTGGATGGTCGGAGCCGAAAACCATCCATTTGATCGATCATCAGTGTGTGAGATGACTCAGGAGTCTAATAATCATCACCGAGGGCGCTTGTCTCATTATCGAGGAACCTGACCGGGGTCGATTTGAAATGAGTTGATTCTCATGCTGCTTTCGCGAGGTTCACAAGTAATGAAGTGCACTTTCTAATGAGCACCGATCTGGAGAGCGCACTGCCGATTCCCGGATCCGGAAACCAACAACTCGGCGAGCTTGGCATTTTCTTCCTTGATAGCCTCGTGAGTAATACATATTTCGCTTTCGCTTTCGCTTTCGCGTGTCGAAAAATTTCCGGGAGAAGCGCCGTCCTGAGTAGTGTACAGCGCACTCTCAACTAACCCGCAGACAAGTAATAACTAGTATAGTGAGGGTCAGCAACCGCCCATGCTCTCACTCACGCTTTTGGAGCTAACTTGCGTGAGTTGCAGTGTCAACGTATTTCCCTTTCGAACTTCTTCATTGGTACATCGGAGCGGCTTTGGGTTTCATTTGGGGGCAGTTGCATCATTTGAAGACAACATGCCCAGCGTTACCCGTGAGTACATGAGTCAGCGAAAGAACAGTGTATAATGTTGCGCGAAATGGGCGACTACACATCGCAAGACGGGGAAAAGGACACATAATTCGAGTACCGAGGCGCCAGATGCAGAAGGCAGAATCCAGTGCGATTAACGTATGAGCCCCGAGACGAAGTCCCGGACTGGGAGAATCACCAAGACGAGTAAGTAGGTTCTAAGTGGTCCATCAGTAGTGCTACACATGTGTCGTTCGATCTCACGAATATTCCGTGCAAGCATGCGATATGCGTCAGTGTGGAACTGCATCGAGAGCCTTCTGACAAGAAGCGTTCATATGGTGAAATGTTTGGAGGAAATTGATCTGTTAGGAGAGGAAACACGGTGTTGGGTTCTTGGATGTGACAATAATGCCTCTTGGAGAAACTTCTCTCCGAGGAAGTTTACAGATCGCCCAGTGTATTACTTGCGGTTGTTCCAAATAATCGCGCAACAACAAAGAAGACTCAACGGCCTGATAAGGTCGTAAAAAAAGGGCGAGAGCTATGAGCAACCTAGCGAGACGACTACAGGGATGCAAGGCACAAGGGATGGCCGCACGCCGATGGATCAGTGTAGGTTGAACACAAAATTTGAAAGCGGCGTTCGCCGAGGGCTGGCATTCAGAATGCCGCGCGCAGGCAGTAACTGTTTTGTCATGCCTAATTATCTCTGCAGACTTCAAGGTTCCATCAGTTAGAATGAAAGCTCACTTCACATCCAAAGATTTTTGTTGCTAATGACTTATCTATTTGTTTGAAGTGTTGACCCCTGGACCTGGACTCAACGCTGGCAATCCGGCCTAGACTAGAACGCAACAGTGCAACCAATCGCAGCGGCCCATACTGTATGCGCTATGGGATTCTGGAAGCCTTGATGTCCTGGCTATATATAGGCTGAGTCTTCCTGCTCCGGCTCCAAACGTTGGGATCATCGAGCCAATTTGTCGAATTAGCCTGATTTGTTCGACAGCCCCTAGTGCCCTTCTCAGCCACACGCCTCTCTCACCCTTTCTATCCAGCATATTAGACGCCTGTACCCCTTGTCGCTCATTGTAGTATCAATCCAGACCCCAATGTTATCACCGTACTATTGGGCCACATCACCTACTCACCGTAATTGATGGTAGATCAATCAGAGCCACATTGCGCGCCTTCGGCCGAAGCTCTTATGCTGTCGACGTCTGAATCCTGCCAACAGACTTGAGGAGTTAGGATCGCGCGCCTCGAAGTACGCATTTGCGTCTACTTACCCCTTCAGCTGACGTTATGCGATTAACACGAACCTTTGGGTTCTTCGAGCATACCAGTGCGTGACGATACGCGCTGAAATTCGCTGGGCATCAACACGCAACGAAATCTTGGCTAAAAAGAGGTCGAGAACTTGACGGTATCAATTCAAATACCAAACGATGGAGGAAATACATACCTTGTAAACGTTTTTTCATCGCTCCTGTCTAATTCTTCTATCCAACATCACATCTTTGGGTTCATGAATTGCCACTCGGCTTGATTATACATGGGAGACCTTACAAGCCAGACATCGCGTGCGCGCTCCTACTCTACTGCTGATCTGAAAGATAGTACTGGGTGTTAGGAGGAAATCAGTCGAGTGAAGACGTTTTGACAAGGTGAATTGTTCTGTCTTGCTCAGCTCATTTACTTCACGGACTTGGAACGCCCAGTCCTGATTTTCTGGATTTCGAGTGGCAAGAAACAACCATTCCGGGGTTCGTGATCTGGACAAATAAATCCATTCAAGCGGCATGCCTCACACCACACGCCACACGCCAGCCCAGGATCGTGTGAGCAGCACCAGTTGGTGTGGCAGAAAATAAATTGCACGATGAGATTCGAAGGATGTTGACCTAGCCACTGTAGTTAGCTCGCCGAAGGATGGCCTCACCTGGGTCGCTTCGAGATGGTAGCACAATAGCATTTGCATCCGAGGGTTCAACAACTTTCCTCACCGTAAGGATTTCTTGTTGTTGACTTCCTGAGCGTTCCCCTTCCCCTAAAATATTCCTTTCGATGGCGGTGATCGCCCCCCAGTAAGTCACACGCGTTCAAATACGATGATCAACGTGGTTGACGTGTGGACATTGGAATCACACTTTGCGTTGTGGGGTTCACCCTACTTACTCTTGTCTCCGGCGCCTCCGCGGCACTGTGGACTATAAGCTTCTCAGGGAAGCATCGTCCCGCTCTGCGGGGCTTACTGATCCTTGTTGTACTACTCGTACCATTACACCTGGCACAAATTGGTGAGTTCCATAACCAGGATCACACCAGCCGATATACATTTGTTCCCACATAGTTACTGGGACCCTTCTAATTATCCAACATATCAGTATGCTGTTGTACCAGAATATTGAGGCTCTGATCATTGCCTCGACCTATCTTCCAGGACATTTATTCAACGAACTAACGCTGCAAGGTTGTGTTATTTTACTCTCTGTTCCGACAATCAGCGCTCTCCACCGTGAGTAGTATAATTCTGACAATTGACTGTGTTCCCACTCTGATTGTGCTTGCCTCCAGTATTCCTGGGCTTTAGGCAAGGTCTTCGCCATTCCATCACCCACCCTAGTGTCTAACGCCTCTATGGTCAGAGCCTTACGGTCTACCTGTAAATGCGTGAGCTGCTGCCGTTTGACTCGCCCAGTTGTGTTATTTTGTTGGGTCTTCACAATTTTCCTCTGTGCAGCTGAGTCCAGCGCTATTGTGTCTCACACGTTTCCTTCATTTAACATCTTCAACAGCACTGTCTATTTACGAAGTAATTTTAGCGAAGCAGGGGCCATAAGTTCTTGCTGCTCTTTGCTCATCGTGGCGATCTCATACTACAGTTTCCGTTCCATCCCATCAGTTCACACGATCTCCGATGAAATCTCGTAATGGCGACGGCCATGTTCACTGACACCGTCTGCCTGCTCATGGATTTCGCTACCACTTTCTTCCTCCTCTGGCATGTAGATCAATGGCGAATTCTCAGCAGAGGGCTGCGACGATCATCGTGTGATGACGCGTTGAAGCAAACATTGTTCAAATGGAGGCAGCGTTGTGTACGTAAAGGCTCATACTTGTCAAACGCCACACCGTATTAAATAACTCTCAAGATTCTTGGTTTCCTCTTCGTTGTCCCAATACAACTCCCAAGAGGATTTCTCCTCTTTTGGGTGAGAGACATCATCCGACGAGAGCTCGCAGACCAGCTGATTTACCACTAGCCCAATCCACTTGTCATGGATTTGCTGTCGGTTCTGTCGGGACCAGTTAGTTTTCCTTTATGTTCAACATTTATACATGCGGAAATCTGATGTTGTCTGTGCAGATACATTATCTATCGTTTTTACTATTGGTTCTCCGCATCACTTCACGGGGCAGTTCCGACGAGGACATAGCCCTCGGTCCTATATTGCCACAGAGTGGGGATGCGGATGCCCCCGTTCAAGATTCTCCCGACGCGGTCAATCCCGACGAGTCCAATGTACATTTCTACTTGATGACTACCACTGGAGGGCCAACGACTGACTCGGACGCCCAGAACGGAGAAATCCTCACAACAAGGTCCCAGCACCTGAGAATCGGTTCGGTAAGCCTAGTGTCACCAAACCCTGCACTCATGGCCTCATCACCCATCATCCCGCCGCCAGACTTCTGAACCGTACCGTAGCTCATTAGAAGCAGGCAAGAACCCAGCGCATGTGCAGCCAGATGGCACGAACCAGCTCCTCGAGCCCCAATCGGCACGGAGCAAAGCAGTGGACTAATGAGCCACTCAACACAGTTCCAAGTCCGTCAAGGGGGTATAGCGCGCTGCACTCCTGCATATTTATACCGTGGAAGGGGTATTATCCATCATAAACTTCCCACTGCGCCGTTTTCGCGGCATACATTTGTTTATTCACTCCCATTGTCTCGTAGTCTCACGCATGAAACTGATATTTATCATCCCTTTGATTCCTGTTGCGAAATGTCTTGTTCACTGCTGAACATCCCTGAGATCGGGTGTAGAACTTACATGATCGATGAAACCCGGAACGGCCATGCATGCCTGCGCGGCGGGGAAAATTCACCAACAATCTGCCTCGCAAAATGTCATTCAGTGACCGCCAATTGATAGGATATCAGCAAGCCAGCGGTTGACACGAGGTGGATTGATTGCGATCGGCGTCTCATCCGATCGTTGGAAGTAAATTCAATGTAGCAGCGCAGGAATCATGTGAAGCTATCAGACTCATTGACCAAATGGTTCCGAAAAGTGAGACACTGTGGCCTGCATGTTCCTCTTCTTTGCTCAGCTGCACACCACCCGATACGGACTTGAACCACTTGCACCACCAATGATCTGTTACCTCATGGAACCCATTGCTCCATATGGCTTCAAGTGCTTCCTTGCCTGAAGAAGCTAGTGTTTCCCCGACATGCTGACGAGATTACTAACCTCCGTGGCCTCCGCCGTGAGGATGGTTCTTGCAGCCATTGCCTATGTATGTAGTGTTGCTGCTCACTCTGCATCACCAGCATTAGCCCGGATTCACGCTTTAGTAGAGGCTGGGATCCTGCCTGCGGATTCACTGAACTCAACGCAACACCCACGTGCTAACTCCAGCGGCCCATACCGCATAAAAGTTCATATCCGGGCTTGCGTCTCCGCACTTTAGTCCGAAACGTCGAATTAGCCCGATGATCCGACAATTCTCAACCACACCTCCCCTTGAGTCATTCCCATAAACACTTCCAATATAGCCTATCAGACATCTGTACAGCATCTGTCGTCCATCGTAGGAATTGGAAATCCATAGTGCGATGTTACCGCCATACCGTCCGGCTATATCACTACTCACTCTGACTGTGATGATAAATTAATCAGGACTACATTGCGCGCTTTCGGCAAGAGATGGGATGCCCTCTGTAATGCTACTAGTATCAACGTCTGAATCCTGCCAACAAACTGAGAGTTGGCAGCATCTGCTCGTGGGTCGCTCGTCGAAGTAACTCTTGGGCCTGCTTACCTCTCTGGCGTTGTCCGAAATGTTCATTATGCTCATGGAAAAATGCCAGCGTGGTCCTTGACTGCCTAGAGCATACCAGTGTGATGCGATACAGGCTAGAATGCATGGGTGTCAACACGAAATCTTGGCTAAAGAGGCTGAAACTCGACGCTACCAATCCAAATAATGGAGGAAATGGATACCTTGCGAATGTTTTCATCCGAGTCGCTCCTGTTCAATTTTTTCTATCCAATATCTGGGTCCCTGAGTGCCGCTCACCTTGACTATCCATGGGAGATCTACCGGCCGGATATCGCGTGTGCGCTCCCAAGCCCTGCTACTAAATTCGGGAGATCATTCTATCTTCCAGAAGCGACCCAAGTCAAGCGTCCTTCGGTGAGCTAATTACAGTGGCTAGGTCGACATCCTTCGAATTTCATCACATCACGCAATCCCCTGTTTGTCACACCAACCGGCGCTGCTCACACGATCCTGGGCTGCGTTGTGGCGCGTGGCGCGTGGCATGCCGCTTGAATGGGTTGTTTCTTCCACTGGACATCCGAAAAATCAGGACTGGACGTTCCAAGTCCGAAGTAGATGAGTTGCGGGAGAATAGGTGTGATTCACTTTGCCAAAACAAACATCTTTACTCGTCGGATTTCCTCCCGTAACACTTGCACCTGAGGGCTCAAAACGTTGCTCACCGTGTTCGCCTTGAGGATTCCTTGTTGCTGACTTCCTGAGTGTTCCCTCCCCCTGCAATACTCCTCTCGATGGCGATGACGGCGGCCCACTGAATCACACACGTTCAATACGATGATCAACATGTACCCAGACATGACTTAAGCCCAGACACCACGATCCAGAGGACCCCGTCACACCGACCACACCGACCAAACAACCCTATCTTGTATTGACGAGCCTCTCATTGGGCTTCTCTCCAAAGCATCAATATCTCAGTATGCTGTTGTACCAGAATATTGTGGTTCCGGTCATGGCCCAGGCTACTCGGCCAACGAAGTGACACCGAAGATGCTGCGAAGCTGCCTCATCTATCTCGATCAGCATATTTCATTGTGAGCAGTATGATTTCAACAATTGACTGCATTCCCACTCTGGGTGCCTTTGCTTTTAGTATTCCTGGGATAGAGGTAAGCTCCCATTGTTCCGATGCCCTCGATGGTCAGAGCCTTGAGATCAACTTGCATATGCCCGCCCTTGCCACCGAACAATACGACCAATTGTATTGTTCCGTTGGGTGGTTCTCTCTGCAGCTGAATCCGGTGTGGGTATTCTGTGTCTCGCATATCTTCTTTGCTCAACCCGCATTGTCTGTTTATGGGGAAACCTCACAGTCAAGGGCTTCCTGTGTTCATCATGGCGGTCTCATGCTGGAGTTCCGTCTCTTCTCTGTCAGCTTGCGTGATCGATCTCCTACCGATATCCCGCCAAAATGGGGATGTAGCCCTCGTCCGCGGATCTTCCTTTCCAGCCGATTCTGAGGTCTTCGATGTACGCTTTATTCTTAATGACTTACAACCGACTTCAACGTCTTCAATTACTGCGCTCCCGCATCGTCTGATCTCCCCATTCATCTCGCCACCAAACTTCCGAACCGACAGGCAACTCTCGCGTGAGCACCAGCGCGTGTGCAGCTGGCGATGGTTCCATCCCATCTGGCTCCTCGAGCTCTCAATCAGCACGGAGTACCAGAATGGCGGACTCAACGCAACTCCGAGTCCGTCAGGACGTTATAGCGCGGCTGCACTCTTCCTGTGTATATTTATACCTTGGAAAGGCATCAACTATTAGACACAGAATATGGTGCTTCCCTGCGCCGTCCTTGCGCCGTTTTCGCGGCATTCATTCATCATTTCCCATGGTTTCACGCATGAAACCAATATTTAGTTCTTCTCGTTTGCTTCTAACTCCTATTAATGCGAAATGCGTTGTTCGCTGCTGACCATGAATGGGACCTGATGTGGAACTCACACTATTGATGAGGTGGGCCCTGCCACGGATCCGGATCGATCGCTGCGCAAATGTTCGTCTGTCAACATGATACGGAGGAATTTTTAATGGCCATTCCCCAACAGTTGTCGTCCAGATTAATGCTGGAAGGATTCAGTCGCCGTCAATTATGACATATCGGCGGACTAGCGGTAGGCACAATAGCGTATGGTTGGGATCGGCAGCACTCTGATCTGATCGTTGGGAGGACACAAGAATCGGGTACAGCTACCAGAAAATCGTGCATCAGCCTCTCCCGGTTTCGAAAGTGAGACACTGGCGAATGTGGACTCCGTTCTCGCGAACTGCGCGATAAACTTGGATCAATGCGCTCGCTTACACCATCAATGATTGCACGAACAGCCTGAAGTTCACAAGTGAAAAAAATTGACCCACTTGTTTCAGCCCTAGGCAGGATCCCATGCAGCCTCTACTCAAGTAGATTTCAGCCCCTGCCTCGCGGCATCCGTCCATGCTCCATCTAGCCCCAAGTGTTAGAGGAAATAGCTTCCTCGTATCGACTCTTCAGAAGAACCCAGCTTTTTCGACTACCCCGTTCGTGAAGCAATTCCAGCTGAGCCTCTCCGTCCCACGATATCACCGTCTGGTCGTCCTGCGGTGGTCATCATCGATGTGTTAGATGAATGCGACACAGAAGCGTTCCCCGTCTTGCCGATATACTTCGAAAAGAAAATTACTGTCTAACATCAAACTCTTTGTCACTTCGAGACAGTTGATCCCGCTGACCGATTCCTATCACCCATCTACCCTATTGATAACCTCCCTATCGACCTTTCAGACGATACTAATGTCCATGACTACGCTATCTACATCCGTTCGCAACTACGCGAACTGAAGGATGCACATCCTGGTTTGGAAGGTCAAATCGAGGACGAGGATAAATTGGTCCAAAGCATATTGGAGTGCGACTTGTTCATTTGGATCAGTAAACGTCTTTCGCTACGTGAAAGTTGCCAGCGGCGATCCTACTACAACGCTAAAGAACCTCCTCAATCCCAGCATCGACCGATTGAAGGTCTCTGCTGAGAAAATGATGGGTGCGCTATATACGAGCATCTTAGAGAAGTGCGATTCCGTCACCGCTCCTGAAATCATCCGTCCAGTAAATGTTGGCTGAACTTGCACCCCTCACCTCAGGAGTCGAGGAGTCAGAGAAACCGCCTTGTATTGTGCATCGATCTTTTCGCGACTTTCTCATGGACCGAATTGATCCACAATCACCCACCCAAGATCTTTTCACTGTGAAGGATTTAGAGCTGACTGAGGGGCTTTTCTTCCCACACTTCAAATTGTCACCCATTCCTCACGAGGCGCTGCCGGAACACGTCCATTATGCATGTTGCCATCTCGTCTATCATCTCACCCAAGTTCGGAAGCCACTGGAGGCACCCAATAGGTCTGTTAACATATTTCTCAACGAGCAAATAATGTACTGGGTGGAAGGTTGCATCAGCATATCATCGTTCCATGAATGGGCCAAGGTACGAATCATCAGTAGCGTTCATTTGGGGTTCTTATTCAGATTCATGTTCCTTCAGTTGAGCGTTGATTGGACCGCCAAAGATGTCATTCACATGCCGGTCGAAGTGCTTAGCAACGTGAGCGGAGATCTTGGGTTCTTTTCGAGATTGCAGGAGGCGTATGAGTCGGCAGATGATTCGGTTTCGTTGTGCCGTCACCTTACGTCTGAGGACCCAATGTCCTTATACACCCCTGATTTGGGTCGAGCGCTCAGGTCTCTTTTCGTAACACTCAACAATCTCAGGCGGCATCCCGGGGCGCTCGCAGTGATCAAGGAAATTGTCAAACTCTGGCGCAAGCTAGTTGCTTTCTATCCAATCTCACACCCAGGATTTGGCTCGAGCACTTGGGAATCCTTTTGCGCCACTTGAAAAACTCGGACAGCATTCCGATGCGCTTCCAGCGATTGAAGAAAGTGTCAAGCTCCGGCGCGAGCTAGTTGCCGTCCATCCGACACAGTACACCCCAAGTTTGGCTCGAGCGCTTGGGAATCTTTTTGGCTGAAACACCCCTAAAGCAGAAGGATGCAACGTCTCATCTTGCCAAGTAATATTTTTAAGACAAAATCTTACTCTTTCCTTCACCCAACGCTGTCCATCCGTGATCATGACTCGGGTGGGTGTGCGTGCCTCACCTTTCTTTTTTTTCTCAGAAGGCCTGATGACAATTCCATTACGATAGGCCGGATTGATGACTAATAATCCTGTGATTGACTCTTGCAGAAAGGGGGCATCGCTAGATCCAGTGAGTTGTGAAACATTTATACCCAGTCCTGCGGTGGCGTTACAATATAATCTTACGATCGTTAGCTATCGATTTTACGGCCCTGTGCGCTTTCACACCACCCTCCCACCCAATCGCTACTCCTCACTCACATGGAAGACGAACTTGACACGCTTCGCCGTAATGGCCGATCGAATCCTGATTATTCCGTCTTCATCCTTTTCTCATCACGTCGAACCCTAAAGATATACTTCAATCAAGTTTTTGATATTACTTCGCTTGGTGCCACCTCACTGAAATGGCATATACTGGACTAGTCGGAGGCGAAGACGCCGGAATCAGAGCACGTCGACGTCATGGGCTGTTGGTCAACGGATATCTGGCTAATTACTTGTGCGCAAAATCAAGAAACAAGGCACGCCCAAGCAAATGAAGCAGCTTTACGGATGTCCTGTCCACCGGTGAGTTCACTGGTTGCACCGTGATATGTGGATTAAAATCCCTTTTATACAATCACATCATGCAGACTCATTCGAGCCTCCCGGGGGGGGGGGTTCCCCGGACATCTATATCTGGTGCATAATCTGGGCTTCGGTAACGCGATGACTAATTTGAATGTTGTTTAGGTCTTATGTATTCACAAGGCACGTTTGAGGATGAGAGGCGCATCGCATGATTCGCTAAAATCATGAACTTTTTACGAGAGGTCGGTCCACTTGGCATTTGAACGAACGTCACAAACTTCGTTGTTTTAGCATCTGCTCCCATAACAGCATCTCATCCGTATGACCTACATTTTCTATGCAGGGTTGGCGTTTGTGGAGGTCTTGAATGGAGTTAGAGTCCTGGATGACGAAACGTGGCGCGACATGAACACCTCAACAAGCCGTTACTTTAAGCCGCTAGGAACTTAGTTTCACGTAACTACTCTCTGCCTAGTTCATTGCGGTTCACATTCGCTGTCAAGACTCTAAGTCATGGTGTGGAGACCGTCCAACCGACGAGTGCCTTGCTCCCCCACAGCGTACCATAGACGCGTTCAAAGGAGCTGCTGACGAAGAAAGGTGCTCGCGTCGAACATGTGGTATTTTCAGGTGACTCGATTCGGTGTTGGACAGAAGTGGAGTCATTGGCATCTTGCCTTTGAGGATGATGATGCCGAAGTGGACTCGAGACGAGCTTTGGGATCGTAGGTGATTCTACTTCTTTCATTTCCCCCCCTTTTTAGATGGACATCTAACATTATGGATGCTGTCACACAAGCACTCGCCGTCGGCTCTGTAAGCACGGACCTCTCAACTTTCAGCCCACCGCCAATGCATCGCGTAGAAAGATAGAATGGTGGGGTGACCCGGAATGTGAAATGGGGCAAGACGAGTCTTAATTTGAACACACGTTCTACGGAAATGGGATGTGACTCCTTTTCCTTTTCCTTTTTTCCTTTTGGTTGTAATTTCATATCATGGGCTTTCCAGAAATTGGAGAGTGGTGATTTTTACTATTGACGAGCTGCCTTTGAACTGAGTGTGGCAGATCGCTCCATTGCCCTGAGAGGGCTTCGCCTGTGTGCATATATGTCCACGCGACGTTTGAATGTTGAAGGTTGGACACAAGCATCGGCCCAGAGGCCGTGAGCACAGTGGCAACGGGAATATCGATAAAGCGACTTGTCAATGGAGTATCTGGGACGAAGGAGGTCGGTTATTTCCTACTTTATTTTCATGTATCTATTTCGCAGAACACGCACGCACACACACGCACAGTGGAAGCCTCGCCTCGTCTTCGTTGTATGGCTTCAACGTGATGTAATTATCCGAGTCGCGATATATCCAAAGCCGGACTGCGAAGGGGTTTAAGTTCGTCAAGTTCAATCAAAGTCCAATGAGATCGATTACGTTCGTCCGATCATGATTTCATCGGGTGGACGAGGACGAGGAGCATCTTGACACGCGCGGAGGGAAAACGTAAGAAGGGAAGCAGTTGCTCAGAAGGATCTGCTTTAGTAGGGGCTGGGATCCTGCCTATCAGAGGGAGACAGTTGGTTCTGGCGATCCTGAAGGTAATATCATCGTTGGAGGAAAATGAAAGGATCTACCCTTTTGCACACTCGTGAATTAATTCGACTCGCTGACCCCGATCATTGCTGTTTTATGCCGATTTCGGCACGAGAAGAAGTGGTCATTAACGTGAACGTCGCGTAAATCCTGACATGCTACTATACTCCTGCATGCATCCGCTCAGCCTGTGATCCATCAGAGCGTATCATTTGATCTAAGGCGCCTGAGCATGGCTGCGAATTTAGGCGTAATCAACCACTGAGAAATTGTGTCGCTTGCGGCCCACATCTGCATGTCTGCGCAAGACAGGAGCGGATAGAAAAACTTTCCTTTGCAATGCAAGCCATTCCCAAGTGGTGTGAACACTCGAATGTTCTACAATTGCGTGTCGATGAAATTATCATTATAATTAACGGTGGACCCAACATATGCAGGAGTTGTTTTGAGCCGTGGGGATTGGGATCGAGCCAACGTGCTTGGGGATCCCCGTGGAAGAGACAGGAAGTAGCAGGATCCTATCGAGGAAGTACTTATGTTCTGCGAGGTTTCGGACTTAGAGAATAATGAAAGAAGCTTCGAGGGTGATAGATATTGACGTAACATGTCATACAACCAGAGCGTTTTGGGATGTGACAGAGAGCTTGCGTCGTCGGGGGTTCTTAGGTTAGACTACGGCATGGTTGATAGTTGTTTTGTATTTGTAAAGTGAGATATTCGCTTGTTGCATATGATCATGATAGGGCTTCCACGGGTTTCACTGAGCTGGATCACCGAAAATCCGGAGCAGTGCAGCCCCATTCGGACCCTCATCTGTCCTGCTGTATTCTTCATCTCATCGTCGTTTCGTGGTGAGCCCATAGACAAAATTTTCGGCAGCGAGGTTCGGCCTCTGGAGGTGTGTTCAAATTCAGTGCAACCAACTTGAGATCCACACGTAAGAGTCCTGATCAGAGAATAAGCTCTCAAATTCATCTACTTGTGTCAGGCCTGCCTGCTTCATCCGGGTCACAGTGACACGGCAAAGTCGTTAGCTGCGGTGGTAGTGCTAATCCTCCCCTTCTTGTGCGCATCACCATACACTTTTGCGAACATGCAGCAGTCCATGTGCGCTTGGGGCTGGCCTTCCTGCAAGACCGAAGAATATCCGCTCCTGTTGCCGAACTTTACACCAAATCTCCCGTAGCGAACCTAGAGTAGAACCAAGGTAAATGGATGTAAGCGGCCAGGATCGATTTCTCAATTGGTTCTGCATAAGAGGATGGAATCTGCCGCGATCTCATGGCCGTGAACTGCGCAGCCTCTACTTGAGCGTCACCATTCGCTGCGCAACCGACCCTTTCTCCCACCCATTATTGACCATGTCGCTGAAGGAGAGGGTCAATAATCTCCTCGCCGTGGGAGGCGATGTTGCAATTCCGGTTCTCACCGCCGTCAATACTGCGTCGGGCGTGTTCCCCCCCTACAGGCTGCCACCAATGCCGCACTCCTCATCCTCACTGAAATCAGAGTTCGTAGTAATTTATATCAATCCTGGAATGGAAGTTGACAATCTGCATTGTGTAGAACTTCAGGGGAAATAAGGGAGAATTGGAGCATTTTGGAAAATATATCGGGGACGCCATGATCAATGTGGTTGCAGCCATCGGTTCGTATGATGAATCTAATGAAAAACCCAAGTCGTGGGTTGAAAGCGTCAAGAAGCTGAGCGAGTAAGTAGTATCTGCTCTACGCAAGCCACTGCGGCTATATAACATAAGTAATTTGTAGGGCACTGGAGCGCGTTCAAATTGAAGTCCGTCGATTGGGTGGAAAGATGGAAAGACAGTCTGGTATCCGCAACTTCTTCTCCCATATGAAGAACCCCAGCAGGCTCGAGGATTTAAAGAAAGATTTTGGCGAAGCCTTGGCAATGTTCCAGGTAGTTCCGTTTGATCCCCGGTCATGTTTCTGTTCTGATCTCATTATCGTAGCTGGAGTCAGACTTGATGCTTGGTGCAATAGCAAACAATCAAGTTCTAAATGAACTTAAATATCCCATTGTTCCCCATCACGATTCAACTCAACCGTGCCTGCCAGACACTAGGATTGATCTGATCGAACATATTATGACGTGGTGTCGTACCACGGAGGATAGCAAGAATCGTGTATTACTGCTAACCGCTGTGGCTGGTGCGGGCAAGACATCTGTTGCGCTCTCAATCGCAGCGGAGTGTAAAAGAGAAAATATATCATCATCAAACTTCTTTTTCAAAGCAGGCGAGCAGTCGCGGCCGGACCATCTCTTCAGCGGCATGGCTCGATCTCTGGCAACCAATGACGCTGCATACCGTGCCTCCCTCATATCCGCTCTTCAGAAGGACCCAGCCCTCTCGACTGCCCAATTCGCGATGCAATTTGAGAAACTAGTGGCTGAACCTCTCCGTTCCAGGACATCCTCGTCTGACCGTCCTATGGTGATTATTATTGATGCGTTAGATGAGTGCGACACAAAGTCATTCCCACGTCTTGCCGATATACTTCGGAAAGCAGTCCCAAAACTACCACCTAACATCAAATTCTTTCTCACTTCGAGACAATTTGACCTCGTTGATCGTTTCCTATCACCTAATTACCCTATCGATCGCCTCACCATCGATCTTTCAGATGATGCTAATATGCATGACTGTTCTATCTACATCCGATCACAACTACACGAACTGAAGGATGTGCATCCTGGTTTGGAAGATGGAATCGGGGAAGAAGATGCATTAGTCCAAAGCATACGGGAGCGAGCGAGCGGCTTGTTCATTTGGATCAGTACTGTCTTTGATTACATGAAGGTCAGCGGCAGTGATGCTGCGAAGATGCTGAAGAAATTGCTGGATGAAGATCTCAACCGATCAAAGGCGTCCGCTGAGGAAATGATGGATAGGCTGTATGCGAGTATTTTGGAGAAATGTAACTGGAAGGATGACGATTTCGTGCATGACTACCCGATCGTGATGGGAGCGATTCTAATCGCACAGAAGCCACCATCTGTTACGGCCTGGGGTGCTATTCTCTCACCACTGCTGGAGTCGGACATCCGATATACATTAGCTCAGCTTGCACCTCTCGTCTCAGGAGTAAGGGATCCTGACAAGCCAATTCGTATTCTGCACCAATCCGTTCGTGACTTTCTCACGGGCCGAGTCAATCCACAATCGCCCATACTTGGTCGATTTGGAGTGGATGCGAGGAGGGAGAATGACAGAGTGGCCCTGCGCTGCATCGAAATCTTGAATAAAGATCTTCCCACTATGAAGGATTTAGGGCTGATTGAGGACTTATCCAAAAAAGCTAAGCTGCCACCCATTCCTCAAGAGGTGCTGTCCGAACATGTCCATTATGCATGTCGGCATTTCGTCCATCATCTCAGCCAATTTCAGGAGCCACTGGAGGCACCCAATGGGCCTATTCATGCATTCCTTAATGAGCAAATGTCGCGCTGGGTGGAAGTCTGTGTGAGGACGGAAAGGTATATTAGTATATCATTGTTCCCTGAATGGGCCAAGGTATGAATCATCAGTAGTGATCATTTGAGGCTCTTGCTCAGTTTCATGTTCCATTCAGTTGAACGTTGATCGGACCTCCGAAGAAGTCATTCACGAGTTGGTCAAAGTGTTACGCAATGTAAGGAGAAATCTTGCATTCTTTTTAAGATTGCAGGAGGCATATGAGATGGCAAGTGATTCAGTTGCACTATGCCGTTGCCTTGTGTCTGCGGACCCAGAGTTCTACACCCCAGATCTGGCTCAAGCACTCGGGAGTTTAGATGCATCGCTCACCAACCTTGGACAACATTCTGAGGCACTCCTTGTGAATGAAGAAAGTGTGAAGCTCTGGCGTGAGCTAGTTGCCACCCATCCAGCATCATACACCCCGGATTTAGCTCGAGCGCTTGGGAGTCTAGATACATCGCTTACAAACCTTGGACGACATTCTGAGGCACTCCTTGTGAATGAAGAAAGTGTGAAGCTCTGGCGCGAGCTAGTTACCACCTATCCAGCATCATACACTTCGGATTTGGCTGGAGCACTCTGGAATCTTTTTGTATCACTTGAAAAAGTTGGACGCAATTCCGAGGCACTCATGGTGATCAAAGAAAGTGTGGAACTCTGGCGTGAGCTCGTTGCCACTCATCCAACATCATACACCCCAGATTTGGCTGGAGCACTCCAGAATCTTTCTGTATCACTCAGCAAAGTCGGACACCACCCCGAGGCGCTTACTGTGATTGAAGAAAGTGTGCAGCTCTGGCACGAGCTGGTTGCCACCCACCCAACATCATACACCCCGGGTTTGGCTCAAGCGCTTGGGAGTCTAGACACATCACTCACCAACCTTGGACGACATTCTGAGGCACTCCTTGTGAATGAAGAAAGTGTTAAGCTTTGGCGCGAGCTAGTTGCCACCCATCCAACATCATACACCCCAGGTTTGGCTGGAGCACTCCGGAAGCTTAACGCATCACTTGACAAAGTTGGACGCCATTCCGAGGCACTCACTGTGATTGAAGAAAGTGTGCAGCTCTCGCGCAAGCTGGTTTCCACCCATCCAGCATCATACACCCCAGATTTGGCTCGAGCGCTCCGGCATCTTAAAGCATCACTTGAAAAAGTTGGACGCTATTCCGAGGCGCTCACGGTGATCGAAGAAGGTGTGAAACTCTGGCGTGAGCTTGTTGCCACCCATCCAACATCATACACTCCAGATTTGGCTGGAGCGCTCCAGAGTCTTAAAATATCACTCAACAAAAGTGGACGCCATTCCGAGGCGCTCACTGTGATTGAAGAAAGTGTGGAACTCTGGCGTCAGCTAGTTGCCACCCATCCAACATCATACACCCCGGGTTTGGCTCAAGCGCTCCGGAGTCTTTTTGTATCACTCGACAAAGTTGGGCGCCATTCCGAGGCGCTCACAGCGATGGAAGAAAGTGTGAAACTCTGGCATGAACTCGTTACCGCCCATCCAACATCATACACCCCGGATTTGGCTGGAGCGCTCCGGAATCTTTCTGTATCACTCAACAAAGTTGGACGCCATTCCGAGGCGCTCATTGTGATCGAAGAAAGTGTGCAGCTCTGGCGCAAGCTGGTTGCCGCCCATCCAACATCATACACCCGGGATTTGGCTCGAGCGCTTGGAAGTCTAGATGCATCGCTCACCAACCTTGGACGACATTCTGAGGCACTCCTTGTGAATGAAGAACGTGTGAAGCTCTGGCGTGAGCTAGTTGCCATTGAACCGACATCGCACACCCCGGATTTCGCTCGAGCGCTCGAGAGTCTTGAAATATTACTTGACGATCTTGGACGCTGTTCCGAGGCGCTCCTCATAAATGAAGAAAGGCTCAGACTCCTGTGCCAGTAGTTGTCATTTATCTGATATCATCCACTCCGGGTTCGGCACGATCATTCTGCAACCTCCCCAGCTCGTGCGGGGCTCCAAGGCCCTAACTTTCACTGAAGATTACATTGCTATTTGTCGTTCGCTCTGTGTTACTCACCCGCCATCGTGTGTTTTTGGTGTGGCCTTCGTAATGCAGACTCCCCGTTTTCATGCCTAGGGCGCTGTGTGGACGCACTTATGTAGGTCAAGAGCCATTATCCTACTATCACTACCTTCATTCCCAACACTCTGATGCCTATGCACACAAGTCTTAACTATGATATTCCTGCGTTGCCCATGCACCACATCCATATGTGTCTTGGAAGACGCAAGAAGCAAGCATGTCATCAGTCCCATGCAAGCGTCCGGAGCAATATGTATATCAGTTCGGGACAATCGTCCAAGTTCGAATACAGGCCCACAATGCTGAACTCTGCTTCACCATCGTCATATCCCCATCACTCCTCCCCGAGACGCACACTTGATCAGCCAGAAAACCCAAAATCATTCACCATGTCGAGCAGAACTGGGAGAGCCAAGTTAGCAAGCACTTGTCCTGCCGCGAAAAGGATTGTCAGGGCCAGTGTGTATAGAGAATTGCATTGCCTAGTCGTGATGTTAGCCCAGACATTTGGCAGCACTCCATATCTGTATGGATTATGTAGGACTTCGGTCTCCACATCTTATAGTCACATCGATTCTTGCAATTACCTTCCGCTGTGAAAACAGGGGACTCTAGCCTCACTCAACCGATAGGGTTTTCGCGATGACGACGCTATAATCCTGAGATGGCCAGTTCCATGTAGTTTGCATTGGTGAAGATGGCTGAGTCATCAACGTGGAAGGCGATAATGGAGTCCGCATGTTTGCGTATGTGTCTGCGTGGCATCTTCACGGCTAAAAATTGGACACATGCATCGGTCTGGGGCAGGGCTCGTCTTGTGCGATCCAATGTGATGTCATTGTTGACCATCTATCAACTCCAAAGACGGACTGAGCGGGTTAAGTAAACATCAGTTCATCAAAAGTCCAGGCGGGGGCTATGCCTTCGATCTACTACCATCACGCTTTCTGAAACTACTTCATCCAAGAATGGCCGTCCATGATTTCAGCGGAAACGCATGTTTCGTACGATTGTGGGAAGGGGAAGGAACGTCTCGGCACAGAAGAAACGAAAAACTTGGAGGACCGCCTGTTCCGCACCGGGAGGGTGAAGGATCCCCATGGCAGACAGAAAATGGGTATTCGTTCTCATCATACAATCATGAGTCATACTAGCCAGAGAGACACTAAGGCATGTTAGTTGGTGCGTGCGCTTGCCCGCGCGAGTCCATCTATATGATATCCACATAGCTGAGATGCAATAAGCAACAGATCGTAGTTAGCCGTGGAGAGGGCCGTATGAACGCAACTGCTTCGAAGAGACAAAATCAATCAAGATGTGGCTTCCATGGATTTCACCCAGCTAGAACGTCGGGCACGGAAGTTATCGAACATCGGGAGATGATCATGGAGATTTCTCCCAAATTTCTTGCGGCTAAACAGTGTTGACGTGCAGTCCACTTTGTGCAACCCAAAAAAAAAACCACGGCGGCTCGGCCGGTGGATGATGGTTGGCGTCGTTGAAGGCCGTCTAGTACATAGGTGCGCTTGCGGAAGGATTGCAGCACATAAGATTTTTTTTTAACGGTGACTTTCTTCCCCTGCCGTGATCGACGTATCGTTACCCCCGAAATATATGATGAATTACTAGTGTTCCAATCCTTTGCGAGCATCTAAATAATAAGTAATCATTTGAACCCGCATCTCCGGACTCACGGACTTGGACGTGTTATCATTTTATCCGATCACGTGTAGGATCCATCTGCAGGGATAGAAAAGGGAATCCCCACAGCTAACAGTCCGGGTTTACTCAGGCCTTTCCTCTTCATCACAGTCGAGGTTCCGCTTTTTGGTCTCTTCCTTACCATCGTCGTTATTCGTGGCGTCTTGCATCTGTGCTGGAACTCCTCGTTTGTTACCACGACTATAGACAGTTACATATATAACGTTATTCCGATTCCAAGTCGAATCAGCCAAAAGCCACATACACACGTACACCTACCTGCTCTCACTCGTCCTACACACAGATACGCGAGAGTGAAGAAGAGAGAGAGAGAGAGAGAGAGGGAAAACCAAAGATGAATGCGGAAGCTGCTGATGCTGTGTATCACTTCCTGGCTTCTAACGACCCACTGGCTCCTGCTGTAAGAGAAGCAGTCCAAGTGATCGAGAACGCTATCGACGAATTTGGGTATGTGATTTGCTATCGCTCCATCCGCGGGGTTTTTTGGGTTCATTGTGGCTAACAAGACATTCCGGATATCGTTTCCCCGTTGACCTTTGGATTTCCTATCGGAACTACTTTCCACCCCCCGGTGTATTATGGTGTGATAGAATTGAACATTTGGCGATTAGTTTCAATGGAGGGAAGGACTGTGCGTGGTTATACGTTTATCTTGCTGTATCCTATCTTTGGGTTTGAAAAAGTTGCACTAACGCAATACACCTCCTTCCTTCATTCTCGTCTTCGTGGCCGCCGCCTTGCTTCCTTGCCACCTCGTTCCGGACCGATATCTGTTACCTCATTTATCGATCCAGGCACCGTCCTTCTGCATCTTTACGCCGCTGTGCTCCTCCGTCGTGGACTTTACCATCATCGGAAGTACTCTAACCAGTTATCAAATTCATGCAACACCACCGCGGCTGCTCTCGCCACTAACCACAGCATCCCCAACGGTAATAATTGCACTTACGCGGCGTCCACAACTCCGTACTTGCATCATCATCCTCATCACCATCATTCGTTCTCTTCAGGTTTAGCCACATCTTCTTCCTCACCTTCCTCATCCACCACTTCCCTTGGTCACATTCCGATTCGCCCAATTCTCCATAATCTAGATACTAGCCGACCGCTCATACGTTCCTTGTACGTCATGTGTGAACAACCCTTTCAAGAAGTTGAGAATTTCGTTGAAGAATGCGTAGAGGCGTATGATATTGAACTCGTACGGATGGATGGGTCAATGAAGGATGCCCTTGCTACGTATCTTGGTACCAGTAGCGGTAGTGGTGGCGGCGCGGGTGCTAAGGCGCCAGGGAAGGGTGTAAAAGCTATGTTCATCGGCACGAGACGAAACGATCCTCATGGAGGTAAGTGGTGATCTAAATTAGCAAAAAATTGGTTCTAAAATCAAGTTCCTTTTTCGCTCTCGTTGGCTTTGCCTCCACCTTCACGTTCCTATCTATCGTGGCAACTCGCACTTTTTGGCATGGCCGGCCGTCCATCCGTATTATTTTTGGCGAACGCATTCCCAGCCAAGCTGAGTTTCGTGACTCCCACGGATCCAAGTTGGCCAGCACTCCAAAGGGTTCATCCTATCATTAATTGGACATATCATGATGTTTGGGCGTTCCTTCGGTATTTTGAGATACCGTATTGCTCATTGTACGACCTTGGGTACGTGCCGAATCCACTTTGAACTCGCGCGCAATGGGTTTATTTATTTGCCACAACATCATTAATTCGCTTGGATTGGGCAGGTATACATCATTAGGGTCGGTGTATAATACGTATCGGAATCCGGCGCTCCTTGTGAAGCGGGGGGACGGGGAGGGAGATGGGGCCCAAGGGGAGCCTTGGTCTGTTTATAGGCCCGCGTATGAACTAGTGGATGGGGAGCTGGAGAGGGCGGGGAGGGGGAGGGATGATCCTGCGAAGAGTGCGATGTTACCTCGGTTAATCACTGCATCGTCCACGTCCCCTAGTCCACCTTCGTCGACGCTGATGGAGAACACGTCCACTACTCGGGCGTTCCAAACAACTACAGCGATCGCAATTTGAGTTTGAGAAGTTAGGCCCCCTCATTCGGCTTGTATTCCAACCACCCATTTACACTGTATAGACGCACGCATTGACGTTTGTTTTGTCTTGTTGTCTCACTTTTCGGGCTCGGCATGTATGTAGAGTTAGCTTATATAGCTAGTTAGAGCCACTTAATTCCTTGCTCGCTTGCTTGTACATGTGGAAAAAAGAGTTCGTACATTGACGAGCCTTGACTTGTATAGATTGTGTACGTGGCCAAAACAATCCATCTTCCGCGGTTAGAAGCGCACGTCGTGTTTTTTTGCAAGTGAGTGGCTTAATGGGCCAGCTGGCTGCTCTTCTTACTCTTACACGTGAATTTTGAAGGCGTTAGCCTGCTTCTCTCTCTCCCTCTTTCCCTTTAATCTTCGTTCAGGCTCGTTGTCGATGTCCCTTTACGAGGTCGAACCACTGGGCGGGCTTGACATTGATCGGGATCGGAGAGTGGGGTTCGAGTTGGGGTTCGAGGTTCGAAATCGAATCCATCGGAAAAATGACACGTCAACATATGCAATATGTAGTTAATTTCGGTAAATACACTTCTCCATCTTCTTCCTCTCTCCGAATCTGGATTTGACTTTCCCCTTTCGTTTTTGGAATCTTCCTTTGTTTACATAGTTTTAGACCGCCTCCGCGCGCGGGAGCTTCTCCTGGTAACTACATATGAACCACTAAGCTTTTTGGCCTCTCCGAGGAATAACAAATATCGTGTCAACGAAAACACATGTCTCAATTACGTAAGTTATATTGAACTCCATTTTTGCGTTTCGGAAGCATCCGATACTTAGGTGAACGTGACCAGCCCCTTAATGTTCCAACGCCGGATCACAACTGTACTGGCATCTGGACTGGCAGTGCTCTTCAGCCACTAACCTGCAGTAACCTGATTGATGGACTGTGCACAAAGATGGCTTCGGCACATGGCGCCGTCATTAAGCGCTGTTGCTGGCTGTTCGTTTTGGACGGCGGGTCAGCAGTACCAACGAACCGCCGTTAAAGCGCCACCCTCGTTCGTTGTATTGCCCTGCTGTGCTTTTCTCCTTGCTTTTCTTCCTTTTTCGTTTATCACTTGCCTGTTAGGGATGAAAAGGGGGAGGTCGGTTATGAATTGAAGCACTGCGGAAATTAGTATCTTCATCGTTGCCGCGGGCCACAATCACAAAACCTGAACAACACGAGAGCGATTGGCAAAAAAAAGTCAATTTCTATTGTTGTTGTTGATGATGATGTTGGGTTTGGTTGCTACCAGGGGCAGTAAGACCGCAACTCCGTATGTGATTATTTGATTCTGGGTTGTCATCTATGGTAATTTACTTGAGGCTTTTTAGGGTGTTTGTTCAAGTTTGTGAACACCCTCTTTTCTTCCCTTTTACTTCCCCGTTCAAACCACCATCTTCTCTCTTCCCCTCATCCCTCTCTCTCTCCTCATCTCTCCCTTTCCTTCCTTACTTCCCTATTTCCTTCCTTGTTTCCGACGTGTCTGTGTTATCTCCGACCGATCGTTCTTCCTGCCACTACCACAGCTTGACTTGCTTTCGCTTAAATAGACCACCATCTTTGATCGTTCTCTCGCTGTGCCAAGCGTTGTTGTAGTTTGTACCCCCTCTTCCTTCTTCATTTGCAACTAGCACCTTCAATCTCTCTTCGCTTTCTTTCTCACCTCCCTCAAACGCAGAGCGCCTTTTTCGCAACTCCCGGCTCCAACAATCATGCAGATCGCTGCTATTCCCACTTTCTTCGTCACTTTGTTCATGCTTGTTGCCGTTCTCTCATCTATCGTTGTGGCCGACAACTCCATTCACGAGAACCCGATCTATCAACTCTCCCGCCAAAGACGCCGCCACTTTGAACGTGATAACAAGGCCAGACTCCCTCGAGACCTTCCCTCATCATCCGCTAGTGCAGACATCTCAAACGAAGAGCGCTCTAGCAACGATGACCCAACCACCGATGAGCCCAGGGCTCCAACAGACTCGGACCCCGCTTTCCACCCAGCCTCCTTCCGATCTGCTCGTTCGGGAACACCCCCTTCCTTGTTCAGCGGTAGCTCCTCCATTCCGTTCGGGAAATTCCAATCGTTGGCTCAATCGATGCAAAGGGGTAATCTTCACACCGTCGGATCGGGGTCGGCTGCCCTCAGGGTTCAATCTGGACCTAGCTTTCCTATCAATCAGGGGAGCAGCATTCGGAGCACGATTTTCACGCAGTGGCAGAATTTGAAGAAGGTGAGTTGGAGAGCATTAACTTGTTTTTTTTTTTTGTGGCAATTTTTCGGGTCACTTTGAAGTAATTGATGATGATGATACTGATGAAATTAATTTGTTTGTGTGTGTGTAGGGTGCTGCGTTTGTATTCACTGCGGATATGGACATCGACTGCGATGGGATCGACTACCGATGCCCGGTAAGACAGATTTTATCCTTTCATTTTCCCTCCCCACCATCCTCCTACTCCTTCCTGTTACTCCGCAACCCCGCATTTGTGTTCCGTTTGTGTTCCCTGGTACCTTCCCACCCCTGCCGCTTTTTTCCCCTTCGCCCGCCGGCGCCAATACATTCATATATATTCTAAATTGACGATGTTCCGATCATCATTAAACGATTTTCTTTTTTAATTATCAGGGAAATACCGATGGTCAACCCCAAACGACTTATGGCGCCCTGTCAGCATATTCTGTACCTTGGATCGTTATTCCAGATAGTTTCGTTTCTCAGCATAGCAGTCGACTTCCTGGGAATAATGTTGCCGCTGTTTTATGGTCAGTCTTTTTTGAACACAAAAAAAAGAAGCCTTTTCTGACGCATGAATCCAGCAATGGCAAACTCTTCTATGGTATCCTTGGAGATACCAATGGGGATAGTCCCGAAGTGACGGGAGAAGCGTCGTACCTCCTTGGCAGATCCTGTTTCCCTTCTGATAACCTCAATGGAGGCAAGGGACATGGTTCAGCGGATGTTACTTGTGCGTTTTTGTTTTTGTTTTTGCTTTTTTTTTTTCTTCTTGTTTAATCTTAATTTTTTTTTCCCCCTTAGACATCGTCTTCCTGGGCCAAGACGCCGTCCTTCCACCTTCAGCGATCAACAAGAATTACATCACGGATTTCGGAAAACTTCGCAGTATGGGCGATTCACTTATGAAGGCTCTCGTCAATAACGCTGGGATCTAAACGGGAATTTGTTGTTGTTGATTTCTTTTCTTTTCTTTTTTTTTCTCTCTCTCTCTCTCTCCTCCCTGTTAGTCCCCAGTAGTACGGTAGTGCGGGGCGCGTATGCGTACGGGGGGCGGTCTGAGGTAGCACCACTAGTATGGAGGATCATAGAGTGGTTGTGGCTGCATTGGGAGTTTGCGCCATTCCTATTTCTTTTCTTTTCTTTTCTTCCTTGATGGCAGCCAAAACTTTTTCTCAATTTCAGTTTTCCTTGCTTGCTTCTATCTTCATCCTACTTTTCTTTTTTTCCTTCCACTTACCTCGTACGTTGGCTGTGCCATCACACACGACTGGATTCCATTTCTCCCAGAGGGCTTTCTTTTCCTATCATCGATCTTCTCTTAGCGCTTGCAGTACTCTTGTATGTACACTCACGATGACTGTCATGTTTACATGTCACCTCATCCTATGAGTCACAATTTGTAATCGCCGCTCTCTTGGCCTCGTCAGCTACCGATCCATTAAATAGTCCAGATTATACACAGGGCATATTGTAAGCAAGAAAGAGCAAGAAGCAGGAATCTATGCCGCAACGTAACAACGACAGTGCATTAAGCAAGTCTGCAATTTTTCTGTGTTTCTAGTCAACGGCAAGGAACTCTGCGACGGGCAAAGACGCACCTAGTCAAGATCGGCACGATCAAAAAGGTCCAGAAGTTCTTCCAACTTGAGACCACCTTTGCCCAATTTACCGCCACTCAGAGCGGCCGCAGCCAGCGCTCTCTTCTTCTCTTGAAGCTAACACACACCAAAAGAGAGTGCCAACGCAATACAATGCATTCAGACACAGGAACAACGAAGTACAGTGATTTTGAGAACGCACCTGAAGAATCCTCTGTTCAACAGTATCCCGCACTGTAAGTTTGTATATCGAGACTGGTTTCTTTTGCCCCAGGCTGGAGGCGAGTATGTCAATAAGAAAATCCAATGCCAACATGGCAGAAAATTTGGGTCCTACCGATGGGCTCGATCAAACGCTTGATCCTACAGAAGTTGATGATTCACATCAGCCCGTCTAGATCTGGGAATAAATTCGGGCCTCACCTCTAGAGCAGGGTTCCACCAAAGGTCGACCAGAATAACGTTATTGCATGCCGTCAGGTTAAGTCCTGTAAAAATGAATTTCAAATAGGCTTTTTCTTCTAACTAACGCAACAAACCAGTTCCTCCCGCTTTGAAGGAAATCAAGATAACTCGTGTGGCTTTATTATTACGAATTTGGTTCAATGCCTCCTCTCGCTTGGCGGGGGGCATAGATCCGTCATCTAGACAATCCCATTAGAATCCCTCCAACAAGTCGAACGCTTTCGCAATACTCACATCGACAATACCGTATCCCAGCATTACGTAAGAAAGGCTCAATTAGGTCAAGCATGGAAGTAAACTGGCTGAAGATGATCGTCTTCTGTGGTGGGATTTTTTTGCCGTCCTCGTCAAGCTTGCCACTAGTGCGGGCAAGTATCTGATCGAGGAGCTCCAGGACCTTATTGATCTTGGTCGAAGGAAGCAAATCGAGCTCGTCTCCCACTACATCAGCACCGCTACCGCTTCCGGCACCCCGGCCTCCAACTCGTCTTGATACCGACTTGCGGTTGGCAACCTTCACCACAGTTTTCGCGCATTCGTCACAGTAGTTGCTTTCATGGCTCTTCGGCAGACTTCCCAGATTTATCAGCTGTGTGTCCAGTAATAGTTCCATCACACATACCTGACTTGGCATACAACGCATTCCTTTCCACCAGCAAGATCAACAGCCCCGAACAAATCCGCAAGCTCATCGACTTCCTTGCTCTCTTCCTCTTCCTCCGTTTTCCGCTCTGGTTTAGATTCGATTGCGGCGGCATCTTTGCGATGATCCTTATTGATCAGGGAAGGGTGGTTACACGCTGAAGGAAGGTCAATAAGGCAAAGTCACCAAGTCCGCGAAAGATAACAGCATTCTCCTCACCTTGCCGAAGGCGCAAAAGAAGGACTAACACTTGAGTATAACTCTTTCCGCTGATGTTCCCTCCTGCTTCGATATCTGCCAGTCTATTTGCAGCACGTTCCGACAGCATCTCGTAAAATGCGCGCTCATCGGGATCAAACTCGCACGTCACCACTTCAACAGTCCGTTCCGGAAGAACAAGCAGCGGTTTCCCTTCTATAGTTTGATTCTTTGTCCTTCGGAGCATCGTTGCGCTCAAAACGACCTGAGCGAACATTAATATCGTATGCGGCGCACAAGTATTGAGAAAATTTTCTACGTACATGAAGCCGCTTCATGGCATTAACCGTCTTACCGGCCTTAACTGGTTTGGCGATACGAGCGTTAAATGTATCCCAGTTATTGATAGGCCGTATTCGTAGGAAATGGAAGAAAGGAAACAATTCCTCCACGGAGTTCTGAGGGAAACTCAAGACTACACATGCGGAATGAGAGTTCCAGTTCGAATGACATACCTGGATAGGAGTCCCAGTCAAGACCCATCGATATTTTCCTCTTAAATCGAAACACGCTTTAGCAGCTTTGGTGGACCGGTTTTTGATATTTTGAGCTTCGTCTGTCGGCGAAAATGTTGATATAGCAGCTCCTCGTTGATAGAATGGAAACCATACCCAAAACGACGCGCCAAAATCCAGTTTCAAACAAAGCACACAATGGGCCTTTCTTCGCTTTGGTGGAGGATTTAGCCTTCGCGCGAATACTCTCCTCAATCACAGAGTCATCCGAAGAATCATCGGACTCCTCCCTCAGTGCTTTCTTTTTTCCTGATTCCGTCGTCCCAGCATACTTGGTATGTTCTGAGGCCAACGTAGTGTAAGTTGTTATGACGACATCTACTGTACCGAACACCTTGGGATCTATGGCACATGTTTAGGGGTAGTGATTGCTAGGCTACTGAACTCTATACCTGCAGTCCTTTTTGGCCCATGATGCTGAATGACCCGCAATCCTGGTGCCATTTTTTCGATCTCGGACGCCCATTGCGGCATGACACTTACTGGAGCAACCACCCTGCCAAACCGTCACACGTAAGCCCAAAATCTACAACAGCTTTCAGGACGCACAGCGTTGCCTTTGTATACAGGTTTTTCGCCTTTGCAAGATCAGAACCAGATGGTTTCCCGTCCAATATGCGAGTCACTGTTTGAATAGTCTTTCCGAGACCCATCTGTCGGAGGAACCATGATCAGGATGGGTGTTCTGGCGCGAGGATAGCCAAACATACGTCCTTGAATGCTTAGTCTTAGCATCATGAGCAGAAACTACTTCCCACGTAAGAACTTACATCTGCGAGAATGCCCCCTAATTTCTTCCCAGTCTCTCTCTCACGCATCCAAACCCTGCCCTGGACTTGGTGGGGTAACAACGTTATGCCCTCGCGAAAACCTTCGACCCTAGCTTCCGTTGGATCTACATCATCCAGGTTGAGAGCCCCAATGGCACCGGAAAGAAATTCCCGCATTTCCCTGCTTGCATCCTCTGTAGACTTCGAGAACTCGTACACCTCGGGAACCGAGTCAATGTTGTACGCTTCCCCGTCTTCGAGTTGTGCAGTTAGCGTCGCGGGCTCTGGATGCGGATTTCCACCAAGCGCCTTCACAGGCCCCGAAGAAAACAGAGGCTTTGGTCCATTCTGCGTAAGGTACATGTGAGGACTGTCGGAGACTTGGCGCTAACGAGGACGGTTAGAAAAATTTCCGCCTCCCCTATTTCACGTGGCAAACCTGAGGTTGTCCCCCTGCGGGGACACGCTCTACCACCAGTGGCTTATCGTCTTCTCTCTCCAGCTGAGGAGTTGGTCCGGAGTCTTTAACACGTGGCGATCCACTGAGGAGTACCGCGTCAACTTCATCGTCAGAATTGAGATGGGCTATTTTTGGCTCCTGTGACACAAAGCCGCTCTGATTTAGTGAAGCCTAGATGCTGAGTGCTAATAGAAAGTATCCATCGACAATAAAAACTTACAGATGGCCGCGCCTCCCCGACACCAGGGTAAAGATTCGAATCCTGCATGAACTTGGCGCGCCTTGGTCGCGTGTCAGCAATGAAGAAACTCCGCCAGGAAAAGAGGCTTACAAGGATTCCATTGTTGGTAGGCTCTACACGTTAATAAATGTCTGGATGTAAGGATAACAGTGTGTTTGGGGCAGCAACGCGTATTCTGCTTTCGAAGTTACAACCTGTATCAAACAGTTACAAATAAATACCAACAAGATCCAGGATTACGGTTTCGCCTCAAAGATGTCCCTTACATAATCTAGAGATATTCGTTATTCAGCAACGTGTACGCGCTTCACGGTATTTCGTTTCTGCTGCAGGAGGTTGGGGTGGGTCACAACGCGCAATTGCAGTTTAGGCTGATTTTGTTTACATGTATTGACGCCGACCGACACCTTGTACGGCGCCTTAACTCAATTTCCTACCACAGTGCTCAAACTACGCACTTCCCCGGCCATCATTCTCTCTTGCACACCATAACCTGATGAGCGCACGCCAGACACATCAAATCCGCGAGAATTCCACCAATGGTAGTTTGTACAAGTCTGGCACTTCTAACTTGGCAATACCCGCAAAGCGACCCCCGCCAGCTTTGGCGTCGCCTCTCGCTGCCACCAGTAAATCCAAAAGGAAAAGCATTATTTCCATCTCTTCAGACGACGACGGGGGGAATGAGATCAAGCCACTTGCCGGCCCTTCCGCGCCTAGCACCCGCACGACCCGCGCTATCACGAAGCGAGCGCCCATAAACACCATGAGCGAATACAGGAAGGTACGATATTCGAGCCGCTGAGCCGCGTCGTTGGAAAACTTAGCTGGGACTCCGTTCCTCTAGGAAAATGAAGAGCTTCGACGTCAACTCGAGGTTTATATTCCCGCTTCCATTCCAACCGAAATATTCATTGAATCTCTTCGGTCGTGTTGTTCAGAAATTCAAGTTAAGCAACCAGTCCTCTGTGCACGAAATTGAGCAGCTTCGCCAGCGTCTCGATGAGGTTACTTTCGCGTCACTCAGTCCCCCACTGGCTCTTACGCTTTTCTCAGGTCGAAAAAGGGCTGACGGAGTCTGAAAGTGTAAATCAGCTTTTCATTCTCCCAGCTTTTCCATTGCTGAGTTCCTATCATAGAAGCTCCGCTGCAAGGATGAAGAATTAGATTCCATGAGGGATCAGTTGGCTGGGAGGGTCCCTTCAAACAACGTAAGGATTGCCAAATCCAACCATCTTTTATCTGGCGCCGATGCATAATGACACTCACCTCTCTTGCTTACAAGGCGGCTCTATTAGAATCCCTCCGATCATCCCTCCAATGCCAGATTTGTCTGGAACTCATCAGTAGGCCTCATATGTAAGTGGGCAATAATGTTCAGATAGATCATAAATGACACAACCTACTTAGCATTCCTGGCTGTGGCCATGAATTTTGTGGATTGTGTATACGAGACTGGCTCACCAAATCACAAGCAGGGGCACATGAATGTCCCACTTGCAGGAAACCTATAAGGACTCGTCCCTTCAAGTGCGCGCTAATCGATTGCATTCCTCCCGATAAAAGCTTACCATTTATTAGGGCATACATTCTCCCTTCCGTACTCGAAATTGTGAAAAATGCAACACCGTCCGAACTCGTCACTCCTGTTAAGGCCTCTGCCGACAAGGGAGATCAGCCCCATGGGACCGATCTTTGGGCTGGGATCGACTTCGAAGACGAAGAATCGGAATCGGAAGCCGGTGGAACAAATAGTTCCGAACAAGATGGACAAGCTGCGTCTGAAGTCGAGATCCTTGAAGGGGAGAGCGATGATGACGATGATAACGAGGCAGACGAGCCAGGAGAAGCTGGTCACTGGACCATGCCCGTGCCAATACCAGCGCTCTTCGAACATCCCCAGCTCGAAGTCCAGCGACCAGGTTTATGGAACAACCTAAGTGAGCGTGAAAGAATACTTGTTCGCCGTGGGGCGTCCCTACGGATGATCGAAGAACTGGAGCTCCAATGGTCAGAACAGGATGGTATCACTGGAATCTTGGGAGAGTATCATTATCACTTTGGTTGGAAGATTGCCAGGGACTGGAGGAGGGCTCCTGCCGAAGATCTTGAAACGACTATTCAGGCAAGTACTATTTATCTCGGTTCCCGTTGATAACCAGAACATTTCTCATCTCAGATTACAATGATTGATCACCCCGAGCGTTTTTACTTCAATAACGACGGGTGCATCATCGAGAGAACTTGGACCCGCACTGGTTGAAATTCCTACATCACATTCAGTAATTCGCCGACACCTCTGGTTTTGTAATTGTTCATGTAGCAGTTAGCACAGGTTATGATAATCTCACTGTAATGTGTTTGGCCAGGGATCATGAGTTTTAATAATGCACATGTAAAAATCTATGATATCAACTCTCCGCCGAACCTAACGTCAGCATTTGTCTCCAACCATTCCATCCAGTGCTTCAAATAATCGCTACCCTGAGCGACTGTCGATGAATCTCCAACTACACACTGTGACAGAAGCTGTCATTATTAATGGTGTGTGAATCGCATAACTGGACTCACAAGGTGTCTACGCGGGCGCGTCATAGCGACTGAGAAGGCAGACCATCAGAAAGTTATGTGTGGGCCCCGCAAATTTCATACTTGCCATTCAGCCTTCTCTTCTCCGAAAGAAAACCAACTTCTCTCTTCAACAAGTACAACCATAAACGATGAAGTCACCTACTGCCGCCCAAGTGAATTAAAAACCTCACTTTGTCATTGCTACGGACAAGACTAAGAACGACAGCCTCCTTCTCTCGCCCTAAACCAAACATTAGCCACAGTATTCGGTCGCATGTGGCGGAGCGCTCACCTTGCATCCCATCAACAGTACCGATTTCTAACTCGTGCATCGTGTTACTCAGCATCGAGGTCAACAAAGTGACCTGAGCTTGATAACTTGGATACGTAGCAGATCTTGATCAGGGTACGAATTTCTTTCTGTCCAATAAAACAACCTCACGGAGTGATGACAGCAATTTGGGAAGAAGACACGCCAGCCTTCACCTAACGACTGAAAACTTAGTGACATAGGATGATTCTCCCATCGACTGTACTTGCCAGCATTTCGACCCAGCGTTGTATGATGACTGCTTCGTTCTCGTTACTGCGGCTACCTTCATCATTGCCTTTTCCTCCTTCATCTTCGACCCGCTCGTAGAACTCACAACCTGAAGTGTCGTAGAAGACGATAGGGACGTCCAAGACATCCGCGTTTAGGTTCTCGTCGTCAGATACTCCCGGGAGGTCTTTGAGAAGATGTGATGCCACAGATTCATGAGAGATCAGCTTGGATGAGTATAAAGTAATGGAGGGGAATTCCGCTATAATGGAATGCATCCTAATCTACCCATTAGCTGCACTCGCTAGGTGGTTCGATCATGGATTACCTATACTGAACGGTCAGCATACGCTTAACAGACGGGCCCAACATAGCTTCTAGGCGATCGAAGAGGGTGACCTCCAGTGACTCTGATGGTCGTAAAGCCATCGATCGTGCCGATTCCGTGTGTTTCGCCACTGCCTTCGCTTTACTTGTCGATGTCGTCTTCACTTTTGGAGATGCATTGGACGAGGTCATCGACATGATCGTTGGGGGGAGCTGCAGCGGATCCCCAGCAAGAATCAGCTTTTGACCCTTCAAGATAGGTATCCAGCAAACCTACAATTGACAACACATGAGTCGTGATAAAGAATGAGAACGCAAATTCCTCACCGCCTCGAGTGCTTGCGTAGCCTCATCAATGATGACGACATCAAATCTGGCATGCTGCAACTGGCGGCCGCCTGATGAGTGACAGGTTGCGAAAACAATCTGTGCTTTTCCGAGGGCACGCTTCACAATATTCCCTTCCCGTTTGCGGTACCTGGTGTACAATATGGGTTTGCGGTTGTTCACGAATTCCATTGACCTACTCTTTCCGCAATTCCCTGATTTCCTCCCACAATTTCTTCCTCTCTGCGCCTCTTGGCCTGTTCTTACCCTTCCCTGCCAGGATTTTCATTGCATCTTCGATCTCGGCTTTAACATCGTTTGCCAATGCACTTTCCTCCGATTTAGATGCCTGTGAATCAAGAGTAGAGTTATGCAAGGACGCGAGGACACGGGCTGGGTGTCCAATCCTAGTCAGATGAATGTCATAAGGTATTAATCTCTCAAGCAAATTATCTGAAAATCCTTTGAGACTTTGGCGGTTCCGGTGCCGAATGCGGAACACTCACCGACAGCCAAGTTTGACGCGCCACAGACTAGTACTCTGTTGTCTTGCCGTATGAGGTGGCGGATGACTTCGACCAGTGTGTGTGTTTTCCCTGTCTGATAAGAACGTTCGTGGCACTTGTCGAGTTATTGGAGAAGGAACTGACTCCTGGTGGTCCATGAATCAGCGCAACTTCAGAAGCCTCTAAGCAGAAACGAACAGCCTCCCGTTGGCTGTCGTTCAAGGACTGGTCATAAAACGTGAATGACTCGAGCGTCTTTGGTGGTGAAGGAGTCGAAATCCCAAGTAGTACATCCACGAGAGTGGTTCTTCTTATTGGGGGTCTTGCCCTGGCTTTCTCATCCTAAGAAATATTGATTCACTGGCTTATTGTGGTCAATCAGGCAATAGCTCTCACCGTATTGGTATGCAGAATGGTTGCCTCCAGTGAAGATATGGCAGAATCCATTCTGAAGCGGCGCTACGATGAGGGGTGAGATATTAGGGGTGGCAATCCTACGCGCACCGGTCAAATGTGATACTGTTAGCAAGCTTCAATCTACATCAGTATTTGTTTGTCAGTTCAGCTTATATTTAGGCCGTACACCTCACAATATGCATTTCTCGGGGATATCCAAATCATCGCGCCCATCCACAGGATCAACCGCAATAACTATACGCGTATCTGTAACCTGCTTCACTTAGTAGCGGCACTGCCTGCCCATCGGTGACTAGAAACCTTATACACGACGCCCTCCATAGCAGAAATATCAGAATCTGCTCTTTTAGCGGCTTTGATTGATGATTTCTTTCCCCTGCTAGACTGTAGAGACGCATAATCATCAATTCGCGCAAGATCACCAGGCCGAAAGGTGTGCGGAGGAAACAGTGGCGTGGAATGATACGCTGAAGGACGCTCCAGTTCAATTAGGCTGTTGAGCAATTTCTTGGTAAATCGCAAAGGGCACAGAAGAGTAACGATCACTCGACCTCTTTCCTCCGAGACCAATACTTATTTCAACGACGCCGAGTCCGGTTAAGGCAAGGCCCCTGCTCTCGAGAAGCTTGGGGCTACAAGCGCTGACAAGGAGTGCATTTCTGTCTACTTCTGCCTTGCGTTCTTTTTCAAGGAGCTCTTTTTGCCTATCAAAGAACGCCTTCAGCAGGTCGTTTGTGCTCATGGTTTTGACTTGGTGTGGTAGGTTCACCAGGGAATTGCCCGATTTGGTGGAATTGTCTATTCAAATGTGGATCTCCGATGCCGGCCCTGAGTAAATAATTTTAAAATAAAAGAAAACGAGGCCTTGACACGTCGCCTGCGCAATGATCAAATTTCAGGTATAATGCCCTCGGACGTTCCAAAGCCTATCGCATCCTTAGCGCATCCAACTGAAAGATGGGAAGAGCTATTTCTTGAACAGTTCGGTGCGTCGTTTCCCAAATCGTTTGAGTTTCGCATGACAACGGTTTTAAACGCAGATCTCATGGCTGCAGCCATGAAAGAAAAGGCCTCTCTAAAAGCTCGCATTTCTGAGCTCGAACGAAAGGCTCGTCGGCTCATTTTTTTGGTATGCAATATATACTGACTTGCCTGACAGGTTTCCGACTCTGAGCTGATAATCAAAAACTTGAAAAATGATGACAAACCAAGATTTAGTTACAGTGTGCCCACTTGTCTTCTACCCATTTTGCATTATAGTTCTCATTATTTAGTAGGATGATACGCCTTTGGTTTTATGCCTGCTAGATGGCGACAGATACATTCCAAGCGAGGATTATCTGTCCCAGGGAAGTGAAGGGGGTCGAAAATTTGCGGCTCGTTTATCCCAGAATATTTTCGCCCACATCGGGCGGAAGAACGTGCAGCTCGTTACGATGTCATACTACAACCACAGAGGGCTTATGGATGCACTAAACTCCAGCCGCGCTTGCTACCCTCGTGAATTCAACGATTTCGTGAATGGATTCAACCAATCGACACCTTTATTCACCATGACCGATGTTGGGCATGGCAAGGAGGCAGCGGATGCTAAGATTCGAGGTGGGTCTACTCAATATTTGAGCGTATCGTGCCCTGACACATCTCAGATATGCTGATACTTTTTGCTCGCCTCCCTCAAACTCGGAGAGTATACTTCGGAGGTGCAGTTCCCATCATCGTAGTGGAGACTGGCATTGACATCGCGATCAGGTGGCCACGATGGGGGTTATGCCACGGTGTTGAGAAGCATGGACATTGAAGGATTACTGGACAAGGTTGTGATAATTCAGGGCTACAGTAGGCTTGCCCGTGCCATAGAAGATTTAAGATTGCCTCGACTCGTCATTGATGGGTTGTTTCTGCGGTCCCGACTTAACACGAGGGACTACTTTGTTCGACACAGAGGCCGTTCTGCGTCTCCTGGAAACTGGTCACGATCGTCTGAGTATGACCGTAGGCTGCCACCCTCTCGCTACAGGCATCGATCCCCATCTCGTCATTCACAATCCCTTACTCCCGATCTCGACATCTCAATGTTATCGATGGACGTCAGTTCATCTGATGAGGAACCCGCCTCTAGCATTGGCGCCAATCCGCACAGGGCATGTACACGACTCTTCGTTCTTGAAATTTTTATTGACTGACCTGTTCCTGTTAGTCCATTCTTGATCGTAAGTTCATTTCTCTCTACAATCGTACTCTTTGTACTCAAAATCTTCAAATTCATAGAATTCCCCTCCATTTGGTATCGTACTCCGTTATACCCAGAGGATAGCTTGTTGATTTTGCTTCATAGCGTTTCGTACTATCTTTTGCCCTCAAAATGTCCCAGAGGGGTACGTCCACGCTTCATCTTGCCATCTGCATTGACCTGACTAATTCTGAACCCAACTAGAGGGATTGTCGATTTTCTCACAGCTATGCACTCCTGGCCACGCAGCTAAAACAGCTAAGGGCAGAGGTAATCAAAATTACATGCCCCAACTCCAGAAATGGCAAGTGTGACAATCTTAGCGTGTTGTTTTGCACACTTACCCGCACCGTGTGTAGGCAAATATTGCAATGAATTTCCGGAATGCCCCTTCTTCCATCATGATAAGTTAAGAAATTAAGTGACTGGACGTCATTGCCCATGATGCGATTGCAGACGCTCATGTGTCAATGAACACCGTGCGGATTTACTCGTATCGTGATGGTTTGTACACCGTACACTTTATCTTCAATTGAACTAGCGAGACCTCCTATCAAATTATTGAGAATGAGTAACAAGTTGAAATGCAACGGAATTGAAGTGTAATAGGTCAATGAACTTCAGGCATTGGTGGAGGCAGCACTATTGAAGTTGGAGGAAAGAAAACGCCACCCCTAAGTCTGAGCAACGTGTCGTGACGCTACTTCCTTGAAAGTTCGCTCCCCATTTTGAAGGCAATGTCGCGATCCATATCTCTGGAGTCCTGTGAGCGATGTTGTAACTGTTGCTTTGTATTGTTTTCTCGGTGTTTAGCCCCAAACCATGCGCCTCCGGCGAGGGTGCACACAAACCCAACAGTGTTCATCGGTGTGATGCGCAAATTGAAAATGAGGATTGCCAACGCGACGGTAAGTACTTGCTTGATGTTTGCTAAGTAAGCAACAGATCTCCTTTTAAGATGCATAGGATGACGACGAAGAACCCTCGTACCCGCAACTGACATAGCGAGTGCCCCAACTTTCCCACTCGCCGTGAAGCTAGCGTAATTCAGCCCAAACGCCAAGAGACCGTTCAGAACCAGCGATGCATATCCTGCAGGGCTTATACCCTTGGATCCGCCGGGCCCGCCACGGGCAGCGAATTCCCACAGCCGCTCAAATTCTCCAGACAAGTAGATATAGACCACGCATTGTGAAAATGCTAGTAGGCTCATACGGTATAATAAATCTAACGGGTGTAACTTGATGGGGCTCTTCAAAGAAACGGAGGCGTGGGCAGAGGACGGCCAGAAGTAGGCTATGGAGGCGAGGGGACGAGTCTGAAGGGCATGAGATACTATTCCTTTGAGGGATGCGAGGAAAGTCCCCAGAAGCGTAAGGAACAATCCCCATGGGGTGAAGTAATAGTCCCCATATGTGGCTAGTCCAACTCCGATAATGACGGGTGCGAGCGCGAAAACTTGATTGCGAGAGACAGTGGTATTGAACATGAAATATGATAATATCAGTGTGAAAAGCGGTGACAGTCCTCGTACAACTTGATGAAACTGAAAGCAGATCAGGAATAAAGGCGTGATTATAATGGAACGACTTACTGGAACGGTTACAAGCTTGAGTGAGATATTTGAGAGCGCAACGTTAATCGTGTACAAAAAACTGAAAGCTGCAAGAATGAGGTGTTGTGATACATCTAGCTGAGCAACGTGCTTCAAAATTGCAGATGTTAGAGTACATCAAGAGAAGAGATATGAGATCACTGACAAAAACATGCTTTTTATGGAGTATAGTGCACCCAATGAAGCTGAAAAGGGCGTGAATTGCGGTGAGAGTATAAGGAAAGGGGAAATTGACGAGCAATCCCTTATTGTAGAGTGTGAGAGCAAGGTTGAAGAAGAAAAAGAGGCTCAGCCAGTAGAACGAGCTGTCTTTGGCGGGGGCAAAAGCGACCCTGTGCTGCCGGCCCGGGCCGGCAGTCTTGGCGGGTCCGTGCCAAACCTGAGATGTGGGAATAGAGGACAACAGAGACGCTTGAACCTCCCGGGGCACAAAGATACGAGGTGATCGAGTCCTGAGGGGAGTGCGATGTCTCGATGGACCGGGAATGGTGGCAATTGGAGGAGAAAGCGATTCGGGATTGAAACGTGTGAATCGCGTTATGGAGTCCATTCGTGAGTGCCTCGAAAGTTGTTCGGGCGGTACATAGTGGGAACTAATGACGGGGAAGGGAGTATGGGATATACGAAGAGGTGCAGCAAAAGGCTTCTGTTTATCTTGCTGAGAAGGGATGAAGGATGAGGGCCTAATTGTTGAGGTTTGACTCTTGATTGGGGATGTCATATCGATGGGACTACTATAGTCCTCGGACTGTTGAGGAGTGGTAGGACTTGAAGTTGGAGTCCATTCAAAATCAGTGTCGGTGTCTAACAGGCTCCTGTCGTCGTATGCCAACTCGCCAGCTACATCTTGGGAAGAATTTAGAACAGCACCCGGCCAGCTTTTGGAAGGAGGAATATGAGAGGAAGAATTTGAAACGAGAATATCTTGGAACCCTTGGGATACTCGGCTGCGCTTATTTGACGGTTTCTGCATCCCCAAGGATGATTCAAAAGCGTGGAAAGGCCTATCAGGGTCAAAGAGCTTCTCATCTGGAACAGGGGGAGTTTCTGAAAATAGTGCCACATCCCTCTCGCCTACAGTCCCTCTAGTGCCTTCTCCAGTGCACCTTGTCCAACAGAAGGAAGAAGGCGGAAGGTGTTACCAAAATTGGAGGTTGACAGCCCATTTACAATTCACTTACATTTCAACTTGCAGGGAGGCGGTCCCCTCTTGTAAGCGTGCGCAGAAGATGGATCTCCGAGCTCTGGCAGTGCTGTCTTACAAGAGACCGTGGGGTGTGAATATTGGCGCTAGGGACGGTGCGGAGCGGATATTCATGGCAGCTATCGGGACTAAGCGCGTTTCATCCAGAACCCTTTTCACGATCCGACTGGAATATCCGTCATCCGAATTGGGACGACGGAATCGCAGTCCTGTGCGCCCGCTCCACCGAGACTCTGCAATGGCTAGAGGGAAACACTTTTCCCTCGCCAACGAACCGTAGTGCCTACGCGCACGCTGGGCACACACCTCAGTCATAGACCTCGCATTTGCCAACGCAACAGCCGAAGGCGCAGGCGTTCTCACAAATTACTTCGTTGATTGTTGTCTATCGGACCATCACGCGTTAACATTTTTGCTAGGCTCCCCAAGAGAAAGTGTGGAAAACCCATGCGACACCAAACTCAACTGGAAACACGCTGATGCGGAGGAGTTCAAAAAAGCCGTATGGGCTGAAATGGAGCACTCCAGCCGCGAGTTGTCATCACTAATACAGACCACTCTAAACAGCACCCGCCCATCCGCAGCGCCGCAAGGACTCGACCACGCTATGGAGCTCATACAAGGCCTCCTAGATAGGGCGGCCACCGAGTCAGTTCCCCTGCGTAGACCAAGCAAAGCCTCAAAACCGTAGTGGAACGAAAGCTTGACTAAGGCCTACCGTGACTCCACCCGGGTTTCCCGGGGGCCCTGAAGGCCTGGATGGAAGACTTCAACCGCCCTTCCATATTCCTAGCCGACCGGGTCAAAGGTCTCTGCAAGGAGACCCGGCGCGACATAAGGAGGGCCAAATGAGATTACCACCGGAAACTCACGGAGGAAGCTAGCCCCCGGAACGTGTGGAAGTTCAGGAAATGGACAAAATGCCAAAGAACGTACAACTCCCCACCCATCCAACGGGGCAACGACCTCCCTCCGGCTGTGTCGCATGAAGAAAAATGCAATGAACTCCGTACACACCTTTTCCCACGCCCACCAACGCTCTCCAACGCTCCGCCCATATCACTGGATCCGAGGAACGGACATGGAATATGTCAGGGTCACGAAGAACGAAGTGAGGAATGCCATTTACAACTCAACCCCTTGTTAGAATTCTTGGTATTATGGTGTTCGCTATGACCAACTCACGTTTGGTGATGTTGAGTCGTGTGGCGTTTAGATTTACACCTATTGCCTTTCTTGGTGGCGTCCGTGCCAAAGTCAGTGCGCATTCATAGCGCCTGACTATAAAACCCCAATTTTTGGACAACCCAACCTTCCCTCAGTTCACGTACAACGGGACTGAGGTATGTTGGTTATAAATCATGTACTAAACATTAGTCCACCAGCGATAAACTCGCTAGGTGATTACTTTTTAATCTATTCCAGTTCACGTACAACGGGACTGAGCGATAAACTCGCTAGTCCAACATTTCGTCTAATACCCCTCAGGTACCTCGGGCTTCACAGGCAGGGCGTGATGGACGATTCCACCTCGTAAGACTTTGCGGGGACTCTGGCTACCACCCCAAAGCCTGGAGAATGGCAATCGCAGCGCGGCTATTCACTCCTGAGATCGAACCGACTCATTCAGTTGCTGGAAGCCTTGGGCAGGGCTTTGGGGAGAGTCCAAGCACGCAGACTATCCTACATAGCAGCCAAGCATCGTCTTTTCCCCACGGCCAAATACGACATGATTCCAGGCAGATCGGCACAAAATGCTCTAATGAGCATCGGGCACGACATCGGGCAGTAGGACCAGCTTAGCCCCATCTCAACGGGCGTCCCCTAAGGGTCTTGCGTCTCCCCCATCTTGGCAGCTTACCTCACAGCTCCCATGACCGGAGCGATAGATGCGGAAGTACACAACAGATGCGGAGCTGAACACCTTAGCCAAATAAGCCTTTTCCCTCTCACCCTCTATGTAGACGACGGATACATAGCAACTCAGCTCCCTCACAGGAAAACCCACCAAGATAGTACAACTAGCATTCCAGGGGCATAAGCGAGAGAGGTCATAAAACTGACCAAGTTAAAAATGAACTGATGCATTCCTCGCGCACAAAACAGGTAGAAACGCAGGCCTAGGCCCGTCGATATCTATCCCTACAAACGTGGAGGGAGTAACTAAAACCATCTCACCCCTCGACCTGATATACTACCTGGGAATCTGGTTCGACCCTCACCTGAGGTTCACAGAACGCGTCACAAGAGCGACAGAAGGCCGCAAACACTGCAGAAGCACTGAGGATGTTGGGAAACTTAGTCAAGGGCCTACCCCACACCCACCTCCGCTAGATGTACCAAGGAGCAATCCTACTGATCGCCCTCTACGGCCTACCCGTATTCTGGAAACCCAAAAGCCCATGCCATCACCAACACCCTTTCCAAACTCCAGAACAAACGCCTGCGACTAATAACCGGTGCCTTCAAAGCCATCAGCGTCCAGGAAATGGAGATCGAGGCGTCGATTCCATTGATGGCATATACCTCGAGTATAGGGCTCACATGGAAGCGACGCGACTAGCCCAACTACCTGACGACCATCCCATCATCTGCAGACGTTACCCTCGGCAGCGCAGGCTTACCAACCCAACTACACCCCTCCTCTCCCTCCACACAACCCAAACGCACGGTACAGGACCAACCCGCAAGAGAAATCCAAGACTTGCATGACCCGGATCTCTGAACGGATGATCCAAGGAACCGAGAGTGTCCACCCACTGCTGGAAGTCCCGTGGCACCCAGCGGAACCGGACCTCACGGGCCACATCCAGACCTTCATACCGGACGACTCGCCAGAAAGGTCATTCAAGGAAGAATGGATGAACGACCCCCTGGGATCCGTAACTGAACACGAGATAACCCGGACTACCTCTTCGTCTACTACTCGGATGGCTCCTGCATCGAAGAGGATGGGAAGAGGATGGGAAGAGAAGGGGGAGTTACAGTGTAGTCGGGTATACAATGGGCGAAACTGTCTTCGAGTCCCAAGGGGCGATCGGAGAACATGGAAGACGAATCTATTACACATAAGCCTAATCGCATAGTCTTCTACGCGGATAACACAGCAGCGCTGACGCGCATATTCCAAGCCAAGCCAAGCATGGCACAAGAACTCTCCAGAGAGTTCAGAAAGGGCTCGTACATGATAATGACAACATCAAGATCGCGTTGAGCTGGTGCCCAGGCCACTGCGGAATCGCAAGAAACGAAAAAGCGGACCGACTAGTCTGGCGCCATTACAGTAGAAATCGCAAATCCCTATCCTTTGTAGAAGGACTGTGCAAGAGGGAGATGGAAGAAGCATGGGAATACCCCGCGTTCCGGCTTCTGTGCAGCGAACCGCAGCGAACCACATCCCACATTAAAAACGACCAACTGCCTCAGGGAGCTGGATCGCAGAACATTCAGCCGTACGGTTCAGTTCCTCACGGGGCACGCCCACGTAGAGAGACATTACCACCGCTTCAGGATATATGCTGAGAACAAGGAATGCCAATGCGGTGCCGAGACACAGACCAGACGTCACATGTTAACAGCATGCCCACCGCTCAGGAAACACCTCCTGGGTAATGTGGGAAGCTTGAGACAATGGCCGTACGAAAAACTCAAGGGGAGACCTAAGGGTATCACCAAACTGGCGAAATTCCTGAAGGTGCCGGAGACGGACCCAATCCCGAATGGAATTCAGAGAAAGGATGGAACGGAGGACTATAATTTCCCCATCATAGTTAGATACAGACGCCAATCCCGAGGACTACCCATACGACGCTACCCACCACCCTGCGTTGACTGTCTGCCACGTGATAATGGGGTAGCGGAGTTGTCCGAACTTATTGCCTCCACCTCTTCCCGATCCACAACCCTTGGCTTAGCATCCCCTGGCTCGCCACAGCACATCAACAGGAGGTTTTCCTGTTACGCGTCATACACATCAGACCGTGCTATTATGTCTTTATACACTACCGCACAGAAGGCGAAGCGTCGCGCGACCCACACGCGTCCTGAGCTCACAGACGAGCAAAAGCAGGAAATAAAGGAGGCCTTTGAGCTGTTTGACACTGACAAGGACGGGGCAGTGGATTATCACGAACTGAAAGTCGCGATGCGGGCTTTGGGCTTCGACTTAAAAAAGCCTGAAGTTCTGAAGATATTAAGAGATCACGATAAACACGGGCATGGCTTGATGGAATTCGAGGACTTTGCTAAAATAAGTGAGTCCTTTCAATCCGCCCCTCCAATGTTGCTGAATTCAACGCGACCCACACTAGTGAGCGAGCGGATACTCTCGCGGGATCCAATGGAGGAAATAAGACGAGCATTTCAATTATTTGATGACGACGGGAGTGGGAAGATTAATCTCAGAAACCTGCGACGTGTTGCGAAGGAGTTGGGAGAACCACTAGACGACGATGAATTGTAGGTCGTGTTATTTGTTCTTAACAATTGCTCATGTCATATCATAGGCAAGCGATGATCGACGAGTTCGATCTGGATCAGGACGGAGAAATTAACGAGCAGGAATTTTTTGCAATCATGACGGATGATGCTTAACACTTTCCCAATACGCAACCGAGTTTATAATCTCTACTGTTTTGATATGTACCCACCCGTTCATCATCACTGTACATCCATCGTGCTTAATACTGCAGGTTTAATTCACTCACATACGACTTGAACCGTAAGGTGTCGCTTCAGGCTCAAATCCCCGGACTGATTCATTCTGATTTGTTTGGGCCCACATCAGCTTTTCCAACCTCTACTAAAGCCTCGAGACTAGTTTGGATAAGCGCACAAAGCGCACCACTGATGTTCCCAAGTACGGCACCGTATGCGGGGAGCAGTGGCCATGCCTGACATAATCGCAGATCAATCGTGAGCCTGTGGGACGGAGTTCGCCGCTTACCTGCCACGGTCTATCCCAATCAAGTGCAAGGGGGATAGCGGCTAACCAGGCCCCAACTAGGACTCCGATTATAGGGTAAACAATGAAACGTTCCGAAGGAAGACCTGTCCTGGTCGCGCGGGGCATTTCAGTCCCTGGACCTCGGGTAACCAGAGGCGATACATACTTTAATTCGGAGAACAATCGAACCCATATGAGCTTGTTGGCTGCTGAAGCTGCATCAAAGGTAGTCCCAGGCCGCCCGGGGCTGGGGGGATTGTATATGGTAACATGAGGTAAGGGTAAGGTGTAGACGGGCGCAAAGGTGATGAGAAGAGACAACAATAAAGAGAGTGACAACGTCTCCACGACATGGCTTAGATAAAGTCAACACTGACTGATCCTTAAGTTGACCTGTGGCATACCTGGCAATAGGCGCTCCGAATAAGATTAAAGCTAACATCATTATTGGAACCATTCCGATTGTCACCATCCATGCATTCCTCATGCTCTAGTTGCACAAAGGGAGTGACAGGCTATAGTTTCCATGATCATGGATCTGAGCTGTCAACTCACTGCTAATTTCTCCCTCACTCTTTGCTCAGTATCCTCGGTGGTAGCTCCGCGCTCACTCAGCCACCATGCCCTGACCCATCCTGACCACCACATGGCGACCATGGCTGCTCCCAATACCATCCATGTGATGGTCAAAGCTGGCTTCGAGGTCAACGGCTTCAGGAACTCAGCCTGTGGCCTGTCGAGTGAGGTACGCGGCTCAGGAAGTTCAATGCCAAGATATATGGAAGAGCGTGGAAGGAAGAATGCAGTAAAGAGAAGAAGGAGGGAGTAGGTTCCAAGTATGGATACGCATTGAGCCAAAGGAAAGCACCTATCCTGCACCGCAAAGGTTGGAGACTTCGGCACGCGACTTTTGCGCTGCATCATGTGCGATGCACGTGATGCGGCCGGAAATGCGGACCTAAACCCCACCCGAGAACGTCACGTTAGCGTGACGGCCTTGTTTAAGCCAGGCGAGGTCATGATGCCAGCCCAAGTTGAGCAAGGGCCGGGCGGTTTCATGCCCCTTACCCCTGCGACTGATAAACAAAAGGGGCCGTCCCGCCCAAAACTTCGAAGATTCATTACTAGATTCGGGTCTGGCTCACTCAGCGGTAAGAACAAAGCTACTTTGGCACCCCGCGCAGGCGACGTCCCGTCACATCGCCGCTCTCAGACAGTCGATGGTGAGTTTCGAATTGATGTGCAAGCTATATGTCTAATGTTCGGATCTTTCGACACCACCTTGATGTTCTATCCAATTGCCATTATATTAGCCCACATGAACACCGAACAAATGAACATGAGCCATGGTCCACCGCCTGGATCACGTCTTAGTGATCCTTTCTCTCTCATCGAAATTATGGATGCACGAAGCCGATCTTCTCCCCTGTGGATTCCTCCCTTCCGACGCGTTGCCATACCCCGTCCTGCCGAACCCAAAAAGATGTCTCTCCTTCCCCGATTATTGCAAGCCATGTCACCATCTCCCTCGAAGAGGAACAAAGATATGGTAACTTGGCCTGAGTACGATGACGATGGTTATCCCTTTCCTCTTGATGGGGAGGAGGGGGAACTTGTGGAGGATGAAGGATGTTATGAATCTGATATCATCCGCACCGCGGCTCTTCTTGCGATCCCGCTCCCCACCAGGATGGACATCCTCTACCTCCTACCCCCAGAGATTTCCTTGGATATTCTTACCTATTTGGACCTCAGATCCATCCTTGCGGTAACTCTTGTATCCAAGTATTGGCACTTCCTGGCCACCGACCGCTTTGTCTGGCGTGGACTATTCAAGAAGCAGACGAGGTGGGGGCTAAAAGGCCTGCCTATGGGTGACCCTCTCTCTCCCCCTATCCCTTGTGAGGTTAAGGGCCTTCGGTTTCATAAGCCTTCAATTGTCTCCCGAACGAACAGACCATCTTTGGTTTCGTATCGTTCTAATGAAGGGAAATGTCCACCTTCGTGTCTGGACCTCTCTGTTGACTGGAAATATTTGTATCGCACGCGAGTGGAGCTAGATCGTAGATGGAATAAGATGGAGCCGAAGGTCACTAGATTGGCGGGTCACACAGACAGGTGAGTGTTTCAAATGTCGCCCTCTTCCATACCAATGCCTTCTACTCCTGTGTCGTACATTAATTCCTCCCACTCGACACGTGGATGTGAAAATTACGAACGTGCAACTAACACGCTTCGTTCTTCGCCTGCATGCAGCGTTTATTGTCTGGAGTTGTCCTCCACATCTATCATTACCGGCTCGCGCGACAAGCAAATACTCGTTTGGTCTCTTCGCTCTGGGAAGCAAAGCGGTGTTCTTAGAGGACACGAAGGGTCTGTCCTCTGTCTGAAATACGATTCTCGTTCTGCCCTTCTGGTCAGCGGAAGTTCAGATCGAAGAGTTTTGGTGTGGGACTTGTCGACTATATGTGTTGGGGGTCAAGCAGAAACGCCCGACGAAGGGGTGGCTGTTGTAAGACCGAAGAGAACCCTCACTGGCCATACTGGCGGTGTCCTCGATGTTAAAATGAACGATGAATTTATAATAAGCTGGTACGTTTCCAACTATCAAGTGAAGACGAGATCTATTAATTTTTTTTTGCCTGGTTGAAGCTCTAAGGATACCACGATTCGCGTCTACTCGAAACAAACGTTCGAACACTTACATACTCTTGCAGGCCACACAGGACCCGTCAATGCTCTCGGGTTGTCCGGCAACCATCTCGTCTCCGCTTCTGGGGATGGGACACTGATTCTGTGGTCTCTTCCCCTAATCTCTTCTCCTGCCTCGAATTCGGATTGCGCACCCTCCCGCCTTAGAACTCTTTCTGGGCACACACGAGGCCTTGCATGCGTTGATTTTCATGGGGATATCGTCATCTCTGGCTCATCTGATATGTGCATTAAAATATGGAGCGCAAAGAGCGGAGAGTGTTTGACTACCTTCAAGGGACATGACGCACTTGTTAGGAGTTTAGAGTACGATCCACTAATGGGAAGGCTTGTAAGTGCAAGTTATGACAGGAAAGTAATCGTTTGGGATGTCAAAGTCGATTGGGTGGAACTCGGGAATGGAGGGGGAAACGCTAAGGATCTCGAAGCCGATATTCAGGTGAAGAAAGTCAGGGAATATAGCGGTTACCATTCTCGTTATATATTCGACGTCAAGTTCGATGCTTCGAGGATAGTTAGGTGAGCAACTCATGTTGATGCCCTATTCACTTGATTATTCACGGGTGATTCTATCAGCTCATCCCACGATCGGAAGATAAACATTATGGACTTTGGAACTAATCTTGATGTATCCTTGTTCTTGTAATCCTTACTCACAATGTATCTTTACTGTATTAAATGCCAGGCCTGCAAATGCTAGGATGGAGGGAAATGACCATTTGGAGAAGAAGAAATGGGTTCCCGCTACCCTTCCAACCCCCCGCCATTTTTTTCAGTGTACTGTGTTTCAACGCTTGATTTTGCAAACCGCCAGCCATGCTATGTATTCGGCATCGAGTACCACGTTGACTTCGATACCACATGTCTGCGTTTATGCTCACGGAATGGTGCAACCGTTGTGTTACCATCATCGGAAACTTGAAACCCCACACGTTGTCTGTGATGGCATGCGTGGAGATAGGTCATCGATGCGGGCCCATGGCCTACCCGTGGCTGCACGGTTCGAAACGTACATCACGTTGCATAATTATGCTGATTTTCTCGTCAGGCACCAGGCAACCATATTGAAAGCGCTTACCACCATCAAGTGAGAAAGAGACGTGCCTCATTGTTGTTGTTCTTCATAAAAGGATAGCTTTCGGTAAACCCGCTGCAGCAAGTGGGTCGTACTGCTTGTACCTGAGACTTAACCCACGGGTTTAGGAAGAAATTCATGGGATGGTTTGGACCGTGGTGGCTCAGAGTGAGTGAGTGGTTGGCATCGAGAACGAGAAGTGGACTCAGAGTGTGTCATCCACCAAAATCACAGGGAGGGTCAGGAACAGTGTGATCGAACAAAATCGACCGTAATTGGACACGATTGGGGAGTGACGATCGAGATGGTGGAACCAGCAAAGAGCAAATAAGTAAGTCCTTGTTAATTCAATGGCATGTAAGAAGTCTTCAGGGCTACTGCTCAATTGATCACCTAGGCCGGCACAAACCAATTTTTGGTAGTCGAAAGAAGAGGAAGAGGACAGAAGGAAGCAATCGAGGATCGGGGGAAGCTGACTGCTCTCTGAAACGCAGCCAACGAAGGGAGAGTCATAAGCAGTTTGCATTCAGAATATGATGGATTAAACGGAATCGCGTGTCGTTGATCGTTAACGAATAAACCATGAAGGTACGCATAATGAGTGATGGTTGAGGGTCCGAGGCCCAACGCACAACTCAAAAATGAGTGTGGCCACAAACCTGTGTGCATGGTTTAGAGGTGAAGTGGAAGAGTTGCAAAGAAATTCATTGTAGCCATAGTATCTAGAGAAATAATCGTGTTTTGAACTGGATTGTAATAATGAGCGAGGGAGGAATGCAAAACTCGTAGTCGCCTGTCTCGGAGTCGGACCGTCAGGTCTGAACTAAGCGCTCAGCATATCGGCACAAACATCAGAGGGGGGGTCAGATTTTTCACGGGAAAGTACCGTTCATAACAATAGCACAGGGGTTAGATCGAGAGGACCCCTGTGGACAATGCGGGCCAGAGGGGTTCCCGGGGTGTGCCGGACGCCCTCTCAGCTGTCTCGCGCGTACGAGTGGGGTATTCGCCTGCAGGCCTCGTTATTTTGCTGGGGATCCATGTGCGTACAAGAGAAAAAAGAATTGAGCGGTGACGTTTTGTCAACCACCCCAAGGAAACAGAAATGCAATAAACAAAAATCTAGAGATGCCCCTTTCCGATTCTGGATCACGCAAGAACCAATAACTCTACCACCAGTCTCCCTGTGCACGCATGGCATCCGCAACCTGTTACACGAGGGATGTCAGCTATGTTCCATCAGAACACCTAATATCATCACTTGCCTTGACGAAACCAGCGATGTTGGCACCGACAACCAAGCTAGGCAATGCACCTTCCCCAAGATTCTCCGAACTATATTGTTTACCAACCTCATAGGAGTTGGCATACGCTGTCTCCATGATGTTCTTGAGTTTGTTGTCAACTTCCTCGGGTGTCCACTTCAGACGAGCAGAGTTCTGCGCCATTTCCAGACCGGACACGGCAACACCACCACAGTTGGATGCCTCTGCAACATCTCGACTTCAGCCAATGGCCTCGACGATGGATAAAACCAATGTACTCACTCCCTGGGGCATACCATATTCCCTTGCCAGTCCTCCTGCCTACCTCGAAGACTTCAATGGCCTCTAGCGTGCAACCCATGTTGCTGCCCTCTGCGACCAGCTTGGTTCCAGAAGCGATGAGCGCTGTAGCCTCCTCACCGCTCACTTCGTTTTGCGTTGCGCACGGTAGAGCAATATCGACATTCTGGACGAGCGTCCATGGTCTCGCACCAGCGTGCCACACGAAACGACTCTCGTTGGCGTTCGCCTGGATGTTGAACGACGTAAGGCTCTGGTGTTTGAGTTTAATCTCTGCAATCTGCTCTATGTCTCTAGTGGTAAATCCTTCATGTTCATTCCTGGCAATGAGCGCCCCAGTCGAGTCGGAGAGAGAGAGAACGATGGCGCCAAGTTCAATGAGTTTCAGCGCGGCATATTGGGCAACATTCCCAGAGCCGGAGACAAGGACACGAGCACCCTTGAAAGAAGCAAGCTCCTTTTGTGTTTCAAGCATTTTGGCGACATAGTAGATCAGGCCATATCCGGTGGCTTCCGGACGGATGTACGACCCCCCGAAGTCACCTCCCTTTCCCGTAAGTATCCCTAAGATGGTGTGAGTACGGATGTTATCAGATAAGATGCAGCAGAAGTTCGAATGAAGTGGTGGGAATGTTGATGCCAAGCGGGTTTATCAACCAGGCTTAAATTAGTAGGTCGAATCGAAATTGCGTTGGGAAGATGTGAATCGGAAAGAGAACATGATTCTCACCGGACCATTCATTTCTGATCTTCTTGTAGGCGCCAAAGAGGTAGGCAACCTCACGGCCCCCCACACCAATATCCCCAGCCGGAACATCGGTGTCCTGGCCAATATGGCGCGACAGCTCTCCCATGAATGCATAGCAGAATTTGCGAATCTCGTTATCAGACTTCCCCTTGGGGTCAAAGTCGGATCCACCCTTGCCGCCACCCATGTTCAAGCCGGTAAGGGCATTTTTGAAAATTTGCTCGAAACCGAGGAACTTGAGAATAGAGAGATTTACGGATGGGTGAAGGCGGAGGCCACCCTTGTAAGGACCAATGGCAGAGTTGAACTATCCGAGAACACAATCAGTCACGTTCGAATAACAGATCGTCTGTGGCGATGGCGTACCTGGACTCGGTAGCCGCGATTTACTTGGACTTTCCCTTTATCGTCCTCCCAGGTGACACGGAACTGAATCACTCGCTCTGGGATTTCTGCTCACACGAGATATGAAGGTGGAATGAAGAGAGGAAATAATGGGGACGCACGGACGACATCGAGCGCGCGCTGGTACTCAGGATTACGCTTCAGGAAAGGCTGAAGGGTAGTAGTGATTTCTTTCAAAACCTGGACTCCCGTCAGTGAGAAGTGTCACACGAATGGAAGAGTTTTACATGTACCTGTTCAAACTCTGGTTCAGAAGGCAAGACCATTTCTTGGGCGTTTACAACAGGGGGAGCGTTTGTGGCGTTGGGTGTCGAAGCTGGAGAAAAGGGTAAGAACGTCGGCTGGAGAAAGGAGGTCGTCTTGATACCCTCTGGGGTTTTATACCGTTTGACCACCTCGATGATGCATTTAAATTTTTCTCAGAACATGACCCCAGGAAATCGGGAAGAAGAAATGAGGACGTGATGAAGGTGACATCAAAGCCCATAAATGGTGCTCAATCTATGCAGTCGGACGTAGAGATTCCACGAAAGCTGAGGGGATACCCTGATGCTAAATTCCCCATCGGAATTTATCAAACAGTAACAGTTTTCACTAGCACACACTCCAGCACAACGAATTTGGTGGCCCCCAAAACATCAAGGTTCTACAGCGACGATGAGGCTCACCAAGTCTCTGTGAAGCTCGGCCGAGATCATTGGGGTTTCACGTGGGAAAGTGGTTTTGCCATTCCCGTGACCCTTGGCCCGACTCCCGCCTAAAGGGGAGACTCATCGTTATCACCTTGTGCCTGCGGGACTTGTGCTCGCGAGGCATTTCTGCTTGCGGCATTGTATACTGCATTCCGGGCTGCGATAACACTCCTTGGCCGCATTTTCAAATACGGTCAAAAGTGGAGAACATTGAACTTCTCAACCCAGATGCCCGACATTCGCTTGAAGCATCAACCTTTTGACATCACGTTTCATCCCTCCGAACCTATCATCTACGTTGGTCTGCTCACCGGTCAAGTTGACGCGTTTAAGTACTCTGCGGACAAACCAGACACGGAATTCGAATACTTACAACTCTTTTCGTTGCGTCCAACCAAACGGTCATGTCGTGGTCTAGCTACAAATTTCTCAGGAGATAAGCTCTATTCTGTCACAAAGGGGAAGGCTATCTTCACTATTGATACTGCTACGGGACAAATCCTTGAGACGACGGGAAATGCACATGAGTGAGCAGTCTTGTCCACGGGGGGTGTTACTTCAAGTCGTGAACGGTTCGCCGAAGGTCTCCGATCAACCGTGTTACACTTACCTTTCCCAACATACTCGCAACTGGGGATGACGAAGGGGTTGTAAAGGTACATTGCTGCTTTTTTTTTTCTAGGGAAGTGACCTGATGCGGGTCGTCAAAAGCTCTGGGATGAAAGGAAGAAGGACGAAATTCGTGCTTATACCCATCATTTTGACTTTATTTCTGACTTCCTATGGCTGGAGGACAAGAGACAGCTGGTGGCTACCAGGTGCTAAATTTTCTCTTCCCGTGTTGTGCACGTCTCGACTCATAGCATTGCAGCGGTGATGGGACGCTTTCGGTGATGGACATACGCTCCAATAAGGGGGGACCATTGGTACAGTCAGAGGATCAGGATGACGAGTTGCTGTCTATCGCTGCGATTAAGAAGTTCGTGGTTACCTTGATCTTTGGGAGTGTACATAGACTGCATGCTAATGTGTTCGTAGTAATATGAAAGCAGTAGTGGGAACACAACTCGGAAATATTTCCATATTCAACCGTAACATTGGTTGGGGTGACTGCGTTGATCGAATACCAGGGTACGGGCTTTTTCACATGGGCTCATATGAATGGTTGTTCATTTCTGTTTCGCTTTTGCCCGCGCTCCACCGTTGCATTTACTCTGGGAAAGACACCCTCACTCTGTAGAAACAATCTACACACTCCCTCCGAACTTATGTCCGGGCACCGACATCATCGCAACGGGCTCTTCAGATGGGATGGTCCGCCTTGTCCAAATATTGCCCACTAAGGTCCTGGGCGTCATTGCAGATCATGAAGAATTCCCCGTGGAAAGAATCAAGGGTGACATGCGAGGTTCGATGTCGTTCTTTTGCATATGTGTATTAACAGCTGACGATGAATTTACAAACAAGGTGCGAACGCAACGACAGCTTCAAGATGGATAGGTAGCATCTCGCACGAGAAAGTCTTGAGACTGACCGATATCGGAGATGCACTTGAAGAGAGTGACAATGAAGATGGTGGTGGGCAGTCGGAGAATGAGGATGGTGATGCTGTTGGTGGGGGGAAGGACCTAGATGGTGAATCGTCCGATGAAGAAGAACAGACGTTTGTGGGCTGGGGTACACCTGCTACACCGAAGGCACCATTACGGACCACATTGACAAAGAAGGCTGCAACTACGTCTTCAACAGCGGTGGCTACGACAAATGACGCAACAAAGGCGACTCCCGCATCCACGAAGCCGGTGTCTCACGCACGGAAAGCCTCGGAAGTATACTTGGATGAGGAGGAAGTGGAGAAGAAGCATGACGAAGATGTTTCGAAAGGACTGAGTCGGAAGAAGAAACGTAAACTAGATGGGAAGGGCAAAAGTGCCGTTGTTGGGGATTTCTCCGACCTGTGAACGTGCTGGTTTTTGCAAATGGTTGGACCAACTGGTCATTTGTTGCGAAGATGATCTTGGTGGAAGAAACATGTGATGCGTGGCAGCGGATCATGGAATACGTGTTGGACCAGTACTGGTGTAACGGGATGATTCACATGTGTATTCGACAGACATTTGCAAGGCGAACGTGGTGGGACGAGTGTGCCAGCGCAGTACGTGTGAAGCTCCCAAAGCACTTGGCAATATGAGTCCTATGTATTGCAGAGTTCATGGGTAGACAGACCACAAGTGAACATGGTTGCATCCAACCGATTATCAGCCATGGAGGTATTGGGACCCTACAGTAGATGGGCCATCTGACCCGACTTCTGCCAACCCTGCGAAAGACTCGGGCAGCACCATTCGCAGCTTTTCATTTGAGAGCTGTGATGAATCAGCCCCTATATTAGATCCATTCGAACACCCCTGTGAATGATTATCACAGCCTGATCACTTCACAATATGGACATCAGGGAGTAAAAACAGGAGCCTTGGGTGAGCGGAAACGGTAAGCTGAACTGGAAAATGCCTCACACAGGCTAGAGGCCCTGTACCGCTCTGCAACTCACCAGGTTTGGGGGTTCATAACCGATATGAAGATCACGCAAGGGCGCATACTCCATGGTGATGAGTTATAATCGCGGCGATCTTGCGCATGCGGTATTGCGAGACCGGATGACGATCCGGCGAGCGTCACTTGAACCGGTATCAAGACATTGGTGAGGTGCTATACTACGGTCCACAAGGAATCTGGAGTATCATGGGATATGGAAGTCTGGAAGCCGCAGTAACACTTGAAATGATTCGTACAGCATTCACACTCACAAATGCGAGCGCTGCTTCCAGATGTGTTTTTAATTCATATCCGGGTCAAAGTTCCCGTGATTTGGAGTAAACTAGATCCAAATCGATTTTACCGATTGGACTAAGCTTGCCAACCACGAACGATCCTCTGGTTTTTTGCGAGTGGTAATCTAAATAAGGCAATACCCGCCTCTATTCCCACGGCCGTGTGGCGCCGAAGATCAACTTTCTTCCCAACGTCTGTGCACTTCCGGATCGTTCAAGCCGTCTCCGAACCTGATTCATCATCGTCTTCTAGTCAGAGATGGTAAGAGGCAAGAAGTGCTCACTCAGAATCTTGGAATTTTGGGATGTTGTCGGACGTGGAGAACCCATGGGCATATGAAACTGAACGACCTGAGAATGATATGGGATAAGACATTCGTTCAAAAACAATTGAGGTCATAATATTTCTGGATCATTATCAAAACTGAAATGGGCAAAGATGGTTTATATTTCCATTTCTTGCAAAAGGCCCCCCTTTTTCGCCCTACACCAAGCTGATTCCGCGCAGGTATATAACCTCCGTTGGATGCCACCTTGCTACCGACACATCACCCCTCTCGACTCACCGTTCTTAACGTGAAGATCGTACACAGAGCTTTCCACTAGCATCTCCTAGTCTCTGGACTTTGATTCATCATCCAAGATGGTGAGTGGACGACCACAACTACCCTTCACCACCACGACCACACCACCATCACCATCCCCCCTGACCCTCTCGCTGTCTCAGTATAACTGACTTGTTTTCACCACCCATAACAGTCCAACACCCAAACTGTTCGGCACAACGGCGCGACAGAACAGACTGGTGCGAAGCGTGTCACCAAGACCGTTCTCAGTCTCGGCAACCTTCCACCTAAACCCACGACGCAGAACGAGTTAGGCGCTACTCTTAGCTGGCCACGCACACCTACCCGTGTCGACCCAAACAACCCACCATGGCCTGCCTACCGTGGTTATCACGAATATTCGTTTGCTTATGCCACAATGGGTAAAAGACTTCCAACTATTCTGGGAAAGGCAATCGATGACGTCGTCAAGACCCTTAATGAGCAAGTAAGCTTCGTTCGGCCTTCTTCTTCCGCGTTCCTGACTGGTTACTGACTGGCAGCCATGTCTTACTTAGTCTGAGGAGGAGCATATCGTCGACTTGAACGAGTGCATTAACCGTATGGACAAGCTCATGGAGGACCTCACCGGAAACAAGAAGCTCCGACCCATCATTGACGACAACGAAGCGGACGTTGCGCTCTGGAACAAGGAGATTGCAAAGTTTTTCCAAGGAAAGGACTTCATGAATGCTCCGTGGCTTTTCGCCGAGGCGTACAAGTACCGCCGTCTGAGGGAGTGTTTTTCCGTCAGCAAGTACTGGAAGGTGAGTCACATATTCGTGTTTCCAAATGTGTAATTTGGCGTTGACTTTTCAAAACCTCATTAGGACTATGACGTGTTCTTCCGCCAAAAATGTGACACTTTTGCCCGATCAAGCGATGCAGTCTTCGAGCTCTCGACTCGCTTCGCCCAGCCTTGGAAATTACCCGAGGGCTTGAGTGAAGCGGAGGCTGATGCTGCCCGCCGTGCCATTTTCTTGGAGCTCACTCAGGTTTGCCTCTGGGGCAACTCGACGGATCTTTCTCTCCTCATCAATGTGAGTTCGTTGCATAACCATCCCTCGTTCAGGCTCACTCAAACCTATTCTCATATTGCAGATGAGCGAGGAAGATATCAAGAAGCTGCAGTCCACTGGTGGTGAACAGCTCGCTGCCACCGAGAAAAACATTCTTGGTAACCACATCGAAGATGTATGGGAGACTGTGAAGTCTCTCAAGGGTGGCCGTGTCGATTTCATCCTCGATAACGCTGGCTTCGAATTATATTGTGACATGGTTTATGGTACGTGTGATACCGTCAACAGGACAGCAATCGGTAGTTAATCTTACGCCACACCAGCCGATTATCTCATCCAATCTGGCCATGTCAAAACCGTTCATTTCCATGGCAAGCGTCTGCCATGGTTCGTGTCGGATGTTACCCGCAAGGATTGGAATTGGCTCATCAACTCTTGCATTTACGGTCAACTCTTCCCTCATGTTACGGACATCGAGCTTGGATCCCTTCGACGACTCGGCGAGCGCTGGAAACAGTACGAACGTTCCGGCCAGTGGGTTTACGAACAGCATCCCTTCTGGTGCACGGGATTCACCTACTGGGACCTCGCATCTGAGGCTCCTGATCTCTTCCTGCATTTGAGCAAGAGTGATTTGGTGGTGTTCAAGGGCGATTTGAATCATCGGAAGTTAACGTATGATTGTGCGGCGCCGGCTGCAACTCCATTCGACGTGGCCATCGGGCCTATGGCCAGTTTATCTGGTGCACCGCGCGTGGCGACCCTCAGGACAATCAAGAGCGACGTTGTAGTAGGGCTTCCAGACAACAAAATTGCGGATGAGCTCGATGAAAAAGAACCCGGGTGGAAGATCTCGGGTAAATATGTGAGTACCCCGCTGTTTTTTTTTTGCGAGGTGATTTTCTGACACATCAAACTCTCCGTCAGGCCGTCGTTCTCCTTTCGGAAGGCCGACCTGGCGAAAAGGTTCGCTTCGCATAAGGACTGTTTCTTCTCTCTTTCCCTTCTCTTTTATCCCCCGGTTCATCCACTAGTTCTTCAACACTCTCATATTTTTGTAGTTCGCTATTTAATAATCCACGACCCTGGTCAGTCCGCTGTACCATTTACGCACACTAGAAAGCATGTTGTTGCATCGTATGTCAAATACCATTGATGTAATCTCCTAGTTCTTCATCAATCCTAGCTCTTGAATTTTTCGATAGTGACTGGTAACCATTAACCAGCTAATGATACGAGTTTGTGCACTTCGATCGCAACTGGGCAACTGCGTCGACGCGTCCTTGCAACCGATTTGATTCGAAAGCGATCATCACAACTCGCGCGCGCACGATGCCTTGCGTGCGCGGCAACGAAGAGACAACACTCGTTCGATTGTTGGACAAGGACCTCCGCGCCACTGCGAGCCCGCATGGGCCCCGGCGAAAAAGGCCCCCCGCCCCCACTGATTTCAAGTTGGACTAGCTCCAAATTCTGGATTTCTTTGTCCTTGGGTTTTTTCTTTCTTTCTTTCTTCCTCTTTTCTGGGAGATTTTTGCTTGCTCGCCCAGACCGATGCTTCCTGCTGAGTCACAACACACCTGGAGACTTGTTCACTAACAGGTTCTGAAAGAGGGAAAGAAAAGAACGATCGAATTCCTGGACATTACTTAGGAAGCATACAATCAACAAGGAGAAAAAGCACTCTTAAAATTCGTGCTGGGGCTTTGTTGGGAGGCACCGGCAAATTCCGGGAGGGGTCAGACAAGATTAAGTAACTCCTTTCGTCAAGGGTATGAAGGGGCAGTTGAAATTCTGGGAAATGTCTCGATGCTTCAGTTCCCAAATTATCTCCGCTCGAGATCCACCCTATGATCCGAAATGGGATTTAGGGCGCGCTGGCCCCGCAACGGAGCTTATTCTTCTGCAGCTAGTGGTACTGACAGTAGGCCGGGGACATGATGCTTTACCTGAATGACCTGGCCAATAGCGCACCCGCGCGTAAACCCGTTGTATATTACACTTGCATGAACAACTGCGAGGTTATTGGGAAAAAGGTCTTCATCGCCGTGCATTACTAAGTACTGTACGTACATGTTAATTCGAAGCCCTATAGCTCTGCTGAAAATTCATGCCACTTTCACCAGAAAACTGTTTTATACATCTGCAATTGGGGTTTCAAATCTATTCCATCATACTCCATGGGCAGCTCCTCTAAGTGGGGCCTTCCCGCTGAACATTTTTTTCCGAAAGAGAGATTGGCGTGACGCTTTACTGTTTACTGCCCGACGCCCTGGCCACACCTCTCTGCCTTCTCCAGCCGGGCTCCGCTTCGTCGATCCGGAGTTCCGGGGGGGGGGGGGGGGGATGGAAGCGGGACGATTCCCGTAGAAGTTCATTGTGAAAGAGAAGCCATCGAACTCGAACATCTAACGGGCTCCAAAGACCCGTAAGGATATATATATATATATACATCGGTGGCGCTTCTGCCAGTCTATCGGAGCCTCGTCCCGCGATCGCTTCTCTCCCATCTTTAGCATTGACCGGAAGGCCTGAATTGGATATTCTCTCTCTTGCTCGCTCGACAACTTGATAAAGCCCGTGCCACTGATTGGCACCCCTGCATGCTCGACCCTCGGCGCCCGGGGGAGTCCTCGTCCAAAAAAACACGCCAAGAGGTCGTTCAGACAATGAAGAGACCTGAGTGATTTTGATGCCTACCTCCGTACCACCCATGCATGAAGAGCATTCGATTGTATGGAGATCAGTTGCATGGAGTTACGCTTATGATCGTAATCGTTACCACCAAGTAGTTTGTTCACCTTTCCAGGGGGCGGGGCAGGCATTACACGTTTGGGACGTTCGGTTGCTCCTCGCGACACACTAATTCGATCTGGTGTCCAAGGGAGTAGCCTGTGTAACACACTAACCGACGCTGTAAAGTCATGTCTACTTGGTCGATTACAAGGTCGTGAATCTGGTGCACTACGATCAATCTTCAGCCTCAGGAACAGTCCTTAAGCCTCGCCAAGCAAGAGGATGGTCTGCTTTACATTTCCTGCTAAAATTGCTGGTGCAAGCGCGAGGCCTAGATAGGTTCCTGGAGGTTCCTCGGCGGCAGTTCGCTTTAGGGAAGGAGTGATTTACACTCTGATGCTGTCTTGCACTTGCATTGATATCCCGAAAACCCTTGATCCTCGACTTCGGAGCTCTCGCCTCCCTCTGCAGGTCTAGGTCGATGATATTCGGTCTTCAGTATACCACGCTTACAGGCCGGTCTTCGCCATGTGGCGGAAGTTGCACAACCCCCCCCCCCCCTTCAACGAAGGTTATTTCGACAAATTTGATCGCTAATTGTGCGATCAAATGTTAGGCTACGTCTACAGCCTACTAGCAAGAAGCGACAAGGAATATTGCCCTTGTTGGATAATGGTTCAAGGTTACTCTGCGTATGCAGTATGTGTGAAGTGTGTGTGATCTGCCCGCGGTTCACTGTCGATCGTAGATGCGAGGTGTATATGCTTGTGTTTCATGGAAGGCTAGGGGCCCGCCCGGGACGCCAATTACACGATCAGAATTGATTCTGGTCTAGTGGGGAAAATCGTTTACACCAACTCTCAATGCAAGGTGGGTGGCTGCCGCGCGTGCTTGCCGGAGTCATTTCGGCTTCTGCTGGACACACATTATATTATAGTGATCGAGCCTCGTTCACCCGAGACAGAATCGCGAAAACCACAGCTTACATACACTTCGTAAAATCACCCTTGTGCGAATTTCTTTCCTTCTAACAGCGCAAAGGCGCAAAAAGTCTCGATGGATCGAGCTAGTGGAAGGTAGTACATACATGGACCGGGCCAACTCGGTCATGAGTAATGATGAGGTAACCGGGTAAGAACTTGATATCCTCCGGGGTTACGCCGATCATGACCTCATTCTCATCTGATGGGGGTGGCTTTAGCAACCGATTGACGAGACAGTACTACGGGTCTAGCTGGTTTCAGTGGCTGGCAAAGAGCTCGGGAAAGGGGGGGCTCCTAGGGCACAACCGGCTGTTGTGTTCGTCGTCCTCGTCTGATCATTGGGCCCGGGGTCCATTGGTGGCCTTGATGACGTATTGATTCAATGTGGTGAGAACTCAAGATGCGATTATGAGGAAGAACTCAAGGTATCCTCAGGGATACATCGGCAATACAACACGGATGATCTGAGATGGAGGTGACGTACTGGGAAACAACTCAGAAGGTGATTGGATCAAAGATAGCCTCGGCATCCAGTAATGAGATGCTGCAAACCAAGGATGTACATAGCACCAACAAGATTTAATATTTCCCAACGCAACCAGCTATCCGGCCCTAAGCCTAATGAACTCTACTCCCATGCTCACACAAAGGAATATTATATCCATCTGGGATTTTTCGCGCGACTTATCGACAAAGCCATTACTATCGGTGTATACAACCTCCTCATAGTGCCAAAGAATATACAACGCCTTCGACAACATGCATTGGCGATTCCCATTCCGGCAACATCCTCCGCTTTGGTACGTTCCTCTCGGTTGGTTATGGCGCAAATGTGAGTCAAGTTGACGGAAGGGGATTTATACGGTTTGGGATCCGAAGCCACCCATGCAGTGCCACCACCCCCACATTACCAACTCAGTTCACAATCTGCTTCTCGAAGGCGCATCTGCCGTAGAAGATCATCCGGGGCGCGTCAAATACCATACTGGGTCCGGTGGTTACAGACCAAGATCCATCTGCCAAACAACGTCTTACATCAGCTGTTTTTATCTAGGATGACCCCCCCCCCTGCCAGTTATCAGTTTCAGAAGAAAGGAATGGTGCCCAATAACCAAAGTCAGACGCGTGGGGTTCGTAAGAGTCAGTTCCCAAAGTTTGTTCATTCATCTTGGGCAGCAGCTGCGACTGATCTTGAAGCGGTGAGGTCAGGAACCAAAAATACACAATGACAACCACACTCAGCCTATCGAGTGAAAGAGGTCAAAGTCTTTGTGTCTAACAAACGATGCAGGTAAATAGTTATGAAAGGGGAAAGTGACATGACGCACATCTAACAAAAAGCTATGGAGTTTGCAAACGAATCGTGAAAGGGGGAAATCAAACAGCAAACAGGTCAACTAAGATAGTTATCAACCCCAAAACTGGAGAGCGGTCAGTAAGGGACGCGCTTTCACGAGCTCTTAACGAGTCATACCTATTTCGACAGCAATTAAAGCAATAACAATCTGCTCCAACCGCTCTGCATGTTTGCTCTGAACGGATTCCTTTAATAATTTAAGCATATCGTGAAGGACCTAAGAGGAAATCAATTGGGTGTGGAGCGATCATGAGCTAAAAAGTTCTCACTCCAACTCGGGTATTTAGAAGGTCAACGCGCTGAGGTATCTCAAGGTAACTCCGTGCAGCTTCATACAGTGGTTGAAGATCAGGATACGTCTGTTGTGTCCGTGAGTATTCAGATCAATGGATCGACAATCATGAGCCTACCCAGAACAGTTCCTAGAACAGAAAGGGTGAAAGGATGGCTCAATGTACAGGGATATGAAATAGTTGACCTAGTCCTCACCGGTGAATCGAGAACTGAGCCGACTAGGTTTATATCCATACGAAGGATGAAAAGCTGGCCTATTTGCTGCATAATTTCATCGTGATGTAACTGGGGCGAAGATCAGTGAAGTTACACTGCGATGGGTGGTGGTGACATACGTGAATCTTCCCAGTTTTAGACATCACCTCAGGAATGTCTTTAGTCTCTTCGATTGTGTTGGAGATAAGTTGCTCGAACTGGCGGGGGGGAAATGCAATTGAACAAATACATATTTCAACTGAACCAGCGCTTACTAATGATATTTTCACTGATTGCGCAAGGGCATGGGAAAGGGAGAGCTTCGTCCTGCAAATGAGATGAAGTAGATGCGTTCCAAGGTACAGTGAACGTGCTTACATGAAGCTAGATCCTTTTCGCAGAGTAATCACATCGTTATATATGCTACGGTCGTAAGCGCGGTGAAAGTGAGCTCAATGGCAAGAGATCAGCTTACCGGCTGTAATTAGCATAATAATAATTGAGATCTTCCTTCTCGACATCGTCTGGAGCTGACCTGGGGGGTGAAAAAACAATTGCAGAAAATAGGATTCGACACCCGTACCTAAACGCTCTTGTTCGAAGCGCCGTCTGAGGGAGCCAATTGGTTAGGAGAAGAATAATCCCAGATGAATGAGGAATACATTGAACTCAGAAACCGTTTCTCTTGAGCTAAATGAGATTGACAAATTAGGTTCGCAGGGCATCATATCGAAGTGCGGCGAAGGATCGTACCCTCTGTCATCCCCCAGCAAACAACTGTTCCATATTCAAACAGGAAGACTTCAGCATCGATACCTTCCTGTCCAACTTTGTCGAATTTTGGGCGTCTCTTGACCGTCTTGGTCGAGCGGCGTTCGCGGACCGTACTTTCGGAAGGCACTCGATGTAGGGAATATGAGGCGTCGTCAACAAGCCACTTGTGTGACGACTTTGGAGAAGGTTGAGCTGCTTGCGAGGCGTGTTGTGACACGTCATTCCGTACGAGCTCCGGAATGCCCAATAGATCTCCAGAAATCGGAGCGGGATGATGATCAGCCTCGCTGCGGGGTCCAGCGAAGGAGTATGGAGAATATATGGCCTCATCAAATAATTTTGGGTCCGTTCTGTGAGAAGTCTTTCGCGCGTTCAGGAACTTTTGAATATCACTTAGGCGGTATGAGCTATTGTACAATGCCGCGTTAGCGAAGCCCCTCGTTGCCGACGAATTCTACACGCACTTCGCAGTGCAGTACGCGGTAACCCTCGGAAGTCTGGCTTTCTCCCTCTTCGTGAGACGGAGAGCGTCTTTACGCGCGGTTCCTGCCGGGATTTGTGCGATTTGCTTGTAAGGCTGTTAAGGAGTTTTCGAACGTTAGTTCTTAACAGGATGTCGGATCGACCAACGAACCTCGGCTTCTTCATCGTCCTCCTCCTCATGGGGGTCACTGGGAGACCCTGGTGTACCATCTTCCTCCTCATCCCCATCCTCGGCTATGATCTGGCTTTGCGTCCTTATCTCTGGCTGCTCAGGTAATACTTTCAGCTTATGTGCAGCTTTAGTACTTCGATTTGGACCTCTGGCTTTCGGAGACGCTTCAGGAGTTACCCTCACAGCGCTCTTCTGCGTCGTCGGGAGTGCAGCACTTGTTGACATGACTTGAGTTCAGAAGAAGAAGAAGAAAAGTTGAAGAGGCGAATTCATAAGCGTGCCAAGAGGCAACCAAGATTATTACGAATGTAGTTACAGAAAACGCGTACTATCCAAGTACGTGCCCCTGGTTCGGTTTCTGCAACGGATGGTGTCCTGCACCCAGCGTGCGAACTAAATACGGGGTTGGCCGGGAAACGCGCTTCAACGCTCTCACCAGTGCTTAGGTGTTGTTCTCTAGTTCTCCTAGCCGGTATCTGGAAGTCATGCTCAGAGGGCCTTCGAAACCCCTTCGCTATTAGCGCGTTAACATGATCGGTGGACTCCTACCCCTTCCACTTCGCCAATCGCCATAATAGAAGCATTTCTCACGTCTACTGGGTTGAAGTTCCTAGCGATTCCTCTATTTAATATTAAGAAGTCATAGAGGTGCTAAGATGATTCCGAGGGCACATTCGATTGCTGTTATGCAAGTGCATCCCCTGGCGCTAGAACCAGCTGCTCAGATTACTGCTCTTCACTGGATGATCGCAGGAAAGACTTGCAAAAAACTGTTGTAACCCAAACCCCCGCCAAAATATGTAGATGTTGCATTAATATCGGCGATTCCTCCGAGGCCTGCATCATCAGTACTGTAGCATGACCATTACGGGGCTCTTTCCTTCAAGATAGCTTCTTGGACACCAAGCGCAAAGTATGTGCGATGGATAGGTCATTACAGAAAGTGCCAGCAAAATGTTCAGATTGTTCACGAAGATCGCCGTTCCGGCTGGCTAAATCTCGGACTCGGCGCACTATCCCGAACTACCGTCAATTTGTGTAAAATTCGAGCAAGCTGGATGAGTACGATTTCCAAGCCATGTGGAATTTTACCGTGGTTACATACAGAGCTACGTTCATTGTCGCAGTGTTCCTGCCGACTTGTTACAATTGTACAAAGTACAGAAATACACCAAAGCGCTTAAACCTCACACCTGATGTGCAGGGCTGAGTACTACCAGTTAATGATCAGCAGATCCTGGAGTAAGTTTGTTGCTCTCTTGGTGCGTCGGATTCCGCTTTGAATTTGCCAATCTCGTGCTCAATAGTGTTGGGACTCAGGTTGCTGCTGGAAAAAGCTAGTTGCATTTGGAAAACGCCGGAGTCCGTTTCTAAAAGGGAAACGGAGATCAGAAAGTAGGATTAAGGATGCCATAATTCCAACAAATTAACGCACTCGTAAGTTGCTCCGTGATCTCCAATATGTCCGCGGCCACACGTTCTTCGAAAGGGGGCACGAATCGTTAATCACATGCATAAAATGTCTGAGTCTGCCTACCGATTATGTCTGGGTTCATGCTCTCGCGTACTTAGGGGTGATCTTAGCCCAGAAGCAACGGCGGTGAATGGGGGCGAACGCACCAACAATGCGGAGAACTTCCACCTTTTCCACATTTGGAGGCATGTTGTAATTGGGAACGATCCACTGCTTTTGACGCAGAAGATTCTACAAATAAACCCAACCAGTCGTACCCTCGATAGCCTCAACCTCGCGAGGTGCCCAATCACTCACCTGGATCCATGACTGCTGTACGTGAGGGTAATTTTGCTTGAACTCGTCCGAGAACCTGTCGTGCACACATTTTCGCGTAAGCATTGTACGGATGAGTGCCTGCCAGAATTCGGTCTTCACCTGAACGCAACAACTGGCAGGCCCCTCTGATAAAATGCCGCCTTATCCTCGTCGACCCTACCGGAAGGATCGCCTATCACGCTGCCAATGGCACCCGTAATACTGGATTTTTTGTATGGGATGTGGATATTGCTGAGGCACTGTATATCACCCAAGAGTGAATCTACTTTTTTCTCGCGAACAGAGGGTGCTGGTTCGGATCAATCACTTACTTTATACCATCCTGACTCCTCAAGTGCACGAGATAAGAGGCGAGCGTTCGCAAGATCCGCTTCTGCAATGTTTTGTATCCCGCGAACCCAAGATTGAGGAAGTTGAACATTTGAGCTAACAGCAATCGTCAGCATTCAACAGCCCCAGAGCAAACCCCGAAAATAATGGTTGTATATTTACCCAAGATGGGCGCGCTCGGCCTGGAGAAATTGAGCGTGTACGACTGTTCCGTAGACCCAAGGTAATGCAGCTCAAAAATGAGGTCTTTATGGAGAAGACTCTCATCTTTCCAAAGTATCCATCCCAAACCTGTTCAATTTCGCCGTCAGTTTCGGTGTGCCAGATGAGTGGTTCCGCTCCACATACCAACATAAGTTAGTCCAAATTTGTGCCCAGAGGTATTGATGCTATGAACACGCGGAACATCGACTACGTGACAAGCGATCTGTTGAATCCACTGTATGAAATCATTTTGAATCAGCCACTCACAACCCCACTTGTATCCAGGATATACTGCACGCAATGGCAGGCCGGTGAGTCTAACTGCTACATGGATAGTTCTGAAATGGACAAGCGTACCGAATGGGGCAACGAATCCGCCGGAAGCGGCGTCCACTGATCAATCGCATACTGTCGATCTAAACCAGCACTAGCAATCTAATTTACGTACCATGGATGGGATACTGATACCCGTCTCGGCTTCATACTTATCTAGAAAGTCATTCATCTCCTGCACGTCTTCGAAGCCACCCGTGTATGTGCTTCCAAGGATCTGTGCAAGGGTTGGATCTGATGGTGGTCACACTGAGACGAAGATGAACGGCTTACGATGAAGACACCAATTGTGTTCTCATCAACATACTTGATTGCATCTTCGGTGACATGACATATCCCCCCTCCTCCGTGACAGGTACCAACTTAGCCTGGTGGAACACATTTGAGGGCCATTTAGATGGAAATGACCTTCGAATGACAAACCTCGACGTCAAAGTACCTCGCAAATTTCTCAATTGCGACTTGGGCGTTAGCACCCATGATAACATTTGGATGGTAGTAATCCTTTCCTGCGGCTTTCCGCCGTTCCACCCAAGCCTTTTTCATCGCCAAACCACCTTTAAAGGATTGTATATCAGTCTTGACTTTGCAGCTCATGAATTCAATAGAACCTAGCATGATGGCTTCGGAAGAGCCCCCCGTCGCCGTTCCAATGACATGAGAACCTTTAGGCGCTTTCCATAAGTGAGAGACTGAATATAATTTTTAGTGAATCGATTCGTTCGGTAACGTCAACGAATGAAAGATACCCACGCATGGAAATACAGCGTGAATGAATTTGCATCGTGGCAGGATATTCATCTTGGTCAGCTGCGAAATCGAACCACCATGTGGGATGAACATCTGGTCAGCTTATCTTCATGGATAGATAACCCACAAAAGTTCCTAAAGGATCGCAATATCAACTTCTCCTCATGAACAATAAAAAAGCAAAACGAACTTGGCAATATTCTCAACTACCAGCTTCAACGCCTCGTCAGGCATCCAGGTGTGCACAAAGCTCGCAAAATTGAGAGATGGAGAGCCATCGAGCTCTACTTCGTCATGGATCAATTGATACGCTGCCGAGGCATTAACCCCGGTATCCTAGTTCAGGCGAGCAATGACGTCATGAAGCCTGATGGGGAAATGTGCTACGAACGGGGATTCGATACTTGGGAACATTCTAGGTCACAAGCCGTTTGGTCAATCACTCGGGCTCGTGGCGGATGTAAGCTGACCTCTATCTCATATCGATTCGTGTACGCATCTTTCGAGGGATGTGGCGGAAATATGCTCAGAAACACCAAAAAGAAGAGAGTGAAACTGGAGGTGGAACCTTACTTGATTGGAATTCACGGCGTCGATTAGAGATAAACTTTCGATGAGGATGGTCCTAATTTCCATCCCAAATTGTAAGCGATGTCCGTACTATGGGCCACGGGCTCGACTTACCCTCGCATGAGCGAACAAAGCGTGTGTGTCAACTGCAATCCAAGTTCAGCGCATGACGCCACTGGATTCGGCAGTGCCCCAAAGCAACATCAGGAGGACTCAACTGTGTTTGGACAACGACATCGCAGTCTTCAAACAAACTTTCGTGAGCCTCTGGGGGTGTCACTGCAGACGAAACTTCAACTGGAGCGAAATGAAGGTTATATTAATAGTGGGGAGCTGTCGCGACGTCATACTGGCATCAGCGGGTGGTCGCAATCAGCCGTGCCTCAAACGGGTTGAAATCGAAAGCAATAGAGAATATGATATGTTCCAGCTCGAATCAGGACGGGGCTGTCGCCCGAAGCCTCTAAATTGGACACGACCCTGACAAAATGTGGGACGACCAGGAGGATGCATGGCGGACCCTGCCAATGATCGCGTACGTGAAAGAAATTCCCATCTAACGCAGCCATGCATCTCAGGACTCCCCGGAATGTGGAAAAGGTTGCACGGCTGCTTTTCATAGTGGTCATGTTGAATACTTATATAATTTAGTTACCGCGTCTATTCATTCCTTCCTAGTTCTGCCTTTGTTGACATGTCCATTGACAAGATCACTGGACTGCATCACTGCCTCAATGGATTCCGACTCCATAGCTCACGCTTTCGTTTCCGGCCCTAGACAGCCCAGAGGCCGACGGCATCAGACCTCAATAACTTCTGACCAGTGCCAAACGGGGTTCTCAACATAATCCTGACCCTAATCGTGAGACGGTGAATTTTCTTAACATGAGGCGTTCGGATGAACTCCTGCTTCCTGGCGGGATTCCAATTCCACTTCCCAAAGAATCTTCTCATGCCTTTTTCTCAGGGGGGATCTGTTACCATCATGCAGGAATCGAAGCATCAATTCACAAGTGCTGAGGACCGTAGCAGGGGTGAGGAGGAGGAAGGGCTGAGTCATCGTGGAAGAGTGAGTACCCTTGCGTTGTATAAGCTCGCACCGTCAGTGGTGGTGTGGTCTCCCCCTGTATGTGAATAATCTTGGGTTGAGAGCGAAGCTGGATTGAGATGAAGACGATGGATTCTCACACAGAAGTGTCGCCATAGATATGAATGAGGGCACCGTACACGCTGCCCCGACGGACACCAACGTAGTCCCTATTTGAGACATAATCATGTATATTGATGTATGCCAAGTAGAGGGAAGCCATGACTTCCAAGGGAAGAGATCGTAGAGTCATTCTCCTCATCATGATTCGAGTGGCCAAGGTATGACTGGATATAATGGGAAAATCAACAGTAGCCAAATAAGATAGGGAGATATGGGGCATCCAGTTGGTCAGTTGGTGTGCGATGATCGGATTTCGTTGCCCGCGCTTGAAGAACGGAATGACCCAAATGGCCATGAGGACAAAGCACTAGAGAGCAGAACAGAAGTAGGGGTCGCCCCGCACTTGAACACGCCATCCCTCTTGTCCCCCGATTGCTCTGTATTTGCTAGGCAGGACTCCAGCCTCTATGACTTCGTAATAATATATAGATGTATTTGCGTCGTTTTTCGTTTGTCATGGTCTGGGCCATTGTTCTACGTGGGATGTCGGGCGGGAGACTGTTGCATAATGATTCTTGTCCTCTGCGATGCTTAATTAAACGCATATGTGAACCAAAGCAATGGTGGCCGCCTGTTGTCGCTCCCAGCAGCCGGAGTGTGTGCTAGTGTGTGGTGTCCGGGGACTGGGACTGATCGATGGTACCTAGCGAAGACTTTTTGGCTACATCTGCGTCTCAACGCCGAAGGACGCACGGTGAAGGCGGACTTAGCGACACTCGACCAGAAAACATACACAACATCGTGTTGTTGATCGCCGATAATAATACGGCATTGCGCGCGTTCCATTCTGTTCTCATTGATGTTACGATTTTGGACTCCCCTTATTGCTTCGCTAGTCTCAGCAATCCTAGTATTTGGACACCTTGAGCACGAGACTCATGACCATGTTCAAGTGGATAAGCCTCGTATCTGGACTGAAGAAGTGTTTACATCTTCACCAGTCGAGCCGTCTCGTAGCGAGGAAGAATACGCCTTTAAGTTCGGTCCTCAAGTAGATCTGCCCTTCAGCGGACCATTATCATTTGCACATCTCCCGTATATTCGTTGTTTGGATGATATAGGCTCAGAGAAGAACCTATTCGATATCGCCATTCTGGGAATGCCTTTTGATACGTCCGTTTCGTATCGACCTGGCGCTCGGTTTGGACCACATGGAATACGGAGTGGAAGCAGGAGGTTAAGACGTGAGAGAGGATATAGCCTCGCCTGGGAAGTAAGTGCGATACCATGATCCCACTTTGTTCGAAAATCGATGGGTGTGAGCACTGAATTTTGTCGTCGTTGTCATGCTGATGAACGGTACGTAGGCTTCGCCATATTCAACGAATGACACTACAGTGCTAGATTGTGGAGATGTGAGCCTGTGTTTCTTGTATGGGCGATGGAGCTCTTACACAATTTGTCAGGTTCCCATCTCCCCCTTCGACAACTCGATCGCAGTGGCGCAAATGGCAGCTGCATATTCAACACTACTTGCGCGTCCAGTCGCCAATCCATGTACTGAGTCGATCAGGTCCTCTTGTGTTACGAAGAGACTTTCTATTGATGGCAAGGACCACCCTCGGGTGAGTTTGTATGATATTCTGTCATATCCTGGATAGATTCCAATATAATTATTAGATTGTGACTCTTGGTGGAGATCATGCTGTCGTGAGTCCCCGCACTTCTACCCCAATGAAGTCCACTAGAAAACCTTCCCAAGGTCCTTCCAATTCTTCAATCCCTTCACAAAGTCTATGGGCGGATCACCGTCATACACTTTGATAGTCATTTGGATACTTGGCCAGCTCAAGGATATTACGGAAACAGCGAAGATTCTCTCATCACTCATGGAACATTTTTCTGGACTGCTTCGTATCAGGGCTTGCTTGCCAAAGGGACATGTGTGCACGCTGGCATTCGGTGCAAGTTAACGGCACGCCCAACGCTATTTAAAGCACTAACATCGATCTCTTACCCTTTCAAACCTTACAGGATATCGATGATTTAGTGAATGATGAAGAAGTCGGTTTCGCAATCATCACGACGGATGATATAGACGATATTGGTCCCGCAGGCATCGCTAAACTCATTCGTGACCACGTTGGGGATGGGCCCATCTATCTTAGGTTCGTCATCATACATGATCCATTTTCCAAGATTCACCCCAACGTGCTAGTTTGGATATCGACGTCATTGATCCCGTAGCGGCACCAGCAACTGGCACTCCTGAGCCTGCTGGATGGACTCCACGTGAATTGAACGGTATTCTTCGAGGATTGGCGGGTTTGAATTTTGTCGGCATGGACATTGTTGAGGTTGCTCCAGCTTACGATACGAACGGTGCGTACGGCTGTTGCTCCGAAATCGGTGACATTCTGATGCCTGTGGTACAGCGGAGACGACAGGCCTGGTCGCTGCGGGCATAGTACATGAATTTCTGTCAATGTTTATCGCTGACACTCCACCAAAAGGTTTCAAGAGTTCATTGCGCCTGAAGAAAGGTTCTGGCATATAAAGTGTCTTTTCTGGGTTTGTTTGCTTTCCTTCCAAATGGGAAAGCATATATACACAATTGGCCATCGGGGTCGGATACCGTACAAATGCTTGAGGGTTCCGTTCAGGGATGATGATCACTGTCCAAGTATCGCTTTTGAGAATACGGATGAGCTGTGTGATAGTCACGTTGTTGTTGTATTCTATTTTATTACCCCCACGTGGTAGTGCAGCTTTCCCGACGCATCTGGTCAATTGTCTGGTTGGTACTTATGGTCAGGATGACGGAGGGTTGTGGTGTCAGGTTTTAGTCATGTCTGGGGTGCACACGTCGTGGCTTCGATTATGTAAGTTACAAATCAATTCGTGCCTGGAAGCGGCCAACGGCGACGTTGAAGTGAACCCAAAATGGAAACTGCAACGGTTCTTCGCTTCTACCAATCCTGCTGCATGCCAACAGTCCTTCGAGATGCCGAGGTGGGCGCCTAATACCAGGTGGCATACTCCCTGGTAGCTCATAATTCCTTTCAGTGAATCTGAGCATACTCAAAGCGGGTCGATTACGTCTGGTGCGATGCTGAGCTTCTCAGGTGTTCAGATATTGACTCTGCGCACGTGTTTCACAGGCGACGATCAGAATATTGGCCCTTCATCTCCAGTTGACGTTCCGCCAACAGATGACGCTCACAAGCCAGCTGCCCATCCTTCAAGCTCTAGACGGTCGAGATTAGTGCCGTCTGACAATCCCGATGACTATAAGGAAAAATATGAGAGACCACCTCTAACCAGCCTCCTGACCCCTGGGCCTGGTGCTAGCAGATTCCGTAATTCTGCCTTGAAGGTCATGCATCTCAACAGAATGCAAGCGGTGTGTGTCATACACGTCGAGAGCTACAGGCCTCATCGTTTATTTGTTACTTCCAGTCTGTTCGTGCCCCTGGAGCAGAACCTGGCGTAGACCCGCGAAGGCCATCAACTGTTGAGCAATACTCCAATATCCATGAGGAATGCTTAATTCAAGTCATCGATTATGGGGGGGCACACGCCAGTTTCCAACGAGCTACCAACGAGAGCTTGATTCATTTCCTGGAGGATTCCAAAACATCTGTCAGACCAGTATGGGCTAAGGTTAGATGGATCAATGTGTTCGTTCCTTACTTTGCTCCCTCTATCCTGTCTTATAACATTGCGCAGCATGGGTATTTCATGGGATGTGATTAGCGCCTTAGCATTGCAATACGGTCAGTCTGATTTTTTCTCGGGAAATGGACTTAAGGCCCATGTTTGAACAAGACTTGCATCCCCTTTCTGTCGAGGATGTCCTTCATACTCGACGCACGACCTTGTCGAAGGCCGATTACTACGTCAAGCACCTGTTCATATCCACCCTTTGCCACACATTGGGGGAGTCCAAAAAGCATAAGGACTCGGACGCAGAGGGGCCGGACGATGAACCCAAAGGAAAAATCACGGGAGGAAGGACAAACATCATCATCACCCTCTGCAAGACAATGGTGTCATTGTTGATGATAAAATAACATCCTCCCGTATTCCCAGCAACTCACGTGGAGTTCCTCAAGCCTGCCTCCCCCAGCGACTGCTGAGAACAGGAAGTCCAAGTCATGGCATTGGTTTAACTCGAAGTCGAGCACCCCCAAACCGTCCAAACGGACGGCCCACGATGACGACAATTCTGATGAGATGTGCACTCCCGATCGAAGACATAGGCCACCTTTTCGAGGATATCACTATGCCACATGTTGCGGCGTCGAGTGCACAAGCTCCGCCTCCCGCTCGACCGAATCCAAATCCCCTGAAGAAGACTACAGCTTCGTTTTACAGAGTCCGTTCTCACCTGCTCACCGTCTGACCCATGAATATGAACGTCCGTTGCTTCATTAGGAAAAAGTGGCTCGCAAAGAGGCCTTTGTCAATGAGTTGAAGAAAGATGCTCGAATAAACGTCGAGATCCGGAACCTTTACCTTTTCCTTCTGCGTGATGGTAAGTAGTTGTTCAACGGCAGACACACGCAAACAATTTCTCGATCTTTAGGCACTGTTATCTCGATCTACAGAAAGGATGCTACGTCCCGCATGTTTGCCACACCAATCGTTAACCGCCTGCGGGAGCCGCATACTATCTTGCGGGCGTCCGCAGACCCATCTTTGTTGCTGCAAGCAATCCTAGATTATAGTAAGTTTCATTTTTTATCGCTTTGATAGCACCAAGATCCAATCTGTCAATAAAGTTGTGGATGATGCATTGCGAGTTATCGATTGTTACCACGATAAGATTCTGTCTCTCGAGCGTCAGATTCTTATCAAGCCAAAGATGATGTCGGTTAGGCAACGTGGGCACCTGTTTGTTATCTACTTAGTTTTCGAACTGATTTGTCTTGCAGTCCACATCCTCAGTGGCGACATCACGCTGCATAAGAGGACCTTAACTCCGTTGAGGAGTTTGGTGTATGGACTTAGAAGATACGATCTTGCCAGGTGTCAGGCGCTCGTCTCCTCTGCCGCACCGAAGAGCGAACTATCGGGGTAAAAGGGTTCATGACACATCAAGCTAAGATATACTTGGTGCGGACGCTTTGTTCCGTCTTGAAAACCCTCTCAACTTGGCGTCTCTTGATCAGGCTGACGTCTTGGATCATACGGAATATATCCTCAGCTCCCTCGATACGTTCTCCAGTATCGCAGAAAATTTAATCAATTTTACGTTCAACGTACGTGTACTTTGGGCAATGTTTGAGAATTTCCATCTCATGTTGTTCTCAGACGATCTCGTACCAAACTAACGAGACCATGTGGTTTCTGCTGCACCGATCTGTACACTTACTAATTATATCTCCAGGCGACGATTGAGCATCGCAACAGTTATCTTCTTTCCATTGACCTTCCTCACTGTGAGACCAGTTTTGCATTCGATTGCACTTCGGAAGCTAATTCTTCATGGTTGCTCCAGGGCTACTTCGGTATGTCTGGCTATCTTTAGTCTTTGATCTCAACCGAGTTAGCATGGGTTTTCTAGGAATGAACTTTGAGAACATGTGGTCTATTCATCACGGCACACCGATATCGTGTTAGGCGTCTCTAAGTGCCGACTACTTACGATCCAGACTTGCTAACGAAATGTTATAGCTTCTGGATTATTGCCATTCCTGTCATGGTTATTGTCATTAGCTCTTTCTTGTGGCATGATCTCGAACGCATGACGCGCTTCATTCGGAACGAAGCAGACCGGCGACATTTCAAGAAGGTACGGATACACCTCGACCTTGCACAGATCGTGTCCTCGCAACTAATTTCACATTCCATCAATTTGCACAGTCTTTCAAGCTAAAGCAAGCTTGATCATGCCAGGGGATCGGACTAAGGATCTGGTTCCAAGCTTTTTTCTGCGGTATATTCTCTTAATTAAGACTATCGAGGATTGTGTGGTCTGGTTCTGATATTAATGTCACATTCATGAGCTCCTGTGGTTGTCTATTTATCTCGACCCGTCCGCTTCTCAGCTCGTTGCCCCTGCACTTGAGACCCGATACTGGCGCTACACGGATCCCTCAGCATGGGGTGTCAAAAAAGTCAATTCTGACGCGACAGTTGATTTATGAGAGCTGCACTAGGCGGAATATCTGGTATGGGCTCGAAGAAAGGGAACGATTGAGTGTTAGCCTTCTAGGTAACAGCAGTACAGCTCGTCCACACCCCGACACTTCAGTTGAGGACCTCTGGTATGCCCCAATCTTGGGCAGCCTACTGGGGTGTATGCTGTTCCCAAACTTAGGATCGGTTGAACGCGGCGGCAACGTTGCCCGGCATGACTTTGGTAAGAGTTGTCATATGAACTATGCTGCCACTCTCTTTTGGCGGTAGTTGTAGTGTGCTCGGTTGCGGTGTGAGTTACTTATGACCATGTTTACTTTTGTTTTGGATACTTAGCCTGCAAACTTCAGGCTGCTCCTGAGAGCGCCAAGGACAGGGTGTTGGGAATAAATAAGGCGAGAAATAAAAGATCAGTCCGATCTGAGTGTACCCGTCCTCCGAAGTAGTATGCAGATCCTGCTCCATTAGCGAGTCACCACTTACAGATGTTCGGAAATGTATCACAGTTCTCGATTAGGTGAGTAGCATGAATCTCAGCTATCCCACCAACATTCGTACCATCAATAACGGATCGTCCCTCTAGTCAAAAGTTGCCGCCCAACTACGGAATAGAAGGGTAAAATATCACCAGAATCCTGCTGGAACATGGACAGCTATGACAATGCACCCAAGAAAGCGTCAAATCGTGGAAGCGTCTCCGGAACCAGACGCGTCGCTAATTTGCTTGGTAGTCAGTATAGTTCAGCAAGACCATGAGTACCTACCCAGCGCTGGCCAAACAATTTTCTCTACCTGACTTGGGTGTGCGCTTGTTCAACATTCCCTTATGTTTTCTCTTTTGACGAGAATGGCTTGCCAAGTAGAACCGACTAGACCTCTAGATTGGACGTCCATACCAGTATCCTTCACACTTTCGTGCAAGGCAGGGTTTCGAATCAGTCAATTTATTCGTTCACTTCGGTGGTGCTGGACATGAGTAACTGTGAGCCTGGTGACGAGCGCCGGTTAGACCTGTCCCAGAGGTCCAGGAGACGCATACCACGCGACAATCATGCTTTTTAGCAAGTTTCGACTGGCGAGAGGAATGACATCCAAGGCATTACTGGATGCCTTATAACTCTTTCGCAACTGAACGTTTACTCTTGAGCTTGAATGAGACCTTCAAACTCCGAGGATCTTTTGCAAGGGCTCCAATCGACAGTACACCACCACCTCCGCATCAGTGCTTCATCAGGAGTTCGAACGGTCTGAAGGCGAACACGGCGACAGAGATAGGTGACAATGACGACAACGCCCTAATTGAAATTACTTGTGCTTTTTTTTCTTTCGACCTTGCGCGGCTTCTGCAATAAATGTCCTGTTTTAGTTGGGGAGGGGGAGGGGCCCTACTCTTCCGTATTTCTGGATCAAGATGGTTAATCCATCAAGGCTTAAATTACTGCCTGCAACTGCTATTTACCAGTTTTCTGGCTGCACAACTCTCCTGAGGCCCCTACGATTACACATTCGGGACCGAAATGAGAATGGCCTTCATACCATGTTATCATACCACGACTATTACTAGCTGCGGCAGTCGGGCATGACGATTCTCCCCAGAGACTATCTGACACAGGGATCAAACTTGGTTTGCCAGTATGGACCGAGCCCAGACACTGAGCCTAGAGGTTCTAGCTCCAGCGTCAAATAAACTGTGTACGCGGAAGCCCAGCTAGGTGGTGCAGTTGGGGTACCACTAGATTGTCAGCTATCGGAAGCAATGTCAGAACTGGGATCGGAGTCGGCAGACAGCTATTGTATATAGTCGAATGTTCATGTGGATCTCGACGAGGCGGAAAGCTTCGAGAAGACGACTCATTACATTAGCGACTCTATGATATTGAAGACTTGAGGGGTGAAAGTTGAGTTCTGTATAGCCAGAAGACGAAGCTAGCTTTGGCAGATCCCCTTCAGCCTGAGTTGCTCTGGGCACAAAGGGATGCTGGAGATGTCTATCCGCTCGATAATTGCGGCTTACCAGTGGAAGTTGGGTTCTGCATAGCCAGAAGACGAAGCTAGCTTTGGCGGATCCCGGGTGCAAAGATACAACTTCAGCCTGAGTTGCTTTGGGCACAAAGGAATGCCGGAGACATCTATCCGCTCAATAATTGCGGCTTACCAGCGTACTGTGTTATGGTAGCACGCGTTGGGCACACCGCCAATATGAGTCCCAAGATTATCCTGAATGGGTTCCACACACATTCGTTCCGGCGCCAAGTGGTCAGATCATGTTGTGCGTATTGTAACCATTGCACAACTGGGGAGTATACAACTGTGCCTCTATAATTTCCGGCTGCAGTATTCGAGTTCATACGCTGCACGGATACAGATGCGGAGGATGCATAGCTAAGCTAGTGTATGCGAGAGACCGTTTCCCTTTCCGACCAGGAGATCCGGGAACACCTTATAAACTATGAAATCAGTAACTAGAAGTGTAAGCTCATGGCCCTCGAGCCCGGGTGCGGCGTGTCAGAAACCTGATACACTCGGGTTACGAGCATTGTGGATGATAGGAAAGCGCAGTGGATTTTACGGAGATTGAAATGCATGAGGTGCACATATACGGCATGTCCGGCGGACATGAGGTGCTAGGGTCTCTAAGCTGATCCACATATATCAGAATCACGCCTGACCATTGGGCGCTCGTAAGCAGGTGACCAGCCTCTCTTGGGCGCTCGCACTAGCCAGCTGCTGGCAATGTATTGGATGACCGACCTGTGCGCTTTTTTGGTTGGACAGATGTTATTACATATGAATTCAGGAAGTATATACCCTTACTTACCGGCAGTTGGTCGGCTTCGTACAACATTTTGTCCTCCTGTGGTTCAGCCCATGGGTAGCCGTGGAGTACTACTGAGTGAGCAGCAGCTGCTGGCGAACACCATGAGTAAGCCGGAATACGCTCGCCGCATTGCGCTGTATTGCGGTCGATCGTACACTGTGAGCCCTGGGCGGCTGGCTTCTCACATAGAGTCATCACCTCCTCTTCGCCATTGAACATGCATATATTGTAACTTCCCCTCTTCCCGCACGCGGATGTGGCGCGGCCGGCGGAGATACGTTGCATGCGGCTGCAGCTGGTGAGGGGTAACAAACTTGTACAATAACACGTTGTGCATAATATCATATAAGCCAGGATGAAAGGGTATAGGCGCCGGCGAAGCATAGCTGTGCTCTGCTTTGCGCATATAGCCGTACCGATGTTGTGCCGAATTGGCGAGATTGCTAAGTGGTTGTTCCTGAACGGTCATTGAGCGGGTGCTGAAGAAGGCCTCGGGAACGGGAGCAGATCGGGAGAGCTAGAAGAAGTACCAGGGGGAGGGCCGAAAGAATCCTCTACTATATGACCTCGGAGGCATTATGCATAGCAAGGATAGCATGGTAACGAATATCATGTTAATATGCATGTAGGTATCCATGGTGCTCACCACCGTTGTGACCGCGGGTGCGCACGCATGGACGATACAGGTGGTGAGCTTATGAGAGTTTATACACTTTATTTAAGCCGAGAATTTGTACCCCTTGCTAAAATTGAGGTTGCAGTGCACATATGGAGTGTTGCAGGGCCCGACACTGGCTCCATGATGATGATTTGGGAGCCGCTAGCTAAGGTGAATGTGGTACACGTTGCCAAGACGCGATCAACATTGTTCTTCGCAGGCGGCAGAGCAATGCAATTGTATGACTTACAAATTACAATTGTCGTCATGATTACGGTCGGCAGGGCCAGATCCCTTGCCTTATAGTCAGATGGAAGGAGCGCGCACGGTCAACGGCGTGCGAGTGACGGCTGGCTTCCCCAGAAGAGGAAGCCGCCTGCCGTGTGCCAGCTGTATAAGTGTTCCAGATTTGACTTCCTTTTAGGGCAATTTCAAGCCGAAGCCGACAGGCAATAAATAGTGGCAACGAAGGTGGATGCCCGGTTGTTTGCCGATGGGGATGGTCAGCCGTTGCGTGAGATTTGGTGTCAGGTGGCTGGTTAACGCACAGAACCAATGCGTTCGCGGCTGTTTGGTTCGACGAGCGCTGGAGGATCGCGTCATTCAGAGGATGTCAGGGAAGAAAACGTGTATTTGAAATTCTGCATTTGACGTTCAGTTGCCAAAAAGAAAAGTGCCAATATTGTATTATGTATGATGCGATTATATGATTATGTATTGCTGCGTTCGCTGGAAATTGTTTACCGACCCACTGGAATTCTTTTCATGTAACTCGCGCTGCTTCTTCCTCCCTCGCTGTTTTCGTACCACTCCGATCTGGTGTTGTTGGGACTTGGATTGGCTTGAGTGTGCAAGGAGACAAGGGGCTAGAACTGGGGGGCCTTATCTGTTTGCTTGTTTGATCTCGGCGTTGAGTTCGAGTTCGGATACATAAATTAGGCAAACGAACGCTTGGTGGTTCGATCATCACCAAACACGCCGTTCGAGGTGGGATTACAACAGGCAATCAGCCCTAACCCTACTCGCGTGTTTTCATAGCGAGGACAGCATTTCTTCAACTCCCACGTTACTTCCCACTTGCTCGCTATCCTACTTGTGACGTTGCTCCAGCACCGGAGTGGGCTGGCCTTCATTTGCAAATAGGGACATGTGAGTACGGCACATAATGCAACCCCGCAACCAGCAGCCAACGCTTACTCTGGCTGTAGCGCGTCGGTGTGTCGGTGTGTGGTTGTGCTCTTAGCTGAAAATTACAGCGGTACAAGATTGGCGCTTCGCAACAGCAACAATACCTTACCGACGCTCGAAGGGATAGCACGAAGAACTTCGACGTGTTGCACGTTTTCAACAGTGATTCGATTACTGACGGAGCGTTGCGCGAAGCGCTGGCGCTAACGATTGACGTACGTCGTGACTTACTGAGCTTCATTTGAGGATGATCGTTCGACCTCCGCAGATACTACGATAGTTGGCGAGTCTTTCAACGAATGAGCAGATTGCTAAATATGGTTTTTGCAACGGTAACCACCACCACCTCATCCACTACCACAATCGCGCCTCGTCCTCGTCCGCATGAAACTCTTCCGGTCTGTGCATCACCATCTTCATCAATACTTTCTCCCCCCCATTGCACTAGTACCAAAACTGGCGATACGAAAGAAGCTCATCCTTCAATTATTACGAACAGCACTACCAAGCCCAGCATTCCACCGTCAGATGATAAACCTTTCGATGACGAGGGTGTGAAAGGTGATGAGAGGAATTGGTAGACATGAGTCCCAGCCATACTTCTAATCGTACAACGACGACGACACGGAACTTGGAATTTAAAGGTGTAGTGCGGTTGGTGAGGTGGGTTTCTTCCAGTGGTCGAAGACGATCCACGATCAAGGAGAGTAAGGATAGTAAAGATGGAAGGGCGAAAGGTACTCGCGTTGCGGGTTTGGACTCCAAGTCGCCGTCTAGCACACAACCATGAGTCCGACGATGCCTCTATTGGAAGTGACCTCTGGTGCCAGTACTGAGTCTGCATCGGGATCAAGACCAAATACTTCGACTAAACATCAACAATCGCTTTCATCCATGTCTACTGGAGTGGACTATCCATGTTTGACGGGCGGGGTAGAGATATCGCGTGTGGGGTCATTCTGGAAGCGAACTTCTTTGTCGAGATCTCTAAAACGCCGGGATGAATCGTCTGGTGCCGCCAATTCTGTGACCACCACTCCTGATCTTACTCCTGCTCCTGCTATTGCTACTGCGGTGGCGAGGACGACGACGGTATCTATCGGTGCAACTGTGACATCACACCACCCCAACCCATCTCTGCCGACTGTTCCAGCTAACAGTCATCAGCCTTTAACACATGCTGCTGACTCATTGATAATGCCGTCAGCAACGCCAGGACCGCCACCGATAAGGACACCAGCATCGCCAATTCAATCGAATCAACCGTCCGTAACCCCGCTCTCACCGGTGGCGCCGGATCGGACCTTCGCCACCATTGCTGACAGTACAACATCTGCGATCGGTGGACCCTCTGATGCAGGAGTCAGCAATGGTACGAGTGTGTCGTCCTCGTCGGTGCGTCCGCCGGCAGTGTCAAGGACTCATTCGTCGGAGGGGTTTTCTTCACCGGAGTCTTCGGTGTCTTGGATGCGAATGACCTCACGACCATCACTACCAGCAGCAGCGCTACGAACCTCACAGGAAGCACAACAGGGACTCTCGGAACCACCTCCGCCTGACTTCAACAGGAAGCAAATGATCAGGGTTCAGCCCGATCACCTCCATTATCGCACCTTTGTCCTTATTTAAGGGCGGTTTCTGGGAAGATGACAGATCGGGAGACCACCCACGGATATCCTCTACGTCGACGACGACAACAACAGGGTCGCTGAGGGAGACCACAGCTGGTTTGGGCTTCCTCCACATCCGCCTCCTCGACGCCACCACCATCGCCCGCATCAACGACGTCATCACTCGCAACGATCTCGTTTACATCATCATCGGGCGCTCTCAGACGAAACTTCACATAGAGGCATGAAGTGGATGAAAGGGCATGTCTCTGCTGCTAATAGCGTTTCTCTTCTGCCTCCCCCTGTTTCTGCTACGACTGCGACCACGACTGCGACTGCAAGAAGCACTACTAGCACTGGCGTGCGTCCAGGATCCACTGGTACATTCAGCTCTGTGGTGGACTTTTTGGCACCTCCCTCAATTGCGTCGCGGAGACATGTAGATGAACATTCGGGGGGCGGCCGTAGTATTGGTGTTTATGCTAAAGGACTATGAGTGCAGGCGCCCGGAACGGTCAGCGGAGGGATGTTGATGTTGGCAAGGTGACTAGACGGTCGAGTAATCGGAACTGTGGGAGTTTTGTTAGGGAGGTGTTGGGTTCGACGCCATTTGAGCGGTGAGTTTTTTTTCTACTCTTTCATATTGGTTTCGTACTGATCAGGGGGCTGGCACTTCCTTCCCCACCTTCTCTTTAAAAAAAATCTTATATTGGGGAAAATGGTAACGTATTTTTGTTTCATTTTCCATCTTGGCTTTCTCAAGTCGAAGAGCAATGACGATCGAGACGACCTCTAGGCCTTCCTCGGTAGTGTTTAGGCCTATGTGGAATTCAAAGCCTTCGTCGATGAACCCCCCGACGATGACCGTGTCCGCTCATGCTCGGGATCGTGCCCTTATGTCGTCGGGTTCAACCAGGTCATCATCATCTCTCCCAACCCCCTTACCGTCGTCGACAAGATCGTGCCCTGGAACACCTGTTCCTTCTTCCACCGCTGTCATCACTCGCTCACACCTTCACGCCATTCGCCGAAAATTATCCAAGAAAATTCTCAGCGCCTTTCCCGCTTCTGCTCATGCCGCCGACCCTGTCCATTCCACTACACACATAACCCACCTCCACTCACCTCTTCTACCCGAAATATCACCCCAATCAACATTCATTACGTTGAGTGAGTTGTTTGGGGATGTGGACGCAAATGAGGATAACTGGGATAGGGATCCTAGCCATCCCGAGTCCGACGCACGCGGGAAAGGAAGGGAACGGCGTTTGACTGGGATGCCATCATTAATCGAGGGAGAGAGGTGGGAGCGACGGGAAGGTAGGAATGGTAATGCCAATAAGCGGAGTGGGATGTTTTTGTTAGGTAGTGGAAACGTTGAGGAAGATGAGGATGGCGGCATAGAAGTGGACGAAGGAGAGGGAGGGAGTGAATTCGAGGAAGGGGAGGATGACTCATTTCGCGGTGGTTTCTCCATTCGGAGTGGAACGATGAGATTTATGAATGTACCGAGTAGGGAGGGAGTGAGAGGCGAAGGGAGGGAGAGAAGGGGGAGGGACAGGGGGGAGCAGGGGGGAAGAGAATTGTCGTTGCAGAGAAGATGGTCTGTTATGGTTGCGGAGATGTCGGATGATTTAGAGTTTTTGAGAGTTTTAGAACGACATTTCGAGAGCGTTGGGAGAGAGACTGCTTGGAGTTGGGGTGGGGAAGAAACCTGTCGGGATGACTCTGCAATTAGGCGAGGGTCAAGTGGAGGCTATTCAACGGGAGTACAGGAAGCTGGAGGCGAAGATAACCGGGATGGTGATGAAGAGGATGAGGGTAGGATGCAGGCGAGGGCAAGGAAAGTGATGTTTTGTATCAGGGAGCTCATGAGGACGGAGAGGAGCTACTTGGAGCACTTGACGAGGGCGAGTCAGATACCAGTAAGCCGTTTTGTGTCTCTTATAAGGTACCTCGATGGTTGATAGAATCCTTCTCTCTGATTCTTCGGAATCGTATCCTTCTTTTGGTGAACAGGCTGCTCATCCTTCGTCCCCATTCTTCCTTTTACTGTTTCACCTACCCCGTCTGATCGATGCGTCCCAAGCCTTCCTGTGAGCCAACAAATCTTCACTTTGCTCTGATTCACGGGTAGTTAACCTCTGTTCCCTCCTAGATCCGGGATGGAAAAAACGCATCTGTGTGGGGAGTCGCTAACGCCTTCATGGATGCATCTGAACGAATCGAACAGGCTTTACTGCCTTGGTGTGGTATCGCAGGCTCTGTTCTTTCCCCTCCTAGACCACTGTCCTCAAGTTTAAATACTGGCTCACCATCACCCACGATATCGCTGTCGTCCTTTCTTCCATTCGGTCCTTCCTCCGCCTCGTCATCACCTGGTACTCCCACGCCTTCATCACCCTTTATAGGGGTTGCTGCGATCAGTGGCAGCGATAGTGTCGCAGTACGTACGGTGTCTCTCTCGAGCGTCCTCGTTCCGAACCACATCGAGATGAGTGACGCATATCATTCTACTCTTACCTCCCCCTCACCTGCAACGACTCCGACAAAGCCAAAAGCGACTGAACAACCGACTCCGATGCCTTTCGGCACAGGTAGTATGAGCGAAGATGGGCATGCTGTGGTTTCGGCGCAAATCCCTTTTCTTCGCCCTCGAGGGCGAAAGAGTCAATATGGAGAAGGGCAAGTTTGATAGTGACGAGTCAGAGTGCGAATGGGAGCGTTGATCAGGAGGGAGTGAAGTCAAGGAAGAAACAATCCTCTACGAAACGACGGATGAGCCCAACAAATGGCCGTGGGCGTGGGAGTGGAGATGAAAGGAGAAGCAGCTTAGTTTGCAGGATATTGCCATTATGCCTACTCAACGAATTGCTAGATATGGTATGCTCTTCCGAGGTGAGCTGTCCAAAGGGTGTAATAAATTCACTCTGTGCCGTCCTTATATTGCGCCCATAGACATACTTAAATTAACACCATCTAACTCTCCATCATATCGATGGTTGAGGCTGCGCTGCAGCTTGCGACGCGGATAGCGAAGAATTGTAACGATGCGCAGCAAAATTTGGACCTATCTGCTACTACCTAACTTATTCATTACCATCTCTCTCCGTCCTATCTTTCTATGCTTTCATCCTTTTTTTTTACAACACGATGACAAATTACCTCTGCGCGACCATCCGTGTAGGGGGATGCATGTGCTTTCCTCATTTCACGAATTTTCCACACCACCTTACTCTTACCGTAGCACTTGATGCATTCGCTTTGCTTTCACGTTCATCGTCCCCTAACCAAAGTTTTGGTCGTAATTTGCGTCCTCCCCATTTTTTTTCCTTTTCTTCTCCTTCCCCCCATGAAGATCAACATCACGTCAGCTCCAGAAAAAACACCATTACCTACTTCTCATCGCTGGCCCATCCACTTCGACCTCACATGCAACCACTTTTCAAAAGAAAAAGGCCGACTGTACTACCGCTGGCCTCTCCTCTCGCGCACCTACCCTTCATCAATTCCCACTTCAATGATTGCTGCTTTTACTTTCACCGTTGTATATTTTTTTTCTCAGCTCACACAACCGACATTTCTTCGCATAATTCTCCATCAGTCAATGTGTAACATATGCAGTCAAAAATTCCCCAAGCCCATCGCCCTGCTTGTCAACCTCGTTGACTTCCGAGCAACTCCCTGCAACCGTGGAAAAACATGACTAGTTGATTCATTGTGTGTGAGCGCAACCATTCACATGTAAGGCCCGGCCAAACGCACGCCCTCAACCCACATGGTCCCCATGACGGGTCACCTTCAATCCACAACCCACTCAACATGACATGTGCGGTTAGTTCATGAGAAAATGAACTCAATACCGACCGGAAATATGTAACGAAGAACTTGAACAGTGATTCTAAATTCAAATCCAGTCACTGGCTAGTCTTCCTTCCACTATCCATCTTTGTGTCAGGAGCTGCTTCAGCGACCAATTCCTTGGAACATCGAAGGCCGGGCATCAGAGCTTCCAACTTATAATTACATGTACTACGAGTCGAACTTAAGGTTCCCCGATCAAGGGGTCTCTGGTTTTGATACCTCTCACAACCAACCCACGGAGGCCCCGGATGGGTTGAAGTGTATAGAAGATGCTTGTCTTCTCGTGAAGAGTTCGCAAGTACGCATGATATCCATTCCCCGCAGCATGGAATGGAGCATGGATACGTGCTGGGGCTTGGACACGTGAAGGTCCATATCTGCCATGATAATCATCTCCCCAAGGGACACTATTTATGTAGTGCGCAGCTCAGGAATGAATGCTTCTGGTCTACTGGTGATGGATATCACACGCAAAACACGCCAGCATCTTGACACCGGAGATTGTGCGCCGGCCTTGCTTATGTCTCGGAGGTCTCTGGGCAGGTAGGATTTGTTGTTGATTTGAAATGGCCCCCTCCCTGAGTCATATCTGCAAATTTTGGACGTCCTCTAGCTACGCTAGATTCTGCGTGTCATCGATTCTATCGGCCCAATTATTCATAGTCCAAACGCCATGCCAGGGACTTTTTGGAGAAGTGCGCGTGGCTAGCCTAGTGTTGCCTTCCCGTCCGGCCAACCTAGAATTGAGGTCAGAATGGAGTGTATTGAATAATCTGCTTAGCCTGTGCGCCCAACTAACCTGGATGAGAATGGGATACAATACCTTGCTGACGGGTTTCAAACTTCAGTTCAGTGAGTGGGGCTAACTTTTGAGATTGGGCGCGAGCGCAGCATTTTGTTCAGATCCGTAAGACCCTAGTTTGCCGGTGAGAGTGTAGCTGTCATCAGTGCATGACAACTGAAGGGTCCCTATGTACATTCCAACATTATTGCAGACGCCTCTTCTAAATCTTCTTTCAATGATGGGTTGTCCTCGTTTCATCCCGACGGTATTGTCGCATTGGGCGCGACCGAAAGCACCACGTTTTATAAAACTCAAGGAGATGCAGTCATATATTCTGGATGAGCGGTACCAATACTAGTGATGTGTTTGTGTTTTTTGTTCTTGTTGATATTTATAGGCACTTGGCCATGGACGATCTTCCCTCCCATCATTATTTCTTGCTTCAGATTTGGGCCGGTGTCATTTGGCAATTGAACTCCGTGAGTGATTGTTTTCGGAATTGGATTATTTGCGTAAAAGCCAACGATAATTTTCTTCTTCGCACTGGATCGATACGGCGGGCTTGGCATTGTCAATGGACGTGCGTTTGGACACCTTCGCATTGCTGCACGGCCAAGCACATAACTAACGTAGACGATCCCGAGCCATTTGAGTCCCAGATCAAATCAAGTATACGAAGCAAGCTCTTTCTGCACCACCCATCGCTCAGATGCACCTCCAAACACGTTCAATTTACTCCGATCGTATGTGAACGAGAAGCGACATATTGATGAATCAGGGGAGTCGGCCAATAGCATCGAAAGTGCTGGCGCTGATGAACCAGGTGCTCTTGTCGTTTGTTCTCTCCCGGCGCTTCAGCTGTCCGCACACCGAATAACTTGTAGGTATCTCGGATTATGATAGGTGAATCGTCGAAATCGCCGGTACGTTAGACATCCCTTTAAAACCGTTGGAGCCCGACTTGTAACATTGGCCAGGGTGACAAAAATAAAGGCATCCCCAATTCGGCGACCATCCCTCTCGCCTGAAAACCCGCTGGACTTTGCTCACCTGGGGCCAGAGCTCAAGATGAAGAGCGATCCTCAAGCATCAAACGCCGCAGGATCGTTCTCGCGACATAATTGTCACGCTTGTAAGTCGATACATGGAGAGGTTGAAATTACCGCGCAAACGGGAAGAGAAAGGGACGGGTGCTCCACTCAAACAATCGTTCGCTTTCTAGCTAGATAATATCCCTTTTTGGAGGAGAATCCTGGCGCATAACACTGGTAGGACGGGGCCAAAGGCAGACGCGATGATTGCGGTGCTTTATTGGTATCAGCTCAACGAGGGAAGGTTGAAGTGGACACATGAATATGCGCTATGCGTGCAAAGTAGTTCCAGATTTGGCCTGAACAGATTTGTTCCCTTATAACGCTCACCGAGGTATCTCTAAGGGGAAACGAGTTATGTATCTATCGGTCGATCTTAGGAAGGGGAACGACCTACAGTCAGCAGAGTGAGAGGGAAGAAAATGATCGAGGCTGTGCTCAACCGACGAGCCATGCAACCACTGTGTGAATGGAAAACAGCTTACAGGTCAAGCGATAGAGAAAAATCGCTACAGCTCCGAATGCTCTGGATGAGCAAGGAAGCATCCTCCGTGACATGGAACAAGGATGAGGTAGGCGCTGGTTAATCGGGGTTCTAGAACATCCAGTCCTAGGCTCCTAGGATTAGTTCTGAAAGCAGATATTCCCGTAACGCAGGAATCAAGATGACGGATAGAGCTGAGTAATAAACATCCTTATCATGGGGCGAATCATTCACCGATGTCTTTATTTAAACAAGAGATAGGATTTGGAACTGCCATGAATGGGATTGGGATGATGGGGATGGGGATCCTCATCCGTTGAAAGGCATTCGTCGAGAACTGGAGCTACTGGCAGGTCGTTGACTTTTTTCCGATGGGAGTTTTCAGTGGCTGGACGATGGCAGAATTGGCCCTCAACCTCGCTGGAGCTAAAGGCATCCCCAATTCATTGAAACTCCCTTTGCTTCCACCGTATCATTCGAAAGCGTGATAAGGGACCAAAACGAAGAGATGCTGGATCTAATAATCCGCTTTCGAGAGAGTGTCTGGCGGCATTCAAGGGAAAGAGGATGCAGGTATGGATCAGACCATGCAGGAGATGCAGGAATACTTCAGGAATATCTCAACTCAGGAGGCTGTTGGTTTCTTGCGATCCTAAATAGCACAGTTGTTAACGTAGGTTTGATTATGAGCATGATAGTGCATTGAGAGATTGTGTCACCTTCTCTCCATCCCACATTTGCCTGTCACCGGGCACGCTGCCAGTGGATTTTTTGCAAGGCCATTCCCGAGGTTTGTGGCAACTCGGCCAGGAATGTCCTACGATTATGAATCACCGGTGCAACGGGAAACACAATTATAGATGGACTGTTTTGGGTTATGATGACTGCGATTGAGCGGATCCTTGTGGAAGATATGAGACCTGGTAGGATTTGATTGGGCTCCTTCCTCGGGGCGGGAATGACTCTGTGAAACCTCAGACTCCAAAGATACAAGCTTCGAAGATGACACGACGTATCGTATGACCGCAAGCGCCAGCTCGCTTCGTCAGGATTAAGTCAGACTGCAGCATAATAGATACAGCGATATTGTTAGATGCAATGATGGATTCATTCGGAGCTTTTCGGCATGATCGATGACGTGAAGGGACCAGTCGGCGAAGACGCTCAACCAGGTTTGTGTGTGTATCGACTCATCCCACGCTTGAGGTATCAATCACGCCACCTATTTTCTGGCGTGGCTCAGTGCCTGCAATTTATGGAGAAATTACTTCCCCTTAATCAAAGTAGCCATGTTGCACCAGCCTCACCAAAATGGGACGCTGAGCAGGCAACTTTTAGGGGAGCGCCAATTGATCAGACGTCTACCGTACTTCATTGTGATATAGAGGCTGGAGTCCTGCCTAGCCCCTCACAATTCGAAGCACATCGCCAAACTTGGGCTGGGATCCTGCAGCTTACACTCCAGGCCCGCATCACAGTTTCAAAGGATGGCCACCTTTCAAGGACTGCAGCGGACGTCTATATCGGGAAGGTGGCATGCTCTCTTCTTGTAGAAGACAATAAGGACGTTGGTCATTGTCGGACAAGCATTCGGGGGCACCCGCACGTGTTATCCCGCTCAATGGAGGGCGATTTGCCAACATAGAGATTTGGCGAGCCAGTGATTCCGGACTCGACCGAGATCTGCATGATTCGCTTTCTGGGCAAAAATCACTGATCCTTTGGATCCATCAGTGGTAACCTGGCATCAGCAAAATGCATGTATCAAGCCAATTCAGCAGAATAGCTCCGTCTTCCATTTCCGACCGCTGAACGCTCCCTTTCATGAAGATCTCTCAGAGGAAATGGAAATGGGGTGTCCCATTCCTTTCCTATTCAAATCCAGCCTGAAGTAGGATGTGCAATTAATAGTGCTAGTGCAACACATGTTCGGCCAAGATCGCCAGTAAAACTGTCCCATAGATAGCAGTACTTTACCTGGAAACGAGCGAATAACCAGTATTCACGGCCGAATAACCGCAGTACAGTTACGTACGATCCAACGGGCACCCAAAGACGGGCATGACAATTGTGCTCGGATAGCGCCTCCGCCGGTGATGGCCCCGATAGATGACAGATCCACGTTCTTCCGGAGTATCATTTATGACAGGCCGCAATGATGAGGGCAGAATGGGATCAGACAAATTATTGGTGTCGCGTCCGACACCGGGAGCGGGCTGTGACAACGTCGGAGTTGGAAACCGCCCCAGCAAATAAACGTCAATCTGTGAGGGGTACCGTTAGGACTACTGGTAATATCCAAGTTCGACTCCTTGTTATATGAAGCCGCTCTCTACGGGCGCAACTCCATCCTTTCGAGTTCGTTGCTGGGGCCGAGCTGGGAGAGAGCCATGAGATTGTCAGGCACGATGCTGCCTCTCACCCACTATGTATTGGGCACTTCGTCATCTCGCCTCGGAGGAGGGTGCCGCGGGGAATAGTGTGGGGAGTAGGCCCATACGTCGGACTGGGAAGGACCAAATCCACCACTACATCAAAAGAATGCCAGACAGGCATCCAGTGGCGAGTGACATGTCAATAGGCAGTCCAGCCACGGGGAGATGTGGGAACGGGATGATCAAGCTATATTCAGCTGCTGATTGTCTCACAGCAACTCATTGCTGCATTACCCCATGGGGAGTAGTGCATCGGCATGCGGCCTGGACCGGGGAAGTGAGCGTTGTGTTGTATTTGCTTCTGCCAGGAACCACCCAATTGGATAGGCAACGAGGCAGCAGGGGTATAACAACCAGCAATTGACGAATGGCAGCCCACTGGCGGGATGATCCTAATTTCCCAAAGGTAATTCTATCCCCTCAATAGCCAGTTGCCAGTTGGGTGGAAGTGCAGCTCCCCAAAAAAGCCCCCCTGGTTTCTGCCATGAGGCGACTTATTGTAGGCTTTTCTAAGACAACACTGCCCAGAAGGTAGCCAGTCGGTGTCCGATGCATCGATCATCGCCTCAATAATTGACTGCCACAGATACGCTGGCCCCGGAACACCACCTGGTAGGTAGATGGTTGTCTTGATGGCCTGAGATCAATACTCGCTCTGACAGAGGCAGTCAATCGGGTAGTCTTCTCGAAAGTGATGATGTCACTCGGACTCCCCCTGACCTTGTCTCGTCCGCAGAAACCGCACGGCTGCACATCCAGGCCGGACAGCCCCAGGCATGGGAAAATGCTTCATGAACATGAGAAGCCCCCGGGACACACAAAGCGCCGCCCGTTGGTCACCCAGAGGACGGCGTCTGTGGATCAGTTGGTAAGCTCAAGGGCATGAAGCGTTATGTGAAGGCATTTTATCCCTTCCAACGTGAGCCGCCAAAGCGGAAAGGGACGCGTCCGCAAGGCGCCCCAGAATAAGTTCATCGTTACGGCCGCGAAAGCACTGCCATTCAAGTTGTTCAACAACTCTGGTGAAGCCACCTTGTATGTATTGCTAAGTTGCCTCACCCTGACCACTCCCAGGCTGGGATTCTGCCTACTTTAAGGTGATCTGCGGGGAAAGGCATTGGACGAGGTGCGGAAAAGAATCTAGTAGTGTCTAAACATTTCTCATTGCTGGCCAAGCGTGAGGGAAATCGCTGTGACAAACAATGTTGTGTAGTATGTGTTTCCTAGACAGGCGTAGAAAGAACGGATTGGGTTCATAATTGTCCCACCCACGAGCAATGCCTTCATTGAAGTTGATAGTAATGACTGCAGAACAGGTAGAGGCCACTGGCTCCTCGAGGGGAGCTGTCAAAAGAATTCGGGGGTTCAAGTCTATCTAATGTTACGAAGTCATAGAGGCTTGGAGTCCTGCCTAGGGTTCAAGATGGAGGGAGGCTGTCGCTCAATCATTCCACTCGATGTAAATAACGATAAACACATGATCCGACTTTCCTTTCAACTAAGGTCCACCACAATAGGATTCTGTGAATAAACCCTTACCAAATTTCATCAATAACCCCCCTATCATTTTTGATAGTTCCATGGCGGGGTCGATATCAGCGTTGCCAGTGGTCGACGATTGGTCATGTCAATTGTAGGGAGTTGGGTAATTCAGTCTATGGCGAATTTCGTGCGACTCTCACTCCATGGCCCCCCAGATTCTGCCACCCAAGGTGACTGGCCTGTTTCAAGTGCCAACCCGAAGATCTGCTCCCAGCACCAGCAAGCGTGATATAACGTGGGAAGAACCAACCGGAATCAAAACCCTGTTCTGAGCGTCTGCTCTAAAATCAGTGAACCTACAAAACCCCTCTGAGATGAGCGCAAAAAATCACGTGTTTGATGAATTTACACAAATATGAAAATGATGATATTTTTTTTGAATCCGCCAATTACAATGAAGGAAATGAATAGGATGCAAGCGTGAAGACGCACGGGCAGGGGCCCGGGCGCCTTCATAACTGTGGGGCATTTAACGGAAGGGAACAGAAAGTTGTATGCAGTAAGAAAAAAATAGTGGATGAAGGGGGGCGAGGGAATTGTGAGGCCAGTTTAACTGTACATATATATGGTTTGGTTGAGGTCCCTAGTGATGGCGGTTTGGCTTAGCGGCCGGTGCCGGGTTCTGTTCAATCCCGAGTCTGGATGGGTCTTGGTTCGAGTCCTGTATGGTGTTTCTTTTTTTTCTCCCTTAGAAAACTTTTAAGATGAAAAACTTCAATTCCAAGGGGTGATCAATGTCATGAAAAATGTACATTGGGTGGCTTTTGACTTCGTGATCAACCCCGGATCCGTGGCTGAAATTAACACTTTATATTACTTTTAGGACCGGATCCACGTGAGTCTACTTGGTCTAGTGGATTATAGCGCTGTTTATGAGCCTGTCTCCCCCCTGCTTGTGCAGGTTTGATTCATTCTTGGTGGATTTTTTTTTGCCACAGTTTTTGCCACAGTTATTGCACGAGGATGACTTCAATGTATATATAACACCGATAAGCAATGCTACACTAACTGCACTAAACAAACCCTATTCTGAGGACGTTCTACAATACACAAGCGTTGTAATGGTAATTAATAATTTTAGTTTGGTAATTGGGTTGGGTTGGGGAATAACAGGGAGGGGACGATGAGACCGCACGCAATGAATATTTATTACATAATAACGTCACATGTAGGCAATGGTCGTTGGCTGGTTTCTAAATCAATTCCCATTCGACCGCAAAGTCGTTAAACTAGGAACCTAAGAAACACATGAAACCTAAACGAAACGAGGGGTGACTGCCAGTACTGGGGAGAGAGGCTAGCCAGGCAAACAAGTCCCCAACCTGCCGACCCTGCGCCAGCAGGGCCACCCTCACTGTACCCAAGTGAGCCGCTAGGGCCCCGTTCGCCAAACGGGGCGGTAGAAGCCTAGGAAAACCTCCCAGCAGTCTAAGCCACCCAAAACACCCCCCTCCCTAAGAAACAACGAAAACAAATGCGCACATATAACCGAAAAATCTAAACTTAAATTTAAAAAAAAAAAAAAAAAAAAAAAAAAAAAAAAGAAGTAAGAGAAAACTTACGGCCATACCCCCCAAAACTGTACAGCAGACGAAAGGGCAAATGACCCGCCAAACGACACCACGTGCCCCAAAGACCACTTAAGTAGCAGCGCAACCACGAGAACCACCGACCCTGTAAGCCCCAATGCCGCCCGGACTTCAGCACCCTAACCACACCGCCCCCCCCATAACCAGTGCGGGTAATAAACGTAACCGAGGAAACTCCACCTCGGACACCCCAACCCCCCCTAGAAAAGAACACAGAATGGCCCTACCCGACCTGAGCCTAATGCCAAACCCGCTACCCGGCTTCGGTAGCGGAGCCCCCGCCAAACCCGCTATCAGAGTCCCTGCGACCCAAACCCCCCCTACAACCCCGGGCATAAACATGGACAGTAGCGGCCTGACAGAGGAAGTCCAGCCATCCCAACTCCGGGTCTCAGAGAAAGAATTCTCAGCCACACCCGAGCCCCAACAAACCCGCGAAGCGAAGATCACCCCAGCATCCGGCCCTTTTGACACGCCCGACGACACCGAAGTCAGCTACAATGCCCGCCCACTCCCAGCCGACTTCGACTATAAGGTCCTCGGTATGCACAGCCCACACCTCCGCCTGAACGTAACCGATGAAGCCTGCGAAGCTTGGAACCAAGCCAACGAACACGCAGTTATCATTATCCCTCTCTACATGGCGTTCTCCCTCACGAAAATGCAAGAGGCAAAAGACCACGCCTCCACCTTCATTAAAAGAGCGTTCCCAGACTCAGCAGAAACACTTAGCACCATACCGGCTGCCAATGCGATTGACGCCCAGGGAGACGACCCCCTCCCCTGGGGTATCATGATCGATGGCTTGACACTCTGCGATGCCGCAACGCTCCTCTACCACCAATTCTGGCTCTCCAAAGCATTCAGCTTTGTGGCGCACCCAGCCTCCGAGTTCACCTCCGACTGGATTGGAAACTGGGCATTCGCAGCCACGGCCAGAGACCGCACGGCTGTCCAAACGTGCCTAAAAACCACCCTGAACCGCCCCTCCTCGAAAATTGGGAAATACCTTGTCGAAAATGTCCCCGACAACTACAAACGTCTAACAATAATCGACTCAGCACGAGTAAGACCTCTGACAGTCACCACCCACGGCACCACTGCAACCCACTGGACGTTCCTAGTCAAGTCCCCACACCCCGAAGACATCGTGAAGCACGGCCACTGGATTGAAGCAGCAGAAGCCACAGTCTGGTACCACCCAGCCATCGCGAAAGGAGCCAAAAGGAACCCCCCCAAGCCATGTAGATGCTGCAAAGGCCGCGACCACTCGACACTCCAGTGCCCACTCACGGAACTCCCCTTCTGGAAAGAGATCACCAACACAGACATTTCCCTGGCCACCGAGCTAAGCAGCCACCAGAGCATGGCGAGAGAAGAAACCCACACACACCACAGAGGTAGGGGGATGGGACGCGGAAACTACAGAGGCGGACCAGCAAGGCTTAGGGGCCCACGCGGCAGACACCCTTCCGGCGCAAGAGGTAGATACATCATGTAATCCCCCACCCTAGCAAAAAACCGCAACATCCCAATACATAACTAACAACCCCAATACCGCGACAACCTAGTCAAGTTTCCAAACTGACTACAACACCCAATGAACACACACACTAATAAATACACAGAACCGGCCCCTCTAAGTGCACAAAAGGTGCACCTGGCGGGGAGAGTGGCGCACCCGGAGCCACCTGATAGTGCTGGTCGGCATATCAGCACAAAACCACGAGGCCCCCCTTCACTCATGCAAGGAGGTGAAGAGGCCGCAAAGACAATCCTGCCTCACCCCCGTGCCTCGGCCACGGTGGGCACAGGGGTGAGTATAAAGCGAACTGTGGCGCCCAATATAAACAAAGAAACACCCGAAATCCCCCCCAGAAGTGACCAAACACCCCATGACACAATACCCAGAAAAAACAGACGCCCACTCCACCTCAGGGGCGGTAGAGACCCAACACAGAAAACAGGACAGATAAAAATAGGCGCCCTTAACATCAAAGGCGCCAACAGCCAAAATACCAAGCACAAATGGAACCTAGTCATGAACAAGATGAAAAAAGAGAAACTAGCCATCCTTTGCCTGTCAGAAACGCACACAGATGAGCCCCAAAAAAACTACCTAAATGAGAGATACAAACAAACCCACCAAATAATACACTCCTACAACCCGACCCACTCACGAGCGGGCGGTGTGGCAATAATACTAAACAAAGACCTCATCAAAAACGAACCAACCCTCACTGAGAACCTAGTACCAGGCCGCGCAGCACTTCTAAACTTAGAATGGTCACCAGAAAACCAAATAAATATCCTAGCAATCTACGCACCTAACATGACCTCCTCTGGCCAAGAGAATGCGGATTTCTGGAGTGAACTGAAACACCTCACAACACGCGTAAGAATTGACATACTACTAGGTGACTTCAACATGGTAGAGGATGCACTGGACTGACTCCCCCAACACCCCGATGCAGCAGTAGCAACCGAAGCCTTCCAGAACCTCATCAGCTACCACCAACTTACCGACGGCTGGAGGAAAGCCAACCCGACCCTGGCCCAGAACTTCACTTTCAGCCACACAACAGGAACGCACATGTCTAGAATCGACAGAATCTATGTATCAGATGATATGTACAATAATGCCTTCACATGGAACATCATGAACCCCGAAATCCCCACAGCCGACCACCAACTAATCCTGGCGAGCCTATACAACTCCAACACCCCAGCAATTGGACGCGGCCGCTGGGCAATGCCCAAATTCCTCCTAAGCGACAAAATCTTCCTAGTAGAAGTCGAGAAACTAGGCAACGAAGCCCTAGCTCACCTAGATAACCACCATGAAACCAATACCCAACAGACCTTCCTCACATTCAGCAAATCGCTAACCACCCTAGCGAAAAAACTAGAAAAAATAAAAGCTGGAAAAATGAACTCAACAATCAGAAAACTAACGCAAAGAAGAGACAAAATCACAACCAACCTGTCCCCCCAAAACCAAGTCAAACTACTAGTGGACCAAAAGCGCATCCAAGCGCTAACAGAAAGAATTAGTGAAGTAGAAAGGTTAAGAAACGAGAAAATAAAAGCCCACTCCAAAGCCAACAAACACCTCCTAGCAGAATCAATCAATAAATACTGGTGCCAGTGGGGAAATGAGAAGAAACCGAGAGACACAATAATGGAAATCCAAAGAGCGAACCACACCACACCGACCTTCACGTCTGACCCAGAGGAAATGGCCGAAATTGCCGCTGCCCACTATGACTCAATCCAAAAGAAAGACCTCGATGCCCCGGAGAACCTCAGGAAAAACTGTATCAGAAAAACGCTAGAAAACGTAACGCGACTCACCGACCAGGAAGCCCAGGACCTAGATAAACCCATCAGCTGCGAAGACATAAACACGGCTCTGAGACAATCACCCAACAGTAAAGCCCCAGGCCTAAATGGAATACCAACTGAACTCTACAAAAAAATAGCCGCCAGATGGGCCTCCAAAAAACCAGATGACAAAGAGAGACTAGACATTGTGAAACTACTCTGCAGACTAGCAAACGACATCGAGACAAACGGCATCCAAGAACCCGGAATCCTAGAAGGCTGGATATGCCCGATCTACAAGAAAAAGGACAGAAGACTAATCGAAAACTATAGGCCAATCACTGTACTTAATGCAGAATACAAAATAATCACAACGGCCCTAATGAATAAAATACAACCAATAGCCCCAAAGCTGATAAACAAATGCCAAGCGGCGTTCATCAAAAATAGAAGTATCTTTGACCAGATAGACCTGGTCAACAGAATGATAGATCTATGTGAGATAATCAGCCAAGACGGGGCGATTATCGCCCTCGATCAAGAAAAAGCCTACAACCATATAAGGCATGACTATCTCTGGCAAACAATGACAGCCATGAACTTCCCAAACAACTTAATTAACACAATTAAATCCCTATACAGCAAAGCATACACCAGAGTAATCATTAACGGCACCATAAGCAGAGAATTCAAAGTCGACAGAGGGGTACAACAGGGAGACCCCCTCTCCTGCCTACTCTTCAACATCGCAATCGAGCCAATGTCGATAGCTATCCGTAACACAACAAACCTAAACGGCCTCAAAATCCCAACTCCAGCACTAACCGAAAAGGCCATCCTATCCCTCTTCGCAGATGACGCAGCCATCTTCCTGTCCAAAGACGACAGACTGGAGGACCTATACTCCATACTCAATGAATGGTGCACCGCTTCAGGTGCTAAATTCAACAAAGAGAAATCAGTAATCATCCCGGTTGGATCCAAAGAATATAGAGAAAACCTCACAAATCTGAGGTGACTCAACACAGACCACTCAACAGTAATCGACGATGAGATCCTAATCCTGAAAGATGGCCAATCCACACGGTACCTAGGGGCCCAGTGTGGCAACAAGCCGATAAGCGACGACCCCTGGCCAAACATCACCAAAAAAATCACTGAGAAGTTAAAGACATGGGAAAAGGCCTACCCGTCCCTCGAAGGTAGAAAGCTAATCGCCCAAATGGTCATCGGAGGAATGACACAATTCCACACGGTAGCCCAAGGCATGCCAAAACACACCGAAGCCAAACTCGACAAACTGACCAGAACGTTCATATGGGGATCCGAAGCCCCCCCACCCATAAGTACCGACAGAATGATCGGCCCAATTGAAGAAGGCGGCAGGAATATCCTGAATATCCCCCTCAGAAACGAAGCCATAAACATAATAAAACTAAAACGTATCTTGGAAAACAAAAGCGTAAGACCTCTGGCGAGCATAGCAGCAGAAGCCATAATTACCTTAGCCACCCCCGGGAAAATCCTCCTAGAAGAAATTCATGACCCCAGTATAACAAACATCTACACGCAACGGCTATTCCAGAAATCGAAATACACCAGTAAGATCCTACCCCAAGAATTGAATCGAGTACTCAACACTGGATCGAAATACAACCTGAAATTAGACGCACCATACCTTCCCAATGAAATAAAAATGAACTTACCTGCATGGCACCACCTGGGGAAAAAAACTAACGGTGCTCACCGAGAAAGAAGCCCGCAGGCAAAATGCCTAAGAAAAAACCACAACTGTTTCAAAACCGGAGACCTAGTTATACAAGCCAGCATCGCAGAAAAAACGACTCACCGCCCGAAAACCAAAAGCTGCCTGTGCCGGCACTGCACAACCTACAGATCCAAGGGATGCAAAAACCCCAACACCTGCTATAACACCGCAGAGAAAGTCCTGGGGAACCTATCCACGAAATTCAACCCATATGACCCAGAACCCCCAAAAACTCCCCCAGATGCCAAAGACCGGGCGAGCATCAAAAAACACGCCATCGGAAACTTCTCCAAAATAAAAATATTCGACCAGCCCGATATGGAACACGATGACTCCCTAGCAAACTATAGAATTCTCAGCAATAAAAATGACTACAAAAAACAAAACGTACCGGCCCCCCAACTCCCCTACAGTAGATCCCCCCAAGACACAGTAGTGTTCACGGATGGCTCATGTACAAACAATGGCAAAACCACAGCCAAAGCCGGGTTCGGAGTCTGGTTCGGCCCAAACGATCATCGCAACATGGATGAAGCAGTAGACCCTAACCTCACCCAGTCAAATAACGTAGCGGAATTGCTCGCCATATACCACGCTGCCAAAAATACCCCCAGTAACTCCCGCCTCCACATTAAATCGGACTCGGACTGGTGTATCAAAACCCTAGGCCCCAACCTCCCATCCAACGAAGACCGCGACTACATAAGAAAAAAGAATGCCAACCTAATTAAAGAAGTGGTTAACCTACTAAGAAATAGGCAAGCGATCACCACCTTTGAATGGATAAAGGGACACTCAGGCATCCTGGGCAACACCGAAGCAGACAAACTTGCTGCGAAAGGAGCCGCCAAGACGCCCGATGTAAACAGCCAAACAACACCCAACCACACCTTCCCACACTGCCCAAAAGGGGCAAGACTAAGAACCTTGACCCAAGCCATGGCCCTTAAACTAATAAAAAGAGAAAACTCGCTTAAAAAGGCCATCCAAACCAAGAACTCAGTAAAAACTAACCTGAACGAGATCAGAAAAATGCTCCGCGACCTAAACAACGGGGAACCCACAGACGACAGAATCTGGGTGGCTACCCTAAAAAACAAAAGGGACATCCCCACTAGCATACGCAATTTCCTGTGGAAAACGATCCACAACGGCCACAAAATCGGGGACTACTGGAAGAAAATCCATAACTATGAACACAGAGGAATCTGCCAAAAATGCGAGGAAACAGAAAACTTAGACCACATCCTATTTAACTGCCCGCACAACCAAAGCCAAACTGTATGGGACACCATCAAATCCCTCTGCGCCCGGAAAAGAATACCCTGGCCTACAAATATGAATACCCCACTCATAATGGCGACCCCGCTATGGAACCTCAAGGACGAAGAAGGGCTCGCTAGACCGGGAGACTCCAGAGCCCTAAAAATCCTCATTCTCGAGGGGGCATGGCAAATCTGGAAACTACGCTGCCACAGAGTCATCAACAGCAACGCCGACAACGAAATTAAAATATCGAGAACAGAAGCCCATAATATCATAAGATCTGCCATTAACGACAGACTACAAAGCGACAAAATACTAACTAACAAGAGAAAATACGGCACAAAGGCCCTCCCAGAAAAGATCGCGCTTGAGACATGGAAGAACCTCCTGAACACAGATGTAGACCTTCCTGAGAACTGGCTAAAAACCAACGGGGTTTTAGTGGGTATTCCCGATCCTCCGGATCGGTGCGAGCCCCACACTCAAGGGACGATCCCGGAAAGTGCGTAAAGGCATTTCCCCGCGGTGGAGTCTCAGAAGGCGGTACTTAACACTAACAAGACCACAAGCAACAGGCACAACCTCTCTCCCCGGGGAACAACCCCCCACACTCAAACCCCCAGGTAGCAAACCTACCCAGCGAAAGCTACGGGCGGTTCCACCAAAAAAAAAAAAAAAAAAAAAATCAATTCCCATCATTTTTTGTTCGGCCATGATCACGTGTATATTTCCTTTTGCGCTCATCTCAAAGGGGTTTTGTAGGTTTTCTTCTAAAATCCCGCATCTCGCCCAGCATGTATCTCATGTATTCGTTGGATGACCAAGGTAACCGTGTTTACACGCTAAAAGTGCGTCCTCACCAAATGCAGTGTCTTCAGTTAACTCATTCGCATGAGCAGAAAATTACTGATGATGGCAAAGTCACTAAAAGTGCTCATCCTGGTGGGTGACACGTCCGGGATATGCAATGAACAATTTCTCATGGCTCCATATCCCACAGCTCGCTTTTCCCCCGATGACAAGTTTGCAAGACATCGAGTGACGTTAAAGAAGCGGTTTGGCATTCTGCCTACGCAACTTCCCGCGAAACCTCTATGAAGGCATGTTACTCCCATCGACTCCATTCTCCATACGTTCACCGTTAATAACCCTATTCTGCAATTCCTAATGGTTTTCTATAACAGACAATCTCAGTTATCTCAAATGGCACATTCTTACATGCTGTGTTAACATTATAAAACGAGGATTATATCGATCCATTTTATGTCTGCTCTGCTATGTCTCTCTCTCCGACCTTCCATTTCAATAACTCCATGACTTCTACGGACTTCGGAAACAATATGCCCCGTGCATCCGCCCATTGTCTAAGAACGTGTCGTACAGTTGTGTCCGGTCTTTGGAACATTAACGCCTCCTGATCGTACAGAGCCGTTCCTCCCGTCCCTTCGAAGGGTTCAGATTGGTTGACTGAGCTAGTCTCCATTCCGACAACTTGGCGCGCTGCCGCGCGAGACAACTTGGAGAAATCCTGTAGAAACTCCTTGGATACGAGCAGTTCATTGAGATTTGTTTCATTCTCGTGGGAGAGTTCGGTTTGTCCTCGCAACGGTAGTGGTCCTGTCACGCCCAGAGTTACGAAAGACGCGATACTCCCTGCCTGCGCTCGAGATGATAATGGTGTAACGGTACCATGAGTGAACGAACCGAGACGCAAGCCACGAGTGGGAAGTGATGTGACCACAGCAGCCCGCCTCAATGAGATCTTCTCTCCCAGCTTTGTCATCGTGTCCCGGATAGAAGATGATACGGTGGTACTTTGAGTTGGGATGATAGACGAATCATCAAGGGGGTGAGGAATTATAGGGCCATCGTCAAGAACCCGTGGCCGAACATGGAACATGATGCTGTCTTCCCTGGCGGTGGGATTCGACACCGTTTGCACGCTGTCCGCATAGAATGCCAGAGTGTGCGCGATGTCAATGGCCAGGGAGTAGAACAGCTTATTACGTGCCACAAAGTCTGTTTCGCAATTAAGCTCTATCATGGCAGCTCTTAGGCCCTGAGTTGGGACAGAACCATCAGAAAGCACTACAGTGCTAATGACGCCCTGTTCTGCAGTCCGTCCCTCCAGCTTTGCGGCCTTCTTAGCCCAGAAGCTTCCATGTCCTTTGCTATCCAAGCTAAAGCTGCTTCGACGTCGTTTCCCGCGGCTTCCAACGCTTCGCGAGCTTTGCTCATTGAGACTTGCGTTCGCTTTCGTAGCTCCGCTACAAGTTTTGCTTTCGAAGCTACATGTCTAGTTGCGCAAAATGAACGGGTGGTCCAAGAGTGAGACAGTTGGCACGTCGAGCGGGCAATGTGACCAAACATGGCGTTCCCACAGAGTCACTCGGCGCTTATTTTTCTGGGAACGGAGGATTCCGATTGAATGTCCCCCGCAACCTTCGCTGCTCCGGGTCATGACAGAAAACATTGTATATGATGACCTCTCTCACATATTACAATTTGTTGTAGTACCCAGCGACAGCCCTCTAGACCAGAGTGTGTTACCTGCCAAGCGGTCGGTAACCGCTGAGACATTAATGGCAGAATTGCCTGGGCCACACAGCATAGAAGTGCCAGGGTCGGAGTCCGAAGACAGCGAAGACGAAGTGGAGGATATCTTGCGCACAGGCGCTATTCAGGAGCCCCAAAAAGCATCTTTTGATGAGAACGCATCATCAAGAGCGGGACACCACACCCCTTCTCTATCCCTCAGCCTGCGGCCTGGGAGGCAGCCACTGGCCCCGAGACAAAAACACCCTCAAATCCTGATGATGTCGCTGCTTCCCATGACGCTGATTCTGACTCCAGCTCTGGCACCAGCTCTGATGCTTCTGTGCGCGGGGATGATGGGAGTGAGATTGAAGGGGATGGGGAAGATTCTATTGCACCAGTTGGTGGAGATCAAACAGAGGCCATTCGCAGCGTCCACGAGACACAATTAGTTGTGAAGCAGGCCAATATTGCAAGAATCGAGGACGAGATGGAGATCGTACTAATAGGCGAAATCCAAAAAATTGTTGGGACCGCTGTCATCGTTCATCCTCTGTAGATGGGCATTCACGTGTGCTCGATACAGACAGTCTACTAGTCTTCGAGGATAGGACTGTGTTAGGTTAGTGAGTCCCGTTTCTTTCCTTGTTCCAAGACAACACCAGTAAATTCCGCCAGTTATTCGAGTCGTTTGGCCCGGTCAGGCGACCCATGTATGTCGTGCGATTCGATTCGGAGTCAGACATTGACACCGAAAGGGTACAAGCCCAGAGAAAGGTGTTCCACGTCCCCAAACGAAGCACATTCCTTCACACTTGGCAATTGCGCTCGAAAGGATGCGACGCGAGCAATATGTACGACGAGGAGGCGGCAAGAGCGAGAACGACTTCAGTGATGACGAACAAGAATCGAGGCACCGGCGAATGCTAAAAAAGCCGTAAGTACTCGACATTTGTGTTTTTCATGAGGACTAAAATCCACTCATAGAAATCGGACGCGAAATGGAAAGGGAGACAATTTCCCCTTGCAAAAAAGTTTGTTTCCTGGTGATCCGACACCGGAAGAACAGGAAATATATTATGGTGATGCTGACGAGGGCACACTGTACCCACCTCTGTCTACCCCGCAACGGCCGGTGCCTTCTGCCTATGAGGAGTTCTCGCCGGGCGACCAGCCCAATGGCCTTATCGATCCTGGAGACGTCTCGCAGCAAGATAGCTACATGCGCCGAGTGTCAAGAGGCAGGGGTGGTGCAAGGGGAACTCGGGGAGGTCCAAAAGGGAGAGGGGGTATGGACGAAGTCACCACGCCGGACACTCAAGACCGGGCGACAGTTCACCTGGACACATAAATAACTATGACCCCCGTAATCCGGTCACCGGTAGACCGATGTCCCCCACGTCTTTGGCTATTGCAAAAGCAACTGGCCAATGGAACGACTTGCCTATTGGGCAGAATGTCCCCGAATTTGGAAATCATAGCCCTTGGATCGCATTTGACAACATGGCGTTGCCGCTCAGAACCCTTTCTTTGGTCAACCATCCATTATTCCCTACATTAATCCAATTTCCATCTACAGGGAACTGCCACTCCCCAACCAACGCAGCCCTATCAACAACAAAGGACACCATTCGGTGCCGCATACGATCCAAAATATCCTGGGGCGTCACATGCGCAATCATAAAACATACATTTCGAGTTTGGGTAGAGCGAGGCTCGTGGTCTTTTTTTTGGATACTTGTACATATATTGTTATTTTCGCCCATACGACTCCGAAACTTTGCAATACCGATTATGTTGTTGAACTCTATTTGTTGCGCTGATACGTGACACTAGTGCGGCTATCTCGAGTCCTGAACGCACAACATGACAAGGGTGACGTGACTCGTCGGGGTGATTAGCTGTACTTGGTGAATATTGGGCGTAGCCTCCGAGAAGACTGGGGATTTTTAGTGGATTCACCACACTGTTTTTTGGGGCTCGAATTCAGCTCCCGAAGTTCGTTCAAAGGATGCAAGTGGCATAGAAAAACAGCTGCCCCAAACGCTCCGCGCCGCAATATTGAGTTGAACCATTCATAATGACGGCTAGCAACACCAAATCCAGTTCTTTACCCAGGCAGATGTCAACAATCCCCTCAGGTGTCATATAAGGTCCGTGCTTGTGTCACATGTTCGCCTTTCTCACGTTCGCTAAAAGCAATAATATGAATGCAATTATGATGAAGCAAGGCCCTCCACACCCTCGGCCCAAAACTCTTTGGGAGAGTTACAGCGGTATGCCAAAAATCATGAAGCAGGTCATTGAAGAACTGACTATTGCTGACATTAGGGCTGCCGAAGCGACAAAAATTAGCCTTTGCGGCGATTCTTGCAACATCTGGGCTTCTCGGTCTGTCCGTCTTCGATCGGATGGACTTCCCCCAAGATCCCACTGGTGGCCAAGACAAGACACAGGCTGTAACGTCGGCGGGTTCTGGATCCGAGCAGACACAATCGTTGTCACGGTGAAGATTTTGACATTCCCGCTCGCATTTCTGTTCCTTTCTATCACCATTAGTATTAATGCCATCACCATTCCCTATCCTTCCTGCTCAGATGTGACGATCTTCGCTGTAATTTGTAGTGATGGAGCGCCCAGATACACCACCTCCAACATTGAGGTTTTCGGAAGTAAACTCGGGCACGGTTGTGTCCTGCCGAACATCATGTCCTCCTACGAACGCTTAAAAGAACGCTATACTGCCGCGAATCAGCCTCACGTCTTCACTTACTGGGACAAGCTTAATGAGAAAGAGCGCGATGAATTGTTGCAGAACTTGAATAAGATCGATATCGAACGCGCGAACCGCATATTCGCCAAATCTATCCATGCCAGTGAAGGTGGAAACGAGCAGGACTCCATAGAACCTTTGCCAGATGATGCTTTCGACACCACGATCGGTGAGGAAAACGTTGCGAACGTGGCATCATGGAGGAAGATCGGTTTGGACGCGATCGGCGCAGGCAAGGTTGGCGTCCTGCTGATGGCCGGCGGTCAAGGGACGCGGCTCGGGAGTTCAGACCCCAAGGGCTGTTACGACATCGGTTTACCCTCCCACAAATCACTCTTCCAGATTCAAGCGGAGCGAATTTTACGCTTGCAGACAGTCGCAGAGAAGGAACTGGGGAAACCTGAGGGATCAGTCATCGTTTCATGGTACATAATGATCAGTGGTCCAACACACCCAGCAACGGTGGCATTCTTCGAAAAACATCACTACTTTGGGTTACCGAGATCGAATGTGATTTTCTTTGAGCAAGGTAAGCGAGAACAGATCAACCATAGGTGCAAGCAAGTACCTAAACATGTCATCCTTAGGGATTTTGCCATGTTTCTCCCCAGGCGGGAAAGTCATACTGGCATCTCCCACAGAGATTGCCACTGCACCGGACGGAAACGGAGGGCTCTACGCTGGCTTACGTGCACCCCTTTCCCCCTCAGACCCTGATCATTCTGTGCTCTCAGACCTCAAATCCCGCGGGATCGAATATATACACGCGTATGCTGTCGATAATTGTTTGGTGCGCGTTGCCGATCCCGTCTTCGTCGGATACAGTATCGAGAAACAAGCAGATTGCGCCGCAAAAGTGGTACCCAAGGCGGCCCCTCATGAGGCTGTAGGCGTTGTAGCTCTCAAAGGGAACGCCTTCAGCGTCGTAGAATACAGTGAAATTACCAAGGAACAGGCGGAACGTAAGGATTCAAAATACCCTGATCGCCTCGCTTTCCGTGCAGCGAACATCGCCAATCATTTTTACACTCGAACGTTCCTCGAAGAAGTTGAATCATTTGAAAGCCAATTGGCTTTTCACATTGCCCATAAAAAGATTCCATATTGTCCTGTCGATAATCCCACTGGAGAGACCATCAGGCCTTCCAAATCAAACGGTATCAAGTTGGAACTCTTTGTATTCGACGTCTTCCCATTTGCAAAGCACATGTTTGTCTTGGAAGTCGAGCGAAAGGAAGAATTCAGTCCACTCAAAAATGCTCCGGGGACGGGATCTGATGACCCAGACACAAGTCGAACCGATATCCTCGCTCAGCAAAAGAGGTTCCTGCAGCGTGCTGGAGCAAGCGTTACAGAGGGTGTCGTGATAGAGATATCATCGTTGGCGTCTTATGCTGGAGAAGGTCTGGATGCCGTTAAAGGAAAGACGTACATTCGTTCTGGTTTTGTGGGGTCTGTTGAGGAATTGGATGCATTGGTGTAAAGAGATTCTGTAATGGACATTCATCAAATGCACATGTTTATATGTCATTGCTGTGCCAGCCGTAATGAACTCCTAAACAAAACAGGCTTATCAGCAAATATTCAGGTGTGGTCTAGACTTGATGCGAATTACCGAACAGGAATTGCATCATCCCAATGCCAATTTACGCATCTTCTTCTCCATGCTCTCTGCATATTCGTCGACGCCTCGCGTAAGGAGTTTGAATTTGCCTTTCGGACCAACCTGATACACAAATCCGGGTTCTCGGGGGCCACCAGCTTCGTGGCTAGATAACTCATCCTCGCTAGCGTCTGAATCCCCAGATGATTCGAGGATAGGGGCTCCCTCGACCACACATCGCACGAAGTGCCTGTCATGGCTTACAATAAGAACTGCCCCTTTGTAGGCTCGAAGCGCGATAAGGAGTGCGGTAATCGAGTCCACGTCAAGATGTGTGGAAGGCTCATCGAGTATTAGAAGGTCTGGTGCGTTGTAAACAACAATGGCAAGCGCCAGTCGGACCTCAAAAAAAGCTGAGTGAGGCGGGCGAAATCTCAAGTCTGTTCCTCGCTACCCACCTTTTGACCTCCAGACAAGCTTGCAATGGGATCTGTGGACTTCCTGCCACCAAGACCAAAACTACCAAGTACAGCTCGAGCTTCGCCCTCCGATATATTGATGTGAAACCGTTGTTTGATGCTCTCCGCGAAATGAGCGAGAGCTGAATTGCCAGATATCTCCGCCGATGACAAGACATCCACAGAAAGCTGCTCGAAATATCCCAATCGTAGACGGGAATGGCGTTCAATAGTCCCTTTTCCAGGAACAATGGAGCCGACGAGTAGCTTAACCTACGATAAAGACCTGAGTGTTGCCCGAAGGCACGAATGCAGAACATAATTACCAGCGTACTCTTCCCTTCGCCATTCTCCCTACAAAGGCTATCCTCGATTTGGGATGGATAGAGAGAGTCACATCTTGCAGAGTAGGCTCGGACGCAGGGTAAGCATAGGATACTGCGGTTGCCTGAATGAGTGCACCAGGAAACCGCATTGGTTCAGGATCTGGAAAAGTGAATTTGATGGCGCCGTCGCCATGATCGATTTTGATTTCAGAGCGAGATGCCAAGTGAAAGCCTGCAAGATCCCGATTTAACTTGAAGCTACGATACGTAAGTTTCATGAAGATAAAAAAACGAGATCGGTCCTCACCGGCCGCCCTTCTCGGATCGCTCTAACCCCCAGCGATCATCTAGCTTTTTCTGACGCGATTTGGCCATCTTGGCCTTCCCATCATCTCCAGTCTTCTTTGCTGTCTTATAACCATGCTCAATGGTCTTAACAATAGCCTCCTTCTTCTTATCCAATGCTTCTTTCATCTTAATCTGTCCTTTGAGTTTGATGCGATTTTCGCGCTCGTAATCACTCAGATTGCCGTCAAAGTATGTGAGCGTATTTTTCCTTAGAATGATCAGTTCCTGAGCGACACTGTCGACGAATTCCCGGTCATGTGCCACGACGAGAGTGGTTGTCTGGAAGGAATTGAGATACTCCTGAAGCCATATAACCGACACCAAGTCTGGAATTGGGATCAGCGCAGTGAAATTGTCACAGGCACGAGAATGTGTGTACCAAGATAGTTGGTTGGCTCGTCGAGAATGAGCTGGACGAGGAGGGACATCAAACGCTTATTGGGAAAACCAAACAATTCTACGCGTACCAAGTCCGGTTTCTGTAACAAGGCACTCGCCAAAGCGCAACGAGATCTCCAGCCTCCACTAAGGGTTGACAATTTCTCATCAAGTTGAGTTGAAGCGAAGCCTAGCCCAATCAATATAACCCTGGCCCGTGCTTCAGTCGATGATGCGTCAATCTGAATGGATGATTTATGTCAAAAGACATGGCACAAACTAAATAGGATACGTGTGAAGGACCCACCACGTCCAAGGTCGCCTGAATGTCATTCAACATTTCACTGGCGACAGCTGCATCTTGAGGATCATAACGCCCGGACCGCACTGACTGAAGCCTTGGGGGGACGATTAGTCAAGTCAATGACCCTTCAACTGTATTTTGTTGCTCACCGTTGTTCAGTCTCGGCGGTTTTCGCCTCGGCAACTAGAAGCTGCTTCCTAGCTTCAGCGCCCCGTGCTCCGCTTCGGCGCTCGGCTATTTTCTGAGTCTGCTTGAGATGGGCCTCAGCTCGAGCCACTTGAACAAGAGCCACAGCCTCAGAGATAGCGCGAGGATTGGATACCGATAGCGAATCGGATAGAACTAATGCATACATGACATCAATGTTTTATTTGAACATCACCTTAGAAAGACGAACGCCCGTATTGGGTGAGAGCTTGTTCTCTCCTTGCATCCGCTTTGATGACAGACTGAACAATCGTTAATCGGTCTGCATCTGAGCCTTCTTCCTGAATTTGAGTGACAAGCAAGATCCGAATATTTTCAGGGATACCGGGGATTAACTTGTTGCTGATGGCTCGCAGGAGCACTGCTCAGAAATGGGTGGGACCTTGTTAGGCTTGACTCTCAAGCTAAGAGAGAACTCACCGGACTTGCCCTCGCCATTCCTTCCAGTGAGCTTTTAGTAGCCGTCAGGATTGATACTTTGACATGTAAGGCTAAGAACACACAGCGTAATGCACACCGTCTTTCAGTCGGAGATGTGCGTCCACAAGGAGATCGTTGTTCCCGATGGATACGCTAACTTTTTTGACATCAATCTAAGGCATATTAGCCATGTGTTTATAGCATTGTTTTGGATATCAGTACCTCTCTGGAAAGGGTGGTGAGGGTGTCAACGTGAAAGCGGGTCGTTTCTGACGTTGCCGTGATCTTTGGTGTAGTGGAAGTTTTCACGCTGTTCTTGAAGGAACTCATGTTGCGCTTTGGGGTGCTCTTGTCTAAAGGCGATGTACCCACGAAGGGAAGCGAGTTGAGCACTTTCAATCATGGTGACTGAGTCAATGAACAAACGAGGTGTCTTCGGAGCCGGGTGGCAGTGAGCAGACTCTTTCTTCTCACATGTGATGATGCTCCTCACTTTGATTTTCTCGGTTATTCTGGCAGCACTGGTCGTTGATATCAATGCTGATACCGAGATTGCGAACTTTGGGTCTTTTGTGGACAATGTCCAAGTTGAGATACCATGGTGCATCTTATCTGGTAAATCAACACTCTCGTATTAACCAAAGGCCCCATGCAGGAAGGTGAACGTGCTGGAGTTAGGAAAAGCTACGAACTTTCACATGAACGTAGCACCACCTAGTTCTGGAGACCCTACTAACATTTGCGATGCCTGGCGTTTTGGCGAATGTCCGTACGAGATTTGGTTTGCACTTCCTTCGTACCCCGAAGGGCAGAAGACGCTGCGCCTGTCATGGCCTGCCTTCGTAAGTGCTTCATTTGCAATCTTCACGCTCTATAACTTGAACGTGATTTTCTCCCAGTTCCCTGCATCTTTTGATTTCCAAATATTCTCTTCTTCTTTGCTCAGCGTGGAGCATAACATCTCAACTCGTAAACATGATTACCTACCCCAGTCGAACCACTTCTCATTCCAATACGCACGAATCTTGGGAAGAAGTCGTGCTGTGCATGCGCCTCCTTTGCAGCCCCATGCAGCTGTTTTGCACTGGGCGTTCTATCTACTTCCATTACCACATGCGGCACCTGAGCCTGACCACATGGTGCCATTCCAGCTGTTGTACGAACCCCTCATTTTTGGCTTCATCCCTGCAAGCATGGTTCCAATAGTAATCATATTGGTAGTTTCTGTCGTTGTTGCATGGGCGCTTTCTTCCCCTATCTTCTTCTGGCTCTCTATGATCGCGGACTCCGCGCTCCTGGAGGTTAATGAAAAACAGGGATAGAATCTCCTTTTATACTTCACTCTGCTGAGTAATTATTCATCAAACGCGGAGGGCCTTTCACCGCAGCCGCTTCAAACTTGGGCAAGTGCACTGCCCCTAGCCACGCGAGAATTACGTCCACACGAGGGCCATGCAAAGCAATGACTGGCATCCCGCCATTCATGACCGAAGGATTCTGAGCAGCCGCGCGACCACGTTTTTCTCGTTGCCGTCTCCACACCGGCGCCATCAACATGCGTAAAGCCACAAGAGATTCAAAATCAAGCGGGTCAGAAGCATTTCCATTTTTATCCAACTCTCCCTTGTCGTCTGGGTGATAGGAGGATGAAGGGGTGCGTTGTCCCGTGGAACTCGATGGTTCGCCCACCCCTACTGGCCGATGCGCTTGGCATGGTGCCCGAACGCCCGTGGCACGCCATGATGCAGAAGGTGGAAGCAATCCACACCTCCATCCCCCCACCAATCTCTCCAGAACCTCGCTAAAATCAGCTTGTGCCATAGAGCGTGATGGCAGGAAGACTGGGTGCCCATCGAATCCATCCATTGCAATTGCCGTCTGAACAAATCTGTGACACGCCGTCTGAATCTCGCCCAGCATGAGGTAGCAGATGAGGACTGCAAAGTGAGACTCCACCAGAAGGGGGTGATAGCTAGTGTATGTCACGGGGAAGCTGGACGCCAGGTATGTAAGCCGCTCGGGGAGTGGTGTGGGGAGTCCCGAGGTTGTACTTGAACGAAGAGATTCGATCATGAAGTACGCGAAGTCTACACGTTCTTCGAGTGTCAAATCTTCCCAGCTGCGTGTGGGTACAGTGCATGCAATACCATTTTGCTTCATGGCTACTTTTTGCTTTCCTTTGGAGTTTCGTGGCATGCACTGTTCGGCATTTCCGAAGTTTTCCATCTTCGTCAGTGCTTCCGGAGAAACGATAGTGTCAAAGTGCGACAGAAACCGGTCTAAGTCTCTGATTGCTTTTCGCAACATAACGTAGATGGATTCTCGGAAGTTTACCTCACTGAGAACCGCCTGATAAGCAAGTGACTTTGACCCATCGTGCAGTCCGAGGGGACCTGCTGGATTCCCGAGTTCCACGCCTCCATACTTGGGCGAGAGCGAGAGGAAGTCAAGACGAGAAAGGCGGATATCGGGGCCTTCTGGCGGGGGAATAGGAAGCATCTCGATCCGAAAAACTCCCTGTTCGATAGACGAACATGCATTCATGAGTTGAGCAATACCGCGTTGAAATAGGAATTGGAGTTCGAGGGGATCTGGTGCGTCCGGAAGCGACGAGGGGTGGTACTCCCGGTGTGTTTTGGAAAAGGGAGATGTGAACCCGCTAGTTGCATCGATAGGAAAGACAGGGCTCCCTAGTAGAGTCGCAATGTCGGCTTCTTCGCCGGCAAACGGAGCAGTGCTTCTGGACGCATCCTTGCCTTTCTTCGCCATATTTGGCAAGTCGCTTCCATTCGGAGACCCATGGTCAGTCCCTTGTCTCGCTTTTCGGATGGCCCGGCAATGGCTTAGTCCGTGAGTAAAGTCTTTTATGGCCTCCGGGAATTCATCGCGGAAAGTGTGGACAATGCCACGCGTTCGCCAATATTCCAATTGTTCGGGTTTGACCTCGATGAGGTGATCCAGCAGCCTGGTATCAGTATCGCATAGCTGTCTAGGACTAGAATATATCCGTGAACAAAGGGAACGTCCAAGGAAAGTAGTTACCCGACCTTGAAGGGATTTTTTCGTGAAAGAAGTTCACATACAACGCACAGATATTGTTTGGATCTATACCAATGGGTGAGATATTAGTCGACACTACCGATATTGTTTCCTCACCATTTTTCAAAACCGTTGCCGCCAGGTCGTCTAGAGCACTGGTCCCTTTCATTATCATAACTGACGTTACGATCTCATCCAACAAGTACGCCTGTGAGATTTTCTGAACTGCTTCTACTCTGAGCCGCTGACAATGCACATTTGACATTGATGCTCTGTGTCCACCGCGTATCGATCCATCGGGAGGTACCCTCATTGTTCTATTGCGTTGTCGATAAGACAAAACTCCCTCTGAAGCACGCATCGCAAGCTCCCCCGCATCATCTATCAGCCGGCGTATATTCACAGCGTTCCGGAAGACACCAGGATCAATAGGTGGAGGAGCTGCACGGAGTGTCATGGAAGGAGGTTGATCGAGTGGGTGTGGGATCAGATCTAGACCTCGACGTCTCTTTGACTTCGGAAGACCCGCATCCATGGTCAACGGCATCGGAGACGTCCAAGAAACCAAAAGAGACTCCAGCATCTCCGATGGAAGTGATAACCATGGCCCCTAGAAGAAGCAGGAAAGCTATCAACGTGTCCCAGCGATGACTTGCACCAATGCTCCCGGGCTCACATGAAAGGAGCTGACGTATCTCCAATGCTTGTTTCTACTGATTCGTAGGACTGGGAATTCGGGTGGAAAGAACGACGTCCCATCAAGATTAAGCGCCAGATCGTGGATGCCTGTCACCGACTCTGACGCTGCATCAGGTGCGCGCCTGGCTTCGGGCTTTTTCATCTTTTTACCGGCACCGTTCCCGGAGTGTAGACTTGTTTGGCTCAGCAGATCTTGGGAGTCTTTATCGCTCATGTAGCTTTTGCAAGAGTGCTTTTCCAAATGCAGTGCGATATCGAACCTGTTCAGCCGAAGATTGTCAACAAACCCCTCAAACGCGTTGGGGGAGAATATAGGATATCCTTATTCGGATTTAGTCGTCATCTAGAATATATAGAAGCGCCTTGCTGCAGTGAAGAAAACTGTCTAGCCCGAACCGTGAAGCGCAGCTGGGGTGGGATATGATAACAAGTGTAAACAAGGGGGTCATAGTCGCCGTTGCTCATGGGGGTGAAGGCATGAGATACGATCGATTAAAGTGGTCATGACCACTGGTACCACATGTATAGCTATCAGAGCGCTCAGCGGTTGAACCCAATGACGCTTGAAACCAGAAAGGAAAACATGCCTCGCGGGATTTGGGAGGTGGCGGGCAGTGCCGTCACTCAAAATCCCAACACTTACATACTTACAACTTTATACCAACCCACCGCTCGTCGCTGATAGACCCTCACTCGCTCTCTCCTCAATTACTTTTTTGTTCCGTTGCTCTGGTAAAAAAACGAAATAGAGCTCGTTGCGTTGAGAAAGCCTCGTTTCTCCCGCGCTTTTTCATTCCATTACCAACTCGTGGCTGGCACGCGCTCCTTCTCCCAGCTTCGAGTACGCAAACTCAACTCCTCTACTTCTGTCTGCTGGTACTGACACAATATGCAAAGCTCTCCGACACATCCTTCGTCTCCACAAATCCCAACTACTAAGAAATTCAGGACTATCTTTAGTCTGGCTCCTTCAGGATTCGGCCGGCCTATCGAATCCAACTACTATCTCTTGGGGAGAAGGACGCCTAAGCTCTCTCAATTGTCCTACTTTGACGACTTCGATACCCAATCCATCAGAAATATGGCAATCGATTTACCCGTCGAATATCCGTCTCCAACGACCCCGCACCCTGCGCGCATATTAACCGACGATGGCTCCTGGATCGTCCGTGTCGCCGAAAATGATGCTTATTCTTTCACCATTTACGTGAAAAGTATGTTGGATGCAAAGGTCTTATGTGCATTTTGAACGCGTGCTCATTCTGTGAATCACTCATCAGCTCCTACTCATCACCTTACTCTCACCCGCACCACGAAAGAGATCAGTGATCTCCACTCAAAAGTACGTGCTACCGGAAAATCTTCGTGATGGGACATACAATTCACTTCTTACCGCCCATCAGCTACACGAAGCGTACCCAAGCATGCCTTTGCCCCCTCTTCCTGAGGTCATCCGCACTGCCTCAGAGAAGCGCCGGGGATCGTTCCTCCAGACTTTGAGTCGGTTCGGGAGTCACAAGGATAAGAACCATGGGGGCACAGCCCGGTCATCAGATTCCACAGCTCAGAACCTGGGCCCAACTACCCCCACTAAAGAAGAACCCGACCCCTTGACTGACTTCAGCTCTGATGGGAATGTGGGCGCTCTCCCTGAATACCTCACTACACTAGCGAACCATCCGGCGTTCCGGACGTCGAGGCCGTGGAAACGGTTCGCGCGCGTGCGTGCTGAAGACCTTCAGAGTACACGTGTTGAACGCCAGATCAAGCGAGTTAGGTCAGACCTCGCCGTACATACCACGCGCCTCGACTCGATACCGCAATTGCCTCCACTCCTCGATGATAGCTTAATGGATCCATTCCTTACACGAGATGGAGATCGCATGAGCCTATTGCCCACAACGCCGGTCGAGGAGACGATTGCTGAAGTTGATGAGGAAGTAACGCATGCTACCACTTCCCCTGAGGATCAAGATGGTATTACTGTCGGGGACCAGCTGCCTGAGCCGTTGCCAGAGGTGGCGCCCGAAGCCCTAGAGGCGAAAGAGCAGACAGGCGAAATAACTATGCACCCTGATGCTGTTGGTGTCGATGCCACTTCCGGTTCCCCTGCTACACCACCGGAATCCCCAAAGGAACCTGTCGCAGTTCCCGTCGAAGCGGAATTAACGCCAACTTTAGCTCATCTAACCATAGCTTCCCTTCCTTCGCCAACGGGATATCCTCAACCCTCGGGGCATGCAAGAACAATTCGCTCTGTTTCGGCGGACCCCACCCGTCGGCTCTCTGCTTCAGCTGGCAGCGACAATGTCGGAGCTGCCGTTCGAGATGGCACTCATCCTAGTCGGTCGTGGAAGCCTTCTCAGCCAAAGCAGGTGAATGGACTGGATACTGATGCCGAGGCTGCGTTCGATACCGATGTAGAACATCCCACCGACACCGGCATCGTCACGCCCATCAAGCCACGCAAGAAGCGTGCCTCGAAAAAAATCACGGTCAACGATTTCGAGATGATGCGTGTGCTTGGAAAGGGTTGTGCGGGGAAGGTATGGTTTCATGACGCCGCTCTAGAAAGTTTCTCCTTCTAAACAGGTACTGCAGGTTCTCTTGGTCAAACATAAAGCTTCTAGTTCTTTGTATGCCCTGAAGGCCATCACAAAACGACATGTACTTGCTCATCAAGAGCTTCAACACACACTGACCGAACAGGCTGTATTGAAACGTATGGCTCGCGAAGGTCAAGATCCATTCGTCGTCAAACTGTGGTGGAGTTTCCACGACAAGGAAAACCTTTTCCTCGTTATGGTACATACGACCTACCCCTGACTGTCTCAAAGGGTGCTAATCTATTTTCCAGGATTTCCACCCAGGTGGAGATTTGGCCACTCAGCTCGCTCGCTGGGGTCGATTAGGCCGTGATCGGGCTCGCTTCTATGCCGCCGAGATTGTAAGTTCAATGCGTTCCCTTGGTATCCTTGCTTCTGATCCTCTGATCATACCAGGTAGAAGGGGTGGAGGGTCTGCATGCTGCCGGCGTGGTGTATCGCGACTTGAAACCAGAAAATATTCTCATCGGTTCCGACGGACACATCGTCCTCACTGACTTCGGCCTTTCGAAGCAATTTCCCTTACCACATCTCAACCAATCGGGATCTTCGACAGACACGGATGGCACTGTCTTGCCCAGATGGATGACGCCTGATCAAAGTCCAAACAGCTGGCACCTCTCGAACAAGGATTTCACGGGTACCTTCTGTGGCACTGCAGAGTATCTTGCGCCTGAAGTCATCCAGGGTCTACAGTACAGCTACGAAGTTGACTGGTGGTCATTTGGTACGATGCTCTACGAAATGCTCAGCGGCATCGTGAGTTGCCATTCTATTTCCCTCGGCGATAGGACGCCGTTAATTGATGGTCCCGTCTCAGACACCATTTTGGGCAAACAACCACTCAGATATGTATGTTCGTGTCCTTCAGGATGAGTTGCAGTTCCCAGAAGATAAAGCCATGGACCAAGATACAAAGAGCCTTATCCGCGGCGTAAGCATAGCCTTAACACGCCGCTGATATCATCTGACCACAAAAAATCGCCGACAGCTTCTTCAACGGAGCCCGACATTACGCATTCGTGAACCCAGAATAAAGAAGCATCCGTATTTCTCTATGATGTGTGTGGAGTCTCCCTGTTTCGACCATGAGTTGTGATCGTCTCAAATTTTCACTCCATAATAGCGATTGGTCCCACGTATATTACAAACGCTATATTCGTACGTACTGCATTTAGGATTATTTCCGTGTCTAACACATCCATGTTTAGCGCCGTATATTCCCCCCATCGACCCATCCAATGCCAGTGACACCCAGAACTTCGATGATGCCTTCCTTGATATGAGCCCTACTCTAGACGATGATCCAGAACCTGTGACCGATTCCGAGCTGGAGAAAACGGAGGATGAACCGCTAGATGCGGATGCTTCGTCCCCTGTGCAAACTCCTTCTGGATCCCTTTCCAACCGGAATGGGAAAGTCAATGCTGCTGCACAGAAGGACGCAAACGAGGAAACTGTGGATGTTTTTGATGGATACTCTTACAAAGCCCGACAGTCTGTCATCCTTGATGATGACGATGAGTATGAGGAGCGTGTTGTGCGTGTGGAAGTCGAAGAAACCCCCGCTCTTCCAGAGGTTGATACTGCGTCAGAAGTTACTCCCGACGACGCTTCCGATATCTCTATCAAGGCTTCCGCTCAGCCTCGCCCACCCACTCCGGCTGTTGTTCAAGAAGAGCCTTCAGTTGAGTTGGGGCCGCCAGGAGAGCCAGATCATCCGCTTGCAGAACTTGTGTCAGCCGCCGCTGACTTGGAGGCGGCTCTTGGCACACCCTTACCGGCGTCGCCTGCCAAGAGCGTCCATACGGAGCTTACATCACCCGAGGAGCCTGCCTCCCAGGAGACCGTTGATGAGACAAAGCCACCTATTCGCGATCTTGTATACGATCCTTCGCCTGCACCTAGCGTCAGGTTTGAACCCCCTGCCGCGGTTACTCCGTCTAAACCATCCCGATTTGCGCCATTTAAGAGCTCTCGCAAGAAAAGACGTGAGAAGCCCGCTGTCTCAAATTTCGATGAAGGTCTTGCCGACGAAGAAACTGATGTGCCACCACGAAACAAGGATGAGGATGATGATGATTGGGACCTGGTGGAAGTTCCTGGTCATGAAGAGACGAATGGACCTTCTGGTCGTGGTCGTGGTCGTGGTCGTGGTACGAGTCTTTTCGCACGAGGAGTAGTTGATAGATACCGGCTGGCTGTTTTCAAAAAGTCCACCCCCACGCGATCGAGAGTCAACCGGACTCCTCTTGACTCAGAACGGACACCATTCACAACCCCAGACCCGGCAGCCTCTCCCACGCCGCCTGAAGTCAAGAAGCGAGGGAGAACACCTGGTCTCAACCTTCGGAAGAGTACCACCAAATTCCTCCGTGCTAAATCGCCGATTGGTTCATCTCCAACTCCAAGTGCATCATCCGTGCGCAGACTGCTCTCCTCCCCATCAAGTTCAACTAAAGGAGCGACCGCTGCACCCGCTGGGTCTCTCACACCGTCCTCCCGCGGCACAAAACACTCTATGACAGTCCCCAACGAGCCCTCTCTTAAGTCAAAATCATCCGCATTATCTCGAGAATCGGTCGGGACGCCAGGCTCTTCGGGAACTTCTATCAACGACGAAAATTCGGGCACACCCCCTACCTTGGCGCAATCTGGATCTGATATTGCTGGAGGATCTAAAGATGGCACCCTCAGGGGATCGAAAGCCCCAGATGAGAGCGATAAACCGCCGAAAATTTTCAACAAGAAAATGAAGGTTGGAGCCGAGAAAGTCATGTCCCTGTTCGGGTCACCCAAATCGTAGACTGCTGCGTTGGACACATTATTCCCCCCCCCCCTTTGCAGATCTCCTTCGGTAACTCATCACGCTTTTAATCTACACACAACTAATCCTTGAGATCATCGCTCTTTGCCTTGTAATCTGCATTCAACAATCACCGCGCTCATTACTCTCCACGTTTTCGGATTCACCTGTGGCCCGAAACAGAAAGCATAAGCCGCGCGCCGCATATATACCACTCCTTTGGCTTCGTACGAAAATATGCATTGTGTTATAAAACGGGGTACGGTTAATTATTTACTCGTGCCTTGCTCAAACTCCATTCCTTCCTTCGTGTAGTATTGCCTTTTCAAGCCACTCTCTTTTACTCGCATTTGTCTTCATTTAATAAGACCCAATGATGCTAGGCGTTGTTGGGATTGATCGTAATATGATACAAATCTATTCTCATCTGCGTCCATAAGTAATTTGACCGTGCGGGAAGTGATGTGATGGAGTCCGTCTCAAGAACTCCCAGGCTTTGATGAATTTGGCGCACATGCGTGCCTGTGATAGGATTTCGGTCCGGTTGTGCTAGCGAGTTGATTTTGACAGATATGTACTCCTACACGCATCATGATGCCGAGGCCGCGTCGATGTTTAGTGTGCTTTTGAAGGCGAACATTATAGCCGAACGAGATGAAGTTTACGCGTTATATAGCTTACGTTACTAGCCAGACAAGTTGTCAGGTGATGAGAATTTGACCTAGGAACGCCATCAGCGCCGCCGACGCCGCTGGGCTTACGACAAAGCAATATTTCCCCCGACGCGTTATGCATGGAAAGCCTAATACACCTCGCAGCGGCCGGGGGTGGCTCACGGTTCATTGCATATGTGAATCACATGTTCGAACTGTAAAAATGCTCTCTCTCTCAAGGATATAAGTATATCCGCCCGCACCAGCGCAACAGCTTGAGCGAATTACTTAAGTATATGTATATATGTATAACGCCGGGATATATAGAGATTGGACTGGCAGGCTGGCACTGGTCGACTGATGATGACCTTGATGTTATCTAGCGCTAGCAGCTCTGTGCGCCTGACCTGATCGATGTGAAAATTTTTAAGGGGTTAGTAGGGCATTTGCTTTTCTTTTTTTTTTCATCTCACTGGAATGAATTCTCCTCACTACTACTTTAGTATAAACAACCGGGAAGTTGGATGACATCGTTTTCGTACATGTATGTGATGATAGTAGATTACGAAATCGACCTTCTTGCAACCAATGAAGATTACAGATTTTTTGAAAAAAAAAAACAACTCTCAGCTTAGCTTGCCGAATACGAAAGATGACGACAGGTGTTAATATTTACGAGCTTCCTGTTGATTTCTAGCCAAGGGGGGGGGACTAGTGACTTGGGCGAATCGCATGTGATCGAACCATGCATGGATGAGCCTGAGCCTGAGCCTGAGCCTGAGGGGGGCGGGCGGGCGGTTTTGGCATGATAAGCGTCGTTTTTTTTTTTCCCTTGATAGCCGACTTCGGTTTTTTTGACAGGAGCATGCATGATGCACGTTCATGCATGGAATTACAAGTTGGTATGAGACATGAAGGGGGGAGGGTGAGGTGGGGGAGGGAAGGATAGTAAAAGCGATATGGTGAGAGGAGATAAAGCGTGACGAGAAGAAAGCGACCCTTCACATATATATATATATCATCAGATCAGGAGATTGTAGAGACATCTTGAGACCAACTGCGACATATGTCAGGAGGATTAAAAAAGGGTGTTGTTGTCGTTTTTTTTTTGATGATTCGATCGATTTCAGGGAAATATGAAATTGGAATGCCTTGTTTCCATCCTGAGGCTGCATGGCATGCGTAATACGCATCATGCATTACAATGATATGAAAACCGTACCACAGCAAGGGTTGGGGGTGGGGGTGTTGGGTGGTGGGTGTGGGGGTGCCATCCAATGTAATCATATCATAGGGTCTCACGACAGAAGAACCCCGCACGGAAGAGAGATACTGATCCGGGAGGGGGCTACACTTCATTGAACCCATCGGGAGGTTCCAAATATCGGTGAGAAAGCGACACCCGGGACGCCACAAGTTTTATATATTTTATATTATATATATTTTGTATGTCAATAGCTGAACGGGGGGGCCATGAAACAAGAAGTTCGCGGGTTTGCGGGGGTAGTACGTGGGTGGGAACATTCCCCCAACAAGTTTGTGAACCTTAGCTCCCCGAAGTGATTTAGGGGCAGGGGCAGGGGCAGGGAAGACATTGGCCAAGAAGCAGTTCAAGACCCGTCCGTTAGACCCGAGATGATCCCATGAATATATGACATTCACGAACAGAATCGAGTGTGATATAATAATACTGTTTCACAGAGAGAGACAGTAGAGTGTAGTTGATATAGACATGAAGCTGGGCGGCAGCAGTCTAAGGGCAGGGAATTGACTTGAAAAGACGTTCCCACCCTCCCGGAGTTTTGGGGAGGAATGGCTACCTCGATGTATTGGGTCAGCATGACCAAATAGAGGAGGGGAGGGGAGGTGCTAAGATTTTGAAAAAAATGGTCACCTCATCTCCGAGGGTTTGAGTTGTACGACTGCATGGCCACGGGGCTCGGGGAGGACTACCAGCTGGTGCATCATCGCAGGCTGACCTGCGATCTTGACAAGTCTACGAACAAGGGAGACACAGCCGATATATGTATAGTCGTGTGGGAGAGACGCGCGGGCGCGTTCTGCATTTTAAAAAAAAGACTGGCGCAAACCCCCCATCTACATAGATAGGATCCTGAAGAAGACTGATTTGAATTAAGGTTCTAGCACGGCCATTTTGCATTAATGGGTTGGAGTTCAGAATGAGCATTGCTTGAAAAATCTTAGAGCTGCCTCAGTTGAGAAGGAAAACAGACAAGAGAAAGATCGGGAGAGTTGATTTTGGGCGAATGGGGCCTGAAATGGAGAGTTTGCTGCTAAGGTGATATATATATATGTGTATATGTATAACTACTTGATATGAATGTGCACTGGTTATAGCACTCAGTTCGCTTTGTCGCACCGGGCCCCGGCCATAGCTGTCCATCCCATTCATAGAGTCGCATGGAACGGCGCTACCGATATTGCACCGGAGATCACAGCTACCCGGGTCCGACGATTAAGTACATGCATACTTACCTTTTTTTTTTTGCTTGCGATGCGAGATTGCACAGCTCTCCGAACAGACCCAATGGCAGATCATCGCGCTCTGTGATCATCTCCTCAGTCAATAATCTTCCGGTCAATTGGTCAAAACTTGCCATCAGTCAGATGAAGGGTGTTTGTTTCGAATGGCAGAGCTGGGAGCGGTGGTGATCGATCGATGGCATGAATGATGGGGAGGGGGGGAATCATCCTTGATACCTTGACAATAGGGCACGCGCCCTCCTTCCTCATTTTGCGAACCCTACACGCAGCCTCATAGCACATCTAGTAATGATTCCCCAACGACAGAAGCGAGAGAGAGAGAGGGAGTTCTTTATAGGGTGCTTTGCTTAGCGAACATTTTCGGCGTTGAGTTGATGAGAATATACCGTTTCTGATGGAGTGAAATTACGTCCGGCCCATCCACCATCCATCCATCCATCCATCCACCCACCCACCAGATTTCAAGGAAGCAGAAGGTGTCATAACAAACGTGTGACCATAGGACCTTTTTGAGTTTCCGATAAACGTAAGGGTAAGTTCCCCTGGCAATGCGGAGTCGAGCGGTTCGAACACGTAGCGTGCAGATTTGCACGTAGAACGCAAAGGGAGCAGTGCTCGTGGTGTTGGAAGAAAAATCATACGCCAACCCAATGATAGGAACTGAGATCGGTTACTACTGACTTTGTTTTTTTTCGTTCTTCATCTAAGAATTCGTCCGTAATGGGTTCCCAGAGTGACCAGTTATAGAGTTCGCTCCTATCGGAAGAGATGCGCGCATGCCTACATCTGGGAATCACAGTCGAAAGCAGGCCTTGTGCAAGAAAATGGAACTCCAGAAATGCAGGAGAGGACGACATTGAGTGCCCTGTACCCATACGTTGATTTCTCCAGGAGCGAACCCGCAACCGAGCTATCACCTCAGGTAGAGATGTTTTGAACCTCCCGTTCTCGAAACGTGGCCATGGACTCCGCGGAGAAACTCGAAACGCGCAAACCCCGAGCTCGTGACCAAAATAACAAAAATAAATAATAATACTAGTGTCTTCATAGCGAATCTGAGCGCGCTTGGTCAGGGCTTGAGCACTGGCATCAATGCCGTGCTCAATCGCGTACTATATCGAGTCCTGGCATCCCCGGATCGAGTTGCGGTTTTCCCACTCCCAAATATGATGCATTGAATGTTCGATTTAACACACAAAAAAAAAAACAAAAGTCCTGTGTAACTTCTTTCGGCCATACAGAGATCCCCAGGCTGAGGAAAGAATCAACATCATCCTAGTACTTCGGCGGTGCTGCTAGCTCTTCACTTAGACCTCCCCCCCCATACTAAAAAGTTCCTGATCATGATGTGTTCTGCGAAGCACACATACTCTCTCTCTCTGCATGGCTAGCGGAACGGCTACGAGTTTACTACCAGCCTTGGTATGTTAAAGGCTGTGAAACCAACTACTAGGTCTTCTTCTTTCTCACCATGTCGGTTGCGTGTGGATACGCCCCTCCACCCCAACTAACTAACTCAAACGGAAAATCTGGCCTGTACAAGTTAACTCACTGACGACAATACAAACACGGGACCACGATCAGTATTCCTCCCCTCCCTCCCTCCCTCCCTCCTCACTTTTCATTAAAAAAAATACACCATCACCTTTAATTTTTTATTATTATCGATTTCTTATTCAGTGGAAATTCATCAAGATGGAGTTCTCATCCCGTGAATACATTTCACGGGTAATGATGAATTTGTTTGTGCCCAAACAACTTCTTCATAATCAAGCACTTGTCCAAAAGCAGAATGGCCCTTCTCGTCTCGATATAAGAATCGGTTCCGACGTCTATTGAAGCTTGCCCCTCTGCAACAACTACTCTCCCATCTATCATCGCTTCAAAGCCATGTTCCAACAGCCAGAGCCTTACTGTCCACCTCATCTCCAGAGCTACGTAGGTCCCATCCAGAGGCTTTGACCTTCTCAACCCCCTTCGCTGACAAGTGATCCATCCTGCGGCCCCCCCCCCTCAGACGCCAGAGCCATTACCCACTCCTTTAAACAGTGGAAGGACGAACAGTTACTTCATCTCATCTTCAAACCCATTCGGTGATTCTCTCTCAATGTCGATGCAATCATCCCTTCCACCACGGAATGGCTCTCCTCCACCTCCACACCCGCGGTTCGCTCAACCGCAGCAATACAGCAGCGGATCAGAGACGTTTGCAGCGCGCCAAACTCTGTGATAAATGGCGGCATTCGTACTTTACACACACTTAATCTTTCGAACGAATTCCCTTCGATGGCGCCCACCACCACCACCACAACGGGCGTTGGACAAATGAACGACCCACGTAGAGGCTATTTAGCTAGTCCCAACAACTCGTTTGATCAATCGTTGCGCCTCGGACAAACAACGAGGCCGCCTGTGCTTCACCATACTTCGTTCCCAACTTCGAGCGGCCGGCTTGGAGTTTCGGCGCATCCTCCGCCGGTCGATGGACCATTTTCTGGCGGTACTGGTTTTGGACAATCGAATGTGCGTTGTTTTTTTTTACACTGTTTAGTTGAGCGCCCATATTGACACCTCTCCTCCCCCCTTCAGTCCCTTTCTCCACTAGGAAGCGATCCTTGGTCCACTTCTTCCTCAAAAGCACCCGTTTATACTCCCCCGCGACAGCCTTCTCTTCTATCTCACTCGTTTGATAGCCACAACGAATTCATCATCCCACGGATTGAGGATCCAAGTATTGGGAATGTATCTCTAGCGGCGTCATCTTCCAACGTTTCACGGAACCCGTCCGCTAGGCCAGGGTCAAGTTCATCGTCCGATTCAGCAGTGCATTCACAATTGAGACAAAGCACCGGGAACGGTAGTAGTAGCAGTAGCAGTAGTAACGGGCTATTCATCTATGACACTCACGCTCCGTCTCTCCGTACCTTCCAACTCACCACTCCATCCGCTCCGCCATCTCCCACGCCCAACCCTGCACAACAATCACACTCTTCGGTTTCCCCTGCAAAACCTCATGCATGCAAAACGTGCGGAGCGACGTTCCAAAGGGGTCATGACTGTCACGGCACATCAAGAGCCACGATCACCCCCGATATTATTGCCAAGGGTGTGGAAAGGTTTACTCTAGGCAAGATAGCGTGAGGAGACATGTCGCTAGGGCTAAATGTGCAGGTGGGGACGTTCGTATTGGCGGGAAAGACATGTCGCCGTGTGAAGGAGGACTTCAAGTTGGAACGATCGGTGAAGGAGGATACGATTGATGAGTTGAGATTTTGGCGCGCGTGCGCGAAATGCTTCTTTTTTTTGTTGCTCTCTTCACAGCAGTCATTCTTCAAATCATTCTTGGACAGCAAGTAAAAAATTGCTTCTCATCTCCCCCCCCTCCAATACAGCTTGTCGTCTAGATGTGAATCCCCCGCTCTAACTCATCTTTTTTTTTTTTGCATTGCAGCATTCTAGTCATAGTGTCCACACCGTGTTTTCTCTCTCCTTTTTTTTCATGCGATTTGTGGTTACTTGTTTCTTTTTCCTTTTTCATTATGCTGGTCCTTCACACAATCATCTTCTTTTCTGCTGACATTCTTAATCCCATCACATACTATCCTGTATCCATCAGCTGTGTGTAGCAATTACCATATAAAAAAGGATAAGAGCTGCAATGCTTTGTTTGTTTTCTTTTTCTTTTTCTTTTTCTTTCTTTTAGCGCGGGGCGGGGTCTCTGCCTGTACCTACACAACTACGTTCTCTCTCTAACGAATGTCCTGATCGGGCCGGAGATATCTTGTTCTCGTCCATGTGCCCGACTGATCATGACCATTCGTAGAAGATCTCATTCAATCTTAATCTGAGATTTTCTGGTTCGTGCGGCTTTCCAAGCTACGGCATAGAGCGCCGCATCCTCGAGCTCGATCGAAGGAGTTTCCAGCGAGACGGGTCGCATGCATTATGTACATAGCGTCCAAGCGTAGCTTAAGATATGATCAGGCACACGTTTTTCTCTGTCGCATCAAAATCGTTTTCACGTCGGGAAGCATGACCGTTAACTTTTTGGTGTTGAAACTTGAAAGAAATAACAATTACTTATATTACAAGCTGTTCTTCTCATATACTGTATATATATAATTCCAACAAGAAATGGATCCTATCCGCCTGGGATCCTGCCATCAAGGCCCCTTGCGGCTGAATGGGAACAACGACTTACTGGTTACGTAGTAGTGATTTGTACATTCACCATATCCGTCTCCAAACGGACTTTGCACCGATTGAGAGAGAAGAGGGAGAACCCTTCCCCCCCGCCATGTAACCCCAACCAACCAACCAACCCCCCCCTCCCCCCATACACTGGCCAGTTGGTGCCGTTTGACGGATGATATGTTGAGATGAAGCCCAACTTATCATGTTTCCATCCCCACGTGGTTTAACAATTATCCAGGGACTCGCGCGCGGGTTTCATGAGGGTAAACAGCTCCCGCTTGTGGGGGGTTGTTCCTTGAACATAAGCGGGCTTCTCTCCCAACTCGCCGTGGCCATGCATCCCGGGTTTTTCCCTCCCCCCCCCTCCTACTCTTTTTGCACAACCGATGAACTTCGGTCATCATGCATGGAGGGAATTCGTATTCGCGAATGAATGTATACTTGTACAGCAATGTCGGTTGCCTTACAGCGCAGCGCTTTCATGCATCGCATATCCATATTCATAGCACCGCCCCCAAGCTAGCTCTAGAGTCTGTGAGACTAACTAGGCTAACACGGGGGGATCGAGAACACCCACGCCGTTGTTATGATGAATGATAGGGGTCGGGAGGGTCGGAGTTATGCCAGACCTTCCCGAACGAAACGACGAGAAGGATATACCAGAACGAGCCAGCCGAGGAGCGGTGAAGCTGGACCGATTGGAGAATTCCGAAAAAGAAGGAGTTTCTTTTTTAAAAAAAAAAACAATAGTTGAGCTGCCGTGCAATGACGGGCGCCAGCCGACATCGAATTCGATAAAGACAACCCGAATCTAGTATTTTGGTTTAGTAGTTCCAGTTCCCTTGATTGAAAATTTGAAACCATGCATGTCACTGGCCAATTAGGGAGAGAAGGGAGGACTGGCTAGCTCGAGAGCCATTTGCATAAATAAATCCTATTAGGCCCCAACACAGCTTACATTAATGACCAATTCATCGGGAGTGGGTATGTCATATGTGGGTGCGCGAGGCCCGTACGGCCACTGGGCCCCTTATGTCTGCTCCGGGGAGGGATGGAGTGCCCCAACTCAACCCCCCCAACCCCCCTATAGCTCCGCAGGCGTTCTAGCCGAATGGATGAATTACAGGGCCGCGCGTACGACGTGCAAAAGGAATCTCAAGGCTTACCCACACACCCATATAGCCGTGCAAAGCAAGGATGATTGCGTCCGGTGAGTTTTTACATAATCGTCTGTCAAACTCAACCGACCGGCAATCGGCGATTTGGCTTGCAGGCAATAGTGTTCAACCTCGATTATTTTTTTCCCATCGACGATTTGAAAATCCCTCAATTCCCTTTAGATTGAGCGCTTCAATATCCAGTCATAGTTGCGAGGAGGCTATGTGTGCGCAACAGCAATCAGTGATACAGCCCAATTAAGAACGCGCGCAATCCCCACCCAAAAAAAATATTATCCCTTCATTTCCGCGAGTTTCTACAGCAATCGATCGTACGGAGGCGGATCATTGCCTTCAGCAGTTGTCCGCTAGATGGGTTGTGCTCCGGGGGGGAGGGGGGGAGGGGATTGGTGATTGATGGCGTAATTTGCAGCCCAGGCAGGCGCAGTCCCATCTGCGTTAATTTTCCACGCTAATGAGGATTAGAGGAGCATCCCGCTCATTTTACGAGATGAAACCCATATTAGGCGAGCGCAGGTTTTGTTTTCACAAGCTTGAGCCCGGTGCGAAGAAGGGGATCTCGTCATAGCGGCCCCATCGTTGTCATCAGCGGATGGAAACTGCTTTCGACATGAGCACCCTGATCCTGTATGTAAGGCAGGCATGAATCGAGGGACAGCACCCAGAATTGCACTGGTATAGGATGCGCGCTATAGGCACTACATTCGTCACCACGACTATAACGAGCGGATACCACGAGGTCGAATCGCCACGTCTTCCAATGTAGGGGTTTGTATCGGCCGGAGTAACGCATGCCCTATCTCTTAAGGGTCAAGGCGCCCATGCATTGTACTCCTGAGCGGAGCTTTTTTTGGTTTCGTGTGTCCGCACGGACGTACGTGATCAAATCTCTTGAGCGCTTGTATAATCCAATCAGTGCTATTGCGTGTTATCGTCCCAGCAATCGATCAGTTGGAGAAGCTGAATCAGCAGCACTGAACAACACCGCGGCGGAACCGGAATCAGGCCCCATTTGTGTAGGTAGATGCAGCACATGTGATGAGGTGATTCGATTCCCTGGTCTTCCCCTTCCCCCCTCCCCCCTCCCCCTTATCCACGGCATAGAATGATTGGGGCAGGGTGTGGTTCCACTTTTTTTCTTTTCTTCATACTATCAAGCGGTGTTCCGCTTGTCAACTCGGTCCTAGGTGGGAAATTCAGTGTCGTCATGACGTTCTGAAAAACGTAATGATCAAACCCCCAATTACATCTCGTGGAAACGAAAACGTTATGTTATGCCAGGAATGAAAGGCCATCGGCGACCTCGCAGGAACATAGAACTGTCGAGCTTAGCGCTGTGTCAAAACCCCACCCACAGAGACGGGAGCTTCATAAAACATCATTGGTACCTTCCGATTGAGTCCGACGGACCACCATCAAAGCTCGATCCGTGGAACGCGCGCCCGGTGGCTGGAAAGCAAACTCTTGAGCTTTGCAAAACTTTCCCCTTCCTGTGCGCTTCCGCCTTCCGGGCCGAAGAATTCGGGGGGGTGAGCCAAAAGTGCCGTTGAACAGCGAAGGGGAAGGGGAACCGAGGAAGTGGACAAAAAAATTCAAATTTTTTGATGTTATGGCAGGATCCCACTCATCCAAGGTTTAGGCAAGATGTAACTCATTTGCGATCCCCATTACGTACATGCATGGCTGGCTACCGATCGGGGGAAGGGCGTTAAGATGGAGAGAACCCATCCGGGAGAACGTACGAGCAAGGGGAGCCGAGGGCATATGTAGTTGCAGGGGGATAGTGGAGAAATCGATATGCCCGGTCGTCGCCGAGGTGTCCTTGGGACGATCGAAGTGGAGAATAAAGGACGACCAGTCTATAGGCTGTTGTATAGAGCCTTCAACGCAGGAACCGGCCTAGGCACGCATAAAGTTTCACTGTCGCTCAATGAGATCGCGGAAATCGTTCAACTTTAAGATTCAGTGTCAGGGAAATCACCTTGGTAATGTGGCCGCTACTTGCATGCCAAGGCTCCCCAACGTTTTTCCCCCCAGGCCAAGGCATCCTTGGTTATCCTTTGGTCTCTCTCAAGGCAAGTTGGACAAGCAGGTCCTGCAGGGAAGACGGCGAATGCGGATGTTGCGCGGGCCGGCTAACTACTGGAGTTTCGCCTTGACTCTCCATATTCAGCAAGATCGTCCACAGAGTACTACATATAGGGCATGGGGGTTTTGCAAGCTCGTTATTAATGCTTGTTTGTGGCGGATGATATCTGCCGAGATGAAAAGATACAGCCAATATACTGGAAATTAACAGAGACGCTCGAGTAACGGGCTTAGAAACAGGCTTCAGCTTGCCGGTCTTCACGCGCATTTACAGGGTAATGATGGATGGCCGTTTCGGTTATGATATCCACAGTTGGCCAAATACATGTCAACAAGCATGACGGACGCATCCAGTGGCACCTCAGCGAACTTGCTTAGTCTTTTGACCGGGCCTGCGGGTGGTACGCATGTCCTCAAGTCCTCTTTAGCCCAGGCGTATATCTCTCAGCTTACCTCATTGCCTTTGAGCACTCTCCTAACGGAACCCAATCGCCTTGCAACAGAGTCCGAGTTACTCGCCACTGACCTTACACAGTTATGCCACAACCAGCACTCTACTTTCCTCTCCTTGCATTCCGCTTCAAATGAACTAAGCTCCTCGCTTGATTCGCTTACTGCGTCTTTGGATTCTATGCTTTGCGGATGGGTTCCATCGTTAGAGTCGGAGGCACGCCTCTTTACTGAACGAACGCGTAACATTCAGGAAGATCGAAGGAAGGCAAACATCGTCCTTGAAAATCAGGAAAAGTTGCTCGATGTCTTGGAGTTACCCAACCTGATCGCAACCTGCGTCCAGAATGGGTATTACCCCGAGGCATTAGATCTCGCGGACCACTTTGAAAAAAATCTGCTATCCTCCTCCTTACCCAAAACTTCGCTTCTTCTCCAATCCGTGCACACTTCCGTTCTTGCGTCGATGCAAAGTCTGCTAAATCAACTTCTTTCTCAGTTGCGAGGGCAAGCGAAATTACCCGTTTTATTCAAAACGGTGAATTTGTTACGAAGAATGGGCGTTTTGACGGAGGAACAGTTGGCCATTGCGTTCATTCACGGTCGGTCGGATAATCTCGATGAATCGTTCCGCCGTGCGTGTGGCGACGAAGGCTCACGTTCGGATGATCCTGCGAAATGGCTCCGGAAATGGATTGAAGTGTTCCGTGAGGGAGTATACGATGCCGTCACCCAATACTCCTCCATATTTTTATCCCCTTCTTCGTCTACGTCGCACACAGCACCTCAGGATGCTGAAGGGGGGGATCGTCAAATTTTCCAACTTCGTTCCTTTCTCCTCTCTTTCACGCACACTTACTTGAAACGCCTCCTCAGCGTAGTTCGACAAGTGATGCCGGAGATACAGTTAGCGGACATGTCCTCAGTTGCTTCATTGATCACACAATTAACATACTGTGGATCGTCCTTTTCCCGCATTGGATTGGATTTTCGAGGGTTGTTACCCAGCGTTGTTGAGGACTCTGTGTTCGATATCATTCAAAAGGGTTTCCTTGATGCGCAAAGCTCATTACACAAAACCATAGCGGACGCGACCCGCGCTCGAAAGTCACCTTCACAATGGCTCGTCATTGGAGACCTGAATAAAATCACAGCGCGTGATGCCCCACGAACTCCAATGGCAGTGCACATTCCTCCAGCACATCTCACCTCTTTCCCTCCCATCGCCGTGTTCACAAATCAGATCTTGCAGTCACTCAATGCACTTCGACTGGCTGCCCCTTTATCAATCTACCCACGACTGCGAGAGGCAGAAATGAGCGTTTTGCTGGACATGTCGGCTTCTTTGGCATCGTATTGCGAGTCGCAGCCCTGGGATGACGTAGCCATGGACGATGATGAAACTCAACTAAAGACTGCGAGGCTGATTTCGGCTGTTAGAGATGCGTTGTGGGGAGACTCGGGAGTGGTGGGTTATTTAGTCATGGTATTTTGCGAAGGGGTGTATGGAAGGCAGGATAGTCTGGAGGAGCCAAACGGAGCTTGGATGAAGGAAAAGGAGCGTTGGGAGCGATTGTGCCAGATGGACGTCGCGACGGTTGGTGAATCGTGATAGAAGGGGGTCTCCTGTGATGCACAACTTAATTATATGCATCTAAATCTATGCAGTTCATCAATCATGCTCGAGGTCCTTTCGAACAATATGACAACGTTAGATGCAATAAATTCAGCCTAGGTTAGCTACCAGACAGCTAAGACCTGAGTAACACTCGCTAGGGCACACTAGTGACTCGTGAGGATGGTGGCGCACTATCGGCGCGCAGAAGGACGAAGGCTGCCGTATTCATGTGTAAACGTATTGGACCAGAGCCACCGATGCAACGCTTGACCGATCGAAATAAAAACAAAAACAAAAGTAAGACCGTTCGTCGCGCCACCTCATCCAAGGATGACAGTCTCAGAATGGGAATCACATATGACCACGTGACACACACGTCCGCGTCCCCGACGCAGCTGTAACGCGTGTTTATGCAGGAGAACACGCCTAGACGTTCTTCACGCGTCAGCGGAAAGAATTTGGGTAATGCTGGCGTGAACCCTGTGACGTGGTTTAGGACTGATTGGAAGTTCCAATGGGGACATGACGCTTTGACATCGGAGGATGTCAAGGATTTCGATGAGGCGAAAACGCTTGAGAAATGCCAGGCAGACTTCTATGGAAGTCTGGTACTATACTCTGAAACACCGAATCATAGGAAAACTACTATAAAACTTGGAGATACTGTCCTAGTCAAGACCGGGACCAACCCTTACCCAAGCATCGGAATCATCACGTCGATGTGGGAAGCGCGTAATTCTACCCAGAAAGGGCGCCGCGGGGAAGCTGGGCTTCCCAGGATACGCGTTCATTGGTTCGTAAAGCCAAGCGAGTTACCCTCCGTGCGAGTGCCACGTCATCACGAGTCGGTATGGGGTCTCCTCGTAGGGGAAGAGAATGACCTGACAAAAAAAAATCATCATAGAACGAAATATATTACACCATGTCATCCTCGGACGTGCTCCATCCTGAATCGATTCTTGCCAAGGTCTCTGTCCACAGCACCAGCACCTCCGCACGATCATTTGCAGATGGAAAAGTGTTCTGCTGTTTCTATGCTACGGATGATACCATGAAAAACTTTTACCGTTTTGACATGGAGAAACTACGCGAGCAAGCAAGCGGATATCTTTCGCCTCGAGCTTGGTGTTTTACACCTCTTGCCGATGCTAAAGCATCTTCCAATAAAACACGAGTCGTTCAGAGTCCACCAGAACCGTTGCCACCTCCAGCTAAAAGAAGACGTTTGTCCTTACACGCTAATGAAAGCGATGTCTATACAACACCCAGCGTTGACTCGGAGGGGACAGCTAGTGGGTCAGACGATTGCACCCCCATATTGATGGCAAACCTCAAAAGGTCCAGACGAACGGTTAAACAACAAACGAAGTCCACTTCGCCTGAACAGGAGGAAACGGATAGCCTTTCATCGCCATCCAAATTACATACACCTTCGAAAACACGGGGAACAAGGGTCAAACTCAAAGAAAGTCTCCCAACAACACCTTCTTCAGCAAGAAGCAGGAGGACGGTTTCCACTTCAGCCTCTCCCTCCAAACGTCGTCATGATTCATCCCGCTCCCCTACCAAAAGAAGGCGTATTGCAGACCTGCTTGCACCTGAAGACTTTGCATCCTTTACTAATGGATCGGAAGACTTGAGTCACCTACCCGAGAACCCATTTCTACGAGCAATGCATGTATTGCATGTCTCATCTCGCCCTGACGTACTTCCTTGTCGCGACGAAGAGTACATGGAAATCTTAAGTAAGGTGCTGACACTCCTTGAAGAAGGGGCAGGAGGATGTATCTGTAAGTACTTTCTTGGTGGCATAGAGTCGACCAGACATAATAACTCTTTCCTTCAGATATCTCTGGCGTCCCTGGGACCGGGAAAACGGCTACAGTTCATGCTGTCATCAGGGAACTGAAGCGTATGGCAGAGCGAGACGTAAATTGACTCACCATCTCGTGTCTTTGGGCTCCTGACGTTTGTTTGGCAGGAGACCAGCCCATTTACATACGTCGAAGTCAACGGACTTAAAATCCCTGAGCCATCGGGCTCGTATAGTCTTCTTTGGGAGGCATTGTCAGGCCACAATATCGCAGAAGATGGCCGCCTGCGAATTACTCCAAAGGAAGCCCTCCGGAGGCTGGATCAGTACTTCTCTGGAGACGCGATACGAGGTCCAGGAAGTCATGCATGGTAACGAATGGCCCACAGTATAGTTATGGTTCTAATCGTCTGACTCCCATTTCAGTATCGTGATGATGGATGAATTGGACCAACTGCTGACGGCTAAGCAAGATGTGGTTTATAATTTCTTTAACTGGCCGACCATGGCACAGTCCAAACTTATTGTGCTGGCCGTCGCAAATACGATGGATTTACCGACCCGCGTAATGTCTGGGAAGGTAAGGAGTCGAATGGGTAAGTCATCTCGATCACAGGTAGAACAGCGCTCAACGCAGCATTAAGGAATGGAACGGGTCGATTTCAAGGCATACGATCGTCCCCAGTTGATAGAAATTGTGACGTGTCGATTGCGTTGCGCGTCTTCTAGTCTTGAGATGGAGCCGGAAGATATCGTCGTACCCGATGCCATCAAACTTGCTGCTATGAAAGTGTCCGGGATCAGTGGGGATGCACGACGGGTGTTGGATATCTGCAGGTTTGTGGCGTGCTTGGAGGTTTTGTATCGAACTCTTATCTAATTACGCTGACCTAGGAAAGCTGTCGAGGTTCATTACGGCCAACAGCTGTCTGGGCCTGTGACAACAAGGCACCTTTCGGCAGTGCTCCAACAGATGCAAAATAGTCCCACCCGGGCTTATATCGAGCAGTGTAGCTTTCAGGAGCGTGTCATGCTTGCATCCCTGTGGAAGTGTATGAAGAAAGAGGGTGTATTATTCATAAATTGGGAAGAAGTGAGTAAGGGGCTAGAAAATCGAGGCTGACTCTCGCTCGTCGCTAACGGTCGTTCTCAAGATTTTGCACTCCCATCGAAACTTCTTACCGACGCTGACGACTGACCCTGATCTCCAATATAAGCCTACCGTCACGGAACTTCAGTTGGTCCTTGACTCGCTGACCGCGGCGCGGGCAATTCTGATCGAGGATTCCAGGAAAGGGTTAGCGAACGGAGAGCGGAAGGTCATGTTAAACCTGGAGGAGATGGAGGTGCTAAAAGCTCTTGGAGAATTAGGGGGAGAACATTGGCGTCGGTTCCTGGGACCTTGAGTAGAGCGACTCCAGTTGCAGTCGGTTGTTGACCAATAGGTGGGCTAATGTGATCATTTTCACGACACTGCTCCATGTCACATTGATTTGATCGAAGAACTGCACCCCCGCTGTTTGCAGGATTGAGGTGCTCTTGATGTTGCCTCGTTAAGTGTGCACCGTATTTGCACGGGTACATACGCTGTTTAGATGTGTCGGTGCAGTATAGTAGGTCAGAATTCGAGAAGTTCTGGTACTCAATATATATGAAGGCGGGCCACCAACGCCATCTGCATCTGGCCGGTAATGGTCGTATATTGTCTCCGTTTACAAGAAGCAAATTCAGACACACTCCGAACTATGCTGAGCTTCCGGCTCTCTTTGTGCCGTCAATCCACTAATCGTTGCATGGAGACAAGTCGAGGGCTGGTACGTTTGGGGTCATCTATTGGAGCTCTTTGGGAGTGCTATGATGCATAGCACCATGGGATCCTGGAGGGACTCAACCCCGTGCACTGGTAGTGATTCAGGGCTTCAATTGGTGGCATTTCCCTGTCGCCTTTAAGCTTTGCTTCACTCCTGATTAAGCTAGCATGCTCCGGTCAACTCCGGTTAGCTTTTTACTCGACATGGCAGCTAACACGCTATAATCGTGTCGCTAGCCGGCTGTCCCTGCCCGGTGCACTGGAGCTAGGCTCAAGCGATTCCGGAGCGTTCATGAGGGAGTCGCCCATACTCACCCGTTGCAGTTGAGTTTATCTTTGAGTCCTGAATCACCATGTGCGTTGTACATCAGCAAGAGGTCCTTCGGGCAGGAACATCTTGTTGCCACGAGGCCGACTAAGTGGCGCAAATGGGGCCACGTTTACTCCTGAAAGTATTTGCTCTGATATATAACATGGAAACGGGGCCAGAGGTCTCACCTCAGCCATGTGTCCCAAACTCTGGGAGATGCGCGTTCTTGCATTTATGTTCTCAGGACTTTTCCTTCACGCTATACGGGCTCAAGTCAAGTCCTATATCATTGCAAACAACTATTCTGGTTCAACATTGTATGCTAGGAGGCCATCACACCCGCAGACAGTATTCTGAACGATATGAAGTTTTGAGGGCTGGGACTTCGCTGAGGGAATCGACGATACAAATTGGGGGGTGCGTTACTTCGAACAGAATTTATACAGAGTACTGAGTGGTTTATACTAGAATGTCACGTAAGAATATTGCTAGGCACCTGAGTGGCAGGATTTATTAACAATTACACAGATTCCTAAGCGCCACGGATGCCAAAGTCCAAAATATCACATATGTAAACGAAGCAAACAATGCGATAATCAGAGTGGATAATATTACAGTGGGCACTAGTAAGAGTCGAGATACTTGTTCTTTGCGGAAATTGATGCCTACTCCTATTCGATAGCGGAAGTGTTCAACAGAGCTACTGTAAAAATGTCCACCCAGGCCACGATCAACAAAGGAAGCCTTATACTTTTCCAGGCAAGACATATGCCATATGGGGTACGTTGCGCCTAGTCCCGACATAGTTAGTTGCTGACTTATGTCACAGTGCTCCCTGTAGGTATCTTAACTATTTCTTTCCAATTGAAAATTTCTCTAATTTTTCCTACCCTCGGAAGTTGGCCAGGCCTGTGGACTTTAGTAAGTGACATGCATCTCGTTCATCTTAAATCTCACTCTGGGGGCTCCAGGGAGGTAATTCTAGCAATTGGCCCCAGTACGGCGAGATAGATATCGTTGGTGAGTCTCCTTAAGTCTGTAACGTATGCATGCTGAATGGTTGACAAAGAGAATGTCAACCTGGCAACAAATAATCAGTACTCTCTACACACAATCCAAGGATGCAACCGTCCTCCGTATCCTATTGGAAACGAAACTGGATGGATAGTACAATCCAGTTGCTGGAACATGACCAATGATAACGAGGGGTGTATCGTTATTGAGAATAAGGCCAATAATTATGGCCAAGGATTTGCACTAAATGGCGGGGGGTTCGTGTGCTTCCTTTTCTTTCTTTGCGAGAGCTAAGCGTTCCTGGATCTAGTGCTTACGCTGTTTTGTGGGACGATGAAGGTATCCGGTTCTGGTTTTTCCCGGTTCGACCTTCTCTCTTAATTCTTCGGATTTACGTGTTGCTTTCTTATGCCTGGCATCAACTCATACCTACAGCAACTCAGTATCCCACCTGACCTCCCATCAACTTCTCCAAATCCCGGGAATTGGGGACCTCCGAGCGCTTTCTACCCGCAGTCAACATGCAATACGACTCTGTATTTTGGCCCGCAAACGATCATTTTACAAACACTTGTCTGTGGCCTTTACGCTGGGGCCCCAGAAGTGTTCAATTCCGGAGGTTTATGTAAGGGTAGTTGTTCGGACCTAGTACGTGACCCGAGGAATTATGATCAAGCATACTTCGAGATTGAATTCTTGCGCGTATTCGTGGAGTAAGTTCCTTTTAGCAGTATCTCGACCTAGGTCATAGGGCTAAATAGGATTTTCATCGCTTGGCTCTCAGAAACAATAGTGTAACTACCACTGCTATGTCAACAGCTTCGACAACATTACCTTCATCAACGACTTCAACGATCTCATCAACGGTTAGGCATTCTGGCAGTCCTACTCAATCTATTCCCATATGGTTGGTCTTGGCAGTTGGCATGTTACCTTTGCTCCGGACATTGTCGCCACAAATTTGATGCGTGCTCATTCCAACACGAGGTTTATTCTTGGGCTGCGCGTTCCTTATTCTGTTTTCACAAACGATAGGACGCTTGACTTATTGGTCAGAGATTCATAAAAATGTTGAGGCCACCACGCATGTATGGTCTCCAATTGATGCGTAGATTCTGCTAGGTCCAAATATGAGTACACAGGGGATGCACCCGTTTGTGGCGCTGAGACTGCAGTAGAGTATTGTGGCGGCGACGGGCAGAAAGACGCAGACACGAACGGGACAGCACTGAGGAAAGGGTCAATGTACGCCACAACCGAGGTGGTGCGGCGACGGACGATATATGTCACGGTCTCTAAGCGTACAGGGTAAATTCGTGAGTCCTGATGTGGGTGCGTGGAGGATGGGATAGGAGACCCCGAGTGCAGCATTGTGGCCCGAGTCAGACGGCTTCGTGCTGTACTCTTTTCCGTCAACACCACGGTTGCATGGGCTTGGGGACGGAAATCGACAAGTTGGCTCAAAGTAACAGACGCTTGAATGACACCTACTTATATCAAGAGCTCTCATCTAGATCGCCATTTCGAGAGTTGTCAGCAGTATTCGATTCGTTCTTCACCACTTCGAAAGTAGCTTCGTGCCCGGATTTCAGGAGGATCTCGCCTCGGGGGGAGTAGCAAGCTCGTCGGCGATGACGATGGTCGAGTTGGAGAGTGATACAGGTTGACATACACTTGGCGGAGCGAAGCTCTGAGGGACTGTGAGGGTGGTTGTTCCCCGAAAATCAGTGCTCCGGCTTACGGGAGAACGGGCATCAGCAGCCTTGTTACCAAGATGGCCCAGCGTGATCTCACTTCTTCCGCTCAATCGCAAGACCCTTTACTCGTCGGAGCCAAGGGGTTACAAGCTTATACGCACGAATGAGGGGTAGTAAGGGGTATTGACACCCGTCGGAAGAGATATGTGTCCGTCAAGGGACTTCGTGGCCCTGGGATTCAGTAGGATCACACCCAAAACTCCCTCCCATGGAACGGAGACGGCGTGAATAGCATCCAACAGCCAACGGAAACACAGGCAGCGCATGCATCAGAGGATTTGCTCATGACCGCTTCGCAGAAATTGTGCCTCGGTCTAGCTGTGAATGAAGCGAATATTTAGCTAGGCGCGCCCCGGAATTAAAGGTGGTGTCTCCCAGAGACTCCAGTGATTTGGGTTTCGTGTAGCAGTCACTGCTTTTTTTAATCATATAAGATGGAGACAAGTTGTAATTCCCGCTACTCTGTGAGGTGTCCAGGAGTTGTAAATTATATGAGATGCTGTACACATGTACGCCTGCATGTCAAACGCGCGCATGTCCAGGGGGCTCATGCAGATATTTAGACACTCTTGCATCTAGTTCTAGTCGAGTATCCCACTAGCGACCTCTTGACCCGCAGCGAGTTTCCAGACAGGTCACCAGCAATTAAGTTCAAGTCTGATCATTGGCTGCATCTGCCGATCCAGGCAATGCACCTCACGAGACGCTCCAAACTTGTTTCAAAGAGGTGGAGGCCAACTGTAGGCCTACAAACCGGTACGTACAATTTGTTGTTAGAACAGATACGAGGATGAGAGATGTGATAGAGAATACGTTGGTCCATGATGGCGAAACTGCTGTGATGTGGATGCAGAACTGAAGTAGTACCGTGGCTGCCAACGCACGAGAGGACATAAACACGAGCCCAAGATAGGAAATATTGCACCTCAGCCTAAATCTCAGCCTTGGCGAAGCATTAAACGGCAGAGAGCGAATTGACGGCAGTGCTATCGGAGCGGATGCTCTTACTTTCTTCAAGGTCTACCACCTTCTTCTCGTCCTCTAACTCTGTACGAGCGGCCATAGCAACTTTCTCCTTCTCGACCTTCTTTCGGAACTCTTTTTCCTCCTTGGCCTTTCTCCTCTCCTCCTGGGTCGCTTCCTTTTTCTCCTTCTTCTCTTTCTCTCTTGCTGCTTTCGTAGTGGCACGTCGCGAGTAGTCTTCTGCAGCTTTGCTATAGTTACTGTCGAGCCACGCCATTCTTCCCACCAAGAACCACGTAGAAACGAGGAAGATCAGACACCAGCCAGTCTGAGATTTCACGTTAGTGACACTGGAAAGCTGTGCAATGAAATCTCATATACCCAAATCATAGGGTACATATTACCCTGAGCGGCTTTCAGGAGGATGCCAGGTTTCAGGGGCCTAGCCTGTCCGCATGGCGCAGGATCATAGAAGTTGTCGATAGAGTTGTAGCTGCCAATTCTAGTAACGCGGATGGTGAAGTTCATGAAGAACTGGGTCACGAATGACAATCCCTGGTAGACGAGGAAAATGATACCAAATGCCTGGGCTGAGTCCTTGGTTGATCCACAGAGAGAGGAATAGATCCCAGGGAACCAGAATGGGATGGAACCGAGAAAATAGAAAACATAGCCCACAAGATTGAGGGAGATGGTAGCTAGAATCGTGCGACGATGAACAACCTAGCGTCACACTCTCTGAGCACACTCGTCCTGCTGTTGGGAAGCGAATTACTTACGTCAGGAAGCATTGCTGTGTAGAAGACACTGTTAGGCGCTACGTTGGTCAAATCTGCCAGTCGTCATGTGAATACAGAGTACAATGGATTAGGGACATTGAGTACTGACTGTATTGTGGGTTCGAATAAGACGGCTTAGTGCAGTACACCTTTCCGTCAACATCACGGTTGCATGAGCCTGGGGATGGGTGGGAGAGCGAATGATAAACAAATTAGCGAACCCGAACAAATCCTCGAACGATACGCATACCAAGAGCTCCTATCCAGATCGCTGCTTGAGAGTAATTAGCGGTATTCGATGCGCGTTTTACGGAGGTTTCGCGCTTGAACCTCAGGATTGGCTCGTCTCTGGGCAACTGGTGTGATACATTGGCAAGATGGACTGTAGCATTAGAGAGCGCCCCGCCTTGACACGCATTTGGGGGGACATAGCCATCAGGGACCTCGTAGGCTACGAAAACAAAGTTGGCTATGATAAATATTACCCGAAATTGTGCTAGCTTACGAAGGAACCTGAACAAGGAGTTGTTGGTATTACTCGAGGACCAAGGAACGGGTGAGAGGAAACCGTAGAGCTGGAGAATAATACCTCCAAGGAAAGCGAAATCGCCGAGAAGAGTGAAAAGGCCCCACATGTTTTCTTTGACGAAGGGTGCGCAAGAACCTTTGCTCTTTGGGAGTTCGAGGCGGCATACTTATATGCAACGGGGATGAAAGGCAGGACTGCAACACTAGGGCAAAAATGACGCAAAAATAGCGCGTCTATCAGAGAACCTCGTGGCCATGGAATTCAACAGGATATAACTGCCAAGGCACGAGCTATTGAGTCGAGGTTCGAAATGCTGTGTACACAACTCCAAAAAGAGATATCCTTTCACGTAATCCAGGTGACGTGAACAGCACCCCGCCAAGCAGAAACATACTACGCCTACGACAGAGGGCCCGGCAAGATCACGCGAACGCCTGATCCTGATCATTGAACACCAGGTCACCAATGAAGCAAATCCACATGTGTAAAGTAGGCATTGCACCCGCGCCCCCAGAATAGCCCCAGAACATAAGCGCCTCAGCTGCTGATTCAGGGGTAAAGAGCCGTGGCAGTTGCTTTTTGTGTCATGGCCAAGTCAGGACAAATTTGATATTAATATATATTGGTCTAGCATCGCCTCAAACACGTGAATCAATCCAAGAACCGATTTCAATTCTATTGGATTCATGCGCGTCTGCAGTCTCTATTGGAATAGAGTGCGGCTGTGTTCATCGAAGCGCGGTAGCTGTCACTATGACCATGTGTATGCGTGGATGACGGATGGGAGCAGCATGTAGGTTTGTGCACAGCATTTATGGCATGACGCAGGGACGTGGTCGACTCTACTAACGTAGGCGCCACACGGTCCACACCTCGATGGCATCGCGTTCAGTCGCCATAGAGTATATAGAAGCTCGCGAGCCGCCCAGTGGCAGAGCTAAATTGATCCCATTCTTCATCCAGATGTGAAATGCCCATGGAGAAGCATTGAGGTTATCGGATCTGGTGTTGTTCCCGGCCCCTATCCAATCTCGCTTAGGGACTTCCAGGTTGAAAGATCCATTGAGAGGATCATTGTATTCTCCAGCAGCTCGCGTCCCTCTGCTTTAGGTTGGTTTGTACTGGGGGCCAGCGGTCTCTCCAGCGCCATGACGGGGTCGCTGAGCTGTTGGTGTCTTACGCGGTTAATCTCGGCAACCATGTTGATGTGCCTTGACTCGGGCCAGTCATTTGAAGTGGAACTTTTGTTCACGGACGAGGGGGGCACTTAAATTGCTTTTCAAGGGGTAATTTATGTGTACGCTCCGAGGCTGGTGCACACATTTTGTTGTTGGAACGGAAACATCAGTGAGCACACAAATAGGGGTCATAGTAAGTCGGTAGTGGGGCTGCTGTGGCAATGTGCCTTCATAGGGTACGGAACCATGGAAAATTTACAAACACTGAGCTGAATTTAGGCTTAAGATAGAAAGGGAACCGATAGCAGAATTGCCTAAGCGGATACCTTTATTCGCTTGAGGTGCTGGCACTTTTCTGTCCGTCGTACTTGTCCTTGAGCCACTTTGCCCTTGCAACAAAGAAGAACTTGGAAAGGAAGATCAAGCACCATCCAGCCTACTTCCTAGTCAGTAGCGTCGCAAAGCTGCACGATGAAAGCTGACATACCCAGATCACCTTGTACATCTTCCCCTCGGTGGCTTTCAAGAGGATGCCAGGTTTCAGAGTCCTAAGCTGTCCACATGGTGCATTGTCGTAGAAATGGCCGACAGTGTTGTATTTGTTGATTCTGGTGACACGAATGAAGAAATTCTGCGTTCCAAGTGACAATCTAAAATAGCCACCGACAACACAGGCAGATGCCACGGGAACTGGGTCCCGTACGTCATTTGGCCCGCAGAGAGAGATATAGAGTCCAGGAAACCAGAATGGGACGGAAGCGAGGATAGATAGAATATAGCCCACGAGGTCAAGCGAGAGAGTGGCCAAGATTATGCAACGATGGATAACTTGATGTCACCGTTCTTGAGCTCGCCCGTCTTACCGTTCACAACAAACTCACTTACGTCGGGCATCATTGACGGGTAGAAAACACTGTTATGTGTTATGTGGGTCAAATCTACGAGCGAGGACGTAAGTGCAAGGCGCGAGGAGTGGGGAATCTTCGGTGCTGACTGTATTGCGGGTTTGAGTAAGAGGGCTTAGTGCAGTACACTTTGCCATCAACATCACGATTGCATGAACCTGAGGAAGACATAAATGAACGGAAAATGCTTAAATGATATACATACCAAGGGGTCCTATCCATATCGCCGCTTGAGAGTAGTTAGCAGTATTCGATTCACGTTTCGCCACTCCGAGAGAAGGCTCAGCAAAGCGTTTGAATCTCAAGAGTGGTTCGTCCCGGGGCAATGGCTGTGAATTACTGACGATGTGGAGAGTGGAACGGGGAAGCACTCCACCGTCACAGTCGTTCAGTGGGGTATAGCCAGGAGGCTCCTCGTAGGCTGAGAACCAAAGGGACCATTATTGCACATGAGAATGTTCTAGCTCACGAGTGAACCTGAGCAAGGAGTTACTGGTATCGTTCAAGAACCAAGGAACAGGCGATAGATAGGCATAGAGATGGAGGATAATGCCACCAAGGAATACAAAATCGCCGAGAATATGGAAAAGACATCGCATCTTGAGCCTAGCAAAAGACTTCCCATGGAGGTAAGGAGTGACAAATTTATATCCACACCAGGTGAATGAAGCGCGGTATTGCAACGAGTGACACTCGACGGAAAAAGGGCGCGTCTGTCATGGCTTCACCGCCCTCCTGGTATGCTGCCACCAAGTTTGAGGCCCGGTGCCGCGCAGGCAACGAGGCTCCAGCTAAACGGCTAGCAGTATCATAGCCGCTGCCAAGTAGGCGCGCAAGGTCAAAATAGATTGTTCCGCTTGGCATTGCCTCGAGCATGACATTTAAACTATGAAATCATTTCAAATTAGCAGCGTCAACAGGCGCTGGTTTCACGAAAATACTCAGGCCGCGCTGGCAGTACACGATAGTGGAGAACCATGGGGTGCGCACAGAAAGAAACTAAACATCGTGTTTACTAGCACAGCTCTGTACATGGGGATCGGCCTTAATGCGCAGCGTCCTACAACACTGGAATGTTACCTTGCTTGCAAGGTCTCTTGCATGTCCACAATTCGTGGGAATTCTGCAAATATATTAGTGGGAATTCTGCAAATGTATTGACCGCTTTTCTGCACGTGTCCTTTCCTCCAATCCTCGCGACAGATCTTTCTGGCTCATTTGTCCCGCAAACTCTGTAGCGCAAATTTAGGCCCCAAAGGTGCTGTGCACAGGATCCTCTGACAATATGACATATAATTTGGACCACTTTCACTATAGTACCGCTCAGGCAGTAAGGCAAGCCACCTGGCCCCTCTGCAAACAATTGATTGTTATCTTGAGCGCTTGTAGCTAAAACTGTTACAACTATGTTAACTCAGACTTCAGACACCCAGTCAGCTCCTGTAAGTACGAGTTTGACTCACTGCGCTCTTCACTCATTATTCCAATCTCAGTTCGAAACTCACACGCATCTCTCCAGACGTGATTGTACGCTCTAGAAACCTTTCCTATGTGCAATCCACACGTGTGCGACTCTCAGACGCGTGCCTGTGCTGATTAAGCCGTTCTCACTCGAAATTCACACGCCCACGCGCACCTAGAAACGCGCGCTTGCACCCACTCCGCTTTCTTCTCTGTGTTCACGGCTCCCCAGGCTCAGACCCACGACTTTTGGGCCTTCCACACACATCTTCCACGTCCCCCACCTGCCTTTTTTTGGCAACACACGCGATATTTGCGCCTGCGCACGCTAAGAAACTCGTGCCAGCACATCCTAGTCCAGCCCCACGCGATATTCACGCGCTGACAGCACTCTGCCTGTGTATTTGCCCTCCGACACACTCTCTCGCACACGGCTGTGGAAACTCGCCATGTACTGGCTTGATGGTAGGGATCTCCCCCCGGATGATTCTGCCTCGGGGCGGTGAGGAATACTGGGAGACACCTGAATGCGATGAGGTGATAGAGAAGGCTCACAATGCGATAGGAGTCCTTGCTGACAATCTCAAGGCTGCTGTTGTTTTGGGTGATCGCACGCGATGGTGGATTTCTGTGAATATATCGACACTGTCATTGGGATCGTGCGTCGCGAGGCTTTGTGGAGTTATAGGGACGAGGGTGTCGGGTATAACACATGTAAGGATGTGTTTGAGTGGCTGGATTCCATTTACGCTGAGTGGACTTCTATTCCTATGGTCCGCTTGTATGAGCTTGCACGCAAGCGCTATCTGAAGTCCCTTCCAACAGATCTCATTGTCCCTCTAGCCTTTGCCACATTTCGCCCATCCCTTTCCCCTCTTCCCCTTGATCTTGTGGCCGACGACAAGCCAGAATCGGATAAGAAAAACAAAGTACTTAGTGGGCTCTTGCCACCACAGGTGGCATCCACCAATCATACGCCAGTGTAAAGTGGGCACGAGACAACATGACACCAGTTGGTTTGATGGGGTATAGGAAGTGCAAAGTGCATTCGTTTAATCGGATAAAGCTAGGGGAATGAAGAGCATTGGCAAAGCTAACTGGTGGCAGGTAATGGTGAATGTAGCGTGCTCATGGCAGACAAAAAGAAAAGGGAAAAGAACACCCGTGTGCAGAAAGCCAGTTTGATGGAAAGATCGATGATGTTGGCAGGAAACATTCCCATTCCGCTGACTTCACATGCAAAAGCCTTATCATAAGCAAGGTCAGGGCTGCACAGCAGCCATTTCTAGTGGTCAAGTCTGCCCACTATTCTATCTTCCCATAACACCATTCAGTGGAGATAGACTTCCTGGTGTTCAACCGATGATTCATCACGAGAACGGACAGAGGCCCCAAGGTGCACCAGTGCTCTGGAACAGGGGACCGTGCCCCAATAGTCATCGGGTTTTCATAGCACCGCTTGCTCCATCTTATTTAACAGACTGTGCAAGCCTTGACGCACGCGCCCCACTCCGGAAACTGTGATCCAGACCCCGTTCGGAGTCGCTTGCCCCACAAGAGTTCTCTCCGCGCTGCGAGACATCTGAATGGATTGTCAGTGCAGAAGCGATGACGTTCCACCACAATCGGTGTTCCCAAGCATAGACGGATATCAAATAGCACATCTTCTGCTTCCCTCCTCTTGGGAAGAGGCTCGAAGCGGGTCATCTAGATCGCGAAGCCGTTGACAAAGAACTTATCGCAAGGAACCCTTGCACGTCCAGCGAACGAGAGTGAGGCGTAATATGCACTGCAGTGATGGGGCAGTAAGGCTTGACCCAAATTTGATAGGTGCATTTGTTAGGGAACAACATGAGCAGTAGCAGACCCTATTTAGTGAGCTATCGCCTGTTGGCGGCCCTTACGGACAACGAGGTTTTAGTATGATCAGTGGAGCTGACATCGGGGCTGCCAAATAGGGACGCAAGCGTTAGTGCGTGTTTGACAGTCTCGACATGAGTGGGATCAATTCAAATCGGCAGTGACCACAAGCGCTGGAGCCGTACTAGCAATTGGCAGTGCTGAAGTGCAAGGTGATCATCACCCGGCATGTGTGCATTTGGCATCGTGCGTTACAAGCAAGATTATGTACAGCGGGCCCTAATGCCTGAACGTGGCCAGCGCTGCAGCCACGTTCTGATAGCATCGTTCAGTTGCAATAGAGCTCCTGTGGTGGAGCCGAGAATTGACCCCACGCTTCTTCCAAGGATAAAATGCCTTGGAAACAGAAGTGAGCATCAAGTCCATCGGGTTCGGCTGCGCTATCCATTTGATCGAATAAGTCTTGGTGGAGGCACTTCGCTCCGGGGGTCGTGATCCGGGCCCATTCAAAATCGCTTGGGAACATAGGGGAAGTCTTCGTGTCCCAAGATGCGTGGAGAGGATTGTGACGTTCTGTAGGAATGATGGTTTTTGGCAGTGGGTGTTCGACAGCATCGCTTGCCCTGCCATTCTGATTGAAACTGGCCAGGTTTTCTAAAATTGCGCTAATAATGACATCAGAAACCATCACACCTATCTTAATCCATAGATGATACGTACACCGCCCACCTGACCCCCTCCCATCTGACATACATAGTAGACATCAGTCAAAAAAAAGATTTTTCTATCAAGAACACGTGCCTTCTCTCCAGCCCATGGAGCATGGCTAGGCATTGTGAAAACGCCGCCATTAATATTTCTCTGTCAAACCCATCCCCGTTCCCTTCAGGGGAGTATAAACCTGTCAGTAGCATGGCGCCAGATATGAAGGTGGTGTAGACAATCTCGGGAGATATCAAGACGCTTCGTTGGGAAAAGGTGTGGGCGATACGACTCCATGAAATTGCGGCCCTGAGGCACGTTTGACGCCGCGCCAGGTGTGATGCAGCTTCTTCCTCGTTTTTCTCCTTTTGAAAACGAAAAACGGGTCGATGCAGAACAAGAACCAAATGGCAATGTAGAGCCTGGATTCCCACCGATTGCTCGAAATGGATTGTGTCCAATCGATCAGGATCCCATCTGACTAGAAAAGAAATTGGTTTGTCACTTTGGTAGGCAAAAGGTAACGGCATTACGGTGATCAGGAAGTTCATCCAAAAAATGCTTGAGCGACGAATCCAGCCGGGCTATCCACTGGGCCTTGTCAATATTACTAAAAATTGTCTCCTTTCGGGCTCGTACTGGCCAAAGGACGGTTCGAGTTGCCATCATGAGGGAACCGAGTTTCAAGCTGTGTCGGAAAAACTCGATATTCTTTCCTTCAAGTGGAAGATGTTTGGGGAGGTCAAGCTCCCAGCTAATGGTCCTCTCAGTCGCCGAGCCCAACCAGAATTCCAAAAAGTGGAGAACTCACTCCGGGGGATGAACACAACTTGAATGGCCTATGACTGAGCCCAGATACCGTTCGATTGAGATAAGAGCCCTGAGAGCGATCAGCGTGATATTGGACGACTTAAAACAAAACATGCGTACCAGAAGACTCGTTTCCACATTTCAGCTTCGACTGGATTCTTGCTGTCTCTAAAAGACTTCCGATGCGCTCCTACGTCCTGAGCATGCCTAATGGCAATACCTGTTTGAACCCATGCTTGATGAGCCTCTCCCAAATATTGCGAGTAGAATATTCGCAACTGAGCACATGGTCGGTGAGCAGGTGCTGTAATAGAGAATACGATTGCTTACAATTAGAGCTTGAAGATCCTGCAAGGTGGCAGCGCGAAAAGAGCATTCTCTTAGAACGGCGTCGCGCATATACCTCATACCCCGAACCTGGCGACCGGCCAGAGGACCGTACACCCTTGGGTCATTAGAGTAAATAGCAGCTACAGCGCAAACAGACTGAAGAAGTACAGCCTGATCATGGTCTCGTTTGTGCAAACCATCGGCGTACTGAGATTCAAAAGTTTGACGGTGGAGGATGGGAAAGAATGGATGGAAAAAACGGAAAAACAGCTCAAAGAGTTCGTGAGCGAGATCGGGAGTGGGGAACGCGAAAACTCGGGGAAGCGCCGCGCCTTCGGGGTTCCCATATACCGCCTCCCTCCACTGTAGAACATTGAGCTGTGATGAACGTTCCGCATTTCATAACTTACACTTACACTTTCCACCTCGGCCGGTCTTACCCGATCGATAGCACTGGCCTGGAGCCCAATAGTGTCCCTTTTGATCTCGTCAGCTGTCTGAATAAGATTCAAGCCTATTACGACGACATTAAGATCTAAAAATAATACGGCCAAGAAGCGGGCATACCGCTGGCTTCACCGTGGTAGCGGTGGACATGCTCTGGATGGTTGCAGTTAAGCTGGAATGGAATACTCTGAATTGCTTCCTCCCCTCTGGCACATTCCTCCTGGGGCAGAAAGTCTTGAAATATTTTGTCAAAATTCGGATTGTTCCAGATGAGATCGAAACTGGCCCCCAGCTCCGGTGATGACTGTTCATTGGAAGTCAAATCCTTTCTTGGGAGGGAATAATGCTCCGGAAGATGCTAGAACGATGTTATCGAAACTATCCATGAAATAAGTTGACGTGCATTGACCTTGACTATGAGAGCCTGCACATGTTTAACACGAGCTTCCAGATACTGGACGTCTCTCATGCTATGATCTCGGCGTCGGCCCGTAGGATTGAGATAGGTGCAATCATTACCATACTCGAGGCAAGGAGAACAGCGAGTACTTGATGATTCGTAGCCATCGCATCGTATCTGATGATTAGTCATTGTGTACACTGCGTAAGCTGCCGCCCGATACAACGCTGTAACATGATACACCTTTCTTTTCCTAACGGAACAGTGAAACTCAGTGTAAAGCCCGCTGGGGGATTGGGAGTCAATCTTGCCTGCAAAAGTCGCAAGCCCGTGATCGTGCTCTGACGTTAGGTGACACCATTTGGCCACTCATACTTCTAGTGGAGGAAGTCGGAGATTCGTTCACTGGCAGTGTTCCAGACGTGTGCACAGAAGCAGGGGAATGCTCACGGCACGGTGGGTTGGACTCCAGCCTCTCATATATGACGCAGTCACCTCTCGAAGAAACGGCGGCCGGGCATAGCCACGCATAAGGATGGACATTTCCGTCGAATCTTACGTCATGCACATTGCGTAATAGCCAGCCCAGATACGAAGCGCAGGCGGCCTTTGATGGCTACATACTTAGTCGAGCAACCACGACAGTGTTTACATTGCATGTCAGGCCCCCCTTCACCAAGAGTTGTGGTGGTGCGATGTCAGGTTTTCTTGATATGCGAAAAGGAAAATCAGGAGGACGCTGGCGGCTGGACAAGGCATAAATGGAGATGCTATTCAACATGAACCTCTTCAAAAATCGGTGATCAAGATATTTAATTTGCCACATTTCGACGAGTGTAAATGCTGCAACTGACAACCAGAGCTCGGAAGTCATTACAAGGCACGCTAGCCGACAACGTGGAATCAGGGCCCCAACGAGCGAGAAAAGAAAACACCGTTTGAAGGACAAATTTGGATCGGTAAGGACTGATCACGTAGTTAGTGATAATAATCAATGCTGCAAATTCAACAAGCTCGACGCAATACGATTCCGCCAATGCCGATAAGTGATTCAGTCTCGGGTCAGCTGGTCAGGCCTGCAGTTCACGGGGCGAGGCATGGGACAGCGGACTCATGGGCAATTCTCTACGTGAACAGAGAGTGTGCTCAGGTAAGCACAGATTATAACTAGTCAAAACATTAGGCCATCATAACCATGCCTTCGGCTTCGGGCGGCCGGTCTCTCTGAACTTTGGGTGGCCTCACTACTAGCTCCGACTGTACCCTATTACCCGACATAAGACGGCTGAGGCTGACAAGGTGATTTTAAGGAGGAAGCTTACAACTTCATTCGCCAGAGCAATTTGTCTGTTGACCGTTGTGTTTCTTCAGCAGTCTTCAGCGCCCGCTTGTACAGAACCATTCTAGGATCAGTGTCTTTCCTGATGAGAATCTATTCAACCACTAAATCAGTAATCCCTTTCTCTACTTCCAAGTGTGAGCGCCTGCCTTGTTTTGACTATCAACACGAGCGTCGATACGATTTTCCTGAATCAACTGAACAGCCATGCTCTCCATTTCAGAAGGAGAGATCCCGAACGCAGCAGACATTTTCTCGAATCGTGCGGATGCAAAAGGCTGGAAGTACAGAACGATTGATCGCTTTCTGATTTCAGTTGATAATCTCGAAACGTGACGACCCAAGTGTATATCCAAACTGTGTTTAGACTAGAAATCCAGACGTTAGAACTAGGAATGAAATACAAGATGTGATCTCGCACTGAATACCGTTCCAGAAGTTCGAGCACAGTTTTGAATTTGTTAGCCATAAAGGCATCCAGCATTTCTCCGATATACGGCTCTTGTTCGTAGAAAATTCCAAAATTCTCGTTCTCGCAGTAGTTTACTTTAATCGCGTTTCGGGACATCGAGGCCAGCGCACACAGCACTCCGAATATAGCCACTTCGCCGGGAGCAATGACCTAGGAAACGGGAATTCAGTAGGGGCTGTACACAATCGGGATGGTGCCGCCACATTGTTACCTTGCCCAGCCAGTCGTCTAAGGAGCGACTGAGCCTAGAGAATGCAAATGCGGCCTTTTCGTAACTCCCTGCAGAAAGGTGGGAAATACCACTTGCAAACTCCATTTTTGCTATAGCCTTCTCTCGATCCGGGTTCAAGGCCGCAGATGCGGCAGCAGCAGCGGCAGCACTACCCGCTGGCGGCGCAGCTCCTTTCTTATCTTTGGTCTCTGGCGGCGAAAGTGCGCCTTCGGCCTTGAAAACGTAGGTGGAAATATGTGCATAGTCACAAGTTTCAATAAGAAGTTGCAGAACACTAAGTGCGTATTCGAGGACGTGTTGAGACGATGTCGAATACTCTCGCGACTTGTTGAAGTGCTTTATGGCTTGCGGGGGGTCCCCAACTGACCAGTAGTATTCACCGAGGTCTCGATGGGCCATCTAAGGTGTCTGATAAGCAATATTTAGACTCGTGCACTCCAGACAGCATACCCGTATGCTCTCCTTGATCATGTTACTCGTATATGTTTTCAGTTCAGTATCAAGCCTCTCCCGATCACTGGTATTTCTAGCCTGGGTATCTTCCACCCAAGCCTGGTCGTATGGGATTCCTTCGTTAGGATAGTTGTAACTAGCGTATGCTTGGTAAACGAGTTGATATTGATTGACGTCGTAGGTTTGGCGCAGCAGATACAGAGCGCGAGTCAAGGCTGGAATGGCCAGTTGAGGGCATTCTTCTGCAATGTATCGAAGTCTCCTGATGGCATTACGACCTACTTACGGGGATTAACCGGTGTTCGAAATAGAAAAGCCACCAAGGTACCTCTGTACTGCGAAATATAGCCATCCAAGTCGAATGGGTGGTCCTCGTCAATGACAACAGTGGTACTCCTCTTCTTCACAGGCCGTTTACCCTCATATGGCAACGTGTGCTGTTCTTCGATGAATGGTTCCAGTTCATGAGAAGATGCCATCATCACAAGATCTCGATTCGTAATTCTCTGTTAGCGCTGTGCCAAAGGCGGGAGACCCGGAGATTTCCTTTTGGAGTCAAACAAAGGGCAGGAAGCTGTGCGACTTGCGAGCGGCCAATCGTCTGCCGCGATCCTTCTCCATTTCCCTTTAAAAGACCGCAGACCCTGTTCATGGGTTCCTAGCCCACTTAATGGCACCAACTCAACGTCCGCGATCTCTGGATGAACTTAGAGAACTATCAAGGCCAAACACCTATGACCCTGAACGATCTTTCAAAGACCAGCTTCGTGCCATAGACGCTCTTCGAAACCAGAGCATTCACCATAAAGAGAAGGATGACCTCGAGAATGCTTACATTTACATGGCTCAGGCTACAGCTATCATGCTCGATAAGCTCCCTTACCATTCACAGTATGATACTGTCCTCAGCTCCAAGCAGAAATCCGACCTTGCCTCTGTACGTCTATGTGCGTATTGCTGCTGCGTCTCTGTTCTAACATACGTTTATGGACATCAGAATGGGAAGAATATGCAGAAGCTATTGGACGAATTGAAGCCTCAGATTGAGGAGAGATATAGGAAATACCAGGAAGGGTTAGCAAATGGGATCATTCCACATTTGCGAAAACGCAGGGAGGAAAAAAGCAGACTGAGATCTCCTCCCGAGGAACGTACCCAGTACCCACGGACCCCAAACTCGATAGGAGAAAAATCAAGCCGCGCACAGCCAATCTCTCGGTCTACCCCTGGTCTAATTGTGCCCATTAGTGATTCTCAAGAGGGTGAAATGGGAGAAACTGAGCGGACCAGTCGAAGTCGTAGTAGAGATCCTCGAAGCTCGGCCTCAGAGCATTTAATACCGACACCGAGTCCTACGCCGAGTCGCGAGCCCCCTTCGGAACTAGGGATTCGATCGCATCACTTTAATCGGCCCATGGATGATGGATATCGCAGGGAATCCTCCGACGAAGAGGTTCGCCGGGATGATCTTCGGGAAGCTCTTGGGCGTATGCAGCGGAAGTTTGATGCGGACCTTGAGGCTTGTTTGATGAACCCAGCCCCCCTCCCCGAAGCCGCTCGACTCCGACAGGCCCTCGAGGTCGTCGAGAGTACTGGAATTGAAGAGCGAGGCTGGATAGAGGAGAAGGATCGGAGGCTTAACGGTAGTCATCGTTCCGCCACTTGCGAGCGCGAGCTGCAAGATCAGGCCACTCTCCAGGGAGAGCGCGAAGCACACGTTAGGAAGCTCTTTTTTGACAGAGCTCGCAGGATCGAGGCGAGAGAGAGGGACGCAAAAATTGGGCGTCAACGGCAAGAGCAAGCTGCTCAGGAAGTGCATGCCCGGATAGCACGAGAAACACAGCGGAGAGCCGAGAAGAAAGCCGAGGAGCAAGCCAAGGCTGGTGCCACAGCGCGGATGGAAGCCAGGGCACAAGTGGAGGAGAGAGAGCAGAAGGAACGTCAATTACAGGCCCAAATAGCCAGAGAGAAAGAAGAGCTCAGGATTCGGCGCGAGATATCCAACGGGTATAGGCAATCCTCAATAGATCAATTACAACACCCACTCCCTTCAATGCAGCGGCCGCCAGGCCCTGCCCCCACTAACCCAACACTGCCCAGTGGCGGCTCTAAGAGCACTGATCGTATCCTGCGGCGCGTAGAATCCCAGGCTTCAACATCAGCTCCCCTTCATCAACCTCCGGTGAGTGGTATCCCTGCCCCAATTGTCCCAAATGTCCCCAATCCTACCCCTGGTGTCCCGATAATCCCATCTTCATACCCAGCCACTCCCACCGGCGGGCAAGTAGCCCCGCCTTCCCGCGATCACAGTGATTCCCGTACGAACGGAGCGCTTCTCAAGATTCCACATCCTACGGATCTCCATTTGGGGCCAGGTACGTTATCCCTTGAAAGCCCGACACGCTCCCGCGGGCACCTCCAAGGCCCAGTGGAGGATCCCAGGAATCCAAATCGCGAGGCAAGGCACCGATCGTGAGTTCAGTGTCAAACTAAATACCAGCCGAAAGCTGATTCAATTCATAGATATCCATCTCCTATAACAACCACTTCGCCTGCCCCAAGGGAACTCCTACCTTTCTTAAACCAAACCATCCCTCCTAACCTCATGTCTTCCCATCAGCGATTCCAAGGGTATGCACCTTCACCCGATTCCATGTTCGCTCAACAAGACGGAACACCAAATGCGCTGCTATTTCAGCCCATCGGAGTAACAGAGGTTCCCACTAGGCCCGATCCACACCTTGGGGTAACCCCATGGCCAAATAAGGCACCTCAATCAAGAGGTCCTTCGCCGCGGCCTTTATTGCCTTCCATCAGGAGTAGTCCCTACCCTGATATGAGGGCTGGTCCTCCATTATCAAATTCGAGCCATTATTCTTCCGGACCCAATCATTCACGCCAAAATTCCTTTGTTCCTCTTGGCCAACTCCGAAAGGTCGTGTTGCCCAAGTCTGCGCTCTCCCGGTTCCTCTCGATTGCAGCTCTGAACACCACACAAAAGCGGGAGACTTGTGGCTTACTTCTTGGTAGATTCCGCGCGCCAGTATTCGAGATATCCACACTCTTGATACCCAAGCAAATAGGCACAGAGGACACTTGTACTATGGTGAATGAAGAGCTTGTAGCTGAAGTTCAGGAAAAACGGGGTCTAATAACCATTGGTTGGGTACGTCGTTTGGAACGGCGCCTGAAGTCCTACTCCATGCCTTGATTTAGATTCACACCCACCCGACTCAATCCTGTTTCATGTCCTCACTGGATCTTCACACTCATAGTGGCTACCAGAGCTCTTTGCCTGAAGCCGTGGCAATTGTCTGTGCCCCAAATCATACACCGAAGTATGTTCACTTTCATCACTCATGAAGTCATCAACTGATGCCCACAACACCAATAGTTTTGGCATCTTCCGCCTTACTGATCCTCCTGGGCTTGGTATTGTACGCTCATGTGCCCAGAAATCATCTTTTCACCCTCATTCTGATTCACAACCTATATATACGGTGAAATATCTAATTTAGGTTTCTTTCAACCCTGCTGACCCCATTGCAGGACGCCGATAGTGACCATGTCCAAATGATTGAGGAAGCTGATTTAGAAATAATTGATATCCGTTAACAGCGTTTCTCTTCGACCCACTGTATTCAAATTCTGATTCGCATAGTGTATCATCCCCCGTTCAAATAATCTCCATTCGATGTAGCACTGTACAGAGTAACACATCCTTTAAACCTCACCTTAAAGAAATTCATTCCTGCCTGGGGCACGGCCATCTTGTGTGTTTCTTCATTCGTACATTGTTTTTACTGTGAATGCGTACCCTGCATAACTTGTTCAAAGCTAGAGTCAAATGGGACTCCGGGTAGCCGGCACACCTCAAAGCCACTCAACCTGTTGGAGCAGCTTACCAATTAAGCCCGTTTACGCAAGGACAGAGTAGCCAAAAAATCTCGAGTCGAAGAGTAAAGTCATCTGAAATTATCCCTGAGACGTAATCTATAAGCGGTGAATGGAGCAAGAGTAGGATGGATTTTTTTTGGCACCGCGCTGCAAATCCAATGGAGTTGTGGATTCGCCTCGCACCAACGTGCGCATGCAGCTATACTTTGCCCCGTCTGATGGAATCGTAGGATTTGGCTGCATACTGTTAGCAGGAAGTGGAGGTAACATCAACGTTAGACCAAGTTACTGTCGACATGGGATAAGTGGGATAATCTGAGTTCAGCAGCTCAGCATAAGTCGGTCATCCCTGAGTTACGGGACTTTCAACGGTGCAAGCAAGTGGGTTTCCCGCTCCGACTTTGTTCGAAGTGAGTGTGGTGGCGTACAGTGTGGTGTGCGAGAGTATTGGCCCCTGATTGCCCGACCGCCTCATTGTCACGTAGTGCAGCTATCCCGCCGTAACGGATCGTCATTGCAAGATAGGGTGTTCTTGTGGTCGCGTTGTGCGATAAGGAAGGGGGAAGAGTTTCGGGGTACGCCGGCCACATGGAATCGGCCATTGCCGAGCTATGCAGTTCCTCGGAAATTGTATTACTATTTTACAACCCTCACCACCTCTTCTCCACTCAGCTTAGGACCGCATGAGCACTTCTAAGCTCTCAGCGACAAGCGTGCGAAGCTCTATCAAGAGCCTTCTTGATACTGCAAATGACCCCGAGAAGCGTCGAAAATTCCTCCAGACCGTTGAACTCCAGATTGGTCTCAAGAACTATGACCCCCAGCGTGACAAGCGTTTCTCTGGGACAGTGAAGTAAGCCAGAGTAATTCCTTGATGAATGGTAGCTTATAATTTGGAAAGGCTTCCTAACATCCCTCGTCCTCGCATCTCCCTTTGTATTCTGGCAGATGCCCACGACGTTGATCGTGCGAAGCAAATTGAGCTCGAGTATATGACAGCAGAGGATTTGAAGAAGTGAGGAATGGCCTTAACTGGCGGCTCTCATCATCTGATGCCTTTCAGGCTTAACAAGAACAAGAAGTTGGTCAAGAAGCTTGCCAAGAAGTATGATGCTTTCTTGTCCTCGGAAAGTTTGATCAAGCAAATTCCTCGACTTCTTGGTCCTGGTCTCTCTAAGGGTAAGCGATGTCCTTAAGACTTTCGCTAGTTTCGTTCTTTATCCTATCGTCCTTTCTAGCTGGTAAATTCCCCACCCCAATTTCGCCTGGTGAAGACCTTGCGAATAAGGTGGTTGAAGTCAAGTCGACTATCAAGTTCCAGTTGAAGAAGGTCCTCTGTCTGGGTGTGGCCGTTGGGCACGTTGAAATGACGGAAGATCAAATTCTCGCCAATGTCATGCTTAGTACGTTCGTCGTTGCCCTGCGTCTTCACTCCAACTAACCCCCTACCCAAGGCGTTAACTTCTTGGTTTCGCTGCTCAAGAAGCACTGGCAAAACGTCAAGTCTCTGCATCTCAAAACCACTATGAGCAAGCCCCTGCGGCTTTATTGATTACTTCATGCTGGCGATCTGGGATATCGCTCTGCGTTGTGGAGTGGGGGATGGGCTGCAATGCACAACATGAAGCTTCGCACGCTTATACCAACGATTTCATTTTTTGTCATCGATTGGGAGCTGATGTGGTCCTTTCTTGCATGTAAACGTACGCATTGACGATTTCAAGCTGATATGATCGTATTGTCTATTATGTTTTCGATAAGTTCTTGCGAGGTTGTGGTTGTTTCCAAAGTGTGAATAGACCCGCCGAGCTCCAAGGCGAGACACCGGTACATATGTTCGTGGCGGCTGTATATTGGGGATAAATACCCGCAGACCAAACTCCAAGGTGCGCATTCTTGATGCAGCGTGAAAATATGCTCCTAGGTTCACAGGTCTCTGAGCAACGATTATTGGGTTACCACAGCATGACGTGTCAATATCAAGTCAATGTTGACACAGATTATGAAATTCGCAAATGACGCCGTTAAAGATCTAGACACGAAGCACTCCGGGAAGGAGACTCTGCACGTTTTTCGGTACCGCCATATTGGAAGGGATGACATACGCCCATATAAGAATCAGTCAGCAAGCGGGGCCAAATTCTTTACTTATCTGATCCTCAATGCCGATGAGGCACCAATGATTCAGAATGTGAAAGCCTGGCCTGTCCCAGTTTGGATCAGACAAGCCTATCTAAATATAATTGAGTGGGTAGCGTTCAAAGAGCTGAACAACGGGGCAGAAATGTGAGCAGGAAAACATCAAGAAACAGCTGGCGAGCGATATCAGTGTTTACCTGTCTGGGGTGGTGCGATGATTGATGGGAGTTCCGGCAACGCATTGACCTTCACGCCTCCTCCGATAACGTTGACGGCCTGTGTTGTGCGCAACAAAAGTCGGCTCAAATCACCCAACTCTGAGGCAAAAATAAGCTCTTGAGAGCTACATCGCTGTGGAGACTCTCTCGAGTGCCTTCCTTCAATAGGCGAATGCTCCGTCTGGCATTGAAAGAGCGCGTACACAGGGAAAGTCCGAGTTAAATGTGCTGGTTCGGGATTTTCTTCCGGGTGAACAACAGCTAAAGCCAGCAAGCCAATGCTTGAATGGCCGTCAGGGCTAGCAACAGAAACTCTCACGTCGATATAGCCCTTCTCAGTGCAGCAGCTTCAATGCCGAACGCTTCAAACTGTATGGCTATGGGAAATCGGGGGGAAGTTTGAACGTCCTTAACTTCAACCAAGCAGAGCTGCCTACCTCCCTCATCTACAATCATCGCGAAATAATGTTCCCCATACGTGGAGAGAAAGTAGCTGGCGATGTGCCGCGCACCCTCAGGCTGTGGATGTTCTGTTGCCAAATCGTCCAGTGACGTTCTTGAATCTATACATATGTGATTTCCTTGTCGATCCCAGAAGCAAGGAGGATTGTCCGAGCAGGCTCTTATCCATGCTTGAGCAAAATCTCCAAATAATCCTGAAAGGATGATCAGCACCGAGAAAATATAGAAGATACCATAAGTACAGGACCCCAACCAGCGCGTTTTTGTTGTCGCAACTCCCTCGTCCCCATAGGAAATCCTCTGAATTACGGATGTAGTTCATTGGTGAAACGTGGCTAAGGTTTGATAAACCAGCTCGCGCCATCGAAATCACCAGAAAAGGGCTGATGAGTCCATTGAGCGACAGTCTCTTCTTCCACTGGAACTACATGTGGAGGACAATTTCCTGAGCGATTGAATCAGCCCAGCAATTCGATTGAGCAAATTCTGGTGCGCCAAAACAGAAGGACGCATCGGAACCTTTCCCAACAATGAACAAGGCCTATGCATTAACTTTGGCAACGTTCTAGGCGGCCGTATCTATGTCGCGGTCAGATGAAGCAAAACTCAAAGCCGCCCCACCAAGAACCATTCCCGACGTCTCCGATACCACCGTACGTCACGGTTCTGGCGAAATGTGGGTTGACTCTGGTCCGTAGTGAATAGATAGACGTTATCCACTCACTCAATTCGAACGGCTCCTCCGAGCCATTCCACGAGCTGCGACGTGAAAACATCGGTGGCGTACTCGTTCTCCACATCAGCAAGAAGCTCTTTGTGAATTTTGAGCGACAAGGCCGGGGTTTGAGGGCAAATTGAAGAAGTGTGGGGCAGGCGAATGCGAAGGCTATTGGACACTGGAGGGTCAAGACCGAAGCCAAAAGAGCAATCATGTTCCAATTAGGGCGTCTATTGGTGAATGTCGCCTGGACTGAGTCGGAAGAAGAAACTCTTGCTTGCCCATCGTTAAAAAAGGGCGAGCAGCACGCCAACGCCGAGATGAGCTGATGAAAACAGATGGGCCACCGGCGAGAGGCGGTCCCCAATTCCTCAAGGGGAAATGGTGTAAGTGCGGGATATGATCGAGAGGAAGCCCTTCAAGGTCAGAGCGAATTTAAAGTGCCACCATCACGCTGCGAAGCAGCTGCCTCACATGAGTACAAAGTGTTGGCATCGCAAGGTGTTACTCGGCGATTGGGAGGAAGCACATCGACAGAGCGAATTCAACTGGACCACAATCGGACGGGCGAAGCAGCCACTTCATGCCTGCTGACCCAAAACATGTGGCTTATCAATGGCAACTCACAATATGCAACAGGGCCGGAAACTTACATGTGTGCTTCAGTTAAGTTGTCTGCATTGAAGTTTCCCCTCAACCCTTTGTTGCGCTGTGCATCCTAGTGAGTTCATCTCACCTGTGCTTACTCCTTGCGGAGTCTTACTGCGGCACTTGTGCTGCCTCAGTTCTGCTTCTAGCGTTTGTTCCTCTATTTGTTGCGTCCGCCCACCCCCTCCGCTTTTCACCACCCCGATACTTTGTATCCGTATCTGTGTTTCTCGATTTCCTTTTGGCATCGTTGTATCTCTTTGTATATTACCAAAACGGGTCGCACGATGCCCGCGCGCGTCAATCCATAGGCCGGGACCAGCTCGGGTTCCGGCCGTTTACACTAAGTGCTTATACCGTCTGATTAGATAGTATATTATGTAGATAGAGTCCCGTTCTGCTTTGGCCTGGTTCCGAAATTCATTCCCCTTGAGAGTCCCTCGCAATCAGCAAGTTGTAAAACTAGTGTATGCCGTGCCACTGCCATTCGTAGGACTACCATTCGCACCTTGACGAAATTCGCTTCTTTACCCTGAATGCCGATGAGGCAGATCTTTGAAGGCATCATTGCAAATTTCATAACTTGTGTCAACCTTGTCACCCCGCATTTGGCACAACCTCAGATACGCAATGGTAATTACATATCTGTTACTCGGAGAACTTTAGATCTCTACACCGGCGTGGGAGGCCACTGGGCTGCTTTTGTTAGGGGTTTCCCTGAAACCCAACGCCCGAGCCTCCAGCAACTTTGCCGCATGGGTAGTGAATTTATGGGTATAGGGATCGAATGTGGGTTATATATCGATCAAAAACATAACTGTTGCAGTTCCCCGGAGGGCGTAATTTCAATGTTTGACCCTGTCCATGCCAGAGTATAGGGGGTTGGTTGGGGTTGGTAAGGATGTCGTCGACCAAGTAAGGACTTACCAGTCCCGATGGAGCAAACGCGAAGGCAGCGCTGAGGGAGCGGGGAGAAATAGAAATATATTCGGCCAACGGGACAACACTGACGTGAAAAAATCACGTGAAGACAAATAAACGCGAGGACTAGTGAACACCCGCAAGGTCCCATCAACGCTGCAAAAACGCAGGACCATGCGGCACCATTCAGCGCTAGATACCATCGTGATTAGTCGTGTGAAATAAGGATATTAAACCAAGATATATAGAGGCTGGGTCCTGCCTAGAGCACAAGACAAGGTCACGTTTCGGGCTACGCGAAAAACTTCGCCTTTGCGAGGCATTACAGTAAACGCCGTTGCCGCCGATCTTGAAGATCTCTTCAAATCTACTTGAGCTTTCGATACCACTAACTAATCACTCAGGGCATACAACAATGAACACTCCTGAATGCGACTACGTGTTTAAGGTCGTGTTGATTGGCGATGTGGCCGTCGGGAAGTCTTGTCTACTGCTCCGCTTTGTAGATGCCACCTACACCGAGTATTCCCGTGCTACCATTGGTGCCGACTTTAAGACTCGCATCCTAAAACTGGAAGGGGAAACTGTCAAGCTGCAAATTGTGAGTTTATCCAGCAAGTGCTGTTGCCTGATGTGGAACTAACCTTCTCCAGTGGGACACATCAGGTCCGTTTTTATGAAATTAGGTTGCAGCGATAATAATCATCTCGAAGCGATCGTGTACAGCCCAAGAGCGCTTCCGACCAGCGGTTTACTCGATTTGCCGCAGTGCAGACGGGATTATTGCCGTGTATGATGTGACGGACGATAGTATGAGGCATCCATCCCTTCCTCTCACTTGTCATACTGATTCTTAGCGGCACTGTAATCGTATAGAGTCATTCACAAACGTCAAGCGGTGGCTACAGGAGATCCAGTCATATGCGTCTGAAGGGGTGAACAAGCTCTTGGTTGGAACTAGGTCAGATTTGACGAGCAAGAAGGTTGTGGAATACACCGTCGCCAAGGTACTTGCGTATCCTCTACCCAGGCATCCTGATACCTCCCTTTATGTGCAATTCCTCCAGGGATTCGCCGATCAATTGGCTATTCCCTTCCTCGAAACTTCGGCAAAAAATGGTACTAATGTGGAACAGGTTTTCTTGACCATGGCTAAGCAGATTAAAGACCGGTGAGTCCCTTTCTACTTATTACACCAGAGTAAAGGTGCTAATCGTTCAAACTCTCAGATTAGGGCGGACCCCCACATCAGCTGGCGATAGCTCAAAAGCCAGCGTGACCATACCTGGCCAATTAGTGGCTGGGCTGCGCCACTCCCTCCGCTCCTTCTTTTTTTCTCCTACTCAAGAGATGCCAGTTAGGCAAAATAGCCCTGTTCCGAATGGTGACAACGAATGCGACCATCTGTTCAAGGTCGTGTTGATTGGCGACGCGGCCGTTGGGAAGACTAGTCTACTGCTCCGCTTTGTGGATGGAACTTATGCCGAGAGTTTCGTCGGTACCATTGGTGCCAATTTTAAGATTCGTACCATAAAACTGGAAGGGAAGACCGTCAAGCTGCAGATTGTGAGTTCATCTTCTGTAAACAGCAAATGGTGTTGGTGGCGTACCCTCAAGTGATATGGGACTAACCTGAACTTCTTTCTCCAGTGGGACATAGCAGGTCGGTTATTATGGAATTAGTTGCAGCGATAATAATCATCTCGAAACGATCGTGCACAGCCCAAGAGCGCTTCCGACCAGTGGCTTACTCGATTTGCCGCAGTGCAGACGGGATTATTGCCGTGTATGATGTGACGGACGATAGTATGAGGCATCCATCCCTCCCTCTCACTTGTCATACTGATTCTTAGCGGCACTGTAATTGTATAGGGTCATTCACAAACGTCAAGCGGTGGCTACAGGAGATCCAGTCATATGCGTCTGAAGGGGTGAACAAACTCTTGGTTGGAACTAGGTCAGATTTGACGAGCAAGAAGGTTGTGGAATACACCGTTGCCAAGGTACCTGCGTATCTTCTACTGGGGTATCCTTATGCCTCCCTTTATGTGCAATTTCTCCAGGAATTTTCCGACCAGTTGGCTATTCCCTTCTTTGAAACTTCGGCAAAGAGTTCAACTAATGTGGAACAGGTTTTCTTGACCATGGCTAAGCAGATCAAAGACCGGTGAGTTCCTTTCTGCTTATTACACCAGAGTAAAACTGCTGATCGCTCGAACTCTCAGATTGGGGTCGACCTCTACATCAGCCAGCATGGTCACTCCTGGCCAATCAGTAGCTGAGCTGCGCCACTCACTCTCCGTCCTCCCCGCTCCGACCCTCCCGTCTGACGCCCGTGCGTCACCCGCCAATCACCTGCTTGCCGACTCTACGGGCGCCACACGAGCATCCGGTCCCCCGACTCAAGAGAAGTCAGTCAAGGGGGGTAGGCATAGCCCTGTTCTAAGTGGTGACAAGGGGGGCCTAGTTGCCACCCCTCTAGTGATTTCGCCCTCAACCCCTGTCAAACGCCCAACTGAGAGTTGTGTTACTCGTGCAGGTGACGTTGAGGAGGTAGAGGTGTTGGGTGCATTTGATTGCCGTGATCTCACCCAACAAATCTCCTCGATGCGCCAAGTCGACAGAGGAGGATACTCGCTCGTGTACAAAGGCACATGGGTGCCCGACCCACTGGGCACTCCCACCCAAGTCAGCATTTGTTGCGTCCCAGTTTGAAGTTGATATTGAGTGCTTCCAGGAAGTTGCTGTGAAAGTGCTCCACTTATCGTATTCACAGGATTCGAATCCTGAGGAGAAACAATGGAAAGTGCGCCTGCCCGTGTCGGGATGATGCAGTCACGTTGATGTCGTACTCCAGCGCCTGAAAAGAGAGATACGCGTATGGTCGCGTCTGAGCCATGCCAACTTGGTTCCACTTCTGGGCTACGTGAATGGTATCCATGGCCCTGGTTTTGTCTCTCCCTGGTATTCAGAGAGGGACGCAATCAGCTTCCTCAAATACCATCCCAGTGCTAACAGAAACATGATTGTGCGCGTCATCTCTCTATTTCTTGGAAGATTGAGGAATTGACGGACATTCCCAAGTGCTCTGACGTAGCTTCAGGATTGGAATGTCTCCATTCACAACTTCCCCCAATTGTACATGGTGATATCAAGGGGGTGAGTGTTTTCCTTGCTTACAGGCTGGCTGGGATTCTGAGATTGAGGTTATTCAGCAAAATATTCTGATCGCCTCGGACGGACGTGCCTGTATCTGTGATTTTGGCCTCTCGAGGATCTTGGACAATAATCCCACAGGGTTCACATTCACGACTGTTGGAATGAGCCTTCGCTTCTCAGCTCCTGAATTACTGGATCGTGAGGACAAGACAATGGAAGCTGACATTTATGCTTATGGGTGCACTTGCATTGAGGTCAGAGGCCCGAGAGCTCATTGGTTGCTAAAGTTTATGAGTTTGTGACATGCCCAGATCTTACTAGACAAAAGACCGTATGAAACCATCCGCAGCGATAAGGCCCTCTTAGCTGCGATTGTGAGCGGCACGCCGCCTATTGCTCCTGAACAGCTAGAAGGGTGTAAGTCGCTCCTTCCGCTTCACATTTTAAAACAATGCTGGAATGTGGAGCCATTGGATCGACCACAAGCTAAGCAATTGACTGAAGCCTTTCGAGGTGCTATTCTGAGCCATGCGGACTAATCCTAAATGCATCCCCCAGCATGTTCCTCAAAGGTCATACACCAGCAACAAGGATTCTTTATTCGATTCTAAATTGTACCAGAGATATGTGCATGCTAGAGTCAAACACCAACCTGCGTAGCATGGTCATTCGGCTACATTGTTGTATATGAACAATAGAGGGGGGTTCGCGGTTGACTAAACTGGATCTGAACTAGGTCAAAAGCGCATCAAAATAGGGACTCCGGGATTTCTGGACATGAAATTACACTCACCTGGTTGACACGCGATCGCAATTACAAGGCCCGAACAAGGACAGGCAACTGAAATCCCTCTTCTGGTCTGGATTTCACCCAAGACTGGCTCACAATGCTGAGAGTAGAGTCAATCGGGAATCTATCATTCACTTTCACTTCGCTTTTACCTCGACGTCATCTGGGTCAACTGCGAGCTCAAAGGACATCACTCGTATCAGGCTGGATAAGACTATCCTGATGCAAGAGCGTTTGCAATCGTAGACACAGAGAGTTGTTGTGGATGCGACGTACTCAGTAATCGCAAGTTTAAGTCCAACACATGCTCTGGGACTGATAATTGAAAACAGAGTGGATTCTATTTAATGGTTGGAGCAACCAGTGGTTGTAACTCGTAGTACTAGTAGGGAATTCTGACGGGTAGCCATCCGCAAGCATCCGCAGTCGTCGCCGGAATCACCCCGAATCACTGCCACCACATGACAGCCAAACTCGGAACTCCCTTGACAAAAGTACAGCCTAGTCAGCCATCTAATGACGGCCTATAGAGGGGGGGCCGTTTGGCCTTCAAATGGGCCTAAAAGGGGGTATTTACTAGTGGATGTCCTGGGATGTCCTGGGATGATTCTATAATTCAATCAAATTCAATCAAATGCTTCTGTGATTCAATCAAATTTGTATTATTCAGGGTAGACATTCAAAACATAATGCCGCAATTGAATCTGATTTCCCATGACAATCCTCAGGCTGCTCAACTGTCTGTGCACAATGCTGGCCACTGTCTGAAGGGGTGTCAGCACTGTTTCCCACGGCCCCAACACACTTTACACAGATAGATAGCCCCTTTGAATAGCTTCCAGAATATATATTTTGAGACTGAATTGACCAATAAATTATCGAGAAAAAACACAAAATACTTTTTTGGACGCAAGTCTTTGGGTTAGTGTGGCTGTCCAACTCAATGTCTGTGCACAATGCTGGCCACTGTCTGAAGGGGTGTCAACACTGTTTCCCACGTCCCCAACACACTTTACGCAGATGGATAGCCCCTTTGAATAGCTTCCAGAATATATATTTTGAGACTGAATTGACCAATAAATCATCGAGAAAAACGCAAAATACTTTTTTGGACGCGAGTCTTTTGGGTTAGTGTGGCTGTCCACCTCATGTCTGTGCACAGTGCTGGTCATTGTCCGGAGGGGTGTCCAGACTGTTTCCCACAGTGTCAACACACTTTGCGTAGTTGGATAGCCCCTTCAAATAGCTTCCAGAATATATAATTTGAGACTAAATTGACAAGCAAGTTATTGAGAAAAATGCAAAATACTTTTTTGGACATGAGTCTTTGGACTAAATTTCACTGACAGTCATCGAAGTCATCGAAATTCCCGGGTCACTGATATCCCAAAGACTCGTGTCCAAAAAAGTATTTTGCATTTTTCTCAATAACTTGCTTGTCAATTTAGTCTCAAATTATATATTCTGGAAGCTATTTGAAGGGGCTATCCAACTACGCAAAGTGTGTTGACACTGTGGGAAACAGTCTGGACACCCCTCCGGACAATGACCAGCACTGTGCACAGACATGAGGTGGACAGCCACACTAACCCAAAAGACTCGCGTCCAAAAAAGTATTTTGCGTTTTTCTCGATGATTTATTGGTCAATTCAGTCTCAAAATATATATTCTGGAAGCTATTCAAAGGGGCTATCCATCTGCGTAAAGTGTGTTGGGGACGTGGGAAACAGTGTTGACACCCCTTCAGACAGTGGCCAGCATTGTGCACAGACATTGAGTTGGACAGCCACACTAACCCAAAGACTTGCGTCCAAAAAAGTATTTTGTGTTTTTTCTCGATAATTTATTGGTCAATTCAGTCTCAAAATATATATTCTGGAAGCTATTCAAAGGGGCTATCTATCTGTGTAAAGTGTGTTGGGGCCGTGGGAAACAGTGCTGACACCCCTTCAGACAGTGGCCAGCATTGTGCACAGACAGTTGAGCAGCCTGAGGATTGTCATGGGAAATCAGATTCAATTGCGGCATTATGTTTTGAATGTCTACCCTGAATAATACAAATTTGATTGAATCACAGAAGCATTTGATTGAATTTGATTGAATTATAGAATCATCCCAGGACATCCCAGGACATCCACTAGTAAATACCCCCTTTTAGGCCCATTTGAAGGCCAAACGGCCCCCCCTCTATAGGCCGTCATTAGATGGCTGACTAGGCTGACAAACAAAGCCATAATATCTATCATGTCATGGAAGAGATAAATCGTAATACTCAGCATGTCATCAACTTTCACACCCTATTCAGTGGGACCCTTTTCAAGCAATTCAGTAAGTTCTCCATTCAGTAGCCGGACTTTGAAACATGACTAAGCTCCACCGCACCCGCTAAAATATAATATGGACCGGAGCTTCGTTGAAGGGCCCGCAGATTTCCCTATGGTGGCGCTCAATCACTGGTTATAGACGTTCTCAACGCTAACATGCTTAGTTGTATACTTTCTTCATCCCTTCCATTGTTTCTTTCGTGTGTTAAGCTTGTTACGATCGTCATGGTAATCTGTTGCCCATCCCAAATCCCACGCGCCTCGATCATTGATGCCGCCCCATGTATGTGCCGCTTGGGCTCTTGCACCCACTAGACCTTCCAGAACTAATCCAAACTCGTACCCACTCGTTGTTATTGAGTACTCGAGCTTTGTTCAATGAGGCGGCGCCACAGTCAACTCCCTCCGATTGGACTCGAAGCACAATTGGAGAATGGTTCACGGCTTCTATCTGTCTTGTACGCCCGGTACGATCACAGTCCTCTGCGGCGAATTGGACTCGCCTCATGGTCCGTGCCAGGTAAATTCGAATGGGCACTTGTGCTTGTATTTCTTGTCGGCGTTTATGGGTTTTCACGCGAACCACCGTATGCATATGATACGAAGGCTCACATTCTTGTCGGTGGATGCGTTTCCATAAGACCTTCAGCCACTGATAAATACCGACAAAAGCGCAGAAATAATCGACTGGGATTACTAGGCCATATCACTTGTCAACATTCCGACTTTCATCCTAACAAGGCTCTATGTGTCCGCGTGTGGATTGTGATGATTCAATCATGGAGTCGATGAACTCACTTAGGCCATCAAATGGCTCTCAGTCACTTCAATCTTTCGGCACGCAACAGCGCTGTGACGAGATGAAGTACAGACAGGGACCAAGTCACAATTCCCTGGATCTGTTATGATCGATTCGCTCACGCCCCTGGGTCAGCAGTCGGCACCCCTCCCCAGCGGCTACACCACGATCGCATGTCATTGCCATCTGGATGTGCCTCGACGTTCACGGACGATATCGATTTTCATCACAACGGGTCTATGCATGAGGACTGTAAATTTCAGTATCCATACACCGACGGCACTGCAAGCTCGGTCATTCAGCTTGAGAGGAAAACTCTCATAATAGAAGTAGCCTAGTTCGATTTTTTGAGATGCGAGTCTAGCCAGAAATCCTTTAGATACAGGTAGACACAGTCATTGAACAAGTCCTTGGCTAGACATTCTCCCCAAGCCCAAGCCTGTTCCGAATCCTAACACGTGTTTTTCTGGCCAAATGCGTCGGCAGACGGGCCGCTTCACCCATTGCGTAGCGAGCTCCAAACATATCCACCAATAACTCTTCAAGAATTGAGGCGACGAACCAGCAGTTCTCCTTTTTCTGATTGTAAGTCGACGGCTCCTCCGCTAAAACGATCGACACTTACCCCGAATAGTCTATATGAATGGCATTCATCCAACACAACCTCAAGAATCCTCATAAAGTCGAGGAGCAAGACCTGTAGTGGTAGCTCTAGTGTTGCTTCCTCCTTCGATCTCCGGTCGGAGAGCAGATGCGTGTCCTGAGACACGGTGACCTATACCAGGGTGACGCTTCAACAAGTGATTGAATACTGTCAAATAAAACACACAGGGCGCACCGTATCTGTTGCGTCGGAATTTCCATGGCGCAGAATGAATCGAGGCAACGAAAGAGTATGATCTCGACGACGGTCCACCCGAAGGCCGATTCCATCTCGAGTCAGTAGTACTAGACACCGATGCCGTGCACCATTTTTCTTTACGAAGCGCTTGACAGTGACGAGTTTGGCCTCTTGTGCATGCGGACTTCCCTTCAGGTTGCGAAGGAAGACGTCCGTAGAGTAAGTCGTGAAGGCACATGGAGGCATGTGAGCCAGCAAATCAAACGACCTCATGGAAGCGACTGTAGGATTACGGTCATGAATAATAGTGAGCTGTCCTTCAGCAGCTGATATACCCATGGGCGGAAGGTCCTCGGCCTATAGGTTGAAACGTCAGAACTGCAGGATGCCTGACGGTGAGGCATACGCACCCTGACTATGTCCGCACCATTACTGGACGGACCCTCTGTCTTGAGCGAAGATGGAGCAGGATGAGTCTGAGTCGGATCGCCATCGCTGGGGGTAAACGAGAAACTTGGAGGTACGATGAGATTGAAAGAAAGGGATCGAGCATCAACATCAATGCTGTGGGAGCTGAAGGATGAAGCAGTAGGATGAACGGAGGGTATGGTTGAAAAATATGCGTCCATGATGAAAAGTGAGGGATACGTACTGCTTGGCTAGTTGGAACTGGGTCGGAGATTTATCCTCAGTCGACTTGTGGCTGTGCAGATAGTTTCGTTGTCGCGGGATCGCAATCAATTCAAAATTTGAATTCCACTTTCCTCCCACGCGTCAGGGTATTTAACTTCCCATGCCTCAGGGGATCGCAATAATGATATTCAGAGATAGTTACAGGATCGCATTCACAAACTAGAGTGCGTGTCTTCGCATGCGCTGACCTGCACTGCTTTTCAACACCCTAGTCAGTTGTACAGAAAAAAGTGAACCATGATTAAATCATTATTCCACACGAAAAGAGTGCATAGATGTTCTATGCTCAGGAGAGATCCCGAATCATAGTATCGGGCTATGTCAAGTGTGCGGAGACAATAGCAGATGTGTTCCGGTGGATATGGATAACAGGAAACAAATAGGAAAATGGGGAGCAGAAAGAGGACATCAGGACAGCGACTTGGGGGGGGGACAAGTGTACAAATGGGGGAAAGATAAGACAAGCGCACTAAAAATAGTATCGATTAATAAATCTCCTTCCCTTGCTCAAAGCGCCCATGCGGCAGGGCAAGCGGGGAGATTGCAGCTGGGTTACAGTGTTGCAGACGGCGGCCAGCAAAGGGCAAGCAGGGGTGCAGCAGCAGTGGGAGGGTCGGACCAAGAGCTGCACAGTTGGGCATGTGTCTGCCACATCCCTTCAAGAATGGGCCGCATTGCAGGCTGACATGCCAATTCACAAGTACGACACAATACTTTAGAGCGTGTGTGTGTGTACTCTCTCTTATTACCCCGCGGCCTCGTTGTCACGTGGCAGTGCAGCTATCCACATGAGGGGATCATCATTACATGAAGAAGTTTCTGGTTCATCCTCTGGTTGGGTAGAGTCGGGTCAGGAGTACTTTAGGGCACGCAGCAGATGCAGGCTGTGGCTGTGTCAAGCCCAGCAGGACGAGGGGTGCAAATACAAGTAAGGGGAGTTGGGTTCAATTTTGGCCAGGTAAGCGCTGGGCGCGCATTCAGGTGTGCTTGGACTAAGCGCTGACATTGCGGAGCGCAGAGTTCTTCATAATAACTCCTGGCCATTCACCCCTAAACTCGGTACGTGGATAGATCTGATTCTCCTCTACCAGAAGAGCCCAAAATCAAGCCTCAGAGATTCGTAGGTGACGCTCACGTTGAGTTTTACTTCTAATCCCAATAATACGCTTTTGTCATCGATCTCACTGGATTTTCAGCCAATCTTGGCGTTCAGCAGCTCGTTGAAAACCTACGATCAACCTCTACGTCAAGTCTTCATTCGTAGTCGGTGAGGCGGTGATCGTTGTCGAACGCGGACGGTTACAGTCAAGTTAGTGGTCAAACATTGAGTATTAGCGATGGAAAGGGTGATGGAGCGATAGAACTCAATAACACACTGAATAGGCAGGTGATATCATGAAAGAGTAATACAATGCGGGAAACAACACGTAAGCACAAGTAGCACGTTTTACATAATTACGAAGCAGAGTGACTGCAGTGCAGGTAACAACGTGACTTTTACAGGCTAATCATAGCAGGCAGGACTCAGCCTCTACATTAGATGCAGCCCATCATGACGAAAAAGGTGGGTATTGAAACTCCCGGGGGCCAGGACGTGCAACCAAGGAACCATCTCTACCTCATGAGTATGTATGCTAATTATCCTTTTGCGACTGTCGGATAAGGTACCTGTTAGTCGAAGATCCACGCTCGAAATGAGGCCGGAATTATTCAACGAGCAGCAGTGAAATCCGGTCAAAGAGCTACTGCGTCACCCCGGATGTTACCGGAAGTATTGACACGCTCAATTGCTGGTCCTTCCCTTGATCTTGAGATCCTCTACTGGCACTACAACTAGCCGGATATACGGCTGAGCAAGCCAATGCGGTATTTCCCGTAAACCATCCTCGCGTCGGCGAACAATACCGGCACTATCAGATCCCCGACTTGCGCGTTCGTCCGCCTATTTTGGATCGTTCAATGATCTTCTCCTTATTTTAATCACTTACAGCATTCCTCTCCTTCAATGATATCACCAGATCCATAAATTTATGGACCCCATCCTGCGGTCGTACATGGATCTTCCCCAGGTGATCCCTAAGATCACGATTCCGCTCCAAGCTTAGAGATGGGCGCAAGAGCTTGAATAAATGGCTGCGAATAGCTCCCGGAGAGGTGACAGTGTTGAGCGAGTGAACGATGTCCAAATATTCGAGAGCCAGGTCAGCATGAGGTGGGTTCGGATCGCGTTCGTCAAAGATACCAGGATTATAGAGATTTCCTTCTGCAGACATTACACCGTCGGCGCCAGTTTCTTCTAAGCAACGGTGTATATCCTCGTGATAAAGAATATTCCCATTGGCTACGACCGGCACAGATACTGCCTCCTTGACAGCGCGTATCTTAGACCAATCGGCTAAGCCCTAGTTAGATCAGAAATATTGAGGACAGTCTGCATAGCCTCGAAGATCGAGTCGTCTACGCACGCAGTTTTGACCCCTCTGCTCACGTATGCGGCCATGGCATGTGAGGACTTGTGCCCCTGCGCTTTCGAGCATCTTTGCGTACTCAACCGTCCTGTTCACCGTAGGGAATACACGAATTTTGCAGTCACGGGCACCTCGAGATTGAGGTGTAGAGTATTGACTATAAGCCAAATACGTTGAGGAAGCACGATTGAGTAAACGGAGGTCATTGTGTACTTAGTTCATAAATAAGAGCCCAATCATCCTGAAGAAACGCGCCATACTTCCCTCTCCGAGCTATCTCTTGTGGGCATCCAAGATTTATATCTACGGCATCACAGTGGCCTTCTACGAGCTTGGCAGCCGCCAGCAAAGCATTTGGGTCATTCCCACAGAACTGGAAATCATCTACAGGCTTGGAATCGAGACGGGCCCAACAAAGATTACTCACTTGAACAACAAGAGGTCGATCATGAGGGCCCCCTTCTTCGCCTTCAACCATGTTAAAGTTTTCGAGAATGTATTTTTTATTTGAATTTGTAAACAGTTTCGAATTGATCATGGGGGTATATACGGCCTAGTTGGCAGTGATGAGCGAAAGGACTCCGGTGGGCACTGTTCTCACCTGTGCACCGTGCCGACGAGAGAGAATGCGCCAAGCCTGGGAGAAACGATAAAACCAGGTCAACGGGAGATTCATAATCATCCAAGAGCGCCAGGAAGCTCACTAGCTCACTTTGTTCCACCATTGGTGCCACGATGTATTTCGGGTTGCCCAGGACGTGACGGTAGAAGTCGTGGCCAGAGAGCTTCCTTTTCGGAATACCACCCAACTGTGAGGTTGTCTCAAACTGTGGAAAACTCTGATTCATTGTGAAAAGCTTGGTCGCTTGATCGAGGGAAACGCGTTGGCGAGAAAACGCCGAGGGAAAGGAGCAGAGACAATTAATTCTGGGGTCCGATGAGATAGAGCACTTGTCGTCTATGCTCCCAATTCTGCGACCACCAATCGGCAAACACCGTCGATCGCACGCTCACGATCAAGCAAGCAGCAGCGCGAGTGCCATTTCGCATCCAGATCCCAATCGCCTCCGTCCTCATATCCATTGGTAGCGCAGACTGCAAGGCTGAATTGCTTGTTCCAGCAGCGAAAGCCCGCCAAAAAATTTTATCTATAGAGGCTGGTATCCTGCCTACAAAAAAATCAGGTTTTGGGTTGTTAGCTTATAGGATCGAAGCCCCACAAACACTCGGGGAGAAAGTGGTTTCGGAGGCCCCTATCGTAGTATAGCACCCGAGCAAGAGTTCGCTGTTGCTTGCCATAAGTGTTTTGAACGCTTCAAGGTGGAGACAGGTGCAAAAATTCACGCCTATCCGGAGCTGCGGAACTTCTTTTCATTGTTGAAATGATTCGGAGGGTCGAATATCTCCCGAAATTGGCCCCAACGAGGAATGCTGACTAATTGTTCGGGAGCGGAGTTGTGACCTGGGTTGATGAGCGCAATTATCCAGAAACCTGATCTTCGCATGCTTTGATGATCCATTTGTAGTTTTCCTGCGGTATAATCGATGCCGCTTATGCTTGCTTCCTAGAACTGGTTCTATCAGTCTGGTAGCAGTCTCAAGCATCTCATATATTGGAGCGATACATCGCGATTGTGGCAAAATGACGCAGTGCCCAGCTCGATCCACGTGTGAGGGCTTGCAACAGAATCAGATTAAACGGATCAACCTGATACAAGACAGTAATTGGAGGGCGGCCGCATAATGATATTGCTTGGGTGAAGCAGGCTAGGGTACAAGCGATTCGGTCAAAAACTTGCTCTCAACACAAATAAGAGGTGCAAATGCGAGCCTCAACCCCCATGAGTTGCCGTGAAATACTCACAGGCACTCACATACTCCAGATCTTCCAGAATTATTTATGGTATTATGTGTGTCAGAATTTAAAGACCTGCGGACGGACTTCAGCTCTTGGTCGGGCTCCATCGAAAGCTAACAGACCTGGTCTTGGGTATATCCCAATTCTTTGAGTGTGCCGTCGAGTCTTCCCTGCTTCATACCCTCCTTCGGTCCGGAGATGGCTTTAACCTGACCGGGAGGCCCTGTTTGGGGGGTGAGGAACGGGCGGCTCTCGGAACTGTCCACCCAGTGCTTACCGCAGATCAATATTTTGACTTTCTCCCCGGCTGAAGGTGGAGGGACATGCTTTCGAATGAGATCCGCATTAACATGCCCAGTAGGCCCTTCACATTAGAACCTTAAGTTATATATGCTCAACAGATCTAGACTGTGCGAGCATACCGGTCCAGTTTCCCTCCGCCTTGTCCACAACATAGACAACGTTGAACCTGTCTGGGTGCTGCTTCTTGAAGGAGTCAAGATCCTCACGAAGAAGAATGTCCGCAGGGGATACGTTGGCGAAAATCAGGGTAAACTTTGTCTTATCATCCTTGAGGTGTAAGGCATGATTCAAGATCTGAGTCCCACTTGCTAATCAGGAACATCAATCCTTGAGTGTTCGTGATCAATGACTTGCCTGATACATCGGCGTTCTAGTCAAGGTTGTCAATCTAGCCTTGGAATCGTACACGGAAACTCACATTCCAGAGCCGCCCGAAATCATGGCGACCTACAGATGAAATAGAGATCAGCATCTAGGTGACCTGAACTGCATATTCGGGCACCTCATCCCATTTGTTGGCTATGAGCATAGCAAAGGTAAGATAATCTGTTCTATTAATGGAAGACGATATCACCTTCGTATGGGATCTTGGGAATCGGACCCTGCAGAGGATTAATCTGAGTGTATTTTGAGAGTGCCCATCATCCTACCTTAAACCCGAGCTTGTCTCCAGGCTTCATGCGGAAGATAAAAGGAGTCAACTGAAAATGCGTCAATACGCTGTGTGGGGGGAGTTGGGGTTTCTACCTTCCCAGTGTCATACTTCTTGACCAATAACTGGATCTCTCCTCGAGTATCAGATGGGGAAATAGGAGTGTATGGTCTAAGGAGAGATACATTGGAGGCAATTTACGCGAGGAAAATGGTTTACCTTATGATGGGATTCCCTTTGTCATCTTTGGGGCCAGCTTCTTTGGCGTTCACAAGGATGCAAGCTGCGACGGGCAACAGCGATGCCGAATTCTCGGGCAATGCAAAGGTGAATCTAAGGATATCATTAGAGGGGTTTAATGTAAGTATGACCCATCTCACTTAGCCGTATTGTGATTATAAGGCTCGATCTGAAAGCGGTTTGGCATTCAATTAGATTCAGATGGCACTGACGGGATGTTTACCCGCTTCAACGAAAAATCCACGAATTCGTCTTTGCTTAGTGCTCCAACAAGTTGGGGTGTATCCTTCTGAGAAGGTGATTTCTGTTTGGACTCGCCGTAGACGTAGTAAGAGAGTCCAGCCAAACCAGCAAGCGAGAGATACAGCGGAGCATTACCAAGAGGCTTGCCTTGGTTTTGGGTGGATAGTTGTCTGGAGGTAGCAGAGATGGGCATCCGGGCAGGGCTGACAAGGACTCTTCCAGCACCCGACAAAATTTGAGCGCGAAACATGGTTCAGATCCGCTACCGTGCTAGCGTCCCAATCGTGAGAACAAGAGGTTACATAATCCAAATGCCTCCCTCGGCCATATCCGCATAGTCGCGCCCCATATTCGTGCGTCGGAAAGACTGCACCAGAACGCGATGGCTCGTCTAAATGAGATTGATCTACGCGGGACCTCAGATGATATATCTAGCGCAAATGCAGATGACTCTGCTTTACCCTCATATGCTGATGCGGTGCCTTCTGGGGAGGCGTCTTCTGTGGATCCACTCAGAACTGCCGCCACCATCCCAGCCTCTCAGTTTTACGGAAAGAGGGTAAAGCATACATATTCTAGCCGGAATGTAACGAAGAATAAGGAAGCTGGATCTTCCTCAGTGGGCCCAGGCACTTCTCATACGTCGTACAAATTCACTGCCGAGTCTCCTTCGCATGATGAAGGCATGGCTTCCAACTCATCACGGATAGATGGTGACGCACAAGTAATGAAACAGACCCCTGTCTCATCCTTACTTCCGAGCCTCTTGAGGATTACCGCCCACCAGAGCCGGTTTTTGAAACAACATATAATACCGATTGGTTCGAGGGTAGTCCGACATGGGGTCAATCGGGGCTTGACGTTCCGGTTGTGCAAGTTGGAAGGGAACATTGGCTCACAGAACCGCCCCCCGATTGGTGGGATGCGAAGCATGCCGCGTTCACAGAATATAGGCCTGGGCCTGGTCAATTACCTTCACTTGTCACTGCCAACATTTTTGCAGAGCCCCTCTATCGTTGTGGAGTCATTTCCGTCCCAACTCCACCCGATCGCAAAGAGGGTACCCATGGTCCGGACCCTAGATATTCGGCTTCTAAATTAGATGACGTCCGCAACTGCCTGCCGGAGCATCTCTTTTATAATTTCAAATCTCATGGCTGGGTTTTCGTCAATGTGGCACAGGATGAAGCTTTGAGTGTTCCATTGCGCGAGATTCCGGGAAAACCCTATCCTTCGGATGTTGGTCGTGCGTTATACGCTAACTGCACTGCTCGACCAGGGTTCTCGCAGCTTGTCTACGAAGATATCTCAATCCATCACCATTTTCACGCCTACCCAGGGGCTACAGATGTCCCCCCATTACTTTCCGCTGCGTTCTCTTCCCTGCATGAGGCCTCGTTCCAGTCGTCAGCTGGCGCATCAGGGCGGGGTGGCAACAACGCCAACAATGCAAACACACCATCAACAACAGCAGACTTGGCATCGGCTACAATACGGGCAGATTTATACGTTTGTGCCCTTTGTCAAGTGTACGTTGTGGTTAGCGGAGTCATCCCTGCCATCATTCCCCGAGATGTGCTGGACACCTTAGTTTTGAGTCGTTCGAGTAACCCACCTCTGGGAAAGACTCCGCAGCAAAGTGTTATCGCAGCATTGGAACTCTTGGTGAAGTGGGTCTGAATGCCACTGTTCCCTTGTATATCTGTATATTATGCTTCTGCTAACATGTTTCCAGGATTATGGCCAATTGCTTGTTCAAAGGTCAGGGAGGCGCCGTCAATACCCAGGCAACTGGATTTTTAAATAATCTGGGGTGGAATGAGACCACGTTCGTACCCCTGGCTCCTCAAGATGCCATTGATTGACCTTTTATCACAGCGCTGAGATATTTGAGCGCATTGGGTTCCGCAGTCATCATGAACTTCCTATGCGTCTGGCACCCCCTCCGTTTTCATCTGCGTCCCCTCAGGGTAGTAGAAATAGGGCAATCATGACTCGGGCATGGATTGAGATCAGCGCGTGGCTACATATTTACAAGAGGTCGCCAGGTATGGTCCTGATCCTCTCATTGATACATCCAGGCTGAAGGGGTACCCTGAAGCCGATCCAGGGGATGGTGTCCACATCTACACGATGTCATTACGGGAAGAATTCGAGGGGCTGATCGGGTCTCAAACAAGAGGTTGAACCATTCGTTTGGTTCGTTGCAACGTGCTGATTATCCCTTGCAGACCAGCCGTGGATGTTTGCCACCAATCCATGGCATGGATCCTTGTTCCTGCAGTTTGGAATGCCAGTAGAGTCCTACTCCGAGAGTGCGGGTTCAGTTATTTAGATTTCTGGATGTTCGCTCAGTTCGAGATGTAGAGCTTCTCGAGTTTGCCTTCCATCAGCAAATTCGTTGTGATCCTAACAATATCCCTCAATATCTTTCGGCGTTAGAAATGATCGAAGAAATTCCCGGTCTCCCCCACCGTCAAGATTTAACAAACTTCATCATGACCCAAAAATCTAGAGGCCTTTGGTCTCGTAAGGATTTGGACCGTGCCGTGGGGTTGTTGGGTTTTGGACCAGACGGTCCTTTGCGGATAAACTTCGATCGCGACGTGGATGGCCATTTCTTGATTGGTGCCTTTAGGAATGCGTGGGACGGGATTGACCTCAGCAATGCGAAGGAGGGGTTGTATGATCCTGAGAAGCGTGATACCTTGCGGCGGGATCTCAAAGAAGCGCTTTTGATTGCGTCTCAGTCTTTGGGCAGCCAGGTCATCGTGGAACAGGCGAGACAAGAAATCGAACTCAAGAGTATGAGCCCCAACGCTGCGTATGCTGCTTTTGACGCTACTAGGGACGTTGACGACGACACTCTAATCGTCGCGTACGAGATGCGTGTGAGCTATCGGAACAACTTAATCCTCATTATGCCCTGACACGCATTGTGACAGGCAACAGAACAACCAGGGGAGATCGATAAATTACGAACGACTTTGCAGTTTATCGCGGAGGACCGTAATAGTGACCGATTGCGCGGGTTTCTTGGGGGTGGAGTAGATTGTAGGTGTTCGTGATCAGTACTCTTGAACACATAATCAGCTCAAGAGCATTTCCAGCGGGACAGGGACACTCTCACCGTCTGGAATGGCCTCGCGGATTATATCAACTTGGGAATACTTGTTACCTTAATTCATTGTTGCAAGTACGTCCTTTCAGACGTACGCCCAGCTTACTGAGCAGCTGACGGCACTCAGTACTTTTACACGATCAGACAACTCAGAGATGCACTTGCATCAGGTTCCTTTAGGTCCGGTGCTGGGGAAGAGGACTTCAAAGGGAAACCAATTGGAGGACGAGTTATTTCTTCTCGTGAACTTGATCGTTCTCGTAGATGTGCGTTTCATTTTTTCTTGGGTGATAAATGCCATTAAGTATTCATTGTGTAGTTGTGACACATCTTCATAACCTGTTTATCAACCTCGCTCACGCAGAGACCCCTGCGGTCCTTCCCGAAGTGGAACTTGCCAAACTGGCACTTATGACGTCCAAGGACGAGGAAATGGGTTCTGGGGCTCAAGAAACCGCTGCAACATCCATCGGGAGTGCGGAGACAGACTCTACCTTAGTCGAGGCTAACGGGACGGAGGCTGAAAATCCATCAGACATCCCATCACTACCATCCCATCAGGTTTCTTTCATGTCCGCGCCTTCGCCTCAAGTCACTATACTGGGTAAACGTTCTAGCGAGTCCCGACTCACAGCAAAGCAGGAGCCCGCTTTGCCAATGGATGTCGACGATTCACCGTCTCCCAAGCGTAGACAGACGACAGGCGAGTTAGGCCCCGTATCCCAACGTGAAGCCACCCTTGCCGAGGACTCCGAGATGTCTGATCCGTCGGCAAACAAGGCGAATCCGAGCCTTGCCTCAAGCGTTCCTCCCCCGTTACCCCCTCGAAATCGCCAGCCCTCAGTAGGTGACATGATGTTCGGTACGGATTTCTCTGTGTATGAGTGCCCAATTCTGATTATCGTTCACTAGGTCGACAAAACGACGTTTCCGAATGTATGGACAATTGCATTTTCCAGATAGAGGCTGCGCTTCAGTTCGATTCGGAACTTGGAGAAGGATCCGAGCGTCTGAATGTCGTGAAACGGCGAGTTCCACCTCTGGCAGATCCTTGACTGATGACGTTAAGACCCGCCATAGACTCTTTTACGGAACCAAGCGACAGCGGATAACGCCCCTTGATGAGGATGCGAAGTCACAAAGCGTTGTCAGTGAAAAGACGGATCTTTTTGCGCAGCTCCTCGTCAATGTCTCCAATGAAGGAACGGATCTATATGATGGGCTCAGCGGTTTTATGGATGATGTCATAGAATTCGAAGGAAAGAAAGCCAGCATGGAGGTCGTTTTAGTTGAAACTCCGCCAATTCTCCAGATTCAGCTCCAGGTGTGATTTTGCACGCCCTCCGTTACATCGTGCCGTTCATTGACCTATGCATCGCTTCGGTTTATCATTTAGAGGGTACAATTTGATCGCCAGACAATGCAAGCCCGAAAGAACAATGCATACGTAGCATTTGGAGAGACATTGTACATGGACAGGTTCATGCAGTCGGCAAATCCGGAGAAACGAGCGAAGTCAGCCATCATTCAAAAGGATCTGCAGAGGTGTAGGGAACGTGTAGCTGTCCTCACCGAAAGCTCAGTAAGTGGCCATTGAGTGTCGCAGCACCCACAACCATTTGACAGCATCAATAATTGAAGACTGATCCTATACTTGAATCACTGGCCCAGTCAGAAGAGCTGGCTCACGATTTTCTAGCTGGTGGCGTGGAAGAGATTGATCAAGCACTCGTAGACTATTTACGTGGCGAGAAGGATGTTGTTCATCGCGAAATAGAGGACTGCCGTGCTCGCGCAAAGCAGTTAAAAGTCGAGCTGGAAGAACTCTGGTTGGACGAGCGGAATCAAGAATACGAGCTCTGCTCCGTTTTCATTCACAGAGGGACCTCTCCCGCCTGGGGCCATTACTTCTTCTACTCTTGCAATCTTCCCAACAATCCTAATTCGTGGTTCAAGTACAACGATTCTGAAGTTAGTGTTGTCTCCAAGGATGAGGTTCTGGCGGACGGAACGGGTTCGACTGCTAATCCATATCTTGTATGTTTCCCCTGCGATAAGTGCTTTGCCGATCTGACCCATTGCTACGCAGCTCGTGTATGCCAGAAAGGGTTCCAATGTCATTGACACAGTCCACCGCATCATCCCCTCGTGACCGAACGGTACTCTCATACAACCCATCTAATGTATCTCTTACGGTTCTTGTAATTGTCCGCATAATCGTTCATTCGATGCAACGATCAAAATTACAGACCACCCCTATTGCATCGATTTTGGTGTCAAGATACCTTCAAGGTTGAGCTGGTATCATCAGTTAAGTTCATCACATGGACCCTCCCGTGGCTTCGTGTCTTATATACATAGTGTGATTCTACAGCAAAAGCCTTTATTTGGTATTGGCGGAGCTTGAGAGGCCTTTGTAAAATTTCGTTTCTGATAGCCTGATGCAAGCCTGATCAGCGAGAGAGTGGTTCTGGATGGCGTCCAAGTAGAAGGTGGATGTGACAAGCTTTTCGCTTCAACAGAGTCCGTGGACTAGCAAGTCATAACGGGTCGAAGTACTTCATAGCTATATGTAAGGGGATCTGCAGGCAGGTCGCCAGAAACCGGCAAATTCCCATTCCCTTTGTTGTCTTGTTTATGCCCGAGGACGCGCTCAATCTACGCAAACCTAATTTAGAGTTACCTTTCCTAGTTAGGAAGTTAACGTTTGCCATGCGTTCGTCTTGCCTTTGCTCTCCGCTCTGATGCCTCGATACCTGCCATTGTTTACGTAAGAAATCATCCAGGATGTCCTCACCTTCTCACTGGGCCGTTTTCATCCAGTGAGATGCCATAGCCTCTAATAACTCAGTAGTCAAGTCCTTTGACCTTAGTCGAGCCTTTCTTTGTGCCCCTTGGCTTTCCTCCTTTAAGTCTTCTGGTCTATTCTAGAATCTGGCTTGTCATGTCAACATCCCCCCCTCACTTGATCGCCAGCTCGTTGGGCGACTGGGACTCTCCATCTGTCTCGTTACAACGAGTATTCTTGAGCTCTGAGCCATTCAAAAAGTGAGCAAGCCCCCTCAGTATTATCTTCATGTTTTGACGTAGGTGTACGACTTGTAGCTCGGTTGTCATTGAAGGCACTGCTGCTGTGGATACTCGATTTTTCCGTCGCATCCTCAATTCTCATCCATCTCCATTCGCCATCACTGTCGCACTTACGGTGGCAGGCTCTCTCCGCCCTCTGGATTGGAACCAAGAGGACTTTGAACAATCTGGGCTGGAGCACAGCCGATCGAACCCTTCGTCGAGAATCACTTTCCAAAGACGTGCTGCCCTCGAGGGGTGCATTTGCACCGTTGCATTTTCCATCTCCATTCCGCACGACCTCATCATTGGAGAGGCCACGAAACAAGGGCCTGACACCAGATCCCAGCAGTTCTATGGCGTTGCGGTGAAAGCGTATGATGGAAGGGGCCGAACTACTCAGACGAACATCGCCACCTTCGCATTGCAGATACCTTCCTCCTATACCTTATCGAATAACCGGAAGCGCTCGTCGCTATTGGAAGTGCGAAGGCGGAGCAGGGAGATACAAAACTCGCGGGAATTTTCAGCTACGGTCAAACAAAGGCGGAGGAGCTTTCTTCGCCGTGGCAGCATTCTTCGAACGTGGAGAAAGTGATGAGTTGGTGGGCTTTGTTCTCAAAATACATGCAACCTGTCTTTTCTACCGTTTCTTATACCAAGCATCCCTCCGACAATGTACTGAAGGGGATTTATTACCAAGGGAGCAAAATGATCCGCAGTTTGTTATGCACGGCATTGTAGTAGCACTCTCACGCATCATGTATGTATGTATTTCTAAGGTGGTTGGTTCCATCAAAACTGGGGATCTGGGGTGCCATTTATTCACTTTGACTTGGGGGCAGTGAGTATGCACGGACTGATTGAATAATCTCTAACAAGTGCCAACCATGGAGCAGGTCCCTGTTTTGTTCTGCATCGGGTCGAATCACTCATCTTCCACCCATCCTAGCCAGTAGAGTTGACTCCCTAGTGCGCTGACGGGACGGCAGGCACACGCTTGAGCTCACCAGAATGGAATCGATGCTGCCGTTTCTCGAGGTCTAGCGGGGACATGTAAGCATCTTCTAGGAAGCACGCAACTCCAGAAGAACATACCGAAAGCCCACATGCAAGCGCCGATCCTATTCGAAATTGAGAAGAAAATTCCTACCAGTGGAATGGACTCCAACAAGGCTGCGGCGAATCCAAATGCTGTCGCAGCTGGTTGCGTGAACCGCGGTGCTGAGATGGAAGGGAAACGTACAGTAATAGTCGCTTTTCCGTTCCGCCATGAAGACGGCTACTTCGTGAGGGGACATCTTTTTAGACTCGAAGTAAGGCCCATGCAGATATCGTGCGGTCGCCACGGCCTTGATTCCGGACGTGATAAGGAGTCCAACGATAGGGTAAAGGTTGAGAGGGAGAAGAATGACTGATGCGAGCAGTTTTGGAATCGCTAAGTTTTGTGGGATGGGCAATGGGATGGAAAACGTGCCTTTCCTGATCACTAATCTTCCGACTGAGCTTGTAATCCATTTCTCCCACCTGGCTCGAAAGTCGAGACTAACTTGAGGTGGCTTCTCCCATTCCTCGAAATAAGGCCCCCAGAACTCCTTGGCTTTTCCTCTTGAAACGAGGACTTGGTCCCAAGCTCGATCACGCGCGATATGCAAATTTTTTCCAAGGAAGAAACGAACCATAGTTTGAACTTGGGAAGACACTAAAACAAGTGTGGTATCTAGTTTGCACAAACGTTAGTCGGTGATGATCATGCTGTGTTGAGCTGGCATACTGACAAGTCGCAACATCCATTCCGTAGCCGAACACATTGTCATGAGATAAACCCAGAGCACGGGGAAATCTGTGAGAATGTTTAAGATGCGATAACGACTTCTAGTGGCTTTCCGGTAGACACCTCTTTAGGAAAAAAGAGACAAAAATGCGCTGAATCCGAAAGGTGCCAATGGTCTGTGCGTGGCAACGTGTATTGTAAAATCCCTAGGACAAAGCGACGCCTACCCAAATAGCGCCAACTAGAATTCTATACATAGGATGTGATACTATTCATGCTTTGTCTCCAAGGTTGCTTGGGGGATGAACACGACTTTACCCTCGCTGCACTCCATGGCGGATTTTATCCCAGACCTGAGTTTAAGATGTTAGCGAGGACTGGAGTATGTGAAGAGATTGATACTTGCCTTTACTCGGATGAAAGGGTCTGTCAGTAACCGGTAGATCCCAACCAAGGTGTAGACAGGAGTAAAAAGAAGAAATTCTTGCATTGTTGCTAATTGGAGTGTGAAATGAGGCTGTGCCAGACACTCGTCATCCAACAAGGCCTAGCAGATAAATTTCGGTTGGTCGGTTGGTTTCTCTCGTATCCTTTCCCATGCCTTGTTTTTCTTAGCCCCTTTATTCCATCCCCCTTGGATTACAGAACTGGCATGTCAATCGTGAATGGGGAAGCGGAAAAGCTGAATGCTAATGAGCAATTGGATGCGGAGGAATTCAATGTCCAAGGATTGCTCAAAGAACTCGAGAAAGCCGAGGACGTAGTTGCGGGAGTCGATCGTCGACTGGATGACTTACTCTCCAACATTGATGGGCTTCTGCATCACCTCAGTGCAACAAGTCAGGAGACAAGTTCGAAACCGGATTCATCCTGATGCTCGTCGATCGACGTCGAGCTTTTACACGTGTAATTTCCATAAAAGAACATTGCGAGTCGCATGCGCGTCCAAGAGCGACGACGACTGCGAGTCTTGGTCCTCCACTGTAGCAGTCACATCATAATTACGTGTGCAAAGATTGAATATATTGGACCCAAATCGGGTCATTTCAGTGGGGTCTTTTATTTTTTATTTCTGGGGCAACGGGGTGCACTTAGAGTCGGGATTGGTCATGCACGTCACTTCGACGAAAAAAAAAAGTTGTCGACTAGTTCATTCTCTGGCTGTTGGGTCATGGATCTCTAATGCGAAATGGCATGGGAAAGAGCTCAACTCTCCAGGAATTGGATATACAATACCGCACAGGTCAGAGATAATTCTTTGGTCTCTCTCCAGTTTACACAAACTTGAGCGGGTGAGCGTCCGCCTTGCTGATAGCAACATGCAATGGCCTGTCCTTCCATTCGGCGTCCAGAGCAATTTCATAACGAAGCTTCTCTGAGAGGATCGGGAGATAGCCTCTTTCAGTGTTCGTATGGCCGCCTTGGTAGAGGTTAATTGTATTGTCAATTTCAGCACCAACAATCTCACATAGTATTACGTGTCTTCCCTTGGACACAGCTGCGAGTACATCGTGCTGATGGAGAGCCACTAAGTCAGAATCCCGCGGTGCCGAGTTGGCGACGTTGCTTACGTGCTGCATCTCTCCCGTGAAGTACGCATCTGGCGATTCCGTATATTAGTGGGCATGGAAGGTGTTTCATGATACCCGTGTACTCGCCGGCATCAACATTGTTTAGTACAGACGCCCCTGAGCCAGCGCAGAGAGCCACGGTTTTAATCGGGATGTGTTTATCGATATTCAACAGGGTGAGATCGGGCGATGCCACTTGAACTGTGGAACCTTTGGGTAGCCCTTCTGCGGACAGGTTTGTTATTGACTACAGACCTTGCTTTAGCTTCAAGCATTGTTTGATGCGATTCACGAGTGACTCTATCGTGATGCCGTTCGCAGGCTTCGTGAACTCGACAACGCGACCAAGCCCATCCAAAGGGTTTGCAGTGTCAGCAACGGGTCCCTCGGTCTTTTTTCCCAGAATTTTCACGACTCCTTCGTCCGAATTGAGCACCCCTGATGCCAGCCAGTCATGAATGCCGCCGTGGACGGAGTCGAGTGCTGTGTGAGGTGAGTACACGGATATCCCAGCCGCAGCGCACTGGAGAAGGGAGGATTGCAAAGGGTTGGAGAGGGTGAAGGAGGATATAGGTTTGAAGATTGGAGGATGATATGAGATGATACAGCTCGTTGGTAGAGGAGATGACAGAGCTTCATGAAGGACGGATGGAGTCAGACTGGATAATCGAGGCATGGTTACTGTCAGGGATAGGTTGCATCATGCTCGAGAAGGCTTGCACCTACTCAATCGTCAACAAGATCTGTGTGGGTTCATGCCATGATTTGGGAGCTTCTACAGGAGCAAAGAGCCAAGAGTAAACGGGATGGATTACTAACCGCGTTCAGTGACGTGATAATAAGGCGAAATTACAAACCCAGTAGTAGTCCGACCTAGGGAATTGTCGAGGTGTGAATGATGAACGACGGTTCCCAATTCTGGTCGTTGTAACGTACATTGTCCCATGACTCTGCTAGAGATGTTGGGGCGATCTTGTTCATTGCACGCTGGATAGCCTTTATAAGTGGCATGATGATCCAAAAAATGGGTTTCAGGAATTCAGATCTGTCGATAGGTTGTGGCGGTGCAAAGTTGCCCAATGTAGTGTTAGTACGTTTTCTCTTCTGTACCTTACTTGCCTGAGTAGTCACTTTTCTATGTGAACCTTGTAAAATTCTAGCTTTGAACTTGGTTTGTGTGTGGCGACTTCTGAGAGACCTCACAGATTGTGACCGAGTTCAGTTCTGTTTCGAAGATCGCCTCTAGATCTCCACACTTGCAGTTGCAGCATGGAGCTAGGCGTCGCACGAATTGGGGATAAGGCCATTCTTGTACCGATTCTACCTGACGCAGGGATACGTAGATGGGAAATTATATTAACCGCTAACTTGGCCGCAACATTCGTGTTTCTTTTTTTTTCATGTGTACATCGAATGCAAATTGTAATTACATACCAGTCGCATTGCTTGGAAGGTCGGAACGGCATCCTCTCGTGTGTGAGGACCTGTAAATCACCGGTTTCCATGCCCCGGAGTGAAGAATTCGGCGATAGATCAAATCAATAAAATTACGAAAGTTAGGGTGGACTCCGTTAATTCGACTCTGTTCCCTTGAACCTTTGCCTCTACTAGTTGTGAAAGCAAGGCCGGGTCAAGACGGAAAGAGCCATTGATTGTATATGAGGGGTCTATCTCTTGGGTGAGGAGAATGGGGAGAGGAAGACATTACGGCGAACTTCCAAAATAAGACTCAAAGAAGGTATAGAAGTCGTGATGGAACAACTGCAAATACAAAAACAGGTATTCGTTCGGAACCTGGACGTGACGCGGTGGAGATACAGTGTCGAGTCTCGACGGGGACCGGGAGCTTCAATGTAAGGCGGGCCTATTCTGGAGCTGCACTGAGCGCCGAACTCTCGTTGCTTTCACTCCCAGGAATCTGATGGAAGTCTATCCAGGCGAGCGAATACGGTGAATGCAATCTCTCAGCAGTTTTCCTTAAGATACTCACCAAGAATCTCGCTGTACATCATGACTTTCCATGTATCTACTGGTAGGTCAGCGTCGTTGAAGCTCCAGTCGAAAGGCTCGGCAGCGACTGGCTCGTCTGTGGGATCATGATATGGAGCTACATAAGAGTGGCTCAATGCTTCAGTTGCGTTGATTCTCTTATGGGGATCAAAGACAAGCATCTTCTCGAGGAGGTCGAGTGCTATGGAGAAAGTTATTGAATGCGATGTATTAGACATATATGGCGGGCTACTCGCCATCTTCATCGGTGTTTTTGAACTTGTTGCGGAAGGGTACGCGCTCCCGCTTGGGCAGACTTTGAACGAATCGGAGGGTCTAGGGAGCGATGACGCATCAGGAGGGGAAGACGGTCTAAGTTTTTAGGTCCCACATTTTCGCTCGCAATGGATTCTATAACGTCATCTGGAGGTGTGCCCAAGAGCTCTGTGATGATCGAAAACTGATTCACGTCTTAGCGGAGTAGATTGAGAATTAGCGCGATTGGCATGGCAAGCTTCCGAAGCCGTACTTACGATCCTTTCCTGGGAATAATGGTTTCCCTTCCAACATCTCTGCAAATATACACGCTGTGCTCCAGATATCCACCGCTACGTCATACTTTTGCCATGTAAGCATGATTTCTGGTGCGCGATAATATCTTGTTGAGACGTAGCCAGTCATTTGGGGGTCCTGCAACCGTGCGAGCCCAAAATCACAGATCTTTAAATCGCAATTTTCGTTCACGAGGATGTTGCTGGGTTTCTGTGCGCCATGATAAGCGAACTGAGGATTTCCCGAAAAAGGAGCGTACAAGGTCTCTGTGGACGACACCGGCGGAATGAACATATTTGAGCCCCCGCTTATATTGAGATGTGAGTGATTTGAAAAATGGAAGCCATCGACGTCTCACCAGAATTTGGTACAGGAAATATTGGATGAATTGCTTTTCCAGCGGTCGGGAGGTCAGTAAACGGTGGAGGTCCGTGCCGAGTAGTTCCGTTACAAAGTATCTGTCAATGGGATGATCGGTCCTCCAAGTATGCCAGTACCGATCGCTTTTACATACATGTCCTCCTGGGGTGATATGAACACATCGCTGAGACTGATTATCTAGTCCGTGGGTATATCACCTCAGCATCCGATCACAGGAAATTGGGCTGAGATCACGAACGTTCTCATGTTGAATGTGTTTGAGAAGTTTGAGTTCACGGTATGTCCTCTTTGCGAGAACTGGTGTCCCGAATGGTTTCATGATCTTCTTGATCGCCACTGCCGACTCAGTGAGCTGGTCCCTTGCCGAGCTGGGGGAGATATGTTAATGGTATGCCGAGCCGTCATGGATAACTGAGCTCACCAAACCAGTCCAAACGCGCCTATATCATGATGGTTGTGTTATGGCAGAACAAGGCACCTATTTACATTGAACTCACCCATTCCGACGGGTTGTAGGTCCCCGTATCGTGTTGTGACCTATGGAATCAATTTGCGAGGGTCATGACAAGCTCTAGGGGCGAAGCACCAACCTCGAAGGAGGTTCCAAAGATGCTGAGTTTTACAAATGACATTCGAAGCTTCTTGACGTCCGCACACGGTCGCCTTAACTAGATTAGGTGTCGGTCGAAGCGCTCAGTGGATCTCTGGCTGGTTACGGAGTCAAATTTGGGGAAGTTCAGGGAGCCAGCCCTCAAACAAGTAGCGATGTTTATGGTGACGGACATATATACATTGACAAATGGTACATCTATTTGTCCTGCTCTGCATCCTCCAATATCGCAATCTGGCTACAACGTTGACATCATGGTTCAGTTTTGATCGACAGTAATTCGAAAAAAGATCGCACCGGTCCCGGGTAGCCTCCTGCCATCGTTGGAGCCTCGCTGTCTCATGAATCTGGAAGCCGAAAATAGTGGGTCGGTATTGTTCTGCCTTCAGTGCAATTGTAGCAGTGCTGGCTGAGCTTCCGATCTGGCTGGGCCCGCTCCTCTCCAGTCGTCCATCTCTTTCTCTTGCCGAAGATGAATTGTCCAAGCCTTTGGAAGGGATCATGGCAGGGTAGACCATGAAAAGGATGTGGGGAAACGTAGTGCCAAAGTAAGCACCATCAATCGAGCCGTGGCGAGAAGATTTTGGAGAGTACAGATCTTCGCAGCGTGGACAATAGAGTTTAACGGCCTTTTCGTATGGCGCATCCGTCAGGCCTATGGGAAGCAATGGATGGGCGTGGCAAAGGACCCGCGGACATCTCCCAAAGTCTGCTTTCTTGTACTTTTCCAGCTTCGACGGGATGAAATATTAGATAGATTCCAGCTTGTGCGAGTGCGCCATACCATCTTCGCGAGGCCTCGAGAGGTTATGATCCATCGGGCATGAATGAGTCCGTATAGAAAGCGCGCCTGGACCTCAATGGATTGGCGAAGTTCATCATCGATGTCTTCATCTAAATGCAAGCGGAGAGCATTAAGGAGGAGGGAGACTCGGTGTCAGTGGCTTACCAAGATTATCAGTAATGAGGTCCAGCGCTTGCGAGTAGTTAGCGCATTCAGGAGCGAGACCAGTAAGGTTAAATCTGTCCAGTATGTAATCTTCTTCGATCTCGCAAAAGTATTCGTTGCCTTTAGACGCCAGGAACCAAGAGATCCATGAACTGTCATAGACGGAGAATATGGAGCATGGATTCCAGCCGCAATCAGAGACCTCACCTCGAATAGTCAGAATCAGAACCAGTTGAAACCTCTTCCACTGAAGAAGGCGGGCTTAGCTCAGAGATTTTTGGGTGTCTTCAATCACGCACTGTTATGATGGATGAAATCGTGAGAAAACGGGAAGTGACGACGCCACAACGTTTACCTGCCCAAAGCTTGAACAGATCAGTCGCGCAAATTATAATGCCCAATCTCACCAAGCGAAAGCGCAGTAGGTGTTTCGTCGGAAGCACTAAAGGATCCATACAATATATATGCTCACATTGTGGCTAGCTAACCTTCCAGTTTTTTATATCGATTGCTTTTCGATGATGGATTTGGAAGGCCAACCCCTCGAAGTGGAACGGCTTTTTGCACCGGAAGGTCGTGCTTTAATCTCTGGGTCTCAGACGCCTTTTTGCGGGGATGTAAGCAATGAGGCTGAACAGTATCCGCAAGATAGGAATGAAAATAGCCGGGAGGATGTGGAGCGCATCCTTGTCAATGATGCCCAGATTCAACCGTATGACATTGGAACAGACCGGTCAGCGTTCAACTTGTCTGTGTCCTCATTTTCTGACGATTTGTTAGCCTGTTCTGGTTAGAGTGCGAAGACAGGTGGCTCATATTGCTAAATCCTGTTGCGGAGCAAGAATCCCTTCACGGGAATTTCTTGCTGATGCATCGCCTGATTCAGGTGATGGTTAATGCAGCTTTTATGGACCCCTGCTTGGAATTTCATCATTTACCGGATGTGATTCTACGCAGCCAGGACTGGCATATCATGCCACCCCTGGAGTCGTGCGAAGAGAATCTCACTCTCACCGTGAGTTGCTATGTTAACTGGAGTCCTCGATTAACATTGTTTTTTAGGCACAGATCATACCGAACCATCTTGCGGCATATCTCCACACGCTTATCCCTTCTGCAAAGAAACATCTTGAGGGGTGTCCTCTCATCAAGTATTACACAGCTCTGTGCGATGAAGGTGTGCCACCTCACAGGGGAAATCTACACACTCCACACCAGCTGTGCAGATCACTCAAGGCTTGTGCCCCTAGAGTTCTTAGAGTGGTTGCAAAGGGGTTTCCCTATGAATTGTGGAATCAACTTGCTTGCCAACGGGAAAAACCTGTCAGTGAGGCTGTAGATCAGAATATTATGCTTCAAGATTGGCTCCAGGAGGTGGAAAGTTCAGTTAGTGATGTTGCAGGTTCCTATCAGGTCAAAAATTTTGCAGTTGGCACAAGCATTAATTGACATGCACATTTTTTGCCATGTTCTAGTCTGGGGATTATATATTGCTCAAACCTGATGTAAGCCACATCCTCATATTGTGCACTCAAATGCTTATAGGCTGAAATAGGGAAACTTCCCACCAACCAGCTTGGAGTCCCAAAATCCCTATGCAAGGCTCTGGTTTGGTGTGTTAGCCTTTTCCTGTTCCAAAAATTTTGGTTCATTGATAATTAACAGGCAAGATCATTAGCATCAATCTATCCAGCTTGATGTGCCATGTTCAATGGTTCTGTCACTCTTCCACTGTCCCGATCGGGGAGTTGGGGCACACTCAAGAGCTTTTTGAGACACTTCAATGTGATAACAAGCCATTAAGCCTCATTCGTGGGAGGATTTCATTGAAATTTGTTCCACCTGGTGAGGACCCACCAGATTTAGCCAACCCTGATTATTTCTGCAGGTATGTTCTTGTGACTGTTTGGCCCTTATGTAAGTTCACTGCAGAGACAGGTTTGTATGGGACAACACCCAGGGGTGTTTTTTTGATCATTATCCCTGGCCTGGTTTGGGTCATTCCTTGGATGATTCTCTTGGTTGTCTGGCCTGTGAGGCAGAGAGACAAAGGGTGTATCTGAAAGATACATATCAAGTCCCTTCCAATCATCTCTTCTCTGCAGAGGAGATTTTGGGTGCAATCCCTGAGCTAAGGGATTTAGGCTACAGCCTAGGTGTTCTTGACCTCTTTTCTGGGGCTGGTGGCTTCTCTGGATTCCAACAGACTGGTATTCTGGATGTGAAAGCTGCTATTGAAAACTCAGAGCTGACTGCAGGCACATTTAGGTGAATCAAAATGAATGTAAAAGATTGTTAACTGATTGATTTGGTAGTCTCAATTATCCCTCTGCCTGGATGTTCTGTGCTGACACTGAGGAGGTTTTGCGAGATTTTTTTCAACACAATGCAGACCTTAGGTTTCCTCACACTGGCATTGGCCATTCCCTCCATCAAGCAAATATACCGGTGCTCTGTGCTGGTTTCCCATGGTAAGTTTCAGGAAATAGACTACTTGCATCAAGATCTCATGAAGTAGTCAACCATTTTCATTTGCAAATCGGAACAAGAAGATCCTTGACCCTCGGTATGGAAGTCTTGTGTAGGGGTGACATGTTGGGCTGATGATCTGGGTTTTCAGGTCAATTCTTGTTGCCAATGTTTTGTCTTGGGTTGAAGCACTCAGACCCTCTTATGTGGTATTGGAAAATGTGCTGGGGGTAATTCATCATCAATTCCCAGAAGGGGAGAAGCACATCATTGTTAAATTCCTTTCTTGTGCTCTTGTGGAATTGGGGTGAGTCACTTATTTATTGTTGGGCAAGAACTGTTGGGTTGCAATGCATGTGCTTGGTATAGGTATCAGATGCGGATGGGGATCCTCCAGGTGAGTCATTTTATATTCAGGGGGCATTTGCTAACCATTTCCCTTAGTCTGCTGCATTTGGTGTACCCCAGACTCGTGAAAGGTTCATTGTGATTGCAGCTCAATCTGGCTTGACTCTTCCAAATTTGCCTGCACCCACTCACCAGTTCACTTGTCGAGCAACAACATTAAACATTGGCCATTTGAAATTGGTAACATCCAAGAATGATGTAATGCATGCCCAGTACCCCCCAGTTTCACTGAAATCTGTGTTGGAGGATGCATTGGAAACAAAGTAGTAAGTCCAAAAGTTGTGTGTCTTCATGTAGAGCCTGATATTTCCTCAGTTATGGCAACTGGCCAGAGCTGGCTGAAACAATACGAACTCGTCCACAGCATCATCCTGTGGAGGATCGCTTCTGGGATATAATGGAGGAGAAGATCATTCAAGGTGATGATATGATTCATATCCTATGTTTCAACTAACATTTGAACAGGATTTTCAAAAGACTATGAAATGGGAACAAATTTGATCTCAGAGGTATGTCCTAATCCAGTCCTCATTTAAGGCTCTGAATGTGCTGCAGCAGCGAAAAATGATTGGAAATGCAGTGCCACCTCCTCTGGCCAAAGCCATTGGTTTTGAGATTATTAAGGCCCACTTGGTAGATCTAAGGAGGCAGGCTGAAGCTCAGACATATCCAATTTGGATGGAAGATTATGTAAGGCAGCATTCCAGACTGGGTTAACATAATTAGGAAATTCTATCTGTGTTTGAGTTTTTCACATTATGATAGATTGCATGCTGATGGCAATGTAAATTCTCCTTTGTGTCAGTGTAAGATGTTTGTTTAAGTGTGGTGCATGCTTGTCAGGATCTGACTAAGTTCTGAGAAATTCTGAGGGCTTCTGTAAGGATTGGTGATGTGTACCCACACATCATCTGTCCCCATAGTTCACATCAAGTACACTTTAGTATCATATTGTTACGGGGATGGGGGGAAATCCCCAATCCTCGATCCGTTCTTATAGCAGGATGACAAACGTCATATCTAGTCTGTACCATAATGGGATATGTAATCGATGAGTGGTCCCAGTCTTGCAAGGGTGTGGACGATCGAATTCCCATCGATCGTGATTGGTGATGTAGTGAGCTATTAAGGAATTGATGGTAGGTAGTCGGAGACGTCATAATGGACATGTCAGCCACAGGTACTTGGCGCTCCTCAATGGAGCGTACCATGTGTGAGGTCACGACTTGTGAGGTGGGTGAGAACTTCGTATAACTGCCATTGGGTACTTGGCGTTTGCAGCGCGAACGTACTGGTAGCAGGTTGATATCATGAGTGTGCAATAAGGATTGACTAATGGGGCCTTCGGTGACTTGGTGTTCCCAAAGGGAACATACTGTTGGCGGGGGAATATGATGACTGACGAAGGAGGGAACAGACGGTGGACGGGCGGCTACTTGGCGTTCGCATAGCGAACGTGCTGGTGTCACAGGAAGGTGGACCTCAGAGTATTCACAATCACCAAGATCGTGATGTGACATTGTCTGTCGAGCACTGGGGGAGAGCGGAGAGATGAGGTCCCGTAGGGTACAGATTCCATAGGATGATACACAGGTCGAGAGTCTTCGACTCGCGACCTCGAGTTCTCACGGTGAGGACCGTTAGAGGACTCGACATAACCAGACTTATAGGACATGTTGTGAGTTGTACAGTCACACGGTTCAGTTGAGTCACAGGATGGGTTGTACAGAAGACGACACACAAGACAGTTGTAGAGAGTAGTTGTTAGTTAGCGGGAACCGCCTTCGGCGGTTTCCGTACAAGACGCGTGACTATCTACAAATGGTAAGGTCGTGGGAAATCCCATGAAACACAAGTAACCTCGGCCAGCACCAAAACCCCAATGGGGAAAGCTTTGCACGAGGGGGGGAAAGGGGTAGAACAGGTGGGGAGGATAGGGTATTGGGATAGAGGACGGAAGGGAGAAAGAGGGGGGGGGAACGATAGAGAGGAGAAGTCTTTGACCATGCGACGGATATGGTCGTTGGAGACTCCGTATCCGTAACACATATGTTAGAGATGTGGGGCAAGATGGTGCAAGCAGGCTAGGAATCTAACCCCCTAAATTCATGGGGAGGAAGTCTACTGTGTCCTAAGACTGTCCTGGGTTTGGTCTGGGTGCTAACAAAAATAAAATAATCACAAAAAACTCTTTAAGAATCACATACCCCTGGTCCATCTTGGACAATTGTCAGGGGTTCCTTATAATACTCAAGGTGTCAAGCTCAGGAATTTTCTCTTAGTTGGATCTCTCAGCACTACAGTTTCTTTGTAGTCAAAAGGGAGTTCATCTTCCCATTCTGTCAGGGTTCAGCACCCTGCCCTAGGGTGCCCTGGACTCCCCAACCACTCCCTTCCTCCCATTCCTTCATTGCTGCCCTGTTGTTGTGTAGGATTGCTTACTTGTTTGGGGACGGTAATGTTCCATTCCCCCATTCACCTCAGGCCTGAGATGGTCTGTCTAGTAATATGCTTTTATGGGCTGTATATTGACAGGGCAGAAGTAAAGGCTGGTCCACCTTTTACAGCTACCCCAAGG